GAACCGAACGTGTGATCCCACCGATGGATTGCTCTCCGAACGAGGAATCCATTGGTGGGGTCACACGTTCGGTTCGAGTCCCATTTAGCGACTCTGGAGCTCAAAACGCATCTAGAGTTTTGGCCGCCTCCACCGGTCTTCTGGCCCACTGTGCGGTGGCGGCCGGGACGGAGCGCCGTGACGCTAGGCAACCGCAACGCACTGGAGTGCGGCGGCACAGTGCAGCGCGACGAGGCAGGGGGCCGTGGGCGACGAGGTTCGACGAGGAGGCACTGCTTGTCCTCCTGCTGCAACACCAGCGAGGCGCCGCGCGGTCCACGCGGGCAGGGCCAAGCCTCGCCTTGCGGAGCGAGCCAGTCCCATTTGGGAGCGGCCCGCACTCTGTGGTCCACTTGGACGGGCCGGCAGGATCACGTTATGGATTTTATGTCGACGGCCCGGACAGCGAGGTGCTCTGCTTCTCCTTGACCTGGTGCTCCGCGCCGGTCTGCGCCGCTCTGCGCGTGCGGCGTGCCCAACGGCCGGGGCGCGGCGCAGCGGGCCGACGGCACCCCGCCGCAAAGGGCTTCCCTTTTGCCGCCCTCTCCCCGAGCTTGTGCTCGAACGGGAGTAGGTTGGTGCGGACGGCCCGTCGCGACGACGCGGCGGGGCCTGCCTGTAGTCAGTGCGCGCCGTAACACAGTGGGCCAAAAGACCGGTGGAGGCGGCCAAAACTCTAGACGCGTTTTGAGCTCCGGAGTTGCTAAATGGAACTCGAACCGAACGTGTGACCCCACCAATGGATTGCTCTCCGAACGAGGAATCCATTGGTGGGGTCACACGTTCGGTTCGAGTCCCATTTAGTGACTCTGGAGCTCAAAACGTGTCTAGAGTTTTGGCCGCCTCCACCGGTCTTCTGGCCCACTGTACGTAAGTGGCGGTCGTCGTCGTCGTTTTGGGGGGCACTCCTTTGCGACCCTCTGGGCCTAGATGGGCGCGTGGCGGGCGGTCCGCCTGGCCGCGGGGCGCCGCCGCCATCGCCAAGCCCTGCACAGCGATTCCGCACATTGCTGCGTTCGCTCTGTCTCTCTCGCACTCGTGCGGCAGCCCCGTCCTAAGAGCGAGAGAGACAGCGACAAAACGCCTACTGGGGCCCAAGGCCGCGGAGCGCAGGGGCGCCCTTCTGTCCAAAAGCACCACAAACACACCGAGAGGTTCAAAGCGCCCGGCATAGTGCCTCCAAGGCCCTATGGCCCTGCCCTGCCAGTCCTGCTGGGGCCGCCCCCGTTCGCAAACATAGGCCCACCCCTGCATGCCTCCACGCCACTCTCGTCGTAAACTAGACTAGCTGCCACGGCCTCCAAGTCTCTCAGGCCGCCGCGCTGCCGCCGAACGCGCAGCGCGAGCGTGCCAAAGCCCCTCCAGATGGCCGTGATGTCCGTCATAACGTCCGCGACGTCCACCATCTGCGGGCCGCCGGTAAAAACTACCACTCCACGCACTGGGCGGACTCGGAGCGGAGGAGACCGCCACGCCGCACAGTGGGCCAGAAGACCGGCGGAGGCGGCCAAAACTCTAGACGCGTTTTGAACTCCAGAGTCGCTAAATGGGACTCGAACCGAACGTGTGACCCCACCAATGGATTGCTCTCCGAACGAGGAATCCATTGGTGGGGTCACACGTTCGGTTCGAGGCCTGTTTAGCGACTCTGGAGCTCAAAACGTGTCTAGAGTTTTGGCCGCCTTCATCGGTCTTCTGGCCCACTGTACGCCGGCCGACACCTTCGCAGATGTCATCCGCGGCGCGTTGCCCGTTTTAACGTCCGTCCACGAAACCAGAGACCTCTCTAGACTCTAGACCAGCCGACGGCCAGCTTACGGCACGGCCAGCCGTGTGCAGCGTAGCGGACCGCCAGCCGTCATTGCTGTTTTACAATGTGACGGCCTACACACTACCGCACTACCAACAGTGCGGCGGTAAATTTCCCGCGCCGCAGCAGACTGATGCCGACCGGTCGCTCTGTCTCTCTCGCTCTCGCGGGGCGGGGCGTCCCGACGGGGACGCGAGAGAGACAGAGCGACGAAGCGGCGAGTCTTGGGCAGTACACCACCGCCAGCACTGTGCCTACACTGTGCGTGGGTGGATGGACGCCGAACGACACGGAGGAGTGAGCGAGGGACAGGAACGCGCGGCGATAAAAAAGAAGAAAGAGAACAAAGAGTCCCGATCGGGTTTCGCGTCGCGCGTCGCGTATGCAGCACTCAACTGCCGGCGGCCCGGTGTCGCGGCGTTGCGACACGCCACTTTTACGGGCTGTTTCTTATGGAACAGCCCGGCCGGTCCGCCGCGTACGCCCAAAATCCGGAGATGGTAAAATTCTAACTCGTTACTGGTAGCTATGCCGCATCCTCGCGATGATTTCGCCAGTTTGGACCACCTTTTGGAAGGATATCCGGTCACTTTAGGTCAGGTTGGGTTAGGTTAACCGGAATTGAACCGGGGAAATTGAGGAGCCCTCGAAGTTTGCCAGGGCGTGCACTATTCTCTGACTAGAAAACGAAGAGCCCTCGGTTCTCGCGGTCGAGGGCTACCTGCAATGCTAGCCGTGGCAGCAGATGCCATAAACCGCGAGAACTCAGGGCTCTTCGTTTTCTGGTCAGAGTTTCTGCGCCGACGGCTGTCATTGTCACGGAGTGCATCTCCGCGCGGATGCGCGTGCCCCCAAAGCACTGCGGCGCAGACTGTTGCCTGCGACGCACGCGCACGCCTGTCCGCACCACGCATGGCGGTAACTGGCCTGCGTGCGCGCGGACTTGCGTGCGTTTCGGTCGCGCGCAATGCGGGTCCTATCGGCCTATCGCCGGGGGCCGACGGGGGCCTCCCGCACGCCGAGTCCTGTTCGTCGCTCTGTCTCTCTCGCACTCGTGGGGCATCGCCTACAGGTGCGAGAGAGAGCGACGACAGCGACTCTCGGCATCAGCCTCCGAGTCGCTTCGCTCTGCTTCGCTTCCTAGTGGCGCGCCGTGCGGCACCCGCGCCTCGCGCCATCCGAACCGAACCGCTGCCGCGCGCTGCGCACCTGGCGGACTCCGGGCGCACGGTGGGCCAGAAGACCGGTGGAGCGGCCAGAATTCTAGACGCGTTTTGAGCTCCAGAGTCGCTAAATGGGACTCGAACCGACCGTGTGACCCCACCAATGGATTCCTCGTTCGGAGAGCAATCCATTGGTGGGATCACACGTACGGTTTGAGTTCCATTTAGCGACTCTGGAGCTCAAAACGCGTCTAGAGTTTTGGCCGCTCCACCGGTCTTCTGGCCCACTGTGGGGCGAGTGCTTTCGTCGCTCTGTCGCTCTCTCTCGCACTCGTGGCGTGGCCCGCAAGGCCCGCAAGGGCGCGAGAGAGACGGAGCGACGACACACCGTTCGGAATGAGTCCGCGGGGCCGGCGGGGCGTTAGGCGCGGCGGGGAGGGCTATGCGACTGGCTCGATCTGCGGGCTCGCCAATTTCGGCTGATGCAACGCGGGCCGTCCTTTCACCGCCCCGCACTGGCCCAGCATCGGGTGGCTGTCTCTCACAATAAACAAAATGAAATCGGATCTTTTCTTATTTATTCTTATTCATAAAAGGTAAGTTGATGCAGTATTACTTTAGAGTCGGCGCTGGCCACTGAGACTCTACACTCCAAATCCAGGGTGTCTAGAAACTATACGCCTTAGGCGTATGCCACAGAAATGGAACTGCCTTAAGGCGCCTTGATTCTAAACGCCAAAGGCGTATACCCCATTGAGCACCTTTTGCAGATAGAAGTTAGCATGTGAACACCATTGGTCGAAGGAAAGGTGCGTGCATTGTACCGGGTGCCCGGGAAAATACAGGACAGTGCGATGGGTGGCCTACCCTGGCTGAGCCGCAGGCGCGCCTGCCGAGCGGCGTTCGGGTGGCTGGCGAGCAGTGGTGGGGGAATGGCAGTGGGGATCGGGCAGTGGCGGCCAAGGTGGAGGGGCAGCAAAGGGTAGGATAAGGCTCCAGGGGCACCCACGACAACCCACGCGACACCCTGTCTTGCAAGCACCCTTTCAGAGTCGCGGGCTGCGAGATCCTGGCGCTTGTCCTGGCGACACCGTTTGCGGGGTCCTCGTGGCACCCCTGTTGATATCTCGCGGATCTCGGCCCGCATCTGAGGGGTGCCCCAAGTCAGCATCGATCGCTGACTCCTGAGGGTAGTGCGGTGGGCAGAAGACCGGTGGAGCCCATGATTCTAACGCTTTACTCCAGGCTGCAATGGACCTAGCCGCGTGTGCCCCACATGGACTGCCTTACGGAGAGCAACCTTGGTGGTCACCACCGTCGGATACGCCCATTTAGCGACTCGGATCAAAAGGTAGAGTTTTGGCCGCTCCCCGGTATTGGCCCACTGTGGGGTAACATCCTGGCTCATGGCCTGACTCAACGGGCGTGGCCCGCGTTGCCGCAAGGCCCGCGTGGACGACCCGACGCCACCGAGGCCTAATGGAGTTCTACGGGCCGGAGCCTGTTGAGCTCAGTGCCTATGACCGGGTGTGTGCAATGCTCGCACCTTTCCTTGATCAACGGGTCCACTTTCAACTCTTCTGCGCACTGGGCTCAATGGGTGTTCTACGCATTTGGCAATTAGAATCGGCCCTTATGCATTTCCATTTCTGTGGCATACGCCTAAGGCGTATAGTTTCTAGACACCCTGGATTTGGAGTGTAGCCTTGACTTGTGAAAGTGGACAGACGGGCCGAGGCGACGCGGTCTTGCAAGTCCGCGTCAATGTCAATGCACCCAATGCGCTGGCGATGGTAGGGTTGTCGTTGTCGCTGCCGCGCGGCCGTTTGAATGCTGGCGGTGAAATGCCGGCTCCCCATTGGCGCTGGCGTGGACTACCGTGGACGTCTGGCCGTGGACGTCTGGCCGTGGACAAGGGCGATCGCAGCGCGCCGTCCGCCGTCGTGGCGACTTGGCGAACTACACTGCTGGTAATCCTGATGAGATTGCCGCGTTTTTCTCCGTCGCGTTGGCAGCCCGTGCGGCGGATCGCTCCCTCGCTTCGGTCGGTCGGCCGCCATCTTGTGTTTATTTTGTTTGGCGTGCTCTGCCGTAGCGGCGTCTATTAAAGTTGATTGATCCCTTTATTTGCTAAGTGTAGGCAAGTGATTGTGTCGATATCTTCCTCAATTGCGCTGCCATGTCATATGGATCACGAAACGAGTGTCGGATCTACGTTGGGAACCTGCCGCCCGATATCCGCACCAAGGATATCCAGGATTTGTTTTACAAGTATGGCAAAGTCACGTTTGTTGACTTGAAAAATAGAAGAGGACCCCCGTTTGCGTTCGTTGAATTCGACGATCCGAGGTGAGTTGACGCGGATTTCCGAACCAGACGTTCGCAGTTTCTTGGCTGTGGTTATGTTCGTCGGTTTCTTTCTCTGATGAGCTCAAGGTTATGAGAGCGAAAACAAAGCGAAGCGCCAGGCCTGGGGAGCGTCCCTTGTCCAGCGCAATGGTAATGCAACTGCACTAGCGTCAAGCGTCCTCGCGATTCTTTCAGTCTTCGGTTTCGTGGCACTTGGGCCAGCTCCTAACCCGTCAGTTTCGGTCGGACCGACTTTCTTATTTGGCCAGAGTCTGCTTCGACGTGGTTTTGAGCTGCTTGATCGCTGGCCTTCAGTCCGTTGGTTGAAATTGACGCACACCCCCTCGAGCCCCCTCCAAACTTATCTTGCCATTGTCTCATCCTGGTGATTTTTCTTGCGCTTTGTTCAAATTTTAACTGTGCCACTGCGTCTGAATTACATCATTATTCTTACTTTAATATTTGAGTTTGTGTGCCCTGCAAATGCCTATCTATGCTTATGTTAATCTGTCAATTTGACTTTGCAAACTGGTCACTGGGCATCTGGTGCCCTGACTTCATTTGAGGATTACCCACTGGTATTGGTTGTTTGGTAGCTTCTACAAATGAACTTTGCAGCCCGTCACTAGTATGCAATTAGATTTATTAGTTTGTGTTTTTTAACATTCTTATGAATTTTGTCTGCAGGGATGCTGAAGATGCTGTCCATGCTAGAGATGGATTTGACTATGATGGATACAGATTACGAGTTGAATTTCCCCGAGGCGGTGGTCCAGCTATGCGTGGCAGCAGTCGAAACATGTCTGGCTCAAGCAGCGGTGGCAGTCGTGGAAGAGGGCCCCCTGCACGACGATCTCAGTACAGAGTATTGGTGTCAGGCAAGTATTACCATTATTCTAATGATTTGCACCAGACACTCTGTTATCATCCCTATCTGACTAACTTTTTGTCTTGTCTCTTAGGTCTTCCTCCCTCAGGCAGTTGGCAAGATTTAAAAGATCACATGCGTGAGGCAGGAGATGTTTGCTTTGCTGATGTCTTTAAGGATGGCACTGGAGTTGTTGAATTCCTTCGCTATGATGACATGAAGTATGCTTTCAAAAAACTTGATGACTCTAGATTCCGATCTCATGAGGTAAATGGTCATTTCATTCATTCAGTTCTTCTTTTATTGTCTTAGTGTGTCTGAATCAATAATTTTCTTCTGTTAATTCAGGGTGAAGTTGCGTATATCAGAGTGAAAGAGGATTATTCGGGCAGTAGTGGCGGTCGAGCTAGTGAGGAGAGAGGCCGTCGCTCTCGCTCCCGTAGCTACTCTTCCCGAGGGAAGCGAGGTTCCCCTTCATATTCTCCCATTCCTAGGAGAAGTTACTCACGATCTCGATCTCGAGGAAGTCGTTCTCCATCATATGACTGATACATTGGTAATGGCGGATGTTAAATTCAGTGATAATAAACTGAAATTAATCTTATAGTGCCTGTCAGCATTGGGCAGGAATCTGGCAGGAATTATCCCTTACCAGTCTCAAGATTTCATCTGGGTAGGAGGAATCCTCGAGGGCTCTCTGCTCATCTATCAATGGTCAGTTATCATTTTAAAATCAATTTGTTATATTCCCAATGCCCTGTCTCAAATCCCTGTATGGGATTCAGTGTTATTTTCTTACCTTTTTTTTTTGTAATGTCTAAATGTGAGCTATAGCAAGTTTGACACAACATAATGTGATTTCTAGCACATATGTGAAGGCATGGAAATGATTGCATATTTCATTCCATCTAGATTTAACAATGAGAGGTTCCATAGGTCATGTTCAACATTTCTGCTATTTCTGATACCATTGGTGCTTCATACCAGGCGATAATCTTTTATTCTTCTTAAAAGTAAAAATAAATTGGCATAATGTGATGACTGTTCTATTTTATCGTGATGCGTTATTTCATTGTGTCTACATTTTGATGCCAAATATTTTGAGTGCAAGTATTGCCATTAACCTAGGGTCAGCATTCATGTAATGATCTTTTCAGTCATAGATTCTGATGTGTACTTAATTAAATTCTATGCATTTCCTTTGCAGGCTTATCAGTTGACCATTCTCTTGTATCACTTAAGTAGAAATGTGCTGTACCATAATTTATTATTCTTCCCATAATATTTCCTTGCCTTTGAAGTGCCCCTCTTTTCTTTTTTTTGTTTTGACACCAACTCACGGTTTATGTGTCACAGTGTAATACCTCTAATCATGACTTGGAAGTGATGTCATTACATGCTTCCCTCCAACTGGTGTGCTATGAATTTTCACTGAACTTCTTTGTGTACATGTTGACCGTGAAGACATACTATCTGTCATAGTATAGATAAAAAAATGAAAAAAATACCTTGACCAGGTTCTCATGTGCAATGTCCCTTAACTTCAAGTGAATGAACTAGAAAATTTGCAGTGAATATTTGTGGACTTGTTTACAAAATCTGTAGTGTTTTAAGGGAGTCTTACTTCATGTAGCTTTTTAGATGCTGGTATTTTACATTCCTATGAACTCCACTAATGGGGCTAGTAAATTAATTTCTTCATGCTGGAAATTAGTATTAAAGCATGAAGGTGTGTTGCTCAAAATTCCACTCGGCTGCTTCCTGTCTTCAGTGGCTATATGTATCCAATTTTAACTTAATTTTTCTGTCAGCTGATTTGTGTTGGCAGCCTTATTGTTTGTTTTTAGTTCTTGTGTTTGTGCGAGTTAAGGCTTGAAGTCATGGGTCTCCACCAGACTTGCAATACATACCTATAATTAAGCTTTCTTTTTTCTACAATAGTTTTCTGATGAAACCACTGTGGTAACTGTGGTTTCCTCTCCAATGATATCAGACATTGTGTAATCTTGTGATGAAGTTTGATTTCTTTACCTGTCTTTGAAACCACTAGAATGGTCATGTTCGAAGTTGAGATCAGCTGCATGTAATTCTTCCATTTACTGTTAATTTTTGACTAGTCTTGTGCTTTTTGTTCACTTTTTTTTTTCTTTGGAGGACCCCAAATGGTTTTCTAGAGGTTTCTGTTTAGGTCTTTGTTTTGAATGTGGTGAGGAAGGATGACTAATGATACTTTGTTTTTCTTTTCATTCATATGGATAGCTAGAGCATTGTAACTGGATGTATGTGGAAGGATTGGATTGCAATTGGATGAACCTATTAAAGGAACGCTGATCCTAGCACTATGTTGGATTCTTTACCGGGAAGAGGAGGAGCCTGACAAACCCACCCAATTTGTGGATGAGGAAATGGGACGCTTTCATGGAACCTCTGGATACACTATGGATGGGACTCTTCCTTGTGCCTCATGAGGATTGCCTGACAACGTGCCAAACGCATTGTGGATACTGGACTGGACTACTTGGAACATTCGCAGGATGTCAGCACAGCAAGTGTCCGCATGCCCGTGGCATGGCGTATCATGGTGTGCCTCAGCGCTCCCCTCATCTATTTATACCTTACCACCCACTTCACATGGATTTTATTTACACTAGTACAATTTTATGAACACAGTTTTTGACTTTACAACAATGGTTTAAATACCTGCTATTTTATGATGTTGAGGTTGGGAATCTTACCAATATCCTCGGGTGTTGGACATGTGCTTCCCCAAGAATTTCCTGGAAGACTAATGAGAGTGAGGACACGAAAAAAGAAAGCTGGGCAATGGAAGAGGAATGAATGTCAACGAGGGATTTCATTACTGTGACCTGGGAAGTTATTCAAGTGCAAGAACCAAGGATTTTGCAAGAGGAAATTATGAAGGAACCAAAGTCTTATTTTTCAATTGTTTTTGTGTGTCATCCAGAGAGTTTCCCTTTCCAAGGCAGAACTGGAAATATCAAGGCTTGTTTAGATAATTTTGTGTATAAAAAAAGCCTTTGAAAAGAAAAAAAGATTATAAAAGTATATCTGTGCTGGCACAGATTGTTACACATCCCTGTCCTTTTTGATATTTTCCCCTGTTCTGCTGAATCATTAGAAAACAGCTCTTGTACACGTTTATGTAGTGACTAAATTTATGGAGGGAAGACCCAAGTTCAGACAAACATCATTTTAGTATTTTGAAGACTGATTTTCTTTTAGATTAACTCCTCATTCTTTTAAGTTCTGGAGTATATGATCCTCACAGGTTTTATAACTTGGATTTTTCCTTAATGCCTCTGTGAGGTTCTTATACTCTTGTTTTGGATCAAGTGTGCTAAACCCATCTCCACTGTTTTATTTGCCTTTTTAAAAAAAGAAATGAATATAATTTAAGATCACTTTTGTTGGTGCTGTTAAGTATTCCATGCAAGCTCCAAATAAAGTGATTTTATTATTCCATCCGTCATTTTGTTGTGCAGCCTGTACTTTCTCTTCACTTTCCACTAAACATGCATGTGATTAAAACCTATTTACCAATCAAGGATTCAGGAATGAATCTGTGTAAAACATGAAAACAAGAACTTAAATTACAATTCAACTGCAACTGGGCAAATTTCACTATTAGTCAAGTTGACTGAAATCGACTGTAGCAGCTCGTTGAAGAGACATCTCTTGGCTAGTTAAATTCGTTGGTGCTTCAAATATCCCGCTGTTCTAGTCACCGCCCCTTACTTTTACGTCGAGCAGGGTGGCCAAAACATGAAACGGATCTCTCACCTCTACATTTCCTCAACTCCCTCCATTTTAACTTACCATTCAAAAGAAATAATTTGAAACCATGAGGAGAAAGATTCAATATCCTTTATCACTATTCCTTTTCGAGAGAGGATGGTTTCGAAAATGACAACCAGTTCTACGGTAGAATTCCGTATCTCTTTCTCTTGTCCTGTTCTCGGGGCAACACCTCCAACTTTATCGACATTTCCTTGTAAAAAGAAAGCAATAAATTTCTTGTCACGTCAGATTGTCATAAATATAATACCTGAAAAGGCAGAAAGTATCCAAAACCATTACCAACGTAAATTTATATTTTGTCTGCGCAGGTAGGTCGCCATCTTGGATGTGAAAATTCGATGGTAAGTGGCAATATTCGTGGATAAAATGCAAAAATGTCAACTAAGTTGTTGGCGGTGTCACATACTTAATACCTAAGCGGTTGCCTGGATACCTAACATTCCTTTTGGTCCATTTTTACTCCCGGTTGCCTTCTCTTCAACCCAAACAACGTTAAACACTTGTGAGACCAGTCTGCTGCAGTCAGTCTTGCATTCAGCGTAGGCTTCATTGACATTTAGACTGTTTCATATTGCATATTTATGTAAAGTAGTGACTGTTTTTTGGACATTTGCTCAAATAGATTTTGTTCCAACGGGTTATGATTGAAACTTGCCGATCTAGTCACGTCAGTTCGATTGCTATACGAGACATAACAAGTCTAGGTTGAAGTTTGTTTTCACTTCGTGGAGTATGAGATGTACCTCCGTTGTATTTTTAACGAATGTAACTTTCTGTTAGTAGTTATGAACCTTTGAACACGTGCTTCATTGCCTCTTCAATCGATATCTAGTTCTGAAACCATCCAAGACTATTCTAACCTGCAACTTGTGTACTCGTCTCGTCAGTAGCATCCAGATGCTTGTTGTAAACATACAACACCATCATGCTCCATTTCCTTTCCTTTCATATATTTTTACTCAAGTTTTTTCCCCGATAGCATCTGTTAACTGTTTCGAACTCTTTGGGTATTGTGATTCTTGTTAAAGTGAGTCTACTTATAAGATGTCATTACCACTGTGATCCATTATTGATCTAGATGGTGGTGTGTGTATATTACCTTTCACTTGGAGGAAGAGATCATCTGGTTTCCTTCAGAAAAACCCATGCTTACTAACTCACTCCAGAATCATCTTATCAGAAATATGCCCATTCAAACATTTCGAAGACTTACAGAATATTGCTTCGATAATATTGTCAGTAGTGCACCTTGTAAGATTAGGCCCATCTTGTCTTTCATTTGTAGTCATTTCAATTAATGGTCTCTCAGTAATGAAAAATTATTTATTTTAGTATCAAGGGAATGAACACCAACCAATATAAGCAAATAACAATCTTTAATCAAAATTTGTTTAGTAATTGTAAAAATTGTTTTCAGGTAACGTCGTTCAGAGTTATCCAATGGCTGACAGCATTTCAGATCTCTGATATTTGGTGGAGATCTGAGGAAAGTGGTGCCATCCAACAGCAGACTGGGAGCATAGGAGCTCCCTGAGTAACTCATATAAGCTCACCATACTATGCCTGCAGTTCCAAGGTATGCTGCCTGAGACTAAATCCAATGATTATGGGTTTGGTTGAAATATTATCTTGTTTATGAATTCTGAGGATTCCTTCTTTCCTAATGAGTGGTTTTTATCCCAAGGCCCGGAAGTTTAAAGGACCCTGAAGTTTCGGAACTTTTTCACAAAGATGACCCGGACAAGATTTTTGAAGACCTGCGGGAAATCGGCCATGGAAGCTTCGGTGCAGTGTACTATGCCCGGAATCTCATCTCTCGTGAAGTTGTTGCCATCAAGAAAATGTCATATTTGGGAAAGCAAAGTTTGGAAAAATGGCAAGATATTTTGAAGGAGATCAGATTTTTACGGCAACTTAACCATCCCAATACAATTGAGTATAAAGGCTGTTTTCTACGGGACCATACAGCATGGGTAAGTAGGCACCAAAACATAATACACTTTGTAAAATCAAAGGTTTTGTAAGTACGCTATTTTCCAAAGTAGCTGTTACCTAATCTTTTTATTTTTTCAATTTTTTTAGCTTGTTATGGAATACTGTTTGGGCTCAGCCTCAGATATAATAGAAGTACACAAAAGGCCTCTCAAAGAAGAGGAAATTGCAGCAATATGTGAAGGAGTCTTGAGAGGCCTGCACTACCTTCATTCACTTGGACGAATACACAGAGACGTCAAAGCAGGAAATATATTGCTTACGGAAAATGGGACAGTAAAATTAGCTGACTTTGGCTCTGCCAGTATTCGTAGTCCAGCCAACAGTTTTGTTGGCACTCCATACTGGATGGCACCAGAGGTCATACTTGCTATGGATGAAGGACAGTATGATGGAAAAGTTGATGTTTGGTCATTAGGCATCACTTGTATTGAGCTAGGTGGGTAAAACTTATTATTTACTTTAATTATTTCATGACAGCAGTTATCTCATCACATCACCTTGCACCTGTTACAGCTGAGAGGAAACCACCTTACTTCAACATGAATGCCATGAGTGCCTTGTACCATATTGCTCAAAATGACACTCCAGTACTGCAATCGCAAGACTGGACAGACATCTTTCGGCATTTTGTTGATTCCTGCTTGCAGAAGAGCCCCACTGAACGTCCTCATGCTGGGAAGCTTCTATTGGTGAGTGTCAAACAAGGCAGTTTGTCTTTCATCCCTTGGTCTGCAATTTTCCTGTTTCATTTAAATAAATGGGTGATTGCTATTCTTACAGCATCAACTTGTGACCAGACCACGTTCTCCACATGCTCTGTTGGACTTGATCCAGAGGACTAAAGCTGCCGTCAGAGACCTTGACAATCTGAATTACAGAAAAATGAAAAAAATACTCATGATGGACGCATTTGAAAATGAGAGCACTGCAGGTGACGCTGATGGTGAGTAAAACATTTTTACCCCTTAAGTAGGTCTTTTGTGTGGAATAATTAGTCTTTAAACATTAAAAAAAAAAAAAAAAAGTAGTTTGATTGAACCTTTAGAAACGTCAATATCGTTTTGTCAGGACCCATCTTTGATTGTTCAGAAACACCAGACGAGCAGACTGGTGGGGACAGCAGCAAAAGCAACAGCATTACTTCAGAACATTCAATCCACTCCATGGGAGTCAGTGCATCCTCCCAGAGCTCTTCTACTAATAGTTTACCTCCAGCAGTGGATGGAAATGATGGCTATGCCGCTTCTATGCGAGCCAGACACAAGGTATATATTTATCCGTGTATAAGAATTAAAGCGCTCATGTCTTGAATTTACATGTGTTAAAATGTCTCCAATTATCCATCTTTACATCTCATGTTTAAATTTTCAGGCATCGAATTCCACAGCTTTGGCAGATCATGGTGCAAACAATTTTGCTACAATCAGAACAACATCAATTGTTACAAAGCAGCAAAAGGAACATATGCAAGAGGAAATGCATGAACAAATGACTGGGTATAAGCGAATGCGCCGAGAGCACCAGGCTGCCCTCATCAAGGTATGTAGTTGGTTGCTTTTCAGAGGAGTTATACTTATATTCTGTCTGTTAGCTCCATTTAGAGTATGATTTAAATTTTTCTTCTCCTTCTTTGCCTAGCTTGAGGAACGTTGCAAGATGGAGATGGAGGGCCACAAAGGGGTCTTGGACAAGGAGTATGACACTCTTCTTCAGCAGTTCAGCAAAGAGCTCGAGCGTTTACAGCAGAGGCACCAACAAGAGCTGGAACGCAAAGTTAAACACAACTTGAGCTGTGATAAGAAATTACAGAAAGAAATTTCAGGACGCCAAGAACAAGATCGCAAGGCTTTTGATACTCAAAAGAAGAAAGAGTACAAAGCAAACAAAGAAAGGTGGAAGCGAGAATTGTCAATGGACGAATCCACTCCCAAGAGGCAAAGAGATGCTACTTTAGCGTAAGTATTGTTTTACTATAACTAGCTAGAAAAACTGTAGAAGTCATCTCCTGGGCTATTTTGCACCATGCATGGAAGACTGACCAAAAACTTAAATCTCTAGCTAATTACTTTTTTGTAAGTTAGTATGAATGTGTTGGTATTGTTTTAACACTCTTTTTCTTTCTCCAGGACCCAGAAAGAAAATCTGAAACAAATTGAGGCTCAGGAAGAGCAGCGTCTTGTTCGGGGTCAGAAGGAGTACTTAGATCTTGAGATGCGGAAATTCCGTAGAAAAAAGTTGCTGTCATTCCATAGCCTAGAGCAAGGACTACTCAGAGAGGCAAGTACATTTAATTGGCTTAAACTAATGTCATAACTTTTTTGTACTCTTGCTTATCATATTTAATGTTGGCAAGCAGGAGCTTAATAAGAGGCAACAACAGCTGGAGCAGGCCCACTCAATGTTGCTTCGTCACCATGAGAAAACTCAAGAGCTTGAGTATCGTCAGCAAAAGGCTGTCCACCAGTTGAGAGAGGAACAAATTCAACGTCAGCACCACACAGAACTCAGCAACCAGCGGGATTATATGCAGCGCGCTGAACGAGAGTTACGGAAGAAGCATGCACTTGAACTCAAGCAACAACCAAAGAGTTTGAAAGTAGGTTGACTCCAGTTGGTGTGCATCTATTCAGGCTGTGTCTGTGTGTGTCCTAATATTTCCTTAATTTTTTTTCAGCAAAAAGAAATGCAAATCCGCAAGCAGTTCAGAGAAACTTGCAAAATTCAAACGAGGCAGTACAAGGCATTAAAGGCTCAGATTCTTCAAACTACTCCAAAAGATGAGCAGAAAGTTGTCATTAAGAAGATGAAGGAAGAACAGAGGCGGAAGTTAGCCCTTCTTGGTGATCAGTATGAACAAAGTATTGCTGAAATGCTCCAGAAGCAATCGGTACGATGATGACAATACCCATTCTCTCTGCATCACTCGACTAGTCTCAGTTTTAAATGATTTCATCTTTTCCATTTGTCATTCATTTGTTTTAGATTCGTTTGGACGAGTCTCAAGAAGTAGAATGTCATCATTTGCAAGACAGATTGCACTATGAGTTGGAAATTCTCATGGCATACCAGTCCAAGAATAAGATGCAGGCTGAAGCCCAGAGAAATAGGGAGCGTAAGGAGCTGGAAGATCGTGTCTCGGTCAGAAGGGCACTTTTGGAACAGAAGGTCAGTTCCAGGGGAATATTTACATGCTTGTTGTTTTCAGTCTTTTCTTTGCTATGTTTGATGTCTGATTACATGTCTTTTTTATTTCCAGATGGAAGTTGAAACTCAACAGTTCCTGCAGGAGCGTTCTGAGAGAATTCGGTTGTTGCATGAACGACAAGATCGCGAACTAGAACAGTTTGATGAAGAATCTGCCCGTCTTGGCTTCAGGTAGAACCTCATACTCAAAATTTATTTAGATTTACCATTTCACTGTATATTATATTAATGGTGTCTGTTTATTTCAGTGCCCTTGCCATTGCTGAAGCATCAAAAGAGTCATACCCTGATGACGAATCATTATCGGGAAGTGTGCTGAGCTTAGCACACAGCAATAGCTCAGCTTCATTCCCAGCAGGAAGTCTTTAGTGTTGGCATAGCTGCAGGTTTCTTATTTTAATTTTGTATCAAAGAAATATTGATTTTAGCAATGTTGTTGATTTGTTGGAGACAAGTGATTCTGCAAGAGGTAAATTGGTCTGTTGAGATGCTACAGAGTAACAAACCTATGCAGTAAAACACGCTTATAACCTACAAATTCTAATGGGACTCCACTTATTTTAACCAGTATTTTTATTGTTTTTGCTGCCTTTTTTAAAAAAAAATAATTTGTTGTTAGTGGGCATGTAAAGACAGATGAGTGAGTTCCACTATAAGAGAGTTTTACTGTAGTATTTTTGTTTTTCTCGTGGAATTGTTTGTTGTTTTGTTGCAAGTGTACATCATGAAAGTGTTAAGTTGACTCAGGGTCCAATGTGGGAAATATGCGGGCCTATACAGACACCACAAGACTAGTATTCTTATTTTTTTAAAACTTACTGAAGGAAAGGTTTTGATTTGTTGTCTTAAGCAAGATAGTATAAGAGGGCTAATACCCATAAATTGTGTCTGTAACCTTCATCTTTTAAATCTTAGAATATTGTTGCATAGGTAAACATACTCCGCTCATTTGACTTATGTGTATACTGCCATGGTGACTCTGATATTTATTAAGCTACGTATTGAAATTGTGCAGATATTGTCTGTTCATAATATTGGCTATCAAATATTAGGTATTGATTCAGTGTGTTTTGGTTTAAAACGCAAATCTGTATTTTTAAAACATTGCTCTTTCCACTGTTTTCCATTACGTGATATATCGCTGTTCCTTTTTCTTTTCTCTCTCTCTCTCCTCTTTTTCATTTTTTATCTTTTTTGTTTCTTTTTTTTTTTTTGGAAGAATATGTGTATTGCTGGTGTTTTTACTGAAAGCAAAGAGTTTGAATGGATTTCTATGGTATTTGAAGAATATAATATATTTAGCACAGCTTTTGTAGGAGCGCTGAGAGAAGCATCAGGTTAGATTTAGAATAATGAATAATGTTAGTCAAGGCTCAAGAAGGGCTGGCAATCATTGGCTGTAGGGACCTTTGCTTGTAGTATAGTCATAAAGAAGGATAAGCCCAGTGCCCAGTGCAAATTTTACAAAACCATTAGTGAAGTTATGGACTGTTTGCCCAGTTACTGATGCCAAACTGATATGTAATATTTTTCCACATTAAAGTTCTGCTCAATTAATCCCAGCTACCCTGGCTGAGCATTGTATGAGCATGGTCTTCTTGAAACTTTGACTACGTCAAACAGGAAATATTGAGCTTCATGGGGATATCAACAGTTTGTAATGAATTTTATTGTTATTCAATTAATGTCAACAGTTACGTAGCATATTTTTATGGATTTTTTCCCATTTTTGATTCATTTTCCTTACTTGCTTTAGTTTAAAAGTGTATTTACTCCAACCGATGTGTGCTCAAGCTTCTACAATTGCTCACATTCATTATTTTTCTTTTCGATTTTGATGAAATATACTTGAGTACATTATTAATTACAATTAATCACAGTCAGTTTGACTTGTAGTAACATAATGCTTCAATGGCATATGTTTCTATTGTCATTGTATATTATGAATGGATCACTTACCAAATTGTGTACCATTCATAGCATCATAATGCAAGTTGGTCTTACTAACTGCTTCTTCTTTTGGCCGGCCTCTCCTCTCCCGGTGGTTCAAATACTACTATTACTACTTACTTTGTTCGTTTTTTTTTTTTTCTTTTTTTTTGTTTATCTAATTTTTGGAATTTAAGCCTGTTTGTTTTGATATTCACTGGTTGGACATGTGTAAATTGCTTTCAGCCGTGAGAAATCTTCAACAAATATTGGTGCCTGCCTTGCCTGATGCTATGTGGTTGGTTCAGCCAAGCTAAGAAATGAGAACAAACCTGGTTGTTGTTTTAATCTTTAATATTTGATGTATAAATCTTCTGTGTATCTCAGTTTAATGTGAACATTTAGTGACGCATGAGGTGATTACATTGTATGAAATTTAAGTGTTTGTGAGATATCACAAATCAAATGTTAATAGTGCTTTCCACAATTGTCTGGAACTGTGCTGAAGTTTTCAGCCAGTTCTGATATAAGTCTAGTCTGGTCTTAATTTTTCTTAATAACATGTAATAAAGAGATCTTGTCCTTTATGTAAGAAGCTTTGAACCAAATTGTATTGCAGAAGCTATGTGGACTCCCTTCATCATTCATGAAATTTGCTTGACTAAAACAACCATGCAAAAGAGTTATTGAGATATTATACGATGGGGTGGTTGAGAAAGAATGGTTTACATGGCTGCCCTGATATGCGGCTTGTAATCCACCCATCAATTCATACATAGAGTTTTAATTCATTTACTTTATAGCATTCATTTGCTAATACTCTAAATCATTATATGACAAGATTTTTGTGATACTGTATTAGTTAGATATTCATTAAATTACTTAATCTTAACTTCTCTGCTTGTCTTTCCTGATTCCTTGCTCTACCACCCCATTTTCATTCAGTATTGTTTAGATCTGAATTTCTTGCCTTACAAGTCACTTTCATAGGTTCCACACATTGGGGAATGATACATAATTCCTAGACCCAGTCTTAATTGGTTGAAGGCTAGAACTGAAGCCTCCCTCACTCTTAAACCTGCAACCATCACAGAGCCGGCTAGCAGCTGAGTGGAAGTTTTGCGAGTATGTGAGGTCACTGTTCTCAGGTGTTGCACATAAATGAGGAACTATCACATCACGCATGTAACCAAGCACAACACAGTGCTCCTCCTTAAGCAACCATGTCATCGTAAAAAAAAAGAGAGAATGGAGGGAACAGATTTTTAAGGATTGACCAGTTTAAAACCATTTTAATCACATCACAGTCTCAATTACCATGCAGAAGCAAAGTGCCATACACATGAAATTAATATACATACATACAGTTTTACAGTAAAATGAGTAATGAGTGCTTTGTGTAAAAATGCTCTACTACATCAACTAGGAAAGTGACTCCACATTAAAATTCTTCTGAAGAATAAGTTAACAGATAGAATAACTGCCATTAAGCTCAAACATTATGGTCAGAAGTTTATCATCATTTAGTAGGGGAGCGCTTTCTGAACCTATTCTTAACCCAAGCTTATCAATTACATCAGTCTTAGATTGGACAAGTGCCGAATACGAATAGAAGTTGTCTGTAAACTCTATATCAAACACCTACTAAAACAGTGCAATCTTAATCAACTAGGAAAAATAACAAACCTGGAAGCAAATTACTTATTTTCAAACATGATGGTAAACCACCAGCCCACATCTAAACATGTACGTGCAAGTTATGTTTGAATAAATTGTTAAAACTTACCAAACAATTGCAAGCGTTAATAACTTATATTTCTAGAATCACAATTTAAATCCTAAAGTAAACAGTTTGAATAATTTTAAAAACAAAACCTCATTCATGCCATATGTTAAGGTTTGCTACACAGACGGATTAAAAGAACCAATAAAGAAGATTTTAGGAAAAGGCAACATTCCCAAAATTGAGCATTTGACCAAGCTAACAAAAGTGAAACTTGGAATATGGTGGTCCCACATGGTTCAGGCTTTCAGATTTTTTGATGTTGTTTGTTAGATTACTAAAAAATATGAAGCAACTAAATTTTGAGCTCAAAATCATTCACTCATTAATGAGAGCAGTTGCAATAAACCAAGACAACACAACAAACAAAACACAGGCAAGATAAGAGATTTAAAAGGGAAAAAACACACACACATGCACACACACAAACTTCAAATGGGAGTCGGTAGTAATACAAAACTCATGACGAGCCTTAGCTCCTTGCCCCCACCAAACACACAAACAAAAAGATAAAATATTTATGGCACAATTATAACACCGGCCCAACTAAAAATTCAAAGGCAGCACAAACCAGAAATCTGTAAAAAGGAAACCAGAATTAAATTGAACTTGACATTAAGCATCTCTGTTCCATGGAATGCTGTGCAATGTGTACTAGTGATATAAAGTATTCAGAAATGAAATCAGTTGACAAAAATGAGGGCCGACTTTGAAGGAGTTAATAGCTAACTGTTAAGTTACAGACATGACTAACAAAAAATTAAGTAATTTTGTTACAAAGAAGAATCCTTTAAGTGTATACTATCACAAAATTTTATTTAACAAACAGGAGATCTTTTGAAAGGCTGGTTAGAAATAAATGAATTGGAACCTCACAAATTAAAACACTACACAAGTGGATGCAATTTTCAATAACCTACTCACAGAACTTATCAGGAAATGGACACTATTCCGGTATACAAAAATAGGAAAAGCATGCAGTTGACACTAAACAGAATTTCAATTTCAAGTTAGATGTTCAACTTTTGTTACATGTTTTTGAATTCTAAAAAAGGCTTTCAAATTTAATTACACTGTCATTGACAAAATACACATTTGCTCAGCTCCCGGAGGGAAACAAGAATTGATAACTAAACCTGTTTATTTATTTTTGTGAGCCATTCTTCGGTTTGTAACTCTACCAAAAAATGTACCACACATAAATGTAACGCCTACAACAATAGCAAACACTAACATAAAGTAACTACTAGATGGAGACGTTTGGACATGGTGATAAAGTTCACCCATAGTTCGAGGCATGCTAATGGCAGCCTCCTGAAAGAAAAAGAAGCAAAATGAAAAGTTGACAAAACCTTACAAGAGGAAAACAAACGAAAGAACGAACAAAGAGAAAACACAAACCTTCTTTGCAAAGCTGAATAGTTCCAGCCTTTGAGATAATTTATCGCGGCAATCTTGTTGAAGAGGGCTTGTAGCAACTGGTAGTTGAAGGGTCAGGCATTGGATCACTGGAATCATTGAAATGCAGGTAAGAAACAATCTAGACTGGACATTTTACCCAAACATTTCAGCAGTGAAGTAACTCACATCTTCCGGCACCTTGTTCTGTATCTGAACAAAATTTCCTTAAATCAAGAGCACATGCCTTGTACAGAAGAGGGTCAACATGAATGTCAACATGGCCCTCGTCAATAAGAGAAAGAATTTCAATGCGACAAGCCTTATCAATAATTTGACCATTGCGTAAAGCGTCTTTCAAACATTCTTCAACAGCACCTTGAGCATACCCCTCAGATTCCTGTTCTGACTTTGTTCCACAAAGCTGCTTTATCTGAAAAAAAAAAAATATTTTTTTGTTAAACACTTTGTTTACATGGTTTGCTTATGTTAACACTAAAACTAGACTGGAACCTTACATCATTTTCACACATGCGGCTGAGAAGAGGATTTAGTTGGTAGTTTAAAGCTGCATCTCGTAAGACTAGTTCCATCTCATTTTCACATTCTTTACGTAGCTTAGCAGCTCGGAACTTGACCTAGAAAAAAAATCGAAAGTGAAGGACTGAAACAGCAGGTTTGTTCAGGCTTTATCAATTCTTACCTTTAAACAATTTATGACTTTGCCATCAAGCTCTTCATCTGGATTAGCTTCAAGAATTACATTTTTACAGAACTTTTTAATGTCTGGTTGACATGATTTTCTCAAATCAGGATTAAGGCGATAATCAGTGTTTTGCTCTATCATTCGATGAATAACTATCTTCCTACAGTCCTCATTAAATACGGCATCATCTCGGTGTTGCTAAAAGTAAAGTAGGTAATTAGTAGACAATCCTCAAATAACATAAAATTATTTGCTCTATTTTTAAGAAGTACCTTGAGACAGTTCAGAATGCGCTGCTCGGGCTCATGGAGGCAGAATGTGTTTATCATGCTTTTGCAATTGATTGTGAGAGAATAATCCACAGAGTTGTAAGCCAGTTCTTGTTCAATTTTAAAAACTGCTTTGTGGCACTCATTATTGAGAAATTTACGATTTATGCGCAAGCATTCTAATAACTGAAAGAAAACAACTCTGTAACTAGTGCTATTTGGAGCATTTGAACAGGATTAAGAGTGACCTGATCTTTCTTACCTTTCCTGCTCCTGATGGTACATTAGAACAAACTTTAGCAATGTCATCAGAACAAGCCTTTTTCAGTTTTGGATCATAGTCTAGGTTCTCCCTCTGTTGAAACAGCTGCGCTTTCAGCTGCTGTCTACATTCCTTTGGAATACTATGACGTGATTCGTTTATGGTATCATTTCGCACAACTTCACTCAAGCAGGAAACAACATCATATCTGGACAAGCATGAGTAAACAAAATAGAAAATTTGGCTTAGTTTGCTTTCATAAAAAAAGAGGGCAAGAGTATAACTTACTTTGTTTTTGATGAAGGGCAGAAGCGTATTACAAAACTCCGACAAGCTTCTTTAAACTTGTAAGTAAAGTGATAATTCTTGATGGAAATTAATTGAAAATGTTCAATAGCAGCACGGCATTTATAGTCTTCTCGAACATCCATTTCATTTTTATGTTTAATCAGGCAATCCATCATATCACCTTCATCTCTTCCACTCCTCCACTCAGCCTACAATGATAAAAGTAAGATTTACATATGAAAATGAAAACCATTCAAATTGGGAAATTTTAAGATGTTTTTCACGTGCTATAGAATTTTACTTGCCTCACAATGCCTTTGCATGATAGCTTTACAAGCAGTAGCAACCACAGGGTTAAGATCTACATGAGCTGCTTGGGTCTCAGTAAAATTACTGATGACTTCACGACAATGGGGACGCAATCTAAGAGAAGAAACAAATTTAGTATTTAAATAAAAAAGTTTCACAGAATTTTTAGAAACACATAGAGGAGACTCACTTTTCAAGGTTATCTTGGAGACATAATGTTTCCTGACCCCTTCCTGTTTTTTCAAAGCAATATGTTGCTAAATCATCTAAGCAAGCTTCTTCTACATCAGGAAGAAGATCTACGCTCATTGCTCTTTGCTGCATGACTCTTCGTACCTCCTCTAAACATTGTTTTTTCAACTGAAACGAGCGTAACACAAAAATTAGTTCATTGGACCAGATAGTAATGTGAATCAAAAATGAATTAATTTCCACCTTTCTTTCTCCTTGATCTTTTTGGCTCTGATAAGCATTGCGGTACAAACATGGCAAAACAAGAGGACCACGTTCAGGGTCCATTTGTCCTGAGTCATCATACCAAACTTTTTTGGCATGACATAAGTGCACCGCATCATCACGGCATTGCTTGTAAAGTTGAGGATCTAGTTTGAAGTCTCGTGCCACAAAGTACTGAATCTGAAGAAGAGCTGATTCACAAGCCTCAGTCATTTGAGGCGTTCCTAGTTTGTCCATCAAACAGTTCATGACCCTGCGAGAAAGTTACAGTTGCAGAAAGTCCGATGATGAAACCAACTACAACACTAAACTTTCAATGAGCTTACCTTGCATCTCCTCCTCGAACTTCCTGACATGCCACATCAACTACTGGTTTACATGCTTCACGTAAAACAGGGTCCACTCTCCAATCTTCTCCGGCATCTACCTCTTTTACCAGACCTTCAAGCTACACAATAAATGAAAATAAACAAAACAGTAAAAACAAATAAACTAATGAATGTAAAAAGTTATAAAATACTAACTGCTCGTTGACACTGTGCAGAAACTTTATCTCGTCTGCGTTTCGGCCTTGCATGTTCCATCAGGCAATGGATTGTCTTGCCTCCAGCTTCAAGGCTGTTACAGTACTTTTTAATATCTTCTGAGCAGCCAGTGACAATTTCAGGTGATAGTCTATAATCTTCCATAAGCATTTTCCTGTGTTCCATCATTTCCATTTGACAATCTCTTGATACTTTGGATCCTTAATAAAATAAGACATTACTGGTTTAAAAGAATTGCTGGCGTAAAAACACGAGACAAAAACAATAATATTTGCATTTTGTTGCACAAACCATTTCGAATGAAGCCTTCAAGGCAAAGGAGTATCTTGGCCAGACGAATGTCCTTGTCATCTGGTGGGGCTCTTCGGCAATGATACATCCGAATATCATCTTTACATGCCCTCACTAACCCACGACTAACTCGATAGTTTTGAGAAATCAATTTTTGATACTTTCCTAATTGGTCTTGACACTAAAAGTAAAGAGGCATCAGAGTTTTTGTTGCTTGGGGTGAAACAATAAAGCAAAGAACAACCTAATTTTACATTCACTTACTGCCTGTGACATGGAACGATCCAGTCGATAATGAAGCAAGCATTTATAGACTTTTCCTGAACCAGGTTGAACATCTGGACAAAATCTCCTCTGGTCATCAGAACAAGCAGCACTAAGTTTACGATCAAGATGAATATTATCTCCTTGAAAGACTGACAAATGTAGAACTTCATGTCTACAAGTGGTAGATAGGTTATCAATGACTCCTTGTAGGCAGTTTAAAGTGCCTTGTTGAGAGGGTAACTAAAACAAAAAAATATTATTATTCCTAGTCTTGTCATTGCTGCATGATAAAGACATTTGAGTAAAACTTTGAACAAACCTCTGAGTCTGTTTGTAGACGGCCACATTTTTGAATCTCAATATCATCTGCACAGTCTGTCATAAACTTTGAAAATACCCGAAAGTCTCCAAATGCAACTCGTTCAACACGTTGGAAAAAAGCTTGACACTGTGAGTTTATATCTTCAATATGGTCCAAAACACAAGACAACAGCTGCCCAGTTTGATCTGTATGGGGACAGTTTAGTTTGGGTACGTCTTGTTTACAGACAGGCTCAGCAGCCTCTTCCAGATTTTTATTATTCATTATCTTCATGACCCGACTGTGAACAACATGCTGACAGTCAATGGAAACTGTGGCCGGAATCTGCAGATCAAAGACGACAGAGTGAGATAGTGAGCGACTCAGTCAATCATAGCAGCAGGTGCCTTCCTCCTCACCTTCGCCAGTAGACACTCCAGAACAGAGAGGTCGTCCGTGTCAGGTCCGAATTTAGGGCAAAGTGACTTCAAGTCTTGGGCGCATTGCGGAGACGCTGCCAGGAGGCCTGTGGGAATGGCACTCCTGACATGCCTAACTAGGGTTAGCGAGCTCGGGGAGGCGACGCCGACGGACTCGCTGGCCGGCCGGGGCTCTTCGCCGTTCCTTTCAAAGAACCAATGCAGCGGCCTCTCAGACCGGCTGCCACTGCTGCTGTCGCTCCAGAAGTCAGCAGTACCGAGTGAGCCACAGACGAAGCAGAAAAGCAAGAGGAGACTGGCCTGGTGCCGACCAGCACCGATACCGGCCATGTTGACACACTGGACAGGCCCTTTGCGTTCACACGAACGTCACGACCGAATGTTTACATGGGGCGACTCGGTGTCATCTGAAAAGGTGCGGTTTCCATACTCCCTAAGACATTTGCTGTCGTATTTATAGTGTAATTGCATTCCAAAACGCAGCTGCAAGAGAACTGACACTTCACGCCACTTCTTCAGCAGCAGAACTTACACTACACCGGTTCAGTCCACAAATTGCAGTAAAAAATATAAAGTTCTTGCGTTTATGAATAAAATTGGACGCAAGTCGTTGTTTAGAGAAAACCTAAGTTGGGGCGAATCAATGATAACAGTAAGTGTTTTGCATTGAAAGAAGATGCAGACAGTACGAAGACAGACAGACACCAGACGACGAAAACAGTACCAACCCCATTGTGAAAAGTTCAGAAAGATCCGAGTCACCTGCGTCCTCGTTTAAATGACCAAAAGGTCCGAACCATCAGGAGAACATGAAAATAAAGTATTTGGAAGAACTCCAAGGAATGGGAGGACAAGGAGAAACTATTACACATATTTATATTTCTATCCACAATGTTGGCTAATTGGCTGGGTAAGGGGAGGGCAGGGGAAGGGGGTGAGGGGATAAACAGGGTCAACATTATGGCTGCAGCCGACGAAGATGATTATTTTGTCGAAGATGAGGATGCTATCAAATTCATAACGTTTCCAGACGAAGTGGAGAAGGCCATTGAACAGGTGTGTTGTCTCAAAAAAATTTTCATGGTGTGTGTTTTGTGTTTGATTCTTCATTTCCACGTAAACAATGTGCCCCATAACCTCTAATAATCTGTCAAAAAAATTGAAAGTTTCCTCGTTTTATTCTTCTACTACTATGATTTACAAAGTTTCAACTGAAGATTTCTTTAACTCATCTCTTTCGTTTTTCCCTCTTTTCTTGATGATTCACAGCTAATGATGTTTATATTTTTGACATATTGTTTTATTTTTTCACTTTTCTCTGTTTTAGGTCTTACCTAGTACTGATCCCCTAGACCAGCCAGACTTCAATGAAGTGGATTATATCAACTCACTTTTCCCGACAGAACAGTCCCTGTCTAGCATTGATGAAGTAGTTAATAACATGCAAATGAAAATTCAATCTATTGACGATGAAATTCGCTCTGTTGTTCGTGGTCAGAGCAATGTGGGACAGGTAATATAACAACAGACATGAGAAAAAAATTAATCTTGATTGATTACATCTCTCTAACTATTAACAATCCTTGTAGGATGGGCGCACTGCCTTGGAAGACGCTCAGCGGGTCATACGACAACTATTTGTGCACATTAAAGATATAAAATGGAAAGCAGAGCAGTCAGAAGAAGTGGTTCGGGAAATTACACGAGACATTAAACAACTTGATACAGCTAAAAGGAATCTAACAGCTGCCATTACAACTTTGAATCACTTGCATATGTTGACAGGTGGTGTTGATTCTCTTCAGTAAGTTTTCTTTGTGTGTCTTGACAAGCTGCTGTTTTATAAACCTTATAGAGTGTAACACATTCACAAGTTCTTCTCCTTTTTTCTAGAACACTGACGGAAAAGCGACAATATGGTGACATTGTTATGCCCCTTCAAGGCATCATGAATGTAATGGAACATTTCAACAATTATATGGATATTCCACAGATTCGAGATCTTGCTGATAGGGTAATTATACTTAGACTGTAAATTTATTCTGTCAATTTTTTTTAAGGGTTAAGCTGATTATGTTCTACAACTCTCCAAATAAAAATGATGTCCCTCACTATCCAGGTTAAACAAATTCAAGTTCAGCTGGCTCAGCAAATAACAATTGACTTTCATGATGCCTTCTCTGGCCCTAATGCAAAACATTCTGCTCCCAGTCGGCAGCTTGCTGATGCCTGTCGTATTGTGTCTATTCTGGATCCTAAAGTAAAGTAAGAGCTTGTTTTTATTATAGAAAACTGAACTACTCGAGGTTTTAATTTCAGTTTCATGTAGCTTTAATTTTGTCATTTCAGGCGGGAGCTTCTGAGATGGTTTATTAGTCTGCAACTGAATGAATACCAGCATCTATTCCAAGAAAATCAAGATACAGCTTGGTTAGATAAAATCGATAAACGTTATGCATGGCTGAAACGACATCTTTTGGAATTAGAGGAGCGTCTAGGCAATATGTTTCCTGCCAGTTGGGAGGTTTCTGAGAGGATAACAGTTGAGTTCTGTAACATTACAAAGTAAGTGATACAATAAAATTGAATTCCCAAGTTTTAAAGAATGTTGCTACTAATTTAAACTTACTCACAGGACTGAACTATCTAAATTGATGGCAAAACGTACTTCTGAATTGGATGTGAAATTACTTCTATATGCTATTCAGAGAACAGCAAATTTTGAAAGCCTCTTGACCAGAAGATTCACTGGTGTTACACTGCAAGAAAACTGTGATGCTCCTCAGCCAACATCAACTCCCCAGGTACAATCTCCTCAAATGTTATTTCAGTTTAAAAGTTTATATGTCTTTCTTACTCTATTTGATAATGTGGCAGGTCCCCACTAACACAAATCCTTTTGAGGAAGGCTCTGATTCTACAAATCCATTCGAAGCAGATTCAGGGGAAGAATCCAAGAACGAGCAGAAACCAAAACCATCACCCTTCCATGGTTTGATTGGAGGCTGCTTTGACGCATATCTCTACATTTATATTGAAAGCTTGGATAGGTATTATTTCTATCAATTGATCTGGCATTGGTCTTGAACCCATGCTATACCGTAGTTAACCACTTCAGCATACAGCATGTTTGTTTCTATGTTTTTTCTGCAGAAATCTAGCTGACTTACTGGAACGCTTTGTTCAAGATTTGAAAGCATCACAAGCTTTGCAGCGCCCATCACCCGCAGCTAATGTACCCCCAGCCGTGGAAACTGATAGTGGCTCAGGTGGTGCTGCAGTACTTCCTTCATGCGCTGACCTCTTTGTATTTTATCGAAAATGTTTGGTTCAGTGCACTCAACTGAGCACTGGTCAGCCAATGCTGGGTCTTGCTCGCACATTCCAAAAGTACTTGAGAGAATATGCACTAAGAATATTACAAAACAGCCTACCAAAGCAAGTATCCCTTATCTGTCCTTGAATTGTTAGAAAATTCTGGTCTTAATTTTAAATATTTTCAGGGTTGGAGGGACTGCTGCCTCTTTAGGGAGTATTACTAGAGATCTTTCTACTGTGAGCATTATACAGAATCTACAGACATTCCAAAGCCTTTTGAAGGAAGGTGATGTATCAAGATACTCTCCCGAAGAACAAGCTCGTGTTTGCTGGTAAGTGCCATTGGATATTGCACTTTGTGGTAAAATATATTTTCCAACTGTGTAAGATAAGTGTACTGGATGTTTCCTTTTCAGTATTCTTACCACAGCTGAATATTGTTTGGAGACAACCCAGCAATTGGAAGAGAAACTTAAGGAGAAGGTAGACCCTGAACTTGCTGACAAAATAAACCTTAGTCAAGAACAAGACATTTTCCATAAGTAAGCTTGCAACCTCTCACATATAGTGTCTTTCATGACAGTTCATGACAATCAAGCCAGTTGTGGCTCTTCAGAAATAAACCATTTTTCTTTTCCTTTCAACAGTGTCATCTCTAACTGCATCCAACTACTTGTGCAAGATTTAGAGCTGTCATGTGAACCAGCCTTAACAGCAATGAGCAAGGTAAGATTCAAGATTGATTGTTGTCATGATGATTTACAAAATAAGATCATCCTGACCTAATTTAGAAAATGCTTCATTCTTCTCTAGATTCAATGGAGCAATATTGAAACAGTTGGAGATCAGAGCAGTTATATTACTGCCATAACATCCCATCTCAAACAGACTGTCCCAGTCGTCAGAAATGAACTTGTTTCTTCTCGAAAATATTTCACACAGTTTTGTGTTAAATTTGCTAAGTATGTTAAACTTATTTTCATGGTACTTTGTGGAGGGTACTTTGTTTGCTTTTTTGTTATTTGCTCTCAAATTTTTTTTACAGTTCTTTTATCCCCAAGTTTATCCAGCATCTTTACAAATGCCGTCCACTAAGCACTGCAGGAGCTGAACAGCTTCTTTTGGATTCACACATACTGAAAAACGTTTTACTAGATCTACCATCAATAGGCTCTCAAGTGAATCGCAAAGCTCCAGCAAGGTAATTTGCTTGGACACTGCAAAAATTAATAATATTAATTTCATTTCAGAATTTTTGATCATGATTTCTCATTTTGTTTGCAGCTATACAAAAGTTGTAGTGAAGGGAATGACAAAAGCAGAAATGGTTCTGAAAGTAGTGATGTCAGCAAATGAAAATGTTCGCACATTTGTTGAACAGTTTAGAAAGCTCCTTGCTGACTCTGATTTACAAGATTTGCAAAGAGTGCTTGAAATGAAGGTAAAAGTTAATTTTTTTTTGGAGGACTCTTTACTCTTAACAGTTTTAACAATGTGCTCCTGTTATCTTATATCTCTTCTTTCAGGGAATACGTGGGAAGGATCAAAGCCATTATATTGAAATGTTCCGCAATTTATCTGCAGCATCTAGTCGAAATGCAAATGTCACTTGAAGGATTTCCCAAACTTGGGAAAATATTTTAAATGTAATATCCAAATAATATGCAAGTGTTTTCTTTAACGGATATTTTATATGAATGAAATGGATGTGTTAATATATGCCTGAAGAAACTTTAAATTTCATATCTGTTTGTCATTTAATAAACTGTGATTTCTGACTTCCACATTATATAGTATGAGGTAAGAGGGAGCCTAGATCTGAACACAAATGCCTATGTTGAGTCTCTTGAAATTGATGGGAGTAACTTGTTTTGTCATAAGCGGTGTGTACTTAGTTGCTCTAAATTTTTAAAGTAGGGAAATGAGGTTTTACTCACTTTTTTTTCCCACAATGGTTTGTTATGCAATCTGTGATAAACAACTTGATCAATCAACCATACAACCTCTCTCTTTGCATCATGCAGAGCTCTGCATTAGAAACAATAAGTAAAACAATGTCTGAGTTGTCTTAGTGGTGGACTGATCAGGATTGATAATTTGCAAAGCAATCCTTTGGTGCCTTGAATGTTTGTCCTACCTATAGGTTCCATGTTATACAATAAGTCTGATCATTTAATTGAAAGAATAGGGAGAGCTTTGTTTGACAACAACTTTAATATGAAAAGGTACTAAAGCTTACAAAATCTTACAGAGCAAAAAAAGCAATGGAAGAAAGTAAACACAATACAAATATTTCATTGTTTCATTTATTACCCTATGTGCTTGCTGCTTTGATTCAAGTCACAATTTTTCTTGAAACAGTGTAATTCACAAGAAATTGTTAATCATTTCACACTTCACACATTTTAATTTAATTCATGGTATTACATCAAAAATTTCAAATAGTATGATCTAGATTAGCATACCGGTATATTTTTCTGAAATGAAACATTGAAAAAGACCTCCAAAACAGCAAATTTCACTGAATAAATGAAATTTAATATAGTTCAAAGGAACAAGGAGTTATGATATCAAAACCTATGCAGCCTGCACTAGCAAATTGTGTCATTTATTCAGACCTTCTAGAACACATGCCAATACAACATAAAGGAATAATGAAGTCTGTACTGGACACACATAATTTTCCAGGAAGCCTCACAGTGTGAATTATTTACATGCATAGTAAAAAGGACATCACACATGCACTAAATTAGGCTCCCCAGACAGTCTTTGATTCTTCTGATGATGATAACACCAGGAAGTCCAAGTGACCACAGTTTAAGTTTTCCCATCAAACTACAGCATGCACTTGTGTGTTTTGCTGTCACATATCAAAATTGCAATGACTGGATCCCCTTCAGCTTACTTCAATTGTTAGCTACCTCTCGTAAGCGTTCCTATTATATACATTTTTTGTACAGAAAATTGGTGTTATTTCCTACAGGTTTACAGTGAGTGCTCACTGTATTTGCCATACTGATACATCAGTCATCACACAGACCTACAAAGATTGTTCCATTGAAACAGCTGCTAATTGGAAAAATAGCAAACTGCGAGTTCAAAACTGGTATATTGATAGTCCAAATCAAAATGGTGAACTATGGAAATTGAAGTACAACCAAAAGAAAAAGAGTAGCCGCACCATTGAAAAAAAGGAAAGAAACAAACTTTATTGAAGGAATTGTAGAAACACATAAAAAAACAGTTTTAAAAAAATGCTCTGACAGATACCCACTTTCAATTCTCAGATGAGAATGAATATCAAAAATGCAACAAGAGCAATTTAGTCTTGCTTAGTCTTGTTGTGACAGTGCATTTGGTGAACAGATGACTAAATTTAAGCTTAAATACCCAAGATTAAAATGTATCAGATTTATTAAATACCCGCAAAATTAATTTGGAATAGATGTCAGATTAGGCACTTGGGATGAGTAGTAAGTTCAACTAACTTCCAAACACCCATCAGGACTTGAAAGAATCACATGGGTTCCGGCTCCTCATGATTGGACATCTCAAACACTGCCATACCCCAGCCACATAAGGTTACAATACAGGTTGAAACAATTTTGAAGAAAGTAACTTCTGAATATAAAGTAGTACAGGCACATGCCGATGCAATTCAGACCATTTGGTTGACAAAATAAATTACAAAACGGAAAACCGGGGCTCTAGACAAAAGATGGGCCTGGCATTGCAGCATATGAGCATTTCCCCTGAGATCTGGCCGGAAGCAGCTCCCTCCTTAAATTAAAAGAGAAATAAAGAAAAATTAAAAATAAATACCTAGAGCAATAACACAAAAGAAAATAAACAAAACGTGATAAAGGAACATTGTGTCTCTTGAGATATGCATTTGACCAATCAAGCATCAAACATTATTGCTTCCATCTACTGAAGGTCATTGACCTATCACATTTGTTTAGATTAGAACTCCCACATCTGTTGTAGTTCAAGTCAATCTGCGCATTATTGCTAATTCAATAGATGAAGAGCCGTCCAGGTTATACATTTTAAAAAATTTCAGCCTCAATACTTTGTCTCCCAGTTGCTAAAATCACCTCATTTCCTTCTGTGTAGAATACAGCTTTGAAATATATTTAGTCCAGACAAAGGTGTCTTACCTGGCATTAAATATTTTTTCCAAACCACAGCCCTTCTTACATACACTCTTCTTGACTTCTCCTGACATTTCTTGCAACTTTCCTTTTAAATTCAGCATAGTTTTCCCTCCACTCTTTCTGCAGGACATAAAAGAATCCAATGAAACCACAGAAAAAAATGGAATAATAATAAAATATGCGCAGGAGGGAATTGATTTGACATACCGCTGCATCTACATTAGCGGGGCTTTCATCATTGGGATCCGCCAACATAGAGATGACACTGATAAGGATAGTTTCAACTGTGTGCACTGGAAGCCATCTCTCTGATGCTTTTTCATAACCCCACTTATCATCACCAGGTTCATGTAGAATAGAAATACACACATCTCCATTTTTCTCAACTAAAAATGAAATTAGAAGGTAAAAATTAATGAAAATGCATATTTAATGTGACACAAAGATCAACAACCATATTAAATTGTTCTATTGATAGACAAATAAAACTTACTATTAGGGTGCCATATTTCTGTCATAAATTTCATTCTAGGTGGTCGCAATGGGTACTCTTTAGGGAAGTGAAGGTGGGCTTTGAAAAACCCTCCCTCGCTGAAAGGAAGCACAAGTTGTTAGATCAATGTTAATTCACAAAATAAAGTAAAAACTAATTTCGATTAAAAGCATATTGGTGGTAAAGGAGTAACTTACTATAGTGTGTCGGGTGGACCAATGATGAGTACCTCCCATCTGTATATGTCATTGTCATCTATCAAGCCAGCCGAAAACCCTTCTACAGGGTTCTTGTTTAGCTCTGAAAGCAAAAGAAGAAGAAAAAGAATTAATGTAAGACAAACAGCAACCGTTTATTGAAGTTTGAGTGGAATGCAGCTACAAATGCAATGATGCCAAAAATAGAACCAAGAGTATAGAACTTCAAGGTCTAGATCCCAGGAAGACATAACAGCTCATCACAAGGAGCCTTGAAAATGCAACCTTGAAAAAAAGAGTGGGGAAACCAGCCATGAAGATAGCTCAATGAATTCGACTACCAAACATTAATCAAAGGGAAAGTGCTCAAATATTTTGATCACACAAAAGTGGATCAAACCTCCATATGAATATAGTACACAGCTTTACTACAGAACAGCTCTTTAACAGATTGACACTGGCAACATAACCTAATTTTCTTCGTCATGGCATACTCGTTTGACGTGCGAGTGTTTGATATAGAGGGCTAACAGAACAAGAGCGCGGCTACCAAATAATTGATATTTGTCATAAAGAATGCCCCAGTATGGTTGCTAAACGGTGTCCGTTGGGACCATTAATTTGGGACTGCCAACCTAAGTATCCGATTCATAGGGCAAGCTTCGATCGGCTCCCCGCGCGAGACGCGTCAAGTGTGCTGACAGCAAATTGAATCGTACCGTTGACATTCTTTACGTTCTACACGACACATCGCCCAGCGGCTGCATGCGCCGCGCCAGGCAATCGCACCCGAGACCTCATGTCCCCAAACAAAGATAGGTGCCCGCCACCATAACCCCACTCGAAAACGCCATAGTCAAATCTTTCACTGAGGGTACATTTTAGTAGGCCTTTCTGTCAGCAATCCACCAATTGCAAATTAAGTGGTAATTGATGGGAACTTGGAATTTGAGGCACAAACTCAAGTTAGAAAGCGTGAATCTCAAGGTAACCAGGCCTGAGGTAAGCTAACTTGAGACAATAAAAGTAGGACTAAGTATATAATGAACCACACTGATGCAGTCATTAGCAATACCTGCGAGTTGTTTCCGTAATAAAAGTGCGGACTGTGGCTCTGACATGAATATAGAAATACTTTAAATTTTTACAGAACAAAACAAATCGCTCTCTCCGAAAACGGCTATGGTTGATGGAGCCGCTTTGCGCATGCGCCAACTTGAACGCGACTTCCTGACCGGAAGTATGAGAATTTTAACGCAACGTTCCGTCGACACTAGCGAACTCTACAAGTGGCGGGAAATTCGCTGGTCGGCGCGGCGGGCTGGGCTCGTGAGTCGTTGCGATGCGATGGGGAAGGCGACGGTAAAGCGAAACCCTGCGCTTTCCCGCGACCGCTAAAGAAGGCAGGCGAGGGGCGAAGGACCCCAAGGCGACGTGCTTCCAAGTCATGCGCACTTTATAAGTTACACTTCGCAACGAGGCATGTAACAGAGAACTTTGAGTGAGGAATGAAACGCCCCGTCAGTCAACTTACAACCGAAAGGAATTCTCAGATGAACGAAATTCGTCTTGAGCGAGTCAGATTGTGACGTATCGCTTGCGGATCTTGATAACCACAGCACAGGCAGTGCCCGCATTTATCAAAGGTCGAAGCGCGTTGTTCTAACGCGAATGCGGCCAGCACGTGCGTGACGCGATGCGGTGCGAAGCCAAGCCACGCACAGAGGCAATATTTAATTGTTTTCTCAGATGGTCGCGGGATGGGGCTCCGCCTCGCCCTCACCACACAGCAGACTGATTCCGAGAGTCGTTTTCGTCGCTCTGTCTCTCTTACACTCATGGGGCGTCCCCGTTTCGGACCGAGGAAGACAGAGCGACGAAAACGACTCTCGAAACCAGTCGACTGCCGGCCTGCGACGCTGTGGGACGCGTCGCCTCGCCTCGCCCCGCCGCGTCTTCTCTGTTTATACAACGGGAGTTCTGCAATAACTGCCCAGTGATGACAGCGTAATGCGTATAGACGTGGCGCGCGCGTGTGTGTGTGGCTGTGCGTGTGTGCGTGTGTCGAGGGGGCGGGGGGCGGGGGGGGGGGGGCGGATCGCGCGCGGACCTGCGGGCGGACAGGCGGGCAGGCGGGCCGCCAGACGGGCAACACGACGAGATGGGGGTGGAAGCAAAGAGAGAAAGAGAGGTTGCCGTCGACAGACATATTGATGGCCACCACGGAAAGTTGCTCTATCTCCCTCGAAAGAAGGGAAGCAGGCGATGCAGGCGCAGCAGCAGGCCGCGGGCCGAGGCCGAAGGAAGAAGCCGAGGCCGCCACACCGGAAGGGGAGGGAAGCCGCGCGGGATTTTTAACGGGGATGCGTTTTACAACGCGCGTCCTTCCGGCTGCTGCGCTGTGCAGACTGATGAGTCGTTTTCGTCGCTGTCTCTCTCGCACCTATGCGGGACGCCTTATGAGTGCGAGAGAGACAGAGCGACGAAACCGACTCTCGGAATCAGTCTGCTGTGCGGTGTGGGGGTTGATGGCACACTTGGCATTAGTCATCCGGCGGGGGATCTGGCTCTGGCGGGGCCGTATGGCGCGGGCGGCGAGGTTGCGCGCGCGTGCTGCTTGCAAGTGCTGCCCGCATCTGCGCCAAAGGAAGGGAAGGCAACGCGTGGTGCCGTGCCGCCTTGGGCGTGCGTCGCGGCGCAGCTGCCCTAAAAGGAAGGCGTGTATCACATCGGCGGGTTATCTTCGCGGAGGCCCCGCCGCGGGGGCAAACAGCAGACTGATTCCGAGAGTCTTCGTCGTGTTGTCTCTCTCTCTCTCTCGCACCTACACGGTTCGCCCCGCGAGTGCGAGAGAGACAGAGCGACGAAAACGACTCTGGGAATCAGCCCGCAGCGAGAAACAGCGTGAGGGCACCGTGCCGAGCTAGCCGAAGCTAGCCGAGCCGCCTTCTCACTCCCTCAGGGGCCCGCCCTGCCACACCGCGGCAGCTCATTTCGGATAATTTCGAAAATACGCGGCGTCGCCGTTCATCACGGCGCCGGCGGCGCCGACGGAGCGCTGTCGTCGTCGTCTCGGGGGCCATGGAGGGGCGGCGGACGATTTGTCTCCGAGCAGCGCGGCTATCGTCGACTTCCCCGGCGCCGCCACGAACCCGCTGCTTTATGAGTTAACCCGGACCTCGCCGCGGACGCCTGCGGTGTAGGCAGCCCGTCCAGCAGGCCGGCGGCCTCGAGCGCCTGCCGCGCGCCGGGTAGGCAACCCAACCGGCAGGAGGCGCGGTGGCGGTCTTAATCGCAAGGAGTTGCCTTTGTGCACCTTGGCGCGGCGAAACAGCCACCACAGAGGGCCAGAAGACCGGTGGGGGCGGCCAAAACTCTAGACGCGTTTTGAGCTCCAGTGTCGCTAAATGGGACTCGAACCGAACGTGTGACCCCACCAATAGATTGCTCTCCGAACGAGGAATCCATTGGTGAGGTCACACGTTCGGTTCGAGTCCCATTTAGCGACTCTGGAGCTCAAAACACGTCTAGAGTTTTGGCCGCCTCCACCGGTCTTTCTGGCCCACTGTGCCACGCTGAGTCCGAACGGCGAGGCAAACCGAGCAACAGGTGGACCGCGCGGCGCGCCGCGGCGATCGGCCAATCGGACTGAGGAAGAGGGAGTCACTCACGACTTGGCCGAGCGCATTTTTTGGCGCGGAGCGTGAACCGCGTGAACCTGGCAGGAAGCGTCTGGCCCAAGTGGCGCCGGCAGTGCGGAGCGGTGCGGAGCTATTCCGGCAACAATCAAAGTGAACCGAGGCAACCGAGCGGACAGGGCTGCGACTGCGGGGCCCACGAGGGGCGCGGGCGCGGCACTGCCAGGGCACTGCCAGGGCACTGCGAGGCACGGCCACGGGGGCTTCGTCCTGCCCCGTCCTGGCCGGGCTGGTCCTCGCCGTCGCACAGTTGCCACTCGGCGCGCTCGCGATGACGGACTAACGGCCGCGGGGCCGCGGGGGCCTCCCTTTGGGGCCGCACGGCGGTGCCCCGCCCCGCCGCCTCGCCGGCCGGCTGCATTGCGGCGGCCCGATTTCGAACAGTGCTCCTTCGCCCTGCCTCTCTCGCACCCACGGGGAGCGCCGCCTCGTGAGTGGCGGAGAGAGACGGAGCGACGGAAGCCCCGTTCGGAATCAGCGGTGCGAGCCATTCAGTGAGAATGTGGCGTTTGCCCAAGAGAGGCACTTGCGTGAGAAAGTCGTTCCCCCGGGCCGAACCGCATCGGGGCGACTGTTTCGGTCGCTTCGGAAACGAACACACTCGCGCGCTGCGCGCTGGATTCTCTAATTAATTCGTTCCTTGATGAGGACCAGGATCCCGAGCGGATGGCCACCGAGGCGCGTCAGCGCGGGCTGTCGTGGCGACGGACACCCAGCCACCCGCGAAGACCGCCATCTACTGGCCCGCCGCGCCCCGCCCCGCCACGCCACGCCACGCCACGCCACGCCACGCCACGCCACGCCGCTCTCCTAATGACTCGCTGTTGTGCACGCGTGTTTCCGACGCCGCCGTGCCGTGCCGTGCCGTGCCACGCTCGCGCGGACGACAGGCGCACTGCTGGCTGTTCTGCGCGCTGACTCCGAAAATTGCGCGTTTCGTCGATCTGTCTCTCTTGCGCTCAAGCGACGCCCGACGCCCCGTAGGCGTGCGAGAGAGACAGTGCAACAAAGCCCATAAAATTCCGCGTGAGACTGCAAGCACCGCCACCCTTCCGCCGGACAGGGACGACGTCGCTAAACAGGCCTCGAACCGAGCGTGTGACCCCATCAATGGATTCCTCGTTCGGAGAGCTATCCATTGGTGGGGTCACACGTTCGGTTCGAGTACCATTTAGCGACTCTGGAGCTCTAAACACGTCTAGAGTTTTGGCCGCCTCCACCGGTCTTCTGGCCGACTGTGGAACGGCGCCGTGGCCGTTGTCTCTCGGCCGCGTGCCTCGCGCGCGCGAAGGCGCCGCCGGTGGTCGGCCGGGCGTCGCCGTCGAGCCCGTCCCGGCCGTCCTGGCGCCACAAAGAGTGTAAACAAATGAAAGCAGTTATCATTTCGACGCGACGCTTTACCCCTTCCTTGGGGGCAGGGCAGGGCGGCCCTGGTAACGCCTCAGCACCGCGCTGGCACCGCCCCGCGTCGCGTCGCCAATGTGCGCCGCGGCCACGCCAGGCCAAGCACGCCGTCGGCGCGCCGTGGGCACGGTCGAGGCCCCCTCGCGGGCTGGCGCGGGACCGTGGGGGGGAGGACTAGGGAGGACCTCTGGGCCCGCGCAGCCAATCGCGGCGCGGCACCCACCCTTCCCGCCCCTCCCCGCCCCGCCCCGCCCCGCCCTGGCCCATCCTCGGCCGCGGCGACCGCGATGTGTTTACCCGCCGGGATGCATTGCTTCTGGCGGACGCACGGACGGCCGGGCCGCCGGGCCTGTCCGCCATTGTGCCTTCCCCGACCAGCCCGTCGTGGGAGGCGTCTGGAGGTCTGGAGCCTCCACTCAGCGACTCGCTCACAAACACTCAAACACCGCGAGCTTTGCCTGCAGACGCTATCTTTGTGTTTGGATACAAAAATTGAAAGAAATTCACTCCACTTTTTAGAAAGTGAAGCCTGCGGCCTTTACATGCAGTTCCTATACGAGAGCGGGCTTATTGCCGCGCGCCATGCACGACATGCGTTTGGCAGAAAAGAGTGACAAAGACAGAGCCTATTTTAAGTGCACCGCGGAGACTGTCTGTGTAAGTGTCAGTGTGCAGGAGTGTGTGTGTGTGTGTGTGTTTTGGTGTGTGTGTGTGTGTGTGTTGTGTATGTGTGTGTGTGTGTGTGTGTGTGTGTGTGTGTGTGTGTGTGTGTGTGTGTGTGTGTGTGTGTGTGTGTGTCGGAGTGTCGGTACTGACGAGTGATGGTCGCTGACAGATCGCGCATCGCGACCCTGAAGAGGGAGGAGGAGGCTGAGCGCCCTGGCCGTCGTGGCCGTCGTGGCCGTCGTCGTCGTCGTGGCCGCCTTGTCCGTCGGTGATGGTGGGGATTCCTCTTCGGAAATGGGCGTCATCCCCAGTCAACGGCGAATCAAAGATACGGACGATTTTCTTTCTCGATTCCGATCATCATCCACCATCCTTACTAGCTCCGCTGTGCTCAATTTGTCGCAAGAACCACCCCTGCCGACCCCCCATGCACACACACGCCCGCGGCGGACGACCCCCCGGAGCAGCAGATGGGAAAAAACAGCCACCCGCCAGCCGAAAAAAAAAACAACACAAATAACAGCAGAAAAAGAGAACACGTCAGGGGGAGCGATGACTTTTACTATTCGTCTGAAAAAGGAAATAGCAGGCACACTCACACATGCACCTAACTGAGGTGCTCCGGGATGTGTGTGTGTGTTTGTGTCTGTGTGCGCACGTGTGTGTATGTGTGAGTGTGTTAGAGAGAGAAGGGGGCAGTTTTAGAGGCAGGAGATCATTTACAAACAGAGTGGCCTGGCTCGAGTGAGAGGAGGGGGATGGGGGCTGTGGGGGCGCTAGCAGGGCGCCCGGCGGGGCCCCGGTGGGGTCCTGGTGGTGGGGGAGGAGGGGCCGGAAGGGGGGACCGGGGGGGGGGGGGGCGGGGACCGGCTAGGCGTGCGAAGAATGAGCCGGGGCATTGCATCTCTCAGTTGCCTCCCCGACGACCCCCAGGCCAAACCCAGGCCGTGCCCGCCAGGCCGCCAGGCCGCGCCCGCCCCTCTTCCCGGCCACCTCGGCGACGAGGACGAGGGTCCATCGCGGTCCGCGCCGCGCTCCGCTCGCTCCGCGCCCCGCCCGAGACCCCCGTGCCGCGAGCCGTCGAGTGAAGTGCGCCGGGCTGCGCCGGGCGAGGTGCCGCGAACTGAGGCCCCGTCGTGATACCGCCCGCCACGTATCAGTGACACGGTGTAAGTGTGCGTTCGTGTGAGTGTGTGTGTCTGTGTGTGTGTGTGTCCGTTGAGCGCACCGCGGCGGTTCGGCGAGGCGCGGCGAGGACAGACATACAAGGTTGGCGGTGGCCTTTACGTCACCCCGGGGTGCGAAATACGATGACGATCGGGTCAGCGCCAGCGTGCGCCAGCGCGGGCCGACCGGGCGACAACCATCCGGTGGTGACAGTGGCGCGCTCACATTGTGTCGACTGGGCGTTCGGCGTGCCAAGTCCGCGGATGAATTGATTTGTCGGCCGCTCTTCGCACCTTGCGCGGTCCCGCGCGGCCCCTGCCCCCCCCCCCGCCCCCCCGTCGCCGCCCCCCGTCGCCGCCCCCCGCGGCCAGGCCGACGACGGCCACCCTAATGGAGGCCCTGTTCCGCCCCGCCTCGGTGCAGTGCCTGCGCGTCGATACGAGACGGACTCGCACCGGGTTGCCCCTCGCGGTTCGACGGCGTCCTCCACGCCGCGCCCGTGTCCGTCGACAGGCCCGCCGTCGTCGCCCCGCACAGGATGATCCATCCCTCATATTCAAACGGCGCCGGCCGCGCCGCGCAAATAGCTTTTCGGCCTCGTCAAAAAAATCATAAAACTGCAGCCGCGCCGCGGCACTGCCACCATTCATCTCCACGACGGCTCCATGCTGCAACTAGAGCGCCCCCGAGTACCGCCCCGCCGGCTCACTCCTCGCCCCGCACGCCCACGCACCCCAGTGTGGTGGACCGGGGCCGGTCCGCCGTCCGGACCGCCGCGGCAGTTGTCGGCATCCTGGGCCGCAACGACTTCGAGTCCACCCAGCGACCCTCGCCGTCAACGGTTCACCGATTCGCTTCATTTCTATCCATTCTGTTCGCAGGCGGACTGCGCCACTGTGCGCTACAGCGGTGGACTTCCCTCCGACAGCGCCCCGCACTCCGCGAGGATTACTGCAGCCACCAAAGTGCGTCAAGCAGTGTGCGAACAAAGTGCCGCGTCAACAACCACAACCACAACAACAACAAGTGCTTCTAGTGATATAGTGAAAAGTGTGACGGTTGTGAAGCCTGCGAGTTGAATCTTTGAACGGTGACGGTGTAGACGGCGGCGCGGGGGATGGCGCGGTGAGACGATGCAGCAGCACTACCCCGCGTCCGAGTCTCCGTCCCTCGGGTCCCTCGGGTCCCTCGCCCCGGGCCTGGGCCTGGGCCCCGGCGCCAGCGGAGTTCCGGGCGCCGCGAACGCCGCGACCACTGCCGCCGCGGGCGCGGGGGCGCAGGACTGCTGCTTCTCGGACTGGCTGCCCAACTTCACGTCGCCCATGAAAGAAATGGAAGGTGAGTCGCGATGCGCCTTTTGCTTTTCGCGGCCGTGGCAAAGAGTCCATTCCCAAGCGATAAGTCATGGGTTCGAATCCGCACTATTTACGGCCGGATTGTTTTGTTCCTTCAAAGTGAATTTCTGTAGATATTTGATTGAATGTTAATGAAGAATTTCTTGGGTTTAAAGGCGCCAGCTTCAGTTGAAGGATGTAAATTTCGTTGAATGAATGCAACTTTTTTCTGGGTGTGCGCGAGACTTTTAAGTGACTAGTACAAAAATGAGACTCCGGTCCGTTCCTCGGGTCTCTGCATTACTGACAATTTCCTCACGAAGCATTACATCGGATTGGTCGGTTTAATTCCGGCGAAACATTGCCCTAAAATGGCCAAACATGCCGATAAAATAGTTTTCAGGTGACCGGGGAATTTTTCATCCCCGCCGTCAAATGGCATTGCTCCGCACGTAAAACCATCACGCGGGTACAATCACCACTTTCTCCCCCAAAAGTCGGCGTCGCGTCGCATCGAGTCCAACGTGCGGGCTCCTTACAACGGCGGCATAGACAAGTTCGTTGCGTCGCCCTCAGCATTTTCGCTTTGCTTCGGAATGCAGACTCAGCGGGACGAGGCGCGAACCGCCAAGTCGCGGGCCGTCGCGTTGCGTCTCGCGGCGGTCGCGGCGGCCGAGTGAATTCACAGAGGTTCGCAAGACTGGACGGGTAGGCAACCCTTTCGGGGTTGGCGCGTGCCTCTCAGGAGGGCGCGAGCTACAGATATAGCCAAAGCCCGCACGATGCACCAGTGCACTGAAAAACCAAACGTGGTCTAGACCGCACCAACTGGTGTGGTCAAATGGGTGCCATTTTAACCACATCAGTTGGTGTACGTTTGGTGCGTTTGGTGTGGTCCAGACCACACCAAACGTGGTCTAGACCGCACCAAACGTGGCCAAACGTGGTCTAGACCACACCAACTGGTGTGGTCAAAGGGGTCCATTTTACCACACAGTGGTGACGTTTGGTGTTTGGTGTGTCGACCAAAAGGGTTGAACCACCCAACTGATGTGGTCAAAATGGCACCCATCTGACCACACCAGTGGAGCGGTCTGGACCACGTTTGGTTTTTCAGTGTGTCGACGACAGGGTTGGCAACCTGAGCGTCTCGATAGCGAAGCTTTCCCCTGAGGTTGGCAACCCTTTCGACACTGTAGTAGAGCAGAGAGAGGAGTTCGCCTCCTTCTCTCTTTCCCTCTGAATACGGATCTGAATGCTACTCTCGAAGTGCTCCGCCGCTGAGTGGCGGCCGCGGACGGAGTGGCCGGCGTTGGCGCGAGGCGCGACACCGCGCCGCGTGTTTAGCCTCATAGAAAAAGCTCGCCGTTAGGCCCGGGCCAACCGGGGCCAACCCAAATAAACACAAAGTGTGAGAAATGAGGATGGCTGAACGCCTGAGCCCGGCCGCCAGGCAGGCAGGCAGCCACGCCGGCAGCAAGTCCGGCACGATCGGCCAGCCAGCACGCAGCACAGTGGGCCAGAAGACCGGCGGAGGCGGCCAAAATTCTAGACGCGTTTTGAGCTCCAGAGTCGCTAAATGGGACTCGAACCGACCGTGTGACCCCATCAATGGATTGCTCTCCGGACGAGGAATCCATTGGTGGGGTCACACGTTCGGTTCGAGTCCTGTTTAGCGACTCTGGAGCTCAAAACGCGTCTAGAATTTTGGCCGCCTCCGCCGGTTTCTGGCCCACTGTGCGCAGGTCTTCCCCAGGCCTTCCTCAGGCCTTCCGCCGGCTTTCTGCAGGCTTGCCGCAGGCCCCGCCACTGTGTTTGTGTTATTGTTTGCCGGCGGGGGGCCATTAATCTCATAAGGGCACGGCGGGCCGAATTTACTGCAAAGCGGTTCAGTTCGGCTGGTGGTTGGCTGGCCGCGTCGACCGCAGGCTTGGCTTGGCGCGAGCTTGGCGCAGGCACACTGGCAGGGCGCACGCGGAAGCGCGGCACGCCGCCACACTGTTGCCGGGGGTACCGGCACTATCAAAAGTGTTGCCGAGAGTGCAGGCAAAGAAGTAAGAAGGAGAAGCCTGTCACGTTCGTTAGACCATGACGTCACATCTGTTCGAAAGTGAACGTCACGTTCGTTTGAACGGTGGTTCAACGTTTGAACGAATGTGACACGAACGTGACACGACCCAAATTGCAACGAGCGTGACGTCACAATAGTTGGAAAACATTGAAAGCAGCTCACTAAGTAACAGTGGGAGGCTCATGCTTGGCAGTCCGTTCAAAAAGTAACTTGCGTCTTTCGTTGAGGCGGTTCCAAAAAAAATGTGTCTCATGATTGTGACAATTCTGAGAGGTGAAATCAGAAAACCGGATGTGTCCGGGAACACGTGTTCATGGTCGTGAATGCCTGCTGGGCCGGCGCACTGGCACAATGAAAGTCACGAGCAGCTCAGGCAGACTGTCGCTGGAATCGACTCGAGTATTTGCTCTGGGTGTTCCTCAAGACTTACTGCATCGTTGGGGCCAAGGGGGAAATCACTTGTGTAATGGTCGGTCGAAGGGTCTGTAATAGCCCTGTAATGGCCCTGTAATGTGTAATACCTATGAAATGGGGTAATATTGGTGTAATGCCTGTAATGTCCTGTAATGCCTGTATAGGTGTGTAATAGGTGTAATATGTGGAAGAAAAAAAACAAAAAATGACTAAAACATTCGCAAAAGTCAGCGAAAAAGTTTTTGGCTGCAATAAAAGTAATCCCCCAACGTCCGGATCGAGCCGAAAGTGGCATGTAGGGTGTGGGTGTGGGGGGGGGGGGGGGGGGGGGTTCTTGGGGGGGCACGCGAGGGGCTAAATCTGTAAGGAGGGGTAGTCAAAACCCCTAATCTGGTTTAATATGTACAAGCTTTTAATTGATTGGAAAGAAAAAGGTTCCTGAGGCCAAAAGACATACTTGTCAAATGATATTTCGGCCAAGATTCAAATTCCCAATTTTTTCATGGAAAATAAATTGATGCAAGGGCTGAATTTTATCAGGACGGGTTGTTGAGAACCGTACTGCAAAATGATAGTACAACCACTTCCAAAAGAATCCGACCACCCGGCCCGGCGATACCCCGCGCGCCCAGACGGCTACCTCCAGCGGCTACCGGGGCGCGGCGGGGTAGCGCCGGTCGGCCGCGGCGGTTTGATTCTTTTACAAGCGGTATTAAAGGTATGGGGGGGGGGGGAATGAAAAATCCCCCGACAGCTAACAACAGCGACCAGCTGAGGTGCCACTGCTTTTACTACCTAGCGATACCCTGTCCCCCGGAACAAAATAGCCCCTCTGGAAGCTGAAACCTATTTCCAAGGCCGTCCCAGCAGCGTAATAGCCTTGTAATAGTAGTGTAAAAGCTGTAATTTACAGGTAATTCCTGTGCAATTGCGTAATAGGTGCGTAATGGACGTAATGATTGTAAATTTCTGTAATTGATGTAATTGCTGTAATTTCCTGTAATGGTACTGTAATAGCAGAAATATCGTGTACTATCTGTAATTAGCGTAATAGGTGTAATTATCTGTAATGATTCAAAATGTAATAGTCGGTCGACCATTTTCATGAGTGATTTCCCCCTTGGTTGGGGCAAACACCGGTAGGCAGCTGCAGACTCATTCCGAGAGTCGTCTTCGTCGCTCTGCCTCTCTCGCCCTACTGCGAGACGCCCCGTGAGTGCGAGAGAGACAGAGCGGCGAATCCGACCCTCGGAATGAGGCTGCTGCTGGGCCATGGCTGGGCTGCTCGGGGCTGTTTGTAAACGGCGTGACGGTGATTAAGCCACAGCGTAACCCCGATCGTGACCCGCGTAACCTAACGCTCTCCCGGCTGCCGCGTGAAGCACCGTGACGCCTGCCGGGTAGGCAACATCGGCGCCCGCGATGCACCGGCGTCGAACGCGTTGCCTACCTCAGCCTGCCCGGTAGCAACGCGCTTCATTCGCGTGGGCCATTGTTGCCTACCTCGCCAATGCCAGGCGCGCCTTGGCGCTGATAGGCAGCCACTCGACAGTGCGCACGATACTTCTCTCTCTCTCTCTCTCTCTCTCTCTCTCTCTCTCTCTCTCTCTCTCCTCTCTCTCTCTCTCTCTCCCCTCTTCTCTCTCACTCTTTTCTCTCTCTTTTCTCTCTCTCTCTCTCTCTCTCTCTCTCTCTCTCTCTCTCTCTCTCTCTCTCTCTCTCTCACTCTCTCTCTCTCTCTCTCTCTCTCTGACCCACACGGGTCATCGCATGAGAGCGAGAAAGAGAGAGAGCGGCGTCGCCTTGCGGGACGAAGGGCTGAGCGCGCAGGGCGATGCGTCAGGGCGAGGCAAGGCGTCACGGAGTCCCGGCCAACAAAACGCCTTGCTAATTGGGATCTGCCTTGAAACGCATCGCAAGCCGAGCCCTTCCCTTCCCTCGGCCCTTCCCTTCCCTGCGTTCGCCTCGCTCGAAATAAAAGGCGTCACCTCGCTCGTTTGCTGCGCCGTCGGCCCACCGTCGGCCTTCCCGGCGCGGCATGCCTTCTCTTCCCTTCCCGGCTGGCAGCCCCGGCGCCACCGCCACCACCACCGCCACCTCGCCGGCCCGTGCCGTGCGCCGCGGGGCTGTCCGTGTCCACGCCTGGCTGCTTCCGCCTCCACCTTGCAGTAGTACGCGACGCTCATGTCAGTGTTCAATGCGTGCTCCCCGCCTCCTCGATGAGCGTCGTGTTTCGATGCAAACGTCCCGGTCTGGTTTCGGCGCCGCGCTCCCCCCGTTTTCCTCCCTTCCCCCGTTCGCGACTGCAAGACGTCGAGGAACGCCACGTACGCCGCGCACGCCGCGCTACAAATGAGGAAATGCAGACGCACCGGCCAGACCAGACCATGCGTGCGGAGCGGGGCTGGCGGCGGAGTGCGCAGCGCGTCGTCGCCGTGGTCCTCCCTTCGGGTTTCGCGTGGCGTCGTCGTCGTCGTGGTCCTCTCTTCGGGTTTAGTGTGGCGTCGTCGTCGTGGTCCTCCCTTCGGGTTTAGCATGGCGTCGTCGTGGTCCTCCCCTCGGATTTAGCGTGTCGTCGTCGTCGTGGTTCTCCCTTCGGGTTTAGCGCGTCGTCGTCGTGGCCTGCCCTTTGGGTTTAGCGTTGGCGTCGTCGTCGTGGTCCTCCCTTCGCGTTTAGCATGGCGTCGTCGTGGTCCTCCCTTCGGGTTTAGCATGCCGTCGTCGTCGCCATGGTCCTCCCTTCGGGTTTGGCGTGATCTTGTCGTCATAGGCGACCCTTCAGGTTCAACGCGTCGTCGTCGTGGTCCTCTCTTCGCCACAGTGCTGCAGCTGATGCACGCCGTCCCCCATCATGCCGCCCCGCCGCACGCAATGCAGTACGTTGAGGTGGCGGCCGTGGTGAGTTTGTCCGCCGGTCGTCGCGCTTGTCGCCCTAAAGATGGTGATTTGGTGCGGCTCGGCGCCCGGCGCCCTCTTTACGAGACGGCCAGCACAGGATGATTCCGAACCACGCCCTCTGTCTCCCTTCCACTCATGGGGCATCCCGTGCCGGTGCGAGAGAGACAGAGCGACAAAGCCTGTTTACGAGAATGAGACCGCGGAATGTCGCGGAATGCCGACGAGTGGCGGTTATCGAATGCGACAGCGCGGCGTGCGTCTTATTCATTCCCTGCACGGAAAAAACTCCCCCCTCCCCTCCGCCCGGCGGTCGCATTGCCCTAAAATTAGCTAGCCGTACGTCTTTTGAGAAAGCGCGCGCGGCGTCCGCCGCCAACGGCCGCCAACGGCGCCCCCGCTCGCGGCGCCTCCCGACAACGGGACGGCGACGGGACGGGGGGCGGCATCGCGACAGCCGGGACAGCCAGGACGGGCGGGATTATGCCGCCGCTCTGTTTGGATAGCGCGTAAGTTACGGCCCGCGGCCCCGCGGCCCCGCCGGCCGGGTCGCCCTGATTAATCCCCCCACTGATTGAGCGCTTCATTCACAAGCCACTTTGTTGCTGCCGCGGCGAGGACGGCGTCGGCTTGCGCTGTGATCGATGTCCGGGACTGACGGCGTGCTCTCTCCCCGCAGCCTGCCTCCTGACCGCCGGCAAGACCACCCCCGCCGTGCCCGTGGTGCCTGCCGCCGTGTCCGCGGCCGCGGCGCTGCGCTCCAGCCCGGACTCCCCCGGGGACGAGGCGGCGCGGCCGGGCAGGGCGTCGCGCGGCCGCTGCAGCGGGTCGTCGCCGTCCTCCGCGCCCGCCGCCGCCACCGCCGCCACCGCCGCCGTCGACCAGCTCGCCAACGCGGACATGATGTCCACGGCGTCCTCCGGCGACCTGGACGACTCCGGCGAGCACAGCGATGACAGCGCGGGCGGCGCGGCCAGGACGCCCAGCCAGCCGCAGGCCACGCTGCCGCTGCACCCGGACCTGTGCGACACCGGCGCCGTGCTGGAGATGAAGCAGCTGTGGGACGAGTTCAACGAGCTGGGCACGGAGATGATCGTCACGAAGGCGGGCAGGTGCGTTTAACACGCTGCACCTGGAAATTGATGTCAACAGTGTTCGATTAATCGCTCGTCTCGACCGTGCAGGCGGATGTTCCCCACGTTCCAGGCGAGGCTGTTCGGCCTGGCCCCCGACGCCATGTACATGCTCATGATGGACTTCGTCCCCGTGGACGACAAGCGCTACCGATACGCATTCCACAGGTAGGCCGTCCTGCAGGGACACTCCCGTTCAAAAGGCGCAGTGTTCAGGAACGTGACCTTTGACTTTGCTGCTTGCTGTAGCTCGTCGTGGGTGGTGGCCGGCAAGGCCGACCCCGTGTCGCCGCCCCGCGTGCACATCCACCCCGACTCCCCCGCCACCGGCGCGCAGTGGATGAAGCAGGTCATCTCCTTCGACAAGCTCAAGCTGACCAACAACCAGCTGGACGACAACGGCCACGTAAGTCCGCGTGCATTTACATACAACTTCTTCCTCGCCGTGGTGTGGCGACTCGTCCTGACTGATTTGTCCTCCTCTTCCTCCTCCAGATCATCCTGAACTCGATGCACCGGTACCAGCCCCGCTTCCACGTCCTGAACGTTCCCGTGTCCGAGGCCGGCGGCGGCGCCAGGCCGGGGCAGATGGCGCACCCTTTCAACGCGCAGCAGGGGCAGCGCACACAGAACTTCAAGGTGTTCATCTTCCCCGAGACGAGGTTCACCGCCGTCACCGCGTACCAGAACCACCGGGTGGGTTTCGACAGCTCCGCAGCGGCACTTTTAACTCAAACCAGATTGTGCGGGAAAATGTGGACTCACGAGGTTTGTGCTCTTGCAGATAACTCAGCTAAAAATTGCGAGCAACCCTTTCGCGAAAGGGTTCCGAGACTGCGACACGGAGGACTGGTGAGTATAGTTTGCCCCGACAATGTTAGCTTCAAAGTTGAGCGCGCCGCGGTGGCTACGCTCGAGCGGGGCCATGACGCGCGTGCCCCTACACCCTAAACTGTGGGGCGGTTCGAGTGAACGGCTGGCTTGATCGGTGAGTGGCGGCAACTCGAGGCTGTCTCTGTCTCTGTCTCGGCCCGAGGGGGGCACGGGCACGGCAGCAGGCTGATTCCGAACACTGCTCTCCTCTCTCTGTCTCTCTCGCACTCATGGGGCGTGTCGTAACGGTGCGAGAGAGACAACCACAAAAGCAGTGCTCGGAATCAGCCTGTAGGGTAGGTTGGGCGGTGGGGCGGGGTGGGGGGGGTGGGGTGGGGTGGGGGGGTGGGGTGGGGTGGGGTGGGGTGGGGCCCCGACGTAACGTCTTGCAGTGTTGCACGTTTTTTTCCCCATGTGTTTTTTTTTCCTGTTCCCCTGCCCCCCTATTCTCGTTGCCCGCCGCGAAGCAGCGCTCTGGCAGGGCACTAACTTGTTCTCGTGTCGTGCGTTGTCAAAAAAGTGCGATTTTTTCCGCCAAAACTTTTTGCGCGCGCTTGCCGCCACACCACGCTCCGCCGGCGTCGTCGTCGTGTACCTCGGCCCGCTTATTGGCCGCGCCGGTGCACTATTGGGCGTCGCGGGGCAATTTATTGGTGGCGTGACACGCGACAAGCCGCGACTCCACCCGCGATTTAAAGCGCGGCGTTGTAATGGCGCACACGTGGACGCCGACACCGCCACGGCCCGCCACGGCGAGCGCCTCGCAGTCAAGTCACGCGGTGTGGCGTTCCCAAGTCGCAACGCCAGGCCGCCGCCGCCATGCCCCCCACGCGCCGCCGCCGACGACCATTCTTCTCTTTCGTTTTTTCAAACTTCCCCTAAATTCCCCTTTCCGGCTTCTGGACTCACCCAACAACCCCCGCGTCCCTGTTGCAGCGGCGCCGAGGTCATGTCCCAGCTGCAGATGGGGGCCCCGCGGGGAGGCCCCGTGCCGCCACCTGCGCCGACGCGGCCACCCGGAAGGCCACCGTCGAGCAGCGACGCCGTCAACAACAACAACAACCCCGCGGCCACCAACAACAACTGCCTGCAGTACCAGAGCAAGGAGGGCAAAGGTAAGCCAGGGTGGCCGCTGCCACCGAAAGGGAAGACTCTGGATTCGCACCTCGCCGACGCACAGTGGGCCAGACGACCGGTGGAGGCGGCCAAAACTCTAGACGCGTTTTGAGCTCCAGAGTCGCTGAACAGGCCTCGAAACGAACGTGTGACCCCACCAATGGATTCCTCGTCCTGAGAGCAATCCATTGGTGGGGTCACACGGTTGGTTCGAGTCCCATTTAGCGACTCTGGAGCTCAAAACGCGTCTAGAATTTTGGCCGCCTCCGCCGGTTTCTGGCCCACTGTGCCGCTGGCACCGCAAGGGAGACTCTCTGGATTCGCACCTCGCCGACGCTTACGGCGTGGCGGCGGTGTTTGGCGGTTCGGCGCCGGATTTAAAGTTCCTAGATCAAAGCATCAAAGCGCGCTGGTGGTGCGCGAGGCCCTGCGCGCCGCGGACGGCCCCGGCAGCCTCACGGTAGCCCGTAGTCCGTGTGTGAGTTGTTGTTGTTGATTTTCCGTGTGAGGGAAAAACAGGAACGTTATAATGACTGCGTTTGGTGAGAGAATAATGTGGGCAATGCACGCCGGCGGCAAGTCAAGGCATCTGGCGGTGCGGCCGGTGGTACGGGGGCAACGCGCTCCCCCCGCGCACTACGCGCCGCCACGCCGCCACGCCGCGGCCTTTCCCAGAGCCACTACTTTGAGTCGGGAAATCATCCCCATTTTCCTTTGGCTTTGGCCTTTCGCCTTTGGCTTGCGCCGTGATAGGGGTTCTGGGTTCTGGCGCGCTGCTGGCCACTTGCTCTGCTGCTCCCGTTTGGACGTCGGCGCGGTCGGCGCGGCGAGGCGCGGCGGTCACTTTGAGGGGCCGAGTGGCACTCCACGCCTGGCGGCCCCGCGCGGCCCCGGCCCCGGCTCGCCACTCCCCGATCAAAGCAATCCCCTCTGCAGGGCCGTTCCGAAAAGCGCCTGGGTGTTCCGTCTCTCTCGCACCCCGACGGCACGCCTCACGAGTGCGAGAGAGACGCAGCGGATCTGGCTGCCGCCGCTGCTCGCGGTTTTCCCCGCGCGGCGCGGCGCACAGTGGGCCAGAAACCGGCGGAGGCGGCCAAAATTCTAGACGCGTTTTGAGCTCCCGAGTCACTAAACAGGACTCGAACCGAACGTGTGACCCCACCAATGGATTCCTCGTCCTGAGAGCAATCCATTGGTGGGGTCACACGGTCGGTTCGAGTCCCATTTAGCGACTCTGGAGCTCAAAACGCGTCTAGAATTTTGGCCGCCTCCGCCGGTTTCTGGCCCACTGCGCGGCGGCGCCCTTCCCATCTAATACTGCCCCGCCTCGCGGCCGGCCAGGCCCTCGCGGCTAAGCCCTCGCGGCGTCCGCGGCGTTCGCGGCGCGAAACGTTTAGCGGTTTGTTTGTGTTTCTAATTGGCCGTGACGAGCGGGGCACCACGGTGGCGGCGGCCACGGCCTCCTGTGTGCCCAACTCAAAGGGACCGCCCCGCGGCCGCCGCGGCCATTGCGGCTGCCAAAGCTTTCAGCGCCTGCCGCCGCCGTGTACCCCAACAGTGTCGTGGACGGAGCTCGACCCTGCACTCCTTGACGTTGGCACTGCGGATGCTGGTTCCAGGGCTGCACCACTGTATGCACTCCTGCTTGCTGGACCCACAGTGCAGCAGCCGTTCGAAGGAAGCGACTTAATGATCCTTAAAGTTGAAACTCCTTAGGGCCGCTGACAGGCTGCGCTGCGCCGCGCTGCGCTTCTTCCCACTGCCCCGTTTGTTCCTGGCGTGTGTTATGTATCGGGGCTGCGCGCTTCGCGCTTCGAACCGCGGCGGCTCGGCTCGCCTCGCCTCGACTCGGCGCGGCGTCAGCAAACACGGCTAACTATCTGGCGCGCGCGGCCGAGCTGCGAGGGTTTGCCGCCCCGTGTCAGCTCACACACACAAACACACGCCGAGTAGCGGATGGGGCTGTCTGTCTGTTAACTCGAGACGGGCATCAAAGACGGGGGTGCGGGGCGAGGCGGGCGATACCCAGCGCACGATCTTCAACGGCCACGCTCGACGGCCACGTCCTCGACGGCCACGTCCTCGGCGGCCACGTCACAGAATGCACTGCGTTGATCTGATCCTAGAAACCCCCTAGACCATCCTAGACCAGCAGTAAGCGGCTCGCGGGGGAGTGGTGACAGTGACACCGCGCGGACTCGAACTGAGCCATGAGCCACTGAGCCAAAGCAGGGGTGCCTGACTTGCCGCGTTGATTGAAGAGCGCGCGCGTGCCCCCTGCCCCCTCCACTGTGAGTGACAGGCCGTCAGCCAGGCAGTCCTGGCCGCGCCTGCCGAGCCACGCCGCGCCGCTTGCAAGCCATGCGGGGCGCGCAAGGATCCGACCCACCTTGATGCTCGCCTGCTGTTGCTGCTGCTGGGACAAAATAATAAACCGCGAAAAGCAGAGATGGAGAATGCGAGAGGAGGGCGTGCTTGACGGTCTTCTTGTTGCAGACGCGGACGCCCACAGCCCGGCAGCGCTGGCGGACGGCCGGTCCTCGGCCAACCCGTCGCGGCTCAGCGCGGCGCAGGCCTCGCCCACTGCCAACCCCGTCGGCGGATCCTCGCCAGCCCCCGTCGGCCAGCCCTACCTGGCGGACGTGTGCAGCTACGGCCCCATCTACCACCACCACCACAGGTAAGCAGTGAGACAAAGCAAAAAGCAGCACCTCGGAAACCTGGTTTTGCCGGTACTTGAACCCACGTCTGACGTTTCCAGTTCGTCGGCCGTGTCCTCGCCGTACGTCCACCCCGCCGCCGTGCCCACCTCCGCGTCCAGCGCGTACAGCTGCGCGGTGTCCAAGACCTCGCCGCCGGGCTTGTCGTCGGCGGGCTTGTCCACGGCCGGCTTGTCCTCCACGGGGCTGGCGGCCGGGCTGACCGGCCTGGGACTGCGGTCCGCGTCCGCGCCCTACCAGTCGATGCACCCCGTGCACCCCGTGCACGCGATGCAGGACGTGCACCAGGACCACGTCGTGTACTCGCCGTACCACCATCACCACCACCAGGGCTTCTACCCGCCCGCGCCGCACTCCACCCGCCTGCACCAGCACCAGAACCCCTACGACTTCGTGCCGCGGTAGCAAGACTGTGGCGCACTCATCGGCGATGCAAATTCATTTTACCTCTTTTGCAATCTGGTGGACGCCAATCTGGAGGTGTTGTGTGTTGGGTCAAGACGGACTCATTTTCGGTGTCGTGGACGCTCTTCGTGATTAAGCTAAAGGAGACTGATGTGTTCTTTTCTTTTGTAAAGTTTGTTATTATTGTAATTGTTACGGTCCCAAGAAGGAGTACTACTGTATTTACGCTGTAAAACCAAAGATGTATTTTTATTCTGCTTACTTAATGTTTTTCTTCGACGTCGTACAAACTGTCATTTGTAAGTGCCAAAAAATCATGTTATTCTGAGTCATAAATGAACGAGTTCTTACTTTAATTAAAGACATATTTGTGTACGCCTTTAATTGTTTTTGCAGTACCTTTTGCCAAGGACGGGGTTCGCGTGGCTGCGGCTGCTGAGGGTTGTTAGGCCGCCCGCCTGGACCTGGGTACCTAAGAGTGTAGTGGGAGTGGGTGTAGGTGCGGGAAGGGGTTGGGAGGGGTCATAGGGCACACGCTTGGAGGACGGGAGAGAAGGGGTGAGGGGCTGAAACGTTCCAGGGCGTTCATAGCTAATTAATACTGCATTTGGACCACCCTCCACGCGCTCCGCGTCCGGGCCACGCCAGCGGACCGATTCCGAGAGTCGTTTTCGTCTCTCTGTCTCCCTCACTCTCCTCTGGGGCGTACCGTATAGGTGCGAGGGAGACAGAGTGACTCTCGGACCCAGCCTGCAGCTAGCGCCCGCTAGTTAGTCGGGGCTGACTGTTCCGGGATGCGCGCGTTCGCCTCCTGACAGCGCGTCTCCAATTTTTTTCGGGCGCTTTTCGAGAGGAATCCGTAAATGCTTCTAACGAGGGCTGCGCGCGATGCGTTCCCCGGAACGGCTGAAGCGATTCGTTGGCCTTCCTTTGTGGGAAACAAGAGATTATATAGTGTATCCCGAATCTCGCCGATTTCCTTTGACGCGTCTACGGAGTCGTATGCGAATGAGTCGTGTTCGCCTGAAAGTCCAGTCTTCTTGAACCACGCTGACCACGCTGACCTTAAATAAAACATTTGTTAAGTTCAGATTTCCTGCTCTCTCTCTCTCTCTCTCTCTCTCTCTCTCTCTCTCTCTCTCTCTATGTGTCTGTCTGTCTGTCTGTCTGTCTGTCTGTCTGTCTGTCTGTCTGTCTCTCTCTCTCTCTCTCTCTCTCTCTCTCTCTCTCTCTCTCTGTCAAAGTGGCCTCGTATTCATGCCCCGCCTCCTCTCGGCCCCTACAAATCACCGGCTGCATCTCTGTTTGTGACGATAATGCAGCAATGAGCGCGGCTCGCATACCGACGCGAGTGCGAGACAGAGTCATCGCGCCACTCCGAAAGCTGAGGGGAACGAACGTTGTCGCCGTCCTCGTCGCGCTCCCTCAAGCCACGGCTCGCGGACGCAGCCGAGGGGGGCCCCGTGTGAGTTATGGGGGAGGGGGTGGGGAGGGCGCCCTCAGGAGGGGAGGGTGACGGACCAGAAACGCGTCCATCTTCTTCTCCAAGTCGTTGTCACTTTTGAGGTTGTCATCCGCGCTACCGCTCTATGCGACGATCGCGGGCGCAGCCATGCACGGCCGCGCACAGTGGGCCAGAAGACCGGTGGAGGCGGCAAAAACTTTAGACGCGTTTTGAGCTCCAGAGTGACTAAAAGGGACTCGAACCGAACGTGTGACCCCACCAATGGATTGCGCTCCGAACGAGGACTCCATTGGTGGGGTCACACGTTCGATTCGAGTCCTGTTTAGTGACTCTGAAGCTCAAGACGCGTCCAGAAATTTTGCCGCCTCTGCCAATCTTCTGGCCCACTGTGGGTCGGCAGCTGCCGTCTCTCTCGCACTCAAGGGGCGTCCCGTAGAGGTGCGGGAGAGACAGAGCGACGAAAACGACTCTTGGAGGCAGTCTGCTGAGTGCGCGTACTCCCTGGGAACAAGAGGAGCGAAGGGGTTCATCAAGCGCGCCACACCCGGCCTCGGCTGCAGATACTCCAGCCCCGACAAGGAGGCTCATAACTAACCTGATAAACTGGCCGCCGTGTCGGCCGCTCTGGCCGCCCACTCGCAGTGGCGCAGTCACATCAAATTCCACGCACTCCCAAACAACTTGGCGCCCGGCTTGCTGCGGCCTGGAGTTCCTCATCATCGTCGCGTTTCGTCTGGCTGCCTCGCGCGCGGGAAAACTCGAGGAGGGGAAACTACAGCACAGCAAAAGCCTGGAAACCAAAAAAAAAATCTGGCGCTGGAAAAGCAACATCAGAACAGTGAAACTGGAAACAGGAAAAACGCGCCGCAAAAACAATTTCTTTCGCGGCTCCAGAAATAATCTTCTTTCTGCAACACACGTGGTGACGTGGCGACTTGACTGCAACATCGCGCCCATCCGAGCGAAATGATTGCCTGTGCGTTTTGGAGCGGCGCGTGTCGACTGCGACCATCGGCAGTCGCTCTGTCTCTCTCGCACCCGAGGGCGTTCCGCAGGGTGTGCGAGAGAGACAGCGACAGAGCGCACTGCTCGGAGAGCCAGCAGCCTCCACCGAGACGGCGTGTCGCCTCCCCTCTCCGGACGTCCTCCAAGCAGCGCAAGAAGAAGATGCAGACTGAGAGTCGTCTTCGTCGCGCCGTCCCTCTCGCACCCGCACGGGACGTCACGTGAGTGCGAGAGAGACAGATCGGCGCGGGGGCGTTCGACTGTTGGAGCGAAAGACGCACTGCTTGCTGGTTTACGACTTCCTGGCCTTTGCGCGCTTTGCGGCCTCGCGAAAGAGTCTTTCAAAATCCGCGCCGCGCCGCCGGATGACGACGACGGCCTCGATTCAAAGATTGTGTCAAACGCGTGGAACGGCTTCCGATTTCGCCCGGCAGCAAAAGGGGCCGCGCGGAGTGGAGTAAAAGCTGCGGCCGACACCGCCAGGCTAAGTTTGCGAGTCGTACCGCGTTTTTCCGCGGTTGTGCTCCGCCGCGTGGCCCAGCAGACTGATTCCGAGAGTCGTCTTCGTCGCTCTGTCTCTCTCGCACCTATACAGGACGCCCCATGAGTGCGAGAGAGACAGAGCGACGAAAACGACTCTCGGAATCAGCCTGCAGAAGGGCGCCAAGCTGCGCCAAGCACGTGTTAACGCGCGGGCGTAAAAGCGCCAATGTTGCCGCGGATGCTCTGTGCAATGCAGTACGTCGCGCTGCCCCCTTCCTGCCTCGCAATGTTGCAGAATGTGTCGTCTGCTGCGGCGGTGTTGCACATTTGTCGCAGATTTGCAGTGTCGTTGCGCGACAGCGCCGCGGCCACCCCGCCCCGCCGCCACGCCCCCTAGGGCGTCCAGGGGCGTCCAGGGCCCAGACTGCTCGACTCCGGTTCCCCCCCCCCCCCCCCCGTTCCCCCTGTTTCTCCGAAGTCTCCGAAGGGGCACCCTCTTCCTATCTCTGTCCCTCTCCGGCCGGGCGGGTCGCAACGCCCACACGTCATAATGTTTGTTTTCCCCGACAGACACCGAAACTAAGAAAACAAAACGGGAAGGGAAGTGTGTGTCGTCGTCTTTCCTGCGAAACCGGACCGGACCGCCACACATGGCTATGGCACCCTCGCTGCGCGTAAGCTTGCCCTGACATGCAAATTAGCGGCATTCCACGGAGTGCGAATAAAAAGTGGAGGCGTGAATTACCGGTCGACTTTGTTTTTGAGGAAGAACAATTACCGCTCACTGAATCTCAATCTGGTGGGGCGAGGAGCTTTGGGTGGTTTGGTGTGGTGGTCGCTCGAGAGAAACAAACAGAGCTAAGGGCATGCACGGATTACGCGCGATGGAACACTCAATGGTTCGCCCGGTTCGCCCCACACGCTCCGGGTTGCGTCCTGGCAGGCCCCGCCAGGCCCTGCCAGCGCCCATGGAAAACGCTGCCCCTGCAGACTGATTCCGAGAGTCGTTTTCGTCGCTCTGTCTCTCACGCACTCAGGGGGCGTCGCCTATGGGTGCGAGAGAGACAGAGCGACGAAAAGGACTCTCGGAATCAGTCTGCTGTGGGACTGTGGAATGAATAATCCGCCGAGGCCCCCTTGGGCGTTACTTAGCGCCTATGGGTGCGAGAGAGACAGAGCGACGAAAAGGACTCTCGGAATCAGTCTGCTGTGGGACTGTGGAATGAATAATCCGCCGAGAGGCCCCCTTGGGCGTTACTTAGCGCTGCACAAACAGGAACCCCTTTTCAACGGGCTGCTATGCTCCACGCGCGGCGAGCGTGGCGAGACACCTTTATGAGTCCGCATGGCCTGGCATGGCCCACGCCGCCAGACCACGGGGAAAGCAGCCTCCTCCTGGAGGCCTAAAGTCCATGATCTCCGAAGGTAAACAGCAGCCGAGAGGCGTTTTTATCGCTGTCTCTCTCGCACCTGTGCAGGACGCCCCATGAGTGCGAGAGAGACAGAGCGACGAAAACGACTCTCGGAATCAGTCCTGCGGGATCGTCTTTGGCCTGATCGCTCGAACGCCATCCCCCGCCCCTCCTTCCAGTGACGCGGCGCGGCGTCTGGTTCACCCACCCTGTTCCCCCCCCCCCCTTTTCCCTCTCTGTGCAGGGCGCATCCCAGCGCAGCCCCTGGCGTTTCGCTCCATTGCCATCTAATAGCCGCCAGCACTTAGAGCATGAGAGCAGCCTGCTGCAACATTCTTGCCCGCGCGTGCGGCGTGCGGGGGGTCTGCGGACCTCTCCCCTCAAATTCAATCTGGCTCCGACAATATTGTCTGGTCGGTCGAAGTGCGTTTTCGTCGCTCTGTTTCTCTCGCACTCGTGGGCGTCCCGTATGGGAGCGAGAGAGACAGAGCGACGAAAACGACTCTCGGTACACATCCTGTGACGGCGTTGCCGGGCCGCCCTGACGGAAGGGTTGCCTACGCTCCAGGCGGCTTCACGATATATTTATTTTAAAGTATTTACTTTATTAGGTGTCACGTGTGACATTGTGTGACACATTCCGAGGCCGCGCGCGCACACGTGGGCTCCACTATGTCTGGCGTGGTAGACATCCCCCTCCCCCCTCCCCCTCTTTCCCCCCTCATCCCGCCCCACCACCCGAAGCGAAGGTGCCCCAGCAGATGACCGGATGCTGCTTACAAGTTTCTTCCAGGGGGTCTCGTAGTGGGGGTTCTCCGCATTCTCACGTGAACGCAAGTTTTCCTTCGTCATTTCAAACAAACTCTCGTAAAACAAAACAGACAAAACCTGAACAAAATAAAATGTTGCTGAATTTTAATTTATGAACGAAGACATATGTTTTCAAAACGCAGCGCTCGAAAGAACGGCAATCAACCACCGTCACTTCGGACACGCGCAAACACTTTCTATAAAATAAAGACGTGCCTCCAGAGAGAATCGAACTCTCGACCCCCAGTTTACTAGACTGGTGCTCTAACCACTGAGCTATGGAGGCTCGATGCGGTGGTGAGCTGAAACGCACGGACAGTATGAGAAAATGGCGGCCTGGACCTTCTTGGAGCCACATGTGCTGCGTGTCCATGGCGCGAATTCCGAAATGTGTTCCGGCTTGTGTGTCTCCATGACATCCTTACGGGGACTAACGTGCTCTCGTCTATTGAGAGATCAGAAAATGGAAGATAAGCAAGCTTCTGCAAATCGATCAAATGTAATCAAAGTTAACATTATTTTGTAGTAACGAAAAAAGCAACTTTCCTGAACCGACCGAAAAACTTTTCATAATCGTTTCGAGGTTGTTCCCTATGACGTCACTGTCATGGCCACTCACTGTCTTGTTTATCAAAAGTTGTGTACATTTTTATCGTCTGCGAAACGTTTTGCGATTTAAACTTTTAGCAAGACTTGAAAGCAATGAGCGACACCAGCTCAACTTGTAGTTCCCCTGGGGCGAGAGCCCTAGCCGTTGTAAAGAATGTGGAGGACTTACAAGTATTTAAAAAGCCAGGACTTCCACTTTCCAGTCAAGTCCGAAGAAAGCAGAAAGTTTTAGATGAAGATGCTTACATTGAGGTATGGTCCAAAACTTTGTTAATTGCGACGTTTCTTAATCGATTCCTCAAATACTTGTCAAATACCATTTCATTTTGTGAGATGTTCGACTGGACAGATGACATAACCTTCAATAATTTTCCTCTTTACATGTCACCACATGACCTAAGATTACCCCATTTAATTGAATATTTTTTGTTTGTTTGCAGCAAATTGGAAAAATTGTTGAACGAGATTTCTTCCCAGACCTTGAAAAATTACGGGCTCAAAATCGGTACCTTGAAGCGATGGATCAAAATGATGTTAGAACAATGCGAGAACTTTATGCCAAGTACAGCTCAGGTTCCAAGCCCCCTCTTGAAAGGTGTAAGTAAACAACCCTTATTTTGGTGTTTGGTGCACATTATAAGTATCATATTATGGTTTGATTTTTAATTATGTTGAATCTTTTTATTTCAGGTGTTAGTCCAGCAACTTTTGAAACTCCGGTCATAAATAGGAACAGCGATTCTGAACCGTCAATGAGTGAATCAGCTAGTGGTTCCAGAGAAAATGAAAATGAAAGCGAAGCAGAAACCACAGGTACAAATCTCATAGGATAACGATATATGTTAGACTAAATTATGGTACTATAGTCATGCTATAATATGTTTTATTTGTGTATTTCAGGTGGTACAAGGAGGTTAGATGCCTTCCTTAGTGCTCACACCAGTGAGGACAATGAAAGTTTTCAAGAAATCATGAAAGAGACTGCTCTAAGACACAGGCACAGGGTAAGTAATTTTCCGTGTATTCAACTTACTGTGGCTTACTGCGGCTCATCATGGATTGCACTTCTTTGAATTTTTGTTTTCTTTTTCCAATTGTAGTATGGATGGTTGTACCAAGACGAGGATGAATCAGCTAAACAAGTCAAAGATCAATTGGCATTACCACCCATTGAGAAACAAGCAGAAATTGCTGACAGGCCTTTCAATATTGATACATGGAAATTTAAAAATAGAAACTTCATCATGTATGTCCCAGATGGTAAGTATGATTCTTATAATTCTGCAGGGATAAAATTTAAAAACAGCAGAGCTTTCAATTTTCTTGTTGTTGTTCGCAGGAGAGCCACTCTCAGAGGCTGGCAGAACTGAACTCGCAAACAAACGACAAGAAATTCAACACAGCAACACCCGATTACAAAGAAATCCATTTGATGAGCGTCAAAATAAGGAAGTCATTAAGGGCTTAGCAGTCACTCAGGCTAGGTCCCAAGATGGTAAAATTGGAGTGGATGGCAAAGAGTTGACTACAGAAACACCCAATGTAAATGGGTTCAGCTTTGTTACAATGGATTCACCAATGCCAGGTATGATCCATTATGTAATTTCTGATTGTGTTGGGGTTGTTATCAGGTTTTGAATTTATTCTATTTATTCTATTTCTGTTCTTATTGCAGGTGTGATGGATTCTCCTTTGATGACGTGGGGTGAAATCGAGGGCACCCCGTTCCGACTTGATGGTGGTGACACTCCAATTCGTCCAACTCAAGGACCTAGCTTTAAGATGCACGCCCCGCCTAAAAGAGAAAAAATAGCATTGGCTTTAGCAGAGAAAGCTGGCGAGAGAAAACACAAAGAGCGAAAACAGAAGGCATTGGAGGCCGCTCGCCGATTAGCCTCGTAAGTATTATCTTATAGAAGTTTTACAGAGTAGATTTATTTACATCTCAAAGTTCAAAAAGCTTGAACACTGTTATTTTCTTTTCAGACCATCTCCAAGACCGGGCACAGGCCCATTAGAACGTTTGAGTTCTATGTCTCCGGCAGCTCAGAGATTTGCTACTAATCGACTTCGATCCGGAGATTCAGCCTTGAGAGCATCTTACTCTCCATCTCCCCAGAGAAGTGCTGGATTCGCAACACCAGGGCCATCAACGCCTCTTTTAACTCCCACGAGAAGAACACCTCTTAGACATACACCCAGTAGACAGGGGAAACCACGTACTCCCAAAATTAGCACAAATTTGACTGATGACTTGTTGAAGTTACCGAATTCTAACCGTCAACGAGCAGCGGATTTCTTTTAGTCTTCTATGAAACACTTGTTATTATTTTCTTTAGGCTGCAAGTACTTGAACTTTTTTCCCCTTTCTTTCTTTATAAATCTTAATGTTTACTGTATTGTTTAAGAAAATGTGATAGTATTTTCCCTTTACGTAATCCTTATTATGTACAGTTTTTCTTTTCTTTGTGTGTTGTTTTGTGTAGATGATAAAGTCGGTGTTTAATCGTGATTGAGACTCTTGCAATCATTGTGATAACTTTGCCCATAAGGAGCATTATGGCTTGCTCATTATTCATGTGGAGGTTTGGTGCACAGTAAAACCATAAGTGCGCAGTGTACTGTACAAGGTGTCCAAGTTCAATAAATTGGTATCTTTGTTCTGAAATCCCTGCAATTTTTCTTTTGACCCCAAGAGAAATTTCATCACAACTATTTTCAACAACACTAGAGCGAACTAGTTTTCAAAAATAATAAAGGCAACACCTTTAGAAAAGAGACATGCAGGGATATCAATTAGTTTTACAGAAAGAAACGAGTTGAACAGCGCCACAGCTGTGCGCTGCGCTCTTCGATCCCCCCCGTCCCCGCCCCCGCCCCACCCCCGCCCCGCCCCTCCGCTCCGCGGGTCCACGGCGCGGCCGCCCCAGGCCGCCCCTCCCCCAGCCCGTCGCGCTGCGCGGTGCTGTGTCTCTGTCCCTCTCAATCACGCGTCATCTCCGTGTCTCCGTCCCGCGGCCCGCGGCGTGGCCCCTCCACTCGCGCAAGACCTGGGACTGGGAGGCGGTGAGGCGGTTCGGCCCGCGAGGTGGGGGACAAGACAAGCCGCGAGCTGGGGCCGGGCCGGCTGGGCCGAGTGACAGGGACAGGCCGGCCACCTCCTGCCGCTTGCTGCGCGCCCGGTCGCCGTGCTTCCAACACAACTCTCTCTTTCCGGCGGCCAGTCGCGGCCTCTCTCTCAGGGTCACGCCGCCGCGCCGCGCCCCCTCCACCGCGGACCGTCGCATACGTAACAGTCCTCCCCAGGGCGCTCTGGTCTGGTCGCGGCGGAGGCCGGACCAAGTCCGTGCGGGGCTCTTGGAGTACTTACAGAGTACTTTCCTGAACAGGGAGGGTCTTCGCGGAGCGCGGGCCGAGTAACAGTCCAGGACGCGGTCCGCGCTGAGCGCCTTACGGCCGAGAGCTAGGCAACCCGGTCGCCAGTCGTGCGTCGAAGTGCCTACGCCGCAGGCGCCCTGCAGACTGATTCCGAGAGGCGTTTTCGTCGCTCTGTCTCTCTCGCAGCCATGGACCGTTCCATGCAGGTGCGAGAGAGACAGAGCGACAAAAATCGGCATGCTTCTCTGGCTTGACTTGGCCTCGCTGCTGAGGTGCCAGGCCGTCACTTCGAGAACGTAAACATCGCCCAAGAGAATGGAGGCGGTCGATGCGATCGCCAGATGCATAATGCGCGGCGGAACGCAGTGCGGCGTCGTCAGCACGCCGAGTGCGGAGTGCAGGCCAGTGGGGCAGTGGAGCTCGGGGCGAGTGTTTTGGTGGAGTGGAAACCGCTGAAGCAGCACTCCCAGGTAGCCGAAGGCGGCTAAGGGGGCGAGGTGTGTTGTATGGTGCCAACGGAAGTTTTGTTGCTGTTCGCATTTCGCTGATGTGTTTAAGGCGGGGCAGAGGGGATGATGATTGACCACAAAAGTTTTCACTTGAAATGGAGTTGATTTTATTCTCCTTGAGACGAGGAATCTTTTCGTCTTCACTCTCTGCTCTCTCAAATGAGCACACAGACAGGTACTGTTGGCTTCAGCTTTCAGACCTCGGGACGGCATTACATGCATGATAATGCACAAATTGTAAACCTTCTAACAGCACAGCAATTTTAAGATAAAGAGGTTGACTAAACTGTACACAATTTCTTATCTAGGTTATATCTAAAAACATCACAAAAATTTCAGTTCTATTGCAGATATGCAACAATGGAGTACTAATGCGCGCAAGAGTAAGATGGGAAATTAGCTAATTTCACACTTGGTATCTAAATTATAAATTACTTATCATTCTCACAATTTAAATATTTATACATCCTTTCACACAAATTTAACATTTACACAAAGTATTAAAAACTATTTTTGACTCCTAATATTGGGAACAAAATTTAGAACCCGATTGACTAGGGAATGCAAATTTGGAATTTTGATTAAAAGTACCGAAAGAAAACACCCAAAAGATTTTTAAAAATTCTAAAAACTAGACATTGAAATGGCTCTACCTCGTGACTTCGCTGCAGAAAGATTTCAACACTGTCAATGACCAGGGGCAAATTTTACCTCGCAAGATGGGTTCCGAAGCACGTCTGAATTCAAGGACAGCAATGCGTCTTTGGATCAAGATGTGATCAAAACTGCATCCGATCAGGCCAAAAAATGTCCCTTGACATGGAAGGTGAAGAAAACCACCCTTCTCAGCTGAAGACAATTTAGAAACGAATATTTGCCAAACGGAATTTAGACAACACAAAGTCGGAAAGAAATTTTCAGTGTCGAGGCATAAAAATTTGGAATTTAGCGAGAAATTTCGAACGTTATATCAAAAGAAAACTGTTGGATTAATTTTGAATTTCATAAAAGCAAAAAAGAGGAACGAAAACGATTTTATAAATATTCGGCGCAAGTCACTGACTCACGCAGTTGATTTAAACCAAAAGGTGCCAAAATGAATTTTGAAAGATGGGTGCCACAAAGGACACCCCTTAATTTTCCAGACAAACAACATCAAAGGATCAAAATTTTAGACGAATTTAGAAAGAAATAATTTTGAGACGAAAATACCGGTATGGTTGATGGGGTGATGCACGGATCATGTAGAGCTTTCATGAGGCCGGTGCTGTGTGTCAGTCAGGCTGGTGGAGCCTTCAACACGGGGTTGGCTTAGTAGCCGCAGCCGCAGGAGCAGCCGGGGCGGCCGGTGTGGCGGGCGGGGGCCTCGACGGGGCCGGCGCCGTAGGTCAGGCCGGCGGAGTAGGAGCCCTCGGAGCCGTAGGAAGAGCCGGACTCGGCGCAGGCGGGGGCCTCGGCCTCGACGATCTCCTCGTTGGCGCCGGCGTTGCCAGCGGCGTAGTAGTCGATGCCCTGGCTGCCGCGGCCGCGCTCAACGGAGGCGAGAGCGTCGCAGGGGGTGTAGACGGGGCCGGCGGGCTTGGCGCGGGGGGCGGGCACGGAGTACTCGACGGTCTGGATCACGGCGGGGTTGGGCTGGTACTGGCCGGGGACGAACTTGCAGTCACCGTTGACGGGGGCGAAGCCGAGGTCGCGGTAAGAGGGCAGGGGGGCGCCGTAGGAGGACTCCTCGTTGTCGTTGCAGGACGCCTGCTGGGCGGCGATGAGGGAGGCCTCAGCCTCGTCCTCGCAAGAGCGGCCGAAGCCGCCGGGGGCCTTCAGCTCGACGATCTGGTTGCGGACGGCGTACAGGCCACCCTCGGGGACGATCCTCTTCTTGATGACGACGCGGCCGTCCTTGGGGGTCTGCATGTGTCCGAAGGCGAGGTTCTCCTCGGCGATGTTCTGCGGGCAAAGGGCACAACGGGTCAGCGCGACAGGCAAGGGGACCGTGTTCAACGCGCACGCAGGCCGGGCGTTGACGCCAACGGGTCATGAGGTATGAGAAACCAAGTGATGGCGACGGAGACTTACCTTTTGCTGGCGGGTGGCCAGGTCGTAGGCGAGGGCCAGGGACACGGCGTCGGCGGCGACGGGGGCGGGGCCCTGGGGGGTGGGCACCTCCTCGATCAGCTCCTCAGCGGGCAGAGTCTCGGCGGGCACGACGTAGGTCCTGACGGGGGCGGGGGCGGAGTAGCTCTCCTCGCAGGGGTTGACGGGAGCGTCGCCGCAGTCGTCACCACCGAGACCCAGGGTCTGGGCGAGGCTGCCCTCAACGGGGTAGGAGGGGGCCTGGCGGGCGTTGCCGCCGGAGTGGACCTTGCAGGCCACGCGGGGGATCTCGGGGGCGGTCACCAGACCACCCTCGCAGGTGCACACGTTCCTGGGGTTGAACTCGACGGGGGCGAACTTCTGGTAGACGACGCGCTGCAGGCCGACGGGGGTCCTCTGCCTGACGGGGCGGGGCACGTTGGAGGGGATGCAGCTGGGGCTGCCGCAGACATCGCTGCCCTTCAGGTTGCAAGCGCAGGAGCGCTTGGTCAGAGGGTGGGCGCCAGCCTGTGGGAACAAAATCGGTTAGTGACCGGATTGTAACAGAAACAATGAAATAACAATGACGATGTCAACACGAAAATCTTCCAACGACAAATAACGAATCTCAATCTGGATTAACAAAACGCCGCGGCGAGGCGAACCGCAATCCGGGTCCGCGCTCGTTGCCGAGACGCCGGCCGTGCACGTGCACGTCGTTGTTTACCTGGATCGCCACGAGGGCGACGAGCGCCACGGCGAGGATCGCTTTGCAGTTCATGGTGTTGCCGTCCCGATGGAAGAAAGCCAAGTGTGAGGGCTGCAGCCCCGGCCGCCGCTTTTATACCACATGACAAACGGCGTCGCCCCTCCAGCCCCACCGGGCCCACCAGCCCGCCGCCGCCGCGCCGCCGGCACCGAAAGTCGGACATGTTTGGACACGGAGACGCCGCGAGCGGCGCGCTGGCTGCGGACACCGCCAGGGCACCGCCAGGGCACCGCGGCGGCGGAGCAGCACAAGTCAGACGAGAGGCACTTGGAAAGGTTTCGGACCGCGGCCCTCGGCCCCAGGATCTCCGAATGCACTTCCTTGTTGTGAGAGTGCTAGGAAAACCTCGCAAATAAAATTTCGCGAACGAAGACTGTCACTCGTTTTGTCGGTTGAATATCGAATTTTGAAATAGCTGGCCACTGGACAGAGGTGCCCTTTGCCGATTGGGGTTTTGCCTGCCCTGTTGATCGAAGCCAGGCCGCTGAATGCGGCCTCACCCCATCCCATCACCCTGCCTATCATCTGGTTCGAACAGCGTTCAGCAAGCTCGCCCGGTAGAGCTCTGGCTGGGACCGCGACCGCACGCCTTCGGCCCGGCGAGCCTCTAGACAGACTGGAGCCTGCAGACTGATTCCGAGTGGGAGGTCTTTCTCTCTCGTACTCATGAAGTGCTCCATACCGGTGCGAGAGAGACAGACCGACGGCCGCACCACAGTGGGCCAGAAGACCAGTGGAGGCGGCCAAAACTCTAAACGCGTTTTGAGCCCCAGAGTCACTAAATGGGACTCGAAGCGAACGTGTGACCCCACCAATGGATTGCTCTCCGAACGAGGAATCCATTGGTGGGGTCACACGTTCGGTTCGAGTTCCATTTGGCGACTCTGGAGCTCAAAACGCGTCTAGGGTTTTGGCCGACCGGTGTCTTCTGGCCCACTGTGCGCACTGCGGGGAATCGTCTTCCGGAGCGCGGCGGTGACCGGCCCGAAAAGCAGACGATCACTTGTGGTCCAGCCGTTAATCGCAATCGCAATCGCTTCATCCTGCGTGACTCAGGGCGGGCCGCGCCGTCGAGCTCGGCTGCGCGGCGTGGTGCCTACCCGGCGGACCGCAGGCGCTCGGTCCTGCATCACAAGAAGGCCTCCCTTCCCCCAAGCCTGCCACAAAAGCGCCGCCAAGGCGCAGAATGCGGCAACGAGTGGAACCATCGCGCGCGCGGCGTGCTTCCCTCCGAACGCGGAGATTCCTTTATTTGCCATCGAGAGCAGAGAGACAGACGGACAGCACAGTGGGCCAGAAGACCGGCGTAGGCGGCCAAAACTTTGGACGCGTTTTGAGCTCCAGAGTCGCTAAATGGGACTCGAACCGATCGTGTGACCCCACCAATGGATTACTCTCCGAACGAGGAATCCATTAATGGGGCCACACGTTCGGTTCGAGTCCCGTTTAGCGACCCTGGAGTTCAAACCAGGGGCAGAGTTTTGGCCGCCTGCGCCGGTCTTCTGGCCCACTGTGGACGGGTAACTTGAGTGGATGCGGGCATCTCTGGCCGGCGTGGTGCCGGGTTACGGCGTTGTTCTCGTGGACATGCTGACGCGCGGGCGGCGGGGCGTGCCGCGTGCCGCGTGCCGGCCGCGGGTCGGGCGCGGTGCGCGGGCGCGCTATTGGGGGCGCCACCCGACGCCGGCCCGCGCACGACGTGCGGCCCGCTGCACCGGAGCAGACGGGCAGGGGAATGTGGGTCGGCGCGCGCCACCTGCAGGCGGCAAGCCGCCTCGGTCTCGGGCGCCCTCCTCAAGGCCCTCAAGGCTCTCAAGCAAGACCATGTCGCAGACCAGCAATCAAACCCTCATACACAACCCTACCAATATCGTCTCGAAACGCGATTTCAGATAGGCGAGCCATTTTGAAAAAGCATCCCGCCACTCGAGTGGCCGGCCAGTGGGCCGCCAGACTCGCGCCGGGTGTCGGGTGTCCGTTTTGCGCGGTGTACACCGCGGCGCGGGTGCCGAGCTGAAAAGGCCTTACTTGGCAGGTTGGCTGCTGCGGGCGCCGCGCGGTGCGCCGGCACGGCCGTCTCCATGGCGACCGCGTGCGCCGTGCTCGGCGTGTCGCCCTGGGCAGGGCGGCCTGGGCCGGGTGCTCGTCGACGGCGGCGGCGAGCGGACGTGCGGGTCGGCGTCAGCACAACGGACATTCATCCAAGACTGAGGGGGACGTCCGGGCCGCCGGACCACGCACCACCGCCACCACGCCGACGGCGGCGTGGCGTCGACGGCGCCCTGGAGCGCCCTGGGCCCCCTCCCCTGTCCGCCACGCGCTGTTTGTTGGGAAACACGGACGAGCGCGACAACATGCGCGGCCTCGAGGGGGAACGAACTCCTGGCAGGGAACTACACTGCAAAAGCCTTCTCGAAAAAGGAAAAACGAAAAAGGCACCAGGGCGGATCCAGAGATAGGTCCGAGGGAAGGCCTGGCCGAACAGGGTCAAGACGACTTCCGTTTCGCCTACTTTCTGGGTAAAGTCTAGCCAGGGGGTGGAAACGGCGCTGATTTGGCGGGCCATGGCTGCGGCGATGCGTGCACGGCCGTTGTTTGTTGTTTTTTTGTGGTTCCTAGAAACCCACTTTCTAGCTAAAGTAGACATCTTATGCACAAATCCTGCACGTGTACTTCTAGAGTAATGTTGTCTCTTCGAGAAAATAAGCCCGTTTTGAAGATTTGAAACCCACAGGACGAGTCATGGACATGTTTGTAACTTGTTTTAAATGGCTCATCCGCGTTCGGGCGCGGCGATTCTGGCCTGAAAACGCCGAAAAAAATGTAAACAAGAAACAAAAATGTGAATATCTCATTTTGTAAGTATCAATTCGGCCCAAGGAGCTTATTTGCTGATCCTTCAACCTTACTCTTTAAGTACGCGTTGAGGTTTTGTCGTTAAGACGACTACTTCAGCTGGAAAGTGGTTTACCAACTAACGCGGTAAAGTGGTGAAAACGGCAAAAACGGCCGTGCACGCATCGCCGCAGCCAAGGCCCGCCAAATCAGCCCCGTTTCCACCCCCTGGTCTAGCTGCATGGCCCGTGTTGCCTTGTGTTAGGAAGCTGGACAGTGCAGAGCTACGGCGGCAGTGCAGCCCTTTTGCGCGCCTTTTCAGGCAACCCCTACCCCTACACGAGAGCCTATCAGTAAAAGCCCAGGATTCTGCCAAGAGCGTGCCAACGCACTGGAGGGGCCCAGCCGGCATTTTGGCGGGCCGTTGCCGCCACTGCAGTTCGGCATTTGGCCGCTCCGCCTCGGGGCGGCGCCACCTGCCGGGGCGCCCCGAACGACGCGCGCGAGTGCGTCTCATTCATGCCCCCGTTCGGACCGCGCCACCGCGCCCAGGGGAGGGTTCACCTGGCCGGCGAGGCGGGGTGGCGTCCGAAACGCGGCGCGGTCCCGGATGCGGCCCCGTCCGGTCCAGTGCGCCGCATGGCATTCCCTCCGCGCTCCGCCGCACGCGGACCGCCGCGCGTTGTGTACCTTCGAGAACGTCAACAGGGGCGCGCTGTTTTGAGTTTGGCCTCGGACCTCCCCGTCGACGGCCGTCTCGGAACACTCGTCGTTGTTGGCGCGGCCGTGAAGGTCGCCCTGCGCGCCGGGGCTGGCGGGGGCGGCGGGGGCTGGCGGGGGCGGCCCGGGCGCCGGGGGAGGGACGGCGCGGATTGGGGTTAGTAGGTGTCCATATAAGACGGCACCCCGGACGGAAGGCGCACATTTCCCTTCGCGCACGGACCGGAGATGGCGTTCACCAAGACCGTTGTCGTGGCCGCCCTGGCGGTGGCGGTGTTCGCCCAGGTACGCGAGAGTTTTTCTAGTGTCAGCGTCGCCGGCGAGTGACGTGTGTGTGCGCGCGCGTGTGCTTGTAGTGGTGTTGTGTGAGTGGTGTGCAGTGCGACCCAGTGGAACAGTGCAGTGAAAGTGAAGAAGACTTTTTAGTGATTGTGTTTTTGAGATAGGGGGTAGTGAGTGGGTGTTTCAGAGAAGTGAGCAACCCGAGTGTTTTAGTGATGTCGCAGAACCTTGGACTTCGTAACGACTCCCGTGGCAGTCTCGTCGAAGTGTTTGAGGGTCCTGACGCGAGTCTGTGTTTCTGTCCGCAGCTGTCTACCGCTGGCTGCTCGTGCGGCTGCGGCAGCTCCGACTCGAGCTACGGCTCCGACAGCTACAGCTCCGGTTCCGGTTCCGGCTCAGGCTACGGCTCTGAGAGCTACAGCTCCGGTTCCGGTTCCGGTTCCGGCAGTGGATACGGCTTCATCGGCGCCGCCGCCCGCCGCGCGCCCGTCGACGACTCCTGGACCAACATCCCCAGCAACGCCATCGTGACCAACAGCGAGTCCGCCAACGACTGCGTGGTAAGTGCAATCACTCGCACAGTGGGCCAGAAGACCGGTGGAGGCGGCCAAAACTCTAGACGCGTTTTGAGCCCCAGAGTCGCTAAGCAGGCCTCGAACCGAACGTGTGACCCCACCAATGGATTCCTCGTTCGGAAAGCAATCCATTGGTAGGGTCACACGTTCGGTCCAAGCCCTGTTTTGGCCGCCTCCACCCGTCTTCTGGCCCAGCCCACTGTGACTCGCTAAAACATTGCAAAATACACTTAATTCCTTTTTGAAATGAGGAGTGGCTAAGTGATGTCCGTCTGCTTCAGTACAACGAGATCCGCATGCCCGACTACGCCGCTCCCGCCGTCGCCATCGTCCGCCCCGCGGCCGCCCCCTGCAGCCAGGTACGAAGGGCGCGAAGTGCATTCAGACCACTTCAGGCGTTTTGCCGCGTGGCCGTGGAATGTGTCCACACTTTGTGCAACTGCTGTCGGGAGCTGTTCCCCAAGGGGAATTCACTGTGAATTTCGGTGTACAAATCCAATGAATTTCAGTCGAATTTCGATGAATTTCCGTGTACAAATTTGGCTGGAGTTATTTCCCCTTGCTGTTCCCCGTCGCGCAGTGGGCCTGAAGACACGGCCAAAACTCTAGACGCGTTTTGAGCTCCAGAGTCGCTAAATGGGACTCGAACCGAGCGTGTTACCCCACCAACGGATTGCTCTCCGAACGAGGAATCCATTGGTGGGGTCACACGTTCGGTTCGAGTCCTGCTTAGCGACTCTGGAGCTCAAAACGCGTCTAGAGTTTCGGCCGCCTGCACCGGTCTTCTGGCACACTGTGCGTAAGTGAAATTTCCCTTCCGCGTTCCCCGATCCGCTTCCGGAGTGAAAACACCCCCTGTGACCTTGGCCCGCAGCACCTGTCCTACGACATCGAGGTGCCCGCCTCCCAGGAGACGAAGTTCGTGCCCAGCTATCACAGCGCCAGCATCGAGGTGCCCGTCCAGGCTAGGGCCGCCTCCACCTCCTACGGCTCCCTGCCCTACAGCGTCGAGGTGCCCGTCAGCCAGGAGCAGGAGTGCCGCAAGTAAGTCTGACGTGAGGCCGCGCCGTTTAAAAAGTGGTCGCCAAATTTTTCTTTCTTCTCTCTCGAGCAAAGGATCCATCTTTCATTCGCCCGTTAACATTTAGTTTTCGCATTTCTCCAAGAGTACCTCGGATTTAAAGACTATGCTCTTCAGCCGCGCCTGTTCACTTTGAACTCGCACTGACCCCGCCCTCTTCGCCCGTTCGTCCCAGGCTCAGCCCCCTGAACGTGGAGATCGCCGTGCCCGTGCGCCAGCGCCAGGTCGAGACCCGCCTGCACTCCAGCTACACCGTGGAGGTGCCCGCCGAGGAGCGCGTCAGCACCCGCCTGACCAACCTGCGCGCCAACGTGGACCGCATCGTGCTGCCCGCCCAGGAGACCTACTGCGCCCCCAACAACGGGCCCGCCCCCGTCGAGCAGGTGCACTACGTCGCCGTGCCCGCCCCCAGACCCGCCTGCCCCAGCCCCGTCGGCCTCCTCGGCCTCCGCAGCAGCAGCTCTTCCTTCAACTACAACGTGCCCAGCGGCGTCAGCAGCGGCAGCAGCGGCAGTAGGTACGTCGAGGACAACGACGACGACGACCACGACGACGATGACGATGAGGAGGAGAAGAAGTGTGACGAGGACGAGGAGACCACCGTGGTCAAGGCGGGCTGCTTTTACACCGAGCAAGAGGAGACGGGTAGGGACAGAAGGAAGAGGGATGTAGAGGCACAGGTGGGGGAGGCAGAGGCAGACTTAGATGTAGAGGAGGGGGAGGTGGGGGAGAGCGTAGAGGAGGTGGTGACCACCGAGGAGAAGGAGGAGACTGTCGAGGAAAAGAAGGAGGAGACGGTAGAGCAGGTGGAGGAGGTCGAGGAGGGGGAGAAGGGCGAGGAGCTTCAGGAGGAGGAGGAAGTAGCCCAAGAAGCCCAGGGCGTCGAGGACGCGGCGCTGGACCCCGAGTTCGTGGCGGCGTCCGAGAGCGCGGACGGCGAGGACGGCGACGCCGCCGCCCTCAACAAGCGCATGTGTAACTCCCAGAGCATGAGCCGGTCCGGCGGCAGGGGTTGCTCGACGTCGGTGCGGATGGCGGACGACTGCCAGCGCGGCGGTCCCACGCGCTTCTACCTCGACACGTACGACGACGACAACGCGCCTCGCCGAGCCTCTCAAAGCTCCACTTGTGCTTGCAGCGGGGGCCAGCAGCGCGACACAGCGCCCAGGGCCGGAGGCAGCAGGTGTTCCATCTGGCGCCCGACATCGTCCTCGTCATCCTCGCGAAGTAGTTCTTCTAGTGGCGGATGTTCCCGTGGGAGTGGGAGTATGCGTGGGCCTCGTTGCCAGGGGCAGAGGCAGGGTCAGAGGCAGAGGCAGGGGCAAGGGCAGAGGCAAGGGCAGATGCAGGGCCAGTGTGAGAGTGGGGCGCGCAGCCGGCAGAGCTGTTCTGGCGGACAGGGTTCACGTGCTTCCCAGAGGCGCGCTGGCGGCTCGGCGTGCCGGGGCCGCGGCGGCAAGGGCGCCGACGAGAGCCTCATCATCGCGCCGTACCGCATCCCCGAGACGCAAGTCCGAGACCTCATCGACAACGGGGGCTGCAACTGCGGCTGTCAGTCCTGTGGACAGCCTGGACGGCGTGGACGGGGTGGACAACGCGGCACGGCCTCGTCGGAGTCCTCCAGGATCGTCAACGAGCCGTCAGACTCCGAGTCGGGCTGCTCCAGCGGCCGCATCATGAGCGGCGACGAGGACTACGAGTACGACGGCGAGGACTACTACGATGACTACGAGGACGACTACGCCGGCCGCGACTACGAGGGCCAGGACGTCGCCGAGGACGTCGTCGAGGACCGCGCCGCGCCGGCCTCGCAGTGCAGCTGCAACTGCGGCTGCGACTGCGGCACGCGCCGCCGCGGCTACCACGACATGGTGCGCGCCGCGCAGAGGGCGCACCGCGAGAACAGCGGCTGCATCGGGGGGCGCACCGTGCTGGTGCAAAACCCGGAAACCGGCCTGGCCCCCCTCAAGCGGGACTGCCTGCGCGAGGACGACGGCCGCGACCTGCCGTCGTCATCCTGCTCTTGTGGAGCCGCCAGGGACCTGCCGTCGCCGTCCTGCTCTTGTGGGGCCGCCCGCGACCTGCCGAAGTCGTCCAGCAACTGTGGGGCTGCCAGGGACCTGCCTTCGTCTTCATGCTCTTGTGGAGCTGCCAGAGACCGAGAGCTTTCGACGCCGTGCACTTGCGGAGCCGCCCGAGAGCTTCCTTCAAAGCCGTGTACTTGTGGGGCCGCCCGGGAACTGCCTTCGACGCCATGCTCTTGCGGAGCCGCCCGGGAACTGCCTTCATCGTCATCTACCTGTGGATCCACCAGGGAACTTCAGCCGTCGACCTGTGGTGCTGAAAGAGACCTGCCTCCGTCTTCCTGCGCTTGCGGCGCGGCCAGAGACCTGCCTTCGACCTGTGGTGCCACCAGAGACCTGCCGGCGTCCACATGCACTTGCGGCGCTGCCAGGGACCTGCCTTCAACTTCGTGCACTTGTGGTGCTGCCAGAGATCTGCCTTCGACTTCGTGCACTTGTGGCGCGGCAAGGGACCTGCCTACAACTTCGTGCTCTTGCGGTGCTGCCAGGGACCTGCCTTCACCTTCGTGCACTTGCGGCGCTGCCAGAGACCTCCCTTCAACTTCGTGCACTTGCGGAGCTGCTCGAGACCTGCCGTCAACTTCATGCACTTGCGGCGCCGCCAGAGACCTGCCCTGTGACTCCGCTCGCAGCTCGCCCACCTTCATGTGCCCCATCTGCGGCAAGGGGCTGCGCGCCGAGCACCTGGACCACATCTGCAAGTGCATCACGGAGCAGCGCGACCTTGCCCGCTCCGGCGACGCCTGCGGCCGCAGCGAGGAGCCGCGCCGCGCCGCGCCCTGCGAGTCCCGCGCCGCCAACATGGTGGAGGTCGCGCCGCACGCCATCATGATCCCCATCCCCATCATGAGGAGCGCCCCCATGGCCTGCCAGCCCAGCGTCCGCGCCGACCCTTGCCAGCCCAGCGTCCGCGCCGCCCCCGCCTGCGAGTCCGACGGCCGCAGCGGCCAGAGCGCCGAGGTCGGGTCCGCCTGGGTCAAGGAGTGGATCAACGAGATCAACCGCGCGCTCAGCAACTCGCAGCAGCAGCAGCAGCCCTGCTTCACCTGCGGGGCGCCGTGCGTGGACTCGTGCTACTGCCGCGGCCAGCGGTCGCCCAAGCCCGAGGACGTGCCGACCAAGGAGGAGCTGGAGGTCGAGGCCGAGATCAGGGAGAGCGCGGAGGCCGAGGAGAAGGCGGACATCGTGGAGGAGGCCAAGGACGGCGCCGAAGTGGTGTCCGAGGAGAAGGACGAGCTGAAGGAGTCGAGATAGGCGTGCAGTTAGAACGTTGCCAAGCCCCCTGCCTCTTTGCTCTGTGTTGTCCCATGTGTTTGCCTTAATTTATTTGTGTTAATCTTAATTTATTGATGTGTTCATTGTTCATCTCAAAATTTCAGTCATTTGTCGTGTTCATGATTCTCAATCACATTGTCATTGTCACCGCTTCGCAACATGTCATACCACCCCAACCATTTCATGTGCAAATCCCCCAGGTGTGTTGGTTCGGAGAGATGGGCATGCTTTCATTTTCATAATTTCGCTTTCATTTCCCCTCAACTTCATTCATTCTTATTGCGATTCACGTTCATTCATTTCCCCATTCTCACAAAACCCCGTTCGCGCGCGATTTCATTTCGTTTCATTTCATTCATTCCATGGACGGCACCCGTTTTTTTGCATCTTCTTTCCACAGCCTAATGGCGTCGTCCTGTCTCTGTTGCAGCAGTGGCTGCAGGTGCCCCTGCGATGACTAGGCGACTTTCGCGAACCCAGCGCGGCCGGCAAGGCGCCTTCTTCTTCACACATCCCTCACACTTCCAAATTCAAAAGAAAAAGAAAAGAAAGAAAAAAAAGTAACGATTCTTGTTATTTGTTGATGTTTCGTTATGATTGTTTTTGTTGCCCATCCCCATCTCTCCCGCCATGCATCGCCAATTTGTTGATAATAAACAACATGTTACCAAAGATCTCCCGTTGTCTCTTTGTTTTCACCTCCCCATTTTCACTCCAGAAGAGCATCCACAAAGTTTCAGCGGCTTGAACAGAAAATTGTAAAGGAGAGGAAGGCTTCCGGGCAATTTTTACACTTCCCAATTCAACCAGAAGTTACAATAATAGGTACCTTTGACCTACCTAATACAAAGATCAATTTTTAAAAAATCAATAAAAAATCAGAAAAAAATCTCATTCAACGAACGTTAATGAAAGCAGATGATACTCGTTTGGTTTTCTTCTACAAGGTAGTATGGGCTCATTCCTAAGATAGTATTTGAAAACTGCGAGTCCTTTGTGCCGTGGCCTGCAACACCGCGCAGTGCCCGTTGGATTGCGAGCGCCCGGTGCCTCTGCGCTGTAGCGGGGAGGGATTGCCAATGTTGCGCGCAGGCCGTCGCGCGCGAGGAGGGGTGCCATTGTTTACGCCCGGTGCGGGTGCCGCTGTACCGGGGAGGGATTGTCGAAGTTTCGCGCAGACTGCGAGCCCAGCCTCACTCACTATCCCGCCCCGGCCGCCAGCCCCTATCACTGTTAGGATACACACTTTGGTTTCTGGACCCTCGAGTAAAAGCTAGCTGACACCTTTATGTGTCTTGTGTTGTTCTCGATATGTTTTCAAGTAGTGAAGCTATCATCTGCTAAAAATGGAACTCTACACCCCTGGCCCCAGTCTCAATCGCAGGCCTCTCCCTTCGCTTCGGCGTGTTCGGGAAAACACGGCGCGTCGCACCTGTGTGGCACACTGCGCACGTCACGCCCTCACTTTTCGAAACGCGGCAAAACTGTTTGGCTGGCATCGGCGGCCGGTGGATCGCTGATCACGCGCCATCATCGCATCGCTGCTTCGCTATCGAGGACAAGACGGGGCTGCGATTCCCCCAAACAGGGCGGCCCGTGGGTGTGGGCGCGCCGATCGGGGGCGGGGCCGCCCGTAAAAAACGTGCCTTTTATTCGACTGTGCCCCAATTTGTTTGTATTGGCAACGAGTGCGAGAGAGAAAACTATTTCTTGCAGGCATTATGAGAAGTTATAACGCGAAAGAGACGAAAAAATCCGGGGGGAAATGTTGGTATTCGAACCCGGGACCCGGCAAAAGTCATGCGCTACTTTCCACCCCACGGTCAAGGCCACAGCTTCCAGCCGCGGCGGGGTCCGCGGCTTCCGCGATGCTCCAGCTCGTTTCGCGAAGACCCACTCGAATTTCGCGCGGGCAGCGCGGGGGCCGCGCGGGGCTCGGCAGGGGGCTCCGCGGGGGGCGGCGGGGGCGGGCGGGGGCGCGCCGCGGCGGGGCTTAAACGCACCAGGTACGCGCGCCGCGCCCGGAGTCTTCACTCTGACGGCGGACACTTGTGCGGCGAGCATCTATCTGTCACGCAGCGACCACGTCCGTCTTGCCCGCGCGGCTGCTGGTCGAGCACGAGGACTCCGTGCGCGCGTCCCGCGTCCCTCATCGCCGTCCTCCACCGCAGCAGCGCGTCCAGCTCCTGACCGCCGTCACGCCAGTCACGTCCCCGCGGTCGCCATGCTGCGCGCCGCGTGCCTAGTCGGCCTCGTCGCGGTGCTGGCCGTCTTGGCCGAGGTGAGTCTCGGCCGCCATTGGTCCATTGTTTGTCTGCTCGCCCCCACCCTCACAGTGGTCCAACCGAGGAGGGCAGGGCCGCGTCGACGTCTTCACGCCTCAGCAGAACGCGGCCGCGGACCGCGCCGGCGCCTCTGCGAAGGCTGCAGCCTGTAGGTCAAGGGCAATAGTACCGAGTTCATGTAAATGTACTTCACTCAAATTAGCTAATAATTCGGAAAGAAATTAACAGTGTGCAAAGTCGTGAAGTCACCGCTTAGATGCTCTCCCCACACCATCATCAGCGCTGTTAGGCCTCAGCAGACCTCTAGCGTGCTGGTGCCTAAATGCCACGCTCAAAATAAGTTGTGATAGGCGCCGCCTGTGATAATACAAACTAATCGAACCTAACCTAACCTAACCGCGTGACATCCCGCAACCCACGACGGACAGAACGGGAGCGTGTGTGGAGCGAGAGAGACAGGACGGGGACGTCTGTAGCGCGAGAGCACGCGAGAGAGACAGGACGGGAATGTCTGAAGTGCGAGAGAGACATCCATCCGAGCAGACGCGCGGACTGACGTGCGCTGTGGGACGCTGATGGTCATCGTCAGTGGGTCGGCGCGGCGTGCAAAGTGCCAAGTAAGATGCATGCATGCAGAGGCGGCGGAATAGGAATGCCTTGGGAGTGCCCGGCCCTAGGCCCGGCCGGCTTGGCGACCCACTTTTACTGGATACAGCCGCCCCTGGCCTGCCGGCGGCGGGCCTTGGTCTTCGCCGTGAACATCATTTCGAAAAGCCCGCGTTCGAACACCGACTGCGCTTCCATTTTTTTTCGTCGTCAATTTTTGAAGTTGTGTGTTTTGGTGCGTTGCAGGGCTACTCCGTCAACAGGTGCCCCTGCCCCCAGTCGGAGCAGAACAGCCCCGAGGTGCTTCAGCTGCTGCGGAAGACCGGCAACGCCTTCAGGCAGGTGGGAGACATCCTGCTGAAGAAGACGGGCTCCTCGGGCACGGCCGCCCCACCGGCCGCGCACCGCCCCGCCGCCCACGCCGCCCACACCGCCCACGCCGGCCGCAGCTACGCGCAACCGGCCTACTCCCCGCAGGGCTACCCCCAGCAGAGCTACCCCCAGCAGAGCTACCCCCAGCAGAGCTACCCCCAGCAGAGCTACCCCCAGCAGAGCTACCCTCAGCAGAGCTACCCCCAGGGCTCCGTCGTCTACTACCCCGTGCCCTTCCCTCCTGCTGGAGTGCCTCAGCCTCAGGTAAGTCAGAAGACAGATTCCGAGAGTCGTTTTCGTCACACCGTTTCTCTCGCACTCACGGGGTGCCCCGTATAAGTGCGAGAGAGACAGAGCCACGAAAACGACCCGCGGAATCAGTTTGCTGAGAGGTCACACACCTCAGTTCAGTTCCACTTGTCGTTTCGGCGTGCGTGATGACACCTTTCTTTCCTGCAGGTGTACCCCGTGCACGCCGTGCACCCCGTGCAGCCCGTGCCGCAGTACCTCCCCGGCGTGTCGTACCCCTCGGCCCCGGCCGCCGCCATCCCCCAGGGCTTCGACGTGGACGCCCCCGCCCCCGCCGAGCTGAGCGACCACCTGGTGTCCCTGGCCAGCGAGTACGAGCGCGCGGCCCAGAACGAGTGCGGGTGCGGCAATGTGGACGTCAACATGCACAAGGGGTCGTCCTCGCTGTCCGGCAAGGCGTCGGACATCGTCGTGGAGGTGACGCTGGGCGACTTGACGCAGAGCGACGTGCAGAAGGGCGTCCAGAAGGAGGAGCACAAGAAGACCGTCAGCATCGACAGCGTGGTGGAGGCCTCCGAGGGCGAGGAAGTCGAGGAGTCCAGCAAGACGTCGTCGTCCTCGTCATCCTCATCGTCCTCGTCGTCCTCGTCATCTTCGTCGTCCTCCGCCAGCATCGAGGAGAAGACGGTCGAGGAGACGGAGGTCACCAACACGGTGCAGGTGGTGGAGGCCATCAAGCTGCAGCCCGAGACCAGCCCGCTGCAGGTGGAGGTGTTTGACAACACCGTCGCCGCCGTCGAGAAGGCCATCGAGAGCTCCGTCGTCGTCAAGAGCGAGTCCGAGGAGACCAAGACCATCGAGACGAGCAGCGGGGAGACCGTGCTGAAGGTCAAGACGTACGAGGAGACGCTGCCCCACACCCACGCCGACGAGGAGATCATCGCCCAGGGCGGCGAGGAGGAGGCCGTGCAGGAGGTCATCGAGGAGACGGTCCAGGACAGCCACCGCGACAGCGCCCACGTCTACACCAGCCACGCCGACACCGCTCGGTCCGAGGCCTCGCAGACCACATACGAGGAGAAGGTGGAGGTCGTCGAGGTCAAGGAGGAGAGGCTGGAGGAGCTCAAGAAGGAGGCCTCCGTCGTGTCCGAGATGGTGGAGACGGTCGACTTGGAGCAGGGACAGCAGAACGCCTACTCCAGCCACACCAACAACGACGTGCAGATCACCGTGGTGGACGTGGAGAACAAGGGCACCCAGAAGAACGAAGCCACCCAGACGGACGACGCGCTGTACGAGTACGAGTACGAAGACACCGCCGGCGACTCCGGCGACTGCGTGGACGAGGACGCCAAGGACCTGCAGCAGTACTTCCCCTCTGCGCCCAAACACTGCAGCGCCGACGAGGAGAAGAAATACGACCTGCAGGAGGGCGAGCACATCGTCGCGGAGCGGCCCCGCCCCGTGGAGAACGTGCAGGTCGTCGTCGAGGGCTCCAGCGGCCAGTCCTACGCCGAGGGTCTCAACACGCACACGGCCACCAAGACCGTCTCCACCATCACGACCACCACCACCTCGCAGAACGGCCAGAACCAAGCTGGAAACGCCCAGTACGGCCACAGCAGCCACGCGCACTCCGCCGCGTTCCAGCCTCAGGCTCACGGCACTCTTCACCACCACCAGATCGCTCAGCCCGCCCAGACCCCCGCTGCCGTGCCCTACGAGGTGCCCTGCGAGGCACACTACGGCCTGCCCAAGCCCGGGTACCGCCAGCAGCAGCAACAGCAGCAGCAGCAACAACAACAGCAGCAGCAACAACAGCACTTCCAGCAGTATCACCACCACCACAACCAGCAGCAACAGCAACAACAGCAGCAACAGCAACAACACTATCACCATCATCACCATCACCAGCATCAGCAGCAACAACAGCCGCAGGTTCAACAGTCCTATGAGTTCTCCGCTGCATCCGGCAGCCACGGCGAGAACGTCCAGTCCTACCAGCAGCAGTCCCAGGCGGCCCAGGCTCAGCAGTTCGCCCAGAGCGCCCAGAGCTACTCCGCTCCTCAACAGAGCTACTCTTCCCAACAGAGCTACTCTCAACAACCGTCATCCTATCAGCCCGAGCCCGAATGTGAGTGTGAGGAGGAATCTCCGGAGGACACTCAGCAGAGCTACGCCGCCCCCAAGACGGTGTACTCCGCCCCCGAGCAGCCCCAAGTCTCTGCGTACCGCCAGACCACGACGCACGTCTCCAACGTTCAGTCCCAGTCGCAGCACCAGCATCAGTCTCAGCCTCAGTACCAGTCAGCGCCCGCCGTCTACGCCGTGGCCAAGGCCAGCCCTCAGCCTCAGCCTCAGTACCAAGCAGGGCCCCCGGTCTACGCCGTGCGCCAGCCTAGCCAGAAGCCCCATACCCAGTACCAGGCAGGGCCCCCCGTCTACGCTGTGCCCCAGCCCAGCCCCAAGCCTCAGCCCCAGTACAAGGCAGGGCCTCCGGTCTACGCCGTGCGCCAGCCCAGCCCCCAGCCTCAACCTCAGCCCCAGTACCAAGTAGGACCTGCCGTCTACGCCGTGCGCCAGCCCAGCACCGCGACGCAGCACCAGCAGGCCACCACCAACACCAAGCACTCCGTGACCCAGTACACCAGCAACCAGGGCGCCAGCTACAATCAGTACCCTCAGAGCCAGCCCCAGAGCTACGACGAGCAGTACACCGTCTCGGAGTACAAGCCCGCCGTGCAGCACGCCGGCCAGTCGCCCGCCAAGACTGTCACCTACGCCCAGCCCCAGCAGAGCTACCAGCCCGCCGTGTCGCAGCAGCGCAGCTACACCAGCACGACGAGGGAAACGACCGTGAGCAAGCCCGCGTCCAGCTCGCAAGTGTACGTGCAGGCGCAGCAGCAGCCGTCCGCGAAGTCCTCCACCACTTGGCAGCAGGCCTCCAACAACGCCCAGGCCGTCTCAAAGAAGCACAGCCCCGCGCAGTACCCCCAGTACTACTTCACGGCCAGCTCCAACAGCGTCTACGCACCCGCCATCGCCAAGCCCCAGCACGCTGCCCCCAGCAAGGCCCCCAGCAAGGCCCCCAGCAAGGCCCCCACCGTGTCCTTCAGCAGCTACTCGGAGGGCCCGGAGGTGGACTCGGCTGAAGTGGTTCCCCAGCGGTACGCAAGTGAGATCTCCTACAACAAGCCCGTCGTCAAGGTGGTGTCCAGCGCGCCTGTTGTCCAGAGCCAAGGCAACGCTCAGCGATACTCCAGTCAGCAGAGCTACTCCGGTCAGCAAAGCTACCCCAGTCAGCAGAGCTACCCCAGTCAGCAGAGCTACGTCAGAGTCCAGAGTCCCGCAGCACCAGTCGAGGACTCCGTCGAGGACTCCGCCGAGGAAACCGTAGAGGTAGTTCCACAGCACTTCTCCAGCAAGCCTGTCTACGCCAAGACCGCCGTCTTCCAGAGCCGCCCAGCTCCAGTTCAGCACGGCAAAGTCGCCCCCGCCAGACCGGCGCAAAGCTTCCCCAGCTTCCAGACCTACGCGGCTCCAGAAGAGGACAGCGAAGAATACGCCCCTGCTCAAACCGTCGTCGTCTCCAGCGGCCCTTCGAAGTCGTTCTCCAGCTTCCAGACCTACTCCGCTCCCGAAGAGAACTCTGCCGAAAACGTTCCAGTGAAGACCATCGTCTCCAGCGGCCCCTCCAAGTCATTCTCCAGCTTCCAGACCTACTCCGCTCCTGAAGAGAACTCCGCTGAAAGCGTTCCAGTGAAGACCGTCATCTCCAGCGGCCCCTCCAAGTCATTCTCCAGCTTCCAGACCTACTCCGCTCCGGAACAGAACTCTGCCGAAAGCGCCCCAGTACTCTCCAGCGGTCCCTCTAAGTCATTCTCCAGCTTCCAGACTTACTCTGCTCCCGTAGAGGACTCCGTCGAAAGCGCTCCAGTGAAGACCATCATCTCCAGCGGCCCGTCCAAGTCATTCTCCAGCTTCCAGACTTACTCTGCTCCCGTAGAGGACTCCGTCGAAAGCGCTCCAGTGAAGACCATCGTCTCCAGCGGCCCGTCCAAGTCATTCTCCAGCTTCGAGACCTACTCTGCCCCCGTAGAGGACTCTGCCGAAAGCGTTCCTGTTCAGGCCTTCGTCTCCAGTGGTCCCTCCAAGTCGTTCTCCAGCGGTCCGTCTAAGTCGTTCTCCAGCTTCCAGACTTACTCTGCTCCCGTAGAGGACTCCATCGAAAGCGCTCCAGTGAAGACCATCGTCTCCAGTGGCCCGTCCAAGTCATTCTCCAGCTTCCAGACTTACTCTGCCCCGTAGAGGACTCTGCCGAAAGCGTTCCCGTTCAGGCCTTCGTCAGCGGCCCCTCCAAGTCGTTCTCCAGCGGTCCGTCTAAGTCGTTCTCCAGCTTCCAGACTTACTCTGCTCCCGTAGAGGACTCCATCGAAAGCGCTCCAGTGAAGACCATCGTCTCCAGTGGCCCGTCCAAGTCATTCTCCAGCTTCCAGACTTACTCTGCTCCCGTAGAGGACTCTGCCGAAAGCGTTCCCGTTCAGGCCTTCGTCAGCGGCCCCTCCAAGTCGTTCTCCAGCGGTCCCTCCAAGTCGTTCTCCAGCTTCCAGACGTACTCTGCCCCCGTGGAGGAGGTCCAGGAAGCCGTCCCCGCGCCTTCGTACTCCAAGAACATCGTCTTCAACAAGCCCGTCGTGGTGCCCGTCTCGTCCGAGAGCTCTGACGACGTTTCTGGCCCAACCCGGATCGACCTCTTGTCTTCAGTGGGCAAATCTTCAGCGGGCTTTGACTTCCCCGCCGCCTTCGAGAAGAACGACAAGCCCGCGAAGGTGGTGGTGTCCGGAGCCAGCCGCCCCAGCGTGTGGTCGGCCGCGGAGGACGTCCACGAGAGCCTCGAGTAAACGCAAAGATTCAAAATTAAACCTGTTATTTATTTTTTGAAATTAAAAGTTACCTTTCTTTGTACTTAGTATTTAACAGATGTGTTCGCAAAGTTCTTGTGGGAGTGTACATACTATTTATGTCATTTGTTTCCATGTGAGATGAAATTAATAAACACTAGGAAACTTACAATTTACTGTGTTCTCAATTGCCCTCTCTGGAATGTGGATAAAAGAAAATCGAAAACAAAACAAAAATACTACACACAGTACAGAATGGTGTAAGACCAAGCAATACGAAAAGAGTTCTATTCATTCGTTTTGAAATTACATAACATTAACTTTTCTCGTGTTCTCAGAGAATTATAGCGTGAGGAAAGAATCATGCCAATACATTACGCCCCAAAGAGCTAGGTTTTTGTATTTTCGGCGCAAGCTTATGGTTCAAGGCTCTTGAAACTGAACTAAACGATGCTGTGCAGAAAACGCCCCCATGTTCGGCACGAATTTCCGAGTGCCAGACAGCCGCCTGACGGGTAGGCACCCCGCCGTAGAGCTGCGCACGATGGTTTGCCTGCCCTCCCGGCGCTCACGGCGGTGACTAACATTACCATTAGGGGCTAGGCACACACCCGCAGACCGTGCGGCGTGCGCCAAGCCACCAAGCTCGCTAGCGACGAGCTGCCAGCCAGGGCTGCTATTGCAATTCAAAAATTATATATACTTAGCAAAAAAATCAGATTACTTCCTGCACCCTAGTATACTTAGCACGGAGTTGCATGACAGGTGCCGAAAAGAAATTTGGTTCGGTTTTGAATCATAGTGGTCACACACCGGTCCCACTCTGTCGAAAAGGAGGAAGAAATTGAAAAGACGGAAGTCTGCGTGAAATATGGATTCGAACCTCAGTCTCCAGCTTTCTGGACCGACGCCCCTGCAGCTGCGGCTAACGAGAAAACCGCGACGGTGGCCGGGGCGGCGCCGCAGCCGCGCGGCCAAGGCCAAGTCGCGGGCCGAGTTCACCACAAACTTGGAAACGGCCAATGTCACGCCCACGCCGAGGTGCAAAACAACGCCGCAAAACGGGCGAAAACGGCGAGAAATGGCGCCGTCCGCGAGTCCGGGGTGTTGACGACCGCCACGCAATGCGTGTTGGCGGCGGCGCGGCGACGGGCTGCCGGCCGCCGCCACTGTTTGCCAAATAACGGCGGGAAGGGAAGACCAGGCAAGACCGGGGAAGACCAAGGGAAGACCAGGGAAGACCATCGGGGAGGCTCCAAAGGAAACACTTTTAAACTTACCGAAAACCTTGCCGACTTTGCTAAAACTTTTGCGTCACCGCACTGGCAATTAAACAAATAAAAACAGAAATTTAGTGGATTTGAACCCCCGGCAACAGTTAACAGGAAGGGACTGTGTTCAAAATAGGAGCCACCCTGTTAAGACGCAAGGCGTGGAGGATTCCGTCGTTTAGTCTGAAGATCGGCTGGCCGTCAAAGCCTCGGCCCACGCCGGCCTCGGCTAGGGCGTGCGCCGCACCGCAGTGACGCACAGTGGGCTAGAAGACCGGTGGAGGCAGCCGGAACCTTTAACGTGTTTTGAGCTCTTGAGTCGCTAAATGGGACTCGAGCCGAATGTGTGACCCAACCAATGGACTTTTCCTTCGGAGAGCTGGAGGGGTCACTCGTTCGGTTCGAGTCCTGTTGAGCGATTCTGGAGTTCAAAACGCGTCTTGAGTTTTGGCCGCTTGCGCCGGTCTTCTGAGCCACTGCGGGCGGTGCGCCGTGAGCCGTGCGTCCCTTCAACACACTGAACTTACAGGGTTTCCCACAAATCCAAACAAGTTTTTCTTTACGGTGTTGGTGTTTGTCCCCATGTTCCACGTTGATCCGTCTGTGCATGTTCCGCAAGCAGTCCGGGCACGCCCTGCACGGTGGCCGAGATGGAGGCCACGACGGCCTTGCCAATCGGCACCGTGACGTCACGGAGGTCGGCCAAGCAGCACTGCCTGAATCACCAGGCCACCCAGACACGGCTTCGAACACGCACACGCGCTCACACGCACACATACACGCGCGCACACACGCACACGTGCCTGGCCGCTGACTGTTTGAACGGATCAAATCGGCGATACGTGGCGGCGTGGTGGCCGCGCGTGCCTTGTAACCGATAGGTACTCGATAGGGGCGACGCGGCGGCGCGGCGCGGCTGTCAACCCCTGCGGCCGCCCCCCGCCCCGCCCCCGCCACGCCTCGCCACGCCGCGCCTCACCCCGCCTCGGCCGCGCCGACGCACCCCGCCTGCTCCCGCCCCGCCCGTTTCCGCGGAACCGCGCGCCGCGCCGCCGGAACTGGCGTCGTCTATAAAAGCAATCAGCGGGTGGGGAGGCCAGTCATTCTCTGGAATCTCTCTACACCGCCATGGCGCGCGCAGTACTTTGGTGCGTCGCCATCGTGGTCCTCGCCGGCTGCTGCCACTTCCTCCAGGTAAGTCCAAAGTGCCGACGACCGAACTTGTCGGCTTTCTTTCCGGGGCTTCGCGCCGCGTCACTGAGGTCAGGTCTCGGGTTCAAATCCCGCCAGCGCCGAGTGCTTTTTTCTCCAGACGGGTTTCTTCACTGTTGAGATTGAGGTTCCTAGGGCGCTCTTCCCTTGCTGCTGAAGTCAAGGGCGGATCCAGAGAGGCGTTTGGATGTAGTAAAAGTTGTCTACCCTCCAGGCGGTTTTCCTGCCTTGGGGTGAGCGCGAAGAGGGCGACGACACCATCGCCTCCCCTGGATCCACGCCTGGCCGTCGTGGAGGCAGATTCTGACGGACGCTTGTCCTGCTTGTTTCAGGAAGCGCGGGCCGCTTCCGTGGGGGTGGCCAGCAGCGGCTCCGGCCTCTGCCCCTGTGACGGCGATGCCACGGAGCACGAGGCCGGCATGAGCCCGTCCTGCAACAAGAAGGTCCTGCGCCTGCTCGAGAACACGGGCAAGGCCCTGACGCAGGTCAGCGACGCGCTGCGCACCGGGCCCAACAAGAACAACAACCAGAACGTGGCCACCGCCACCATCAACCTCGGCGGGCTGCCCGGCTACGGGCACGCCCCCATGCACAGCCCGGTGCACGCCCCCATGGCCGTCCAGCACCCCTACTACTACGTGCTGCCCAACGGCCAGCCTGGCTACCAGCAGAACAACAACCTTCAGGTGAGTCCCCCCGAACCGTCGACACGCTTTCCGCGGCGGTGTTTTGGTTTGAACTGTGGACTGTAGGGGCGTGGAATCCGCCGGCCTGCGGGCATGTGTTGTGGGTTGCCTGCCATGGGGCGTTTTGGAAAGGCGATTTGTCCGTGTGTCCGTGTGTGTGTGTGTGTGTGGGGGGGGTGAAATCACCCTCATAGCCCCGACAACCACCACGCGCGGCCGTTGTGTGGCGTCGGGACCCGCGTTCAAATCCAACAATGTGTTTTTGCCTTTAACTTGTAATTAGAAGTTTATCTGTGTAGTAAGTGCAAAGTGATTCAACTTTGTTCTTTTTGCAGGGTTCTTTCGGCCAGTCCTACGGCAACAGCTACAGCACTGGCTACAGCAACAACCAGGCTGGCGGCAGCAGCAGCAGCAGCGGGTGCAGCAGCTCCAGCAGCAGCGAGGACAAGTCCAGCACGCAGTACTACGTGCAGCTGCCCAACGGCAACGTGCAGGCCCTCAATGACTTCATCAAGGACGCCAAGCAGTCCTCCTCCTCCAAGTCCTCGTCGTCGTCCTCGTCCTCCGCCTCCTCGTCGAGCTCGTCCTCCGGCTCCCGCACCTCGGACGACTTCAAGGTCGTGATGCCCGACAAGAAGGAGATCTCCTACAAGGACTACCTGGCCGTGGTCAAGACCATCGACGAGAACCACTCCGTGCAGGTGCTGCTCCCCAGCGGCGAGGTCGTCGAGGTCACTTCGTCCGAGGACATCGAGGAGATCACCAAGGACACGCCCAGCGCCATCATCCTGCTGAAGAACGGCGCCGGCATCCACGCCAACAGCTACACCAACATCGTCAGCAACTACCGCAACAACCAGCTGCAGATCGTGCTGCCCACCGGCGAGATCAAGCCCCTCATCACCTCCTCCAAGAAGAGCTCCTCTTCCAGCAGCTCTAGCAGCAGCAGCAGTAGCAGCTCCAGCAGCTCCAGCAGCGGCAACCGCCAAGGCCAGTACACTAACAACAACAACGGCGGCAATGGTCAGCAGGGCCACCCCAACGGCGGCAACGGCCAGGATCAGACCACCACCACCACCACCACCACCACCACCACCAGCAAGCCCTCCTACAACCAGCAGAGCCAGCACAGCGAGCACAGCGAGTCCGAGACCAAGAACGCCGCGTCGTCCTCGTCATCCGCCTCCTCCGACAAGCACACCGACAACAGCGACACCAAGTCGTCCTCCGCCGCCGCGGCCGCCGCCTCCTCCTCCGAGAAGAAGACCAGCGACCACAACGACAAGGACTCCGTGAACAAGGACGGCAGCAAGGTGCACGAGGCCGAGGACAGCAGCAAGGACGAGAAGCAGGCCAACGCGGCGGCCTCGTCCTCCTCCGCCAAGAACGAGGTCACCAAGAACGGCAACACCGTCAACAAGAAGACCTCCTCCAGCTCGTCCTCGTCCTCCTCGAGCTCTCACTCCACCAAGGAGACCAAGACCGTCAAGAAGACCGTCTCCAAGAACTCCTCCTCCGGCCAGGACTCCAGCACCACCCAGCAGGGCGACTCCAGCACCACGCAGCACGGCGACTCCACTTCCACCACTCCCAGTGGCAGCGCGTCGTCGACTACCACCACGCCGAGCCCCAACCACCAGGGCGGCTCCCAGAGCGGCTCCCACAGCAGCTCGCACAGCAGCTCCTCGTCCAACAGCTACACCACCTACATCCTGAATGACGGCACCGTGGTGAGGAGCTACGACAGCTCCAGGCCCGCCAACGCCCGCTACGGCATCAGCAGCAGCGGCCAGGTCGTGGACCTCGACAAGCAGACAACCACCAAGTCGGGCACGTCGACCACCCCCAGCAACCAGGGCGGCTCCGGAACTTCAACCACCCCGAGCAACCAGGGTGGCTACGGAACTTCAACCACCCCTAGCCAGAACGACCAGGGCGGCCACGGAACTTCAACCACCCCTAGCCAGAACAATCAGGGCGGCCAAGGAACTTCAACCACCCCCAGCTCCGGTGACAACCAGTCTGGCAACAACAACAACTACAACAACAGCAAGTCGATCAGCTACTACATCACCGTGGACGGCTCCATCGTGAAGAACACCGGCGGCAGGCCCAGCAACGCCAAGTTCGCCATCACCGACAAGGGTCAGGTCGTCTACGTGTTCAGCGGCTCGAACGACTCCACCACGGCGTCCGATTCTTCCACCACCCCCAACCCCAACGGCCAGGACGGTTCTGGAACTTCAACAACCCCCAGCTCCGGTGGCAACCACTCTGGCAACAACAACAACTACAACAACAGCAAGTCGATCAGCTACTACATCACCGTGGACGGCACGATCGTGAAGAACACCGGCACCAAGCCCAGCAACGTCCAGTACGCCATCACCAAGGACGGCCAGGTCGTCTACGTGTTCGACGGCTCCAACGGCTCCACCACGCCGTCCGGTTCATCCACCACCCCCAACCCCAACGGCTCTGGAACTTCAACCACCCCCAGCTCCGGTGACCACAACAGCAAGAACAGCAACTCGATCAGCTACTACATCACCGTGGACGGCACGATCGTGAAGAACAGCGGCAGCAAGCCCAGCAACGTCAAGTACGCCATCACCAAGGACGGCCAGGTCGTCTACGTGTTCGACGGCTCCAATGACACCACCACGGCGTACGGTTCATCCACCACCTCCAACCCCAACGGCAACCAGGGCGGCTCCTCGACCGACACCGACCAGCAGCGCTTCAAGGCCTACATCCTCGCCGACGGCACCGTGGTCAAGAACACCGGCGGGCCCGTCCCCGCCAACGCCAAGTACGGCGTGACCGCCACCGGAGACGTCGAGGTGCTCGACGGCTCCGGCAGCACGACGCCCAGCCACGGCGACTCGTCCACCACCACGCCGCGCCCCTGGTCCGGCTCCACCCACCCGGCCTTCTCCTCGTGGTTCAAGTCCTTCATCCTGGAGGACGGCACCATCGTGCCCAACGACGGCAAGACCAGGCCCGACAACGTGGAGTTCGGCATCACGCACTCCGGGGACATCATCAAGTTCGCCGGCGCGTCCTCCACCACCCCGTCCGGCTCCAACACCACCCCCACCCCCGGCACCCACGGCAAGGGCAGCGGCAAGGGCAGCAGCTTCTCGCAGACCTTCACCGAGTTCATCCTGAACGACGGCTCTGTGGTGCCCAACGACGGCAGCGTCGACGTGCCCTACAACACCATCACGTACGGCATCACCAAGACCGGCTCCGTGGTCACCTTCAGCTCCAGCTCCAACAAGCCCCGCACTCCCGGCTCCAGCTCCTCATCCAGCTCCAGCTCTTCATCAAGCTCCAGCTCCAGCTACAACCACAACTCTCCCCAGGGCGGTGACTCGAACTCGCCGTTCAAGGGTGCGGGCGCCAAGCCCGACGACGTCGTGTACGGCATCACCAAGGACGGCAAGGTGGTGAAGCTGTCCGACGAGCCCAGCTCCGACTCGCCCTCCAAGCGTCCCGATGGAAGCAGCCCTAACCAGCACACTCCCAACCAGCAGACTCCTTACCAGCAGGCCAGCGGACAGGAGGACTCCGAGTTCTCGTACTTCATCACCACCCGCGGGGACGTCGTCAAGGTGCTGCCCAAGGGCGGCCAGCCCTCCAACCAGCCCTCCGGCCAGCCCCACTCCACTTCATCCTCGTCGTCGTCGTCCTCGTCCAGCACCAACTACGAGTACGTCTTCAACCAGAACGGCCAGGTGGTGAGCGTGCCGACCAACAACAACAACAACAACGTGGCCTACAAGCAGGTGACCGACCAGTACGGCAACACCCACCTGGTGCCGGTGTCGCAATCGCAGCCCACGCAGTCCCCGTCAACGTCAACCACCTCGACGTCCACCTCATCGTCCACAAAGACCGTCCACGGCGCGTCGCTCAAGCCCGTCACCCTGACTGACTCCACTGGCAAGACCATCCAGGCGTACGTGGTGGAGGACAAGGGCCAGGGCACCTACAACGCGCCCGCCGGCTCCAGCAGCACCAACAGCTTCCAGTTCGCCAGCCAGTCGTCGTCCAGCTCGTACAGCGTGGTGACCGACAACAAAGGCAACTTGTTCCTGGTGCCCAAGTCCAACGGCCAGCCCAACGGCCACCCCAACGGCCACCCCGGCAGCCAGCAGGGCCAGCATGGCCAGCAGGCTGACTTCGTCGTCATCTCCGGCGCCGACGGCAAGACCTACGTCGTCGAGAAGGGTTGCGCCACCGGAAGCCTGTCCGTCGTCAGCCAGCCTCAGCCCACCTCCTCCTCCTCGTCATCGTCGTGTTCCTCCGGCAGCGGCCAGCAGTACACCAAGATCACCTGGGAGAACATCGTGTCCCCCGACGGCAGCGTGCTCTCCGTGCCCGTCAAGACCGTGTACAACTCGGACGGCTCCTTCACGGCGCAGGTCTCGTACAACCCCTCGAGCCAGAGCCGCAAGGTGCTGTGCAACAAGCACTCCGGCAGCTCGTCCTTCTCCACCACCAGCTTCGCCAAGCCCACCGCGTCCTGCCCCTGCGAGACCATCGTCCTGTAGAGGTCGCGAAAGAGCGCGGACGTTTCGACCATGTACCTTTTTCGATTTTGACGAGAGTTGTAGAGATTCCTGCACGAATGACAAATGAAAGTAAGGACCAATAAACTTACTTTGTGATTGAGATTCTTGTGTCTTCATAGCCCTCCCCCTTTCACTAAAAAAAGAACACTCAAAATAAAAGCTTTTGAGGCAACGGCCTTGGTTTTAATTACGCGTCTGGCTACAAATTCTAATGATGCTAAATAGTCTCACTTTAGTTAAAAATTATTTTGAGTTTGCCAAAACTTTTTTAAGCTTTGCAGAAAAGCTCCGCCACGCCCTCTTTTCTACACACCCTCCGCCCTTTACACTGCAAAAGGCCCCCAGACAATTCAACGTTCTCTAAGGGTGGAAATATTAAATGGGAGGGGTGGACGCAAAAACGCCGAAAGTGCGCAGCTACGCCACCAAAAAAATAAAACTGAAGGGAAAAGATTCGCCGTGTCAGCAATCAGTTGACAGCAGTGACCACGCACTTTTTAGCGGTGTGGATAATGCAGAGTCATTAAAATTCATTGAGTCGCTACACTTTGTCTCTACCGGTGAAATGTGGAGTGTGCGTTTTGAAAACAGTGGGCAGGGAACAATGCATGCAAAAAATGTACACAAAATATGGATAAAAATGATTTTATTCAACTTTCGGGGTTATCACACCTGATAATCAGAGGGAGTTTCAGAAAACTGATGAATGAAACAAATTGCATGAAAATCAGTGGCATAAAAAGCAACGCGTTGCGCACTAAACTTCATACTCCTCGACGACAACCTTCACTTCGGTCTCGGTGTCGCTGCCTGAAGACTCGGACTCAGACTCGGACGCAGAGGAGGACGAGGATGCCGAGAAGCTCGCGTTGGCCTGCCCGTTGCCGCCGGCGTTCGCCTCCTTGGCGATGAAGGCCGAGCTCGCCTTGCTGGCCTGCTGGCTGGCGGAGTCGTGGTGCTGCGCGGCGCTGGCCCCCGCGTCCACCTTGACGGCGGCCGCGTTGTGCTGCCCGTTGCTGGAAGCCTCCATGTGCACGCCCTGCTTGGCCTTGCTGGCGTCGTGCCCCTTCTGCGCGCTCGAGTGCTCCGCCTGCTTGGCGGCCGCGTGAACCGAGGACTGCTGCTGGCCTTGCGCCGCCTTCTGGTCGTTCTTCTGAGACTGCTTGGAGTCGGCCTTGTGGGCGTCGGTCTTGTGGGCGTCCTTGTGGGCGTCGGTCTTGTGGGCGTCGGACTTGTGGGCGTCGGTCTTGTGGGCGTCGGACTTGTGAGCGTCGGTCTTGTGGGCGTCGGTCTTGTGGGCGTCGGACTTGTGGGCGTCGGCCTTGTGGGCGTCGGTCTTGTGGGCGTCCTTGTGGGCGTCGGACTTGTGCGCATCGGTCTTGTGGGCATCGGTCTTGTGGGCGTCGGACTTGTGGGCGTCGGACTTGTGGGCGTCGGTCTTGTGGGCGTCCTTGTGGGCGTCGGTCTTGTGGGCGTCCTTGTGGGCGTCGGCGTGCTTGGAGTCGGTCTTGTGGGCGTCCTTGTGGGCATCGGCGTGCTTGGAGTCGGTCTTTTGGTTTTTGGGGGTCCTTGTGGGTCCCGTCGTGGCGTGCTTGGAATCGGTCTTGTGGGCGTCCTTGTGGGCATCAGCGTGCTTGGAATCGGTCTTGTGGGCGTCCTTGTGGGCATCGGCGTGCTTGGAGTCGGTCTTGTGGGCATCCTTCTTCTGGGCGTCGGTCTTGTGGGCGTCCTTGTGGGCGTCGGCGTGCTTGGAATCGGTCTTGTGGGCGTCCTTGTGGGCATCAGCGTGCTTGGAATCGGTCTTGTGGGCGTCTTTGTGGGCGTCGGCGTGATTGGAGTCGGTCTTGTGGGCGTCCTTGTGGGCGTCGGCGTGCTTGGAGTCGGTCTTGTGGGCGCCCTTGTGGGTCTCAGCGTGCTTGGAGTCGGTCTTGTGGGCGTCCTTGTGGGCGTCGGCGTGCTTGGAGTCGGACTTGTGGGCGTCCTTGTGGGCTTCGGCGTGCTTGGAGTCGGTCTTGTGGGCGTCCTTGTGGGCGTCGGCGTGCTTGGAGTCGGTCTTGTGGGCGTCGGCGTGCTTGGAATCGGTTTTGTGCTGGTCTGTCTTGTGTGCTTCGGAGTGCTTGGAGTCAGTATGGTGGGTCTCCTTTTTGTTCGTGTCGGTGTGGTGCTGTTCTGTAGTTTCGCTGTGGTGGCCAGGATTGTGTTTTGTTGTTGTTGTGGTGATTGTCTTGCGAACTTTATGGTGGTGGGGATTTGGAGTAGTGCTTTGGTGTGCATCGTGGTGTTCTGTGTTATGTGCTTCCTTGTGTCCTTCGTTGTGAGGCTTGGTAGTTGTGGCTTGCTTCTTCGGCTTCGGGGTGGTGGGTGTAGCCTTAGGTTTGGGGGTTGTAACCGGGTGGCCGTTGTGGTGATCCTCGTGGTGATCTTCGTGGTGCTCTTTATGGTGCTCTTCATGGTGTCCTTCGTTCTTGGGCGTTGTGACTTGCTTCTTCGGCTTCGGGGTGGTGGTTTTAGCCTTTGGTTTCGGGGTTGTAACCGGATGGCCGTTGTGGTGATTCTCGTGGTGATCCTCGTGGTGCTCTTTATGATGCTCTTCGTGGTGTTCTTCGTTCTTGGGCGTTGTGCCTTGCTTCTTCGGCTTCGGAGTGGTGGTTTTAGCCTTTGGTTTGGGGGTTGTAACCGGGTGGCCGTTGTGGTGATCCTCGTGGTGACCCTCGTGGTGTTCTTCATGATGCTCCTCATGGTGTCCTTCGTTGTGCGGCTTCGACGTTGTTACAGGTTGCTTCTTCGGTTTGGAGCTGGTGGATTTTGAATTTGGTTTGCGTGTTGTCTCTTGGTGTCCTTCGTGGTGCTCTTCGTGATTCTGCTTGGATGTCGAGGAATGGTGCTTCGGCTTCGGAGAAGATTTCTTTGTATGCTTTGGAGTAGTGTCGCTATGTCCTTCATGATGCTCTTCATGGTGTTCTTCGTGGTGCTCTTCATGGCCGTGAGGCACCTTCTTGGCCTTCTTGTGGTGCGGGTGAGGATTCTCTGAAGTCTTCTTCGACACCTTCCGCCTCCTGGTGTGGCTGCGGTGGTGTTCGGGCAGGTGGTCGTCGTCGTGCGTCACCGTCTTCCTCCTCCTCGTGGTGACGTGGTCCTCGTCGTAGCTGTCGTCGTAGTCCTCGACGTACTCGTGGTGACGGCGGTGTGCGTAGGGGTGCGCGGGGCCGTACGCGTAGCCCCTGCGCCCTGAAGCGTGGTAGTGCGCGGCGGGGATCCGGTAGTACTCGATGACGTCATCGTGGTGTCCAAGCTCCTCCTCGTAGTCGTCGTGGGCGCCGTGGCGTCGCGGCGCATGGTGGCCGTGGCGGCCGCGACCGGGGTACAGCTCGTCGTCCTCGTAAAACTCCTCCTCCTCTTCGCATGAATCTTCATCCTCCTCCTCCTCCGGGACCTCCACGACGATGACGTCATGCTCCTCGTTGTGGTGGGTCTCCTGGTGCTGCTCGTGGACGACCTCCGGCTCGCTCTCGCTCTCGTGCACGACGGTGGTGTGGTGGTGCTCGACAACTTCGTGATGCACCTCCTTGACGGGGTCCGGCGTCATCGGCTCGGTCACAGCGTCGGGGAACTCGGTGGTGTAGCTGCCCGTGGTGATGGTAATCCCGCTCTCTTCGCAGACCTTCTTGTACTCCGCGACGGGCACGAGGTACTCGTCGGTCACCACGACCTGCGCGCAGTGGTGCTCCGCGAATGCGTCCAGGTCGTCGTAGGTGCCGGCGAGGCGCGACTGGTCCGCCAGCTGCACCACCACGGGGTCGCTGCGCTCGTGCTGCTTCAGGATGAGGCTGCGTACGTGCGGGGGCACGCCCTGGCCGAAGCCCTGGCCGTAGCCCTGGCCGAGGCCCTGGGCGGGCTGCGCGAAGAAGGGCAGGACGTAGCTGACGGCGGGCAGCACCAGCGAGCCCGCGCTGTTGAACCAGGACGACCCGGCGGGGACCTGGGCGGCCTGGCCCCCCTGGACGACGCCGCTGCAGGCCGAGCTGGCGGTGGAGCCCGCGCCGTGCTCGGCGGACGACAAGCGGATCACGTTACCGGCCGCGGACTGAAACACATTAGGCAAACTTCAGCGAAAAGCAACATTTTGAAGTTGTATTTCAGAAAGATTAATTTTACAAATTACACTAAACATCCAGTAATGAGATTAACGTAAAATGTGATTTCGGCTTTAAAAAAAATAAAGAACAGCTTCCAAAACAAAGAACGGACCAATCCCCGCAGCTCGGGGTGTTATAAATAGAAATAAGAAATCTATGAATCTGAACAGTTGCGGTACATCGTATTGTCTGTTTCCGAGTATCAGTTCCGGGGCTACACAGAAAGAGAAGCATCGTTGTTTTTCCATAAGGATCCTCTCTTAGTCTCAGCGCGCCGTGTACTTGCCCCATCAAACCTCACGCATATCAAACGTAAATGCCAGTTTCGACATGCACAAACAACATCAGATGCACATCCCAACAATCAGAGGCCGGCTCGGATAAATCATTCATCACCCCTCCTCTTCTCCCAATGTTATTCAACGCGTCCCTTATCCACAAGAAATTGAAATAAAGTAACTAAACCGCGGTATTTTTTGTACCCTAAATAATTTAAATTCCGTTTGGCGGGGTACGCAAAGAGCACACGCACATTCCTCGGTCTCATCCCTGACACACACACACACACACACACACACACACACACACACACACACACACACACACACACACACACACACACACGCACTCACGTCACCGCCCGCCAATTCAGCTCCCATTGTCTTCCGCGGCCTCGACCCCCAAACGGCACGCGGGGCGCGCGTACCGAACCGCCACCCCCAGCGAAATTCGGCGCCAGACTCAAAATGCGCCCCCCGTGGTGCTTGGGTCTCGAACCCTCACTCACTGGTCTTACCTGGCTGAGGAGTGCGACGGCCAGGGCGGCCAGGGCCACGACGGCGGCTGCCCGTCCTGGGGCCATGTCGTCGTCGGCGCTGGACCTGCGTCTGGTGTCCCTGGGGTGCGACGTGGACGTGCCGCGGTCCCTCTTGCGTTGCTGCGGTCTCGCAAATGGCCGCGCGCCGCAGCACGCCAACTACTTATTTACCGGCAAGCCACGCCGCCCTTCAAATCGCGGCCGACGTCCAAATCTGCGAGGCGCAAAATGAGTCCGAGGCGTCTCGGCCCGCCCAGCGCGCCCCGTGTTTGGGCGGCCCGCGTCACGCGCCAAGCGCGATTTGGCCGGCAAATCCGAGGTGGCATCTCTACCAACATTTGAAGTACAATGGACGACGTCACACCCGGAGGGGGGCGCGGGGCGCGGCGCGGCGGGGTCGGGAACCCGCGGGAGGGTTCACAGCACTGATAAACAGGGGCGGTGTGGGTGTGAGTCAGGGTGCAGCACCGCAAAAGTGTACCTGCTAAACATTATAAAGATAACACTTGTCTTTGGGACCAACTTTTAATTTTAAACAATCCACCTACTGACGGGCTGGCAGGACGTAGAGAGAAGTCACTGGTACCTGCCCGCACCCCTAACCCCTATACCTCGAGTTCCCGAAATGCCCCGTCGCGGCGCGCGGCGCTGGCCCACTCAGTATTGCTGCTCCTAGCGGTTCCTGGCGCCGCGCTCAGCATCCCCGGCGTGCCCGGCGTGCCCGTCGTCGGCGTGCCCTGCCTCGGCCGCGGCCACACAATGGCAGCGGCCAACGGGTGCGCGACCCGCAATAGCCTTCCGACGCGGTTCCAAGACACACCTCCAGCATGGCGCCGAGCACCGCGCACCTCCGCGCCGCGGCCGTCTTGTCCGTCTTCTTGATCGCGCGGGTGAGTCATCGTCCTGGACCTGCGCGGCAAAGCACTGCGTTTCGGAAAGTGACCGTGTTTGTTTTGCCTCCAATAGGTGTCCGGCCAGCACTGGCAGCAGGGTGGCGCGTACGACGGCGGGCAGGGCCAGTGGTTCCCGCCGTACTCGCAGCAGCCTTGGACCGCCCCTTCCAGCGTGTCCTGGGGACCGCCGACGCCGTCCTTCGCCGCGGGGCAGTCGGACGCGGCGTGGGGGTGGTCACCGAACTTCCAGAACGACCTCCACCACCAGCACGGCCATCACGGCCAGCATGACCCCCACGCGCAGTATGCTTCGTACGAATACCACGGCCAGCACGGCCACCACGGCCATCACGGGCACGACCTCCCCGTCGCGCAGCCCTCGCCGCACTTCAGCCGCGGCTGGGCTCCCAACGCGGCCCCTGGCTGGTGCAGCATGACGCCGCAGCAGCAGGCCTGGCACCACCAGCCCTCGCACCACCAGCCCTCGACGCCGAGCTCCGGATGGGACGCCTCGTGGGACATCGGCATGGGGCCCTTCGCGTCCGGGGCGCGGTGGGCGCGCAGCAGCAGCCAGCAGCAGGCCCCCGTCTGGCTCCGCGACCCCTCCGTACCGCGGCCCCTCGGCACCGTGCTGCTGGACGGCGGCATCCGCGTGTCCGTGCGCGACTTCCGCCACATCCTGGAGCACTACAAGACGGGCGCGTGGCGTGACGTCACCACGGACACGGGCGCCAAGATGTTGAGTGAGACTTTCGACGAGTTCGAGCGGTCCGCGAGCAAGTTCGCCGTGCAAGTGCCGCTGGCGAACGGCGCCGTCGTGCCCGCGCTGACGTACTGCCTGGTGGTGCGCTGCGTGACGGACGACAAGACCCACGCCGTCCTCGAGGTGCCCGACGGCTCCACCTGCCCGCTGCGCCAGCTGGCTGACCGCGCCGACGTCGCGTCCTGGATGCACGCGCTGTTCCCGGAGGGCCTGCGTCCCCGCCAGCACCACGGCACGCCTCACGTCTGGGCCCCCGCGGCCGCCACGACCTCCACGACCGCCACGCCGCCGCCCGACGCCACCACGACCTGCCCGCCGCCACCGGCCACCACGCCGAGGCCGCCGGTCCAGGACGCCAAGGAGAGCACCGTCGCGGAGCAGGAGAAGTCGGCCTCGACGCAGAACGCCGGCCACGCCTACCCGCCCCTGCAAGGCCACGCGCACGGCAACCAGGTGCAGCAGCAAGGACACCAGCGCCACCACCAAGCACCCCGCGGCCAGCGCCTGCCTGTCATCTGGAGTCCGGGGCTGGCGCCGGGCTCCGTAGCGCCCTCCAACTCCATCGACCACATCGTGCAGCCCCACAGCGGCGGCTTCGCGAACTAACTCGGGTGAGCTTGTGAAAGTTCGTTCGCACGCACTGTTTTTGAAAAAAGTAAACTTTCTGTGTGTGCCCGGCTTCGGCTTATTTCCGGCTGCAACTCCATTTCAAGGCGGTGTAAGAGGACATTTTTTATGTGAGGGTGGAAGTTCCGCCAAAATAGTTTGTGTTTGTATCACTTCAAGTGTCCAGGGAATTTAAAACTGAAAAAAGGGTGTTATCTAATCACTCGTCAATTAATTTAATTTGTGAAGACTGCACACCTTTGTGCCTTGCTTTGAAACGTAAATAAATCAGTCGAATTATGTTAAAATACTGCAATTATTAGCTCCTTTCTCATGTCGTTCCCGTGTCATTTGGATCATGTAAATAAAACACAGAGTGCAAATCAAAAGTACAAAAGAAATGAGGGCATTTATTCGTCATTGGTAGCATGGCCGCTGTCGCGCAGATCGTTCGCCTTGTCGCTGGCCTCCTCCTTGGAGTGCGCCGTCTTGGAGGCCCTCCGCCCGGCGTAGTCCGCGTACCTCATGCGGTGGTCGTCGCGGTCCACCACGTACACGCCCTTGTGCTTGTGGGCGTTGACGACGGCGCGGTACGTCTCCACGGGCACCTTGACGCCGTCCTCGAGGTGGACGCGCGCGCCGAAGAAGTGGGGGTCGACCATCTTGGCCAGGAGGTCGTCGTAGGACGGCACGGTCACCGTCCTGCCGTTGATGAGGTCCACCTCGATGGGCCCCTTGGCCTCCACGCTGTGCAGCACGGCGTCGTGCACCTGCAGGCTGAGCCGCTGCGAGCCGCCCAGCACGACCTGCAGCTCGGCCTCGGGCACGTCCTCGGCGAAGGGGGTCATCCAGTCGTACACGGCGGGCTGCTTGTGGAACAGGGGCTGCTGCTGGTAGGGGTTGCTGCCGGGGTACCTGACGCCGCCGTCGCCGCTGCCGCCGTGGTGCTCGTGGTGCTGCTGCTCCTGCTGGACGAGGCCCTCCATGTAGTGGGCGAGCGGCACGTGGTCGCCGCTGGGCAGCAGCATGTGCGTGCGCAGCGCCAGCTCGGTCTCCACGACGTCCTCCACGACGTCGCACGGGTAGGTCTCGGCCGGCACGATGAACTGGGCGCCGCGCAGCTCGGGGCTCCTGGCCTCCGCCATGTAGGCCTTGCCGCTGGCGAAGGTGCGCTCCTTGCCGGACGCCAGGCGCACCGTCACGGGGCCGCGGCCGTGCAGCACGTCCAGGATGTGGCGGTGCGCCGACGCGGCTAGGCGCCGCCCCGAACCGAACACCACCACGGGCTGGAATCAACAACAAAATTTGTTTTACCAAGTCGCGCTTGAATGGTATTTGAACCCACGTCAGTCTACCAATTTTCGGCCCACCTCGGAGACGTGTTCTGCATCCGCCGGCAGAGTGCTGTGACTGGCAGCGTGCTTCGACGTCACATGACTTAAGGCCTGGAATGGCAACAATCAAACATTCAATTTTAACATCTTAAATTCACAATAACTTCTAAACTTAAGTTTGCTAATTCCCCCACTCCCCCCTCACCGTCTCTCACGGCCGGACGCCCCCGGGGCTCCGTTGTGTGACAGTGCCACTAGCGCGGATCCAAGGGGGTTGGCCCCTGACTTTAGATAGCCGCCTGACGGGCAAGCAAACGGCAACACTTTGCCCCCTGTAACTAGGCAAAATGTGCCAGCCTCCCTCCCCTTCCCGAGGAACAGTGGGCCAGAATGCCGAGGCAGCTAGGCGCGTTTTGAGCCCCAGAGTCGCTAAACAGGACTCGAACCGAGCGTGTGATCCCACGAATGGATTCCTCTTTGGAGAGCTACCATTGGTGGGGTCGCACGTTTGGATCGAGTCCTGTTTAGCGACTCTGGAGCTCAAAACGCGTCTCGAACTTTGTCCGCCTCCACCGGCCATCTGGCCCACTGTGCGAGCCCCCTCCCCCTCAGGCCGGCGCTGGATGCGACGCCGCTGTGCTACTTACGGGCGCGTCGTGCGGCGCGCTGGCCGCTGACGGTGGCTGTGCCGCCAGAAACAACAACAAGGCCACGGCCAGCATGGCGCGGGCTGCGGACGGCGACGCCGGGGTGCACAGTGCAGTGGCGTGCAGTGCCATGGCGGCCCGGACGGAGACTTCTAACAGTCCGCTTCGGTCGCCGCGCAGGTTTTATATCCCCTCGGAAACGTCAACATGGACAAGCGCAACCCGTCGGCCGCGCTGCCAAAAATACACGAGCGCAATCGATCATTCGTCGTGTCGATCATCGTCGCGAAATCGGTACCACACCGTGAAAACGAACGGGGGAAATTAAATGCGGAGCGCCTGGAGTCTGGAGGCTGTGGGGCGGTCCGCCTACGGGGTAGGCAACCCCTTCGACTCGCAAGGCCAAGCCGTCCTCAAAGTTGTGGCCACACAAGAACGCGACACCTGCCTGTCTAGCTGGCTAGACGACGGTGCCACCGCGGTTTCACGCAGCGCTCCGAGGCGATGGTCTTCCGTGTCTCAAAAAACGTTTGATGTGTAAAACCGCGATTTCACCGTGTTGTCCACGCTAACGCCTGTGAGGTAGGTCACCACCCCGGCTCGCAACACACCGGTGAAGAGACGGTGGCCTGCCTTGCCCCTGGCGTGCTCACAGGCCACAGTCTCTTCGCCGGTGTCTTGCGAGCCGCGACGGTGGCCTACCTCACAGGCGCTAGAGTGCACAGGCAAGCGGCGCAGAGCTGTAACTGTAAGAAACAGAAGCCGCCAAACCCTCGGGAGGAAATAGCGCTGGTGCGGCCACGCCGTTGTGCTCGCAAGGGGGCGCACAGTGGGCCAGAAGACCGGCGGAGGCGGCCAAAACTCTAGACGCGTTTTGAGCTCCAGAGTCGCTAAATAGAACTCGAACCGAAGGTGTAACCCCACCAATGGACTGCTCTTCGAACGAGGAATCGATTGGTGGGGGTCACACTTTCTGTTCGAGTCCTATTTAGCGACACTGGAGCTCAAAACGCGCCCTAGAGTTTTGGCCGCCTCCACCGGTCTTCTGGCCCACTGTGCAGCGCGGGTCCGGCTGCGGCCGTGTCGTCTCGACTTTGGCGTTGCCGCGGTCCGACCGAACTGTGAGGTTAGGAGAGACAGCCACCTCGGCCTTCTGGTGCGCAGTGGCTGTGCCGCGTCCGGTCGTCGGCCGGAGGGGCGAGGTGCCGCGCGCAGGCACGGCGTCGCGTACAGTATAAAGCCCGGCGGCCACTGCACCGCGCCACTGGGATGGTCAGACGGCGGCCGGAACCATCATGACGGCGACAGCGACGCGGATTTTGGTGTGCCTGGCGGTGAGTTTAGCAAATTGTTTACATGCTGTTTCCGATTTTGGTGCCACTTTTTCCGGGCATAGGCAGGAGCCCGATCATGTTTGAGACCTGATGGGCTGAGGCTCGACCTGAGCCTCAAATGAACCAGGCCGAATCCTGGGATCAAACCGACCTCCAAGTCGGGCCAAAAGCCTGTTAAGTCCTGCATGCCTTTCAAGCCCATCGGGCTAGATAACTGCGGGGGAGGTGTGAAGGACCAGCGTCCTAGGTTCTAATTTATGTTCTGATAGTGGTGTGGCCGGTGATTTGTTTTTCTCAATTGATCTTCATGAATTCGGTCACTGTTTACTTTGTTGTTTTTCTCTGTGCTGGTCTGATGTCGTTGCATGTGTGTTCAGATGATTGGCGCTGTGGCCGTGGCCGACATGGTGGACTTCATCGGCCCCCAGAACTGTCCCAACGTCCTGGCGCCCAACACCGAGGCCTCCAACGCCAGCAGCGGCGCGGGCTGCGAGGCAACCGAGGACCCCGCCGCCGAGGAGACCCTCACGTCAACCGCCGTCGCCGGGGTCGTGTTCGTCCAGCTCGCCATCACCGTCCTGGTCGCCATCCTGTTCCAGCGCCACATGAAGCCCAAAGAAGAGTAAAAGTGATCTCTAATAAATTATTATTTTTTTTAAAAAATGCTTCTTTTTCTGTTTTCCTTTGAACTTATTTTTCGGGGGGGGGGGGAGGATTAAACCAAAGGATAAAAAGGACAAAACAAGCAAAATTTTCTTGATTTTTATTTGACACGTAGGGCGACACGCATGATAAGATTTTGGTGAAATGAGTAACAACCGGAGCAAAATCCAAAACTTAATTTTGAAATGAAATCAAAATGAAAACAAAACCGTTTCCTGAAGGTGGCAGTTTTTAAGTTAGTTTCAGCAAAACATGTTTTGAATGCAATTACAAGGAATTTAAAATGATACGAGCATATCGAGACAAACAAATTGAATAGTGCGCATGAATGAATCGGTGAATCAATGAACGAATGGACGAATGAATTATTGTGCATGACCGAATGAATGAATGAACGGATGGTGGATGAACGAATGAATGAATGGGTGGACGGTGGATGTACGGATGAATGAAAGGGTGAGCGAATAATGAATGAATCGATGAATGAAAGAATCAATAAATTAAAATGAACGACCGAATAAATGAATGGGGTGATTTCGCGAAATGAATGAACAAAATGGTAATTGTAAAAACGAATGGATGACCAAAAACTTTGATAAAAGTGGAATGAAAAATTAAAACACGGAAGTGACAGGAAAGGAAACGGCAAATTTAGAAAAAGGACGAATTTTGAATGACCCACGTGAATGGACACAGCGTTGACGGCGAACCCTTCATGAAGTGCGTGCTGCAGGGACCACTGCTTGACGTGCTCCAGGACGGGCTCCAGGACGCGCGCTGGCCTAGGCGTTCTTCTTGGCTAGCGTGGTGACGTCATCGCGGTTCGAGGAGGGTGGTGGGGGCTGGAGCCGCGCCGCTGCCGCGGTGTCGCTGCCGCCGCGTAGCCCCCGCACCCCGCGCTGGCCCTTGCGCTGGCCCCATGAGGGAGTGGGGGAGGAGCAGGCGGTGTTGGTCAGCAGCAGCCCGTTCGGGCCGTCTCCGCCGTCCTGGCAGTCCTAAGGAGGCATACAGATACAGTCCATTACGACCACAGACAAATCACCTCTAAACTGCGATTGAAAAATTGCGAAAAATCAGAAAAAAGAAACACCAAAAGTGCCGAAAACCTACCTGGGTCTTACATCACGGTGGCGCGCTCCGCTGCTGCAGGTTCGGGAGGGTCTGCCGGCGCTGCCGAAGCCCCCCGCCTTTATACGCGTCCACAGAGATGCTGACAGCACACTGGAGACAAAGGCATCTCGGACGTGTTTACAATTTGGGCGAAATTTTATGTCGGTCAGCGTGTCAGCTCCGTAATGAGCCACTGGCGCCGCGCCGAGACGACCGAGGCGGCTGCGACGGAGGCAGCCGAGCCGGCGTGGGTGAGTTGACGGACGAGCGCTTCCTCGACTAGACTTCCATTCTAAGTCCTGGTTCCGTCGAGGAAAAGGATGCAGACAATTATATTGTGTTTACTTGGGCAGCAAGACGAGGCCAAGGAACATCACGTCCAAAGATCAAACTGCGAGCATAAGTCTTAAAGTTTTGAAAAAAAAAGTTCGAAAAAAAAAACTTTAAAATTTCTGGTTGTTTAAATGAATACCGCGGCGGCCGTCTTTTTCAACCTGGGCCGCGCTGCCTCGCTAAGCAAGTTTGCCGGGCGCGCGGTGCTCGGGGCCCGGGGCCTTGGCTCTGCAGTTTGCCGCGGATTTGCTCCAAAGTCTGCGCGGCGCGAGGTTGGTGATGAAGCGTCCGACAGAGCCGGGAATATTTTAAGCAGGCGCCCGCATTCAGCTCGACACTGTGAGTATGATTTGATTTCCGGAAACGCATGGCGGCCGGGCGGGAAGGTGGAGGAAGGTGACCGTCATGTGCTCGCCGCAGATGCCGCCACCGCCGCCGAGGCCGCCGCCGCACGCCTGCCCGGGCCCGCTGTGCGCGTGCTCCAGGACGGCGTCGACGGCCGTGGCGGCGAGGATCGCGGCCACCATGGTGGTGGCGGGGCTGGCCCGGCCGGCACTCGACTTGTTCGGCGACTCCGGCGGCGCGGCGGGCGGCAGCGGCGGTAGCGGCCGGCAGCCGTGCAGCCGTTGCCCCGGCCTGGCGGCCCTGACGCGCACAACCTTGATAGTCATCGTCGCGCTGACACTCGTCGCCGCGGTCGCTCTGACGGTGCGCCTCGCCACCTCGCCGCCGTCCGCGGAGTCCGCGGAGTCCGCCTCGACGCCCTGGGCCTGGCCCGCGCCCTGGGCCGCCGCCCCCCGCCAGCCCCGCCACCGAGTCGACACGGTCAACGCCCCCGCCGCGGCCCTCGTCGCGGACCCCGCCGTGGACCCCGCCACTGCCGGAGCACCGCCAGGGGTGAGTAACGGCAACCGTCAACGCCGCGGAGGCCACGTGCGAGACCGGAGCGCCGAGAACGCCCCGCCACTGCCGCCGTCCCCCACTCTCCCTCCCCTCCCCTCTCCCCCTTCCCCCTTTCCCGGTCCGCGCTGCTTCTCGGCCCGCCGTTTCGCTGGTCAAAGCGCGTGCGTTGCATGTTGCGGGCGCGGCCGCGCGCTGTGCAAGCCGATGCCCTGCCGACGACCGCAGTGGCGTAGCTACGGCGGAGGCACTGAATAAAGAAACGAAATAAAATCAATGATTTCCCCCAACAGATGGAGGTGGCCGCGGAGGACCCCGAGATGGACGCAGCCTCCTACATTGTGGAAAATGCCGACCCCGCCGTGGTTGAGCAGCCTGCCCTGATCGTGCTGCTACCCGAGGTCCGCGAGGACGTCAAGGAGCGTGCCGCCGACGTCAGCTTCGACGCGCCGCACGAATCTGCGCGCCACGCTGCTGCAGAGGAACCTGCCGCCGAGGCCGCCGCCGACATCACGACCGCGACGCTCACGACCGAGCTGCCCCCGGAGGACGCGGAGGCCTACGGCGAGGCCGTCACCAGCTCCGACCCGCCGGCCACGAGGCCGCTGCTTCGTGGCGAGGCCGGCGGCGCCACGTGGCGCAGCAGTCCCAGGTCGACGTCGACGTCCTTCCGGAAGCCGTTCCGGCCGCGCGCGGACGCCGCGCCGCCCGCCTGGAAGCAGTTCGAGGGCTGCGCGCTGCACCTGCGGCCCGCCCACCACGGCCACCACGCCAAGCGCCACGCCCTGCTGCCCTGGCCCGGCAGCACCGCCGCGGCGCCCCACGGTCTCGGACCCCTGCACGTCGCCGCCCCCGGCAGCTGGGGCGCGCAACGCTTCCCCGCCGTGCCCCCCGCCGTGCCCGTCCACCCCGCCTTCTGGACCGTGCAGGCGCCCCAGCAGCCCGTCTGGGGCCCCGCCGGGGCGCAGGGCTTGCCGCAGTCCTTGCAGCAGGGCGCGTCCTGGGGGCAGCACCCCCTGCAGACCACGCCCGTCGTGTACGCCCCGGCCATGCAGGGCTACCCGCCGCCGCTCCTGCACCTGCAGCCCGGCACGGCCTCCACCGCGCCGACGTCGCCCCTGCCCGGGCCCGCTTGGACCTGCTGACCACCGCGTCGCCCGCCCGGCCCACCACAAAATTTATTTATTTATTTAACACAGCGGATCGGTGTGACAAAAAAGAAATCGCACAATAAAATTGTAATATTTTTTTGAAACATTATTTGTTATTTACCCGTGATTGTTGAAAGCAATGAAAAAAGAAAAGAAGGAGTTACAAAAGGAAAAAAAAGAAAGGAAAGAAGGCAAGGAAAGAAAGCAAGGAAAGAAAAAGGAAAGAAAGAACGGCTCATAATATTAGTGATTTTCTGGAAATATTTGAGACCAATGCCCGAGTTCAAAAGAAATGGAAAACAGAACTCCTACACACAAAAATAAATGCTAGGATTTGAACGTCAATTCTTACACTTCCAGATCAACACCTCTGCGTAGGGCTCACTTAGCACGTTGTTGACAAAGCGCGCTGTAAAAGAAATGAAAATGTCATGAAAAGCGAGGACTCGAACGCTGGTCCATGGGGTCACAGGTTGACGCCTCTCTGTTCTTGGCTGCGAGAATCACATGAGAATGGGGGAACCGCCACAAATCACCACTGGTGCACAGTTTTTGGTCGAAAAGGCTGTCTTTGAGTTGCTATGTTGCGAAAGCCACCGGCATTCCAGCTTTAGGGGAATTCCAAGTCGAGTCCGAGGCGGTCCGAGGCCTTGCGCGCATGCTCGCCGCACCGGCAGCACGGCGCCCGAGTTGCGTGTTTGTAAACAGATGACGATCGGACACCCCGGCGCGGGCTGCATCCGCCCGCGACGCCGCGCACCCCGCCGTGTGCCAGAGAGAGACGGACGGGGCGGATCGCCTGCCTCGGGCGCTATCGATGCGCCGAAAACGGGGAAGCGGTATAAAACGGACACACGGCGCCGCCGGCCGCACATCCGTCACTCGCTCACCGGCAGCAACATGAGGGCCACCACCGTGTTCAAGGCGCTCGTCGTCTCCGCCGCCGTCCTCGGCCTGGCCCAGGTAAGCACCGACACGCGTCTACGGGTGTGTGATCAAGTTCAAGTCCGGTTAAAATTCCGTCATTTTGTAGAGTTGTTATTGTAGTGGCGCGATAATTTCTTGTGGAGGTAGTGAATCACGGTTCCAGTGAAGAGGCTCGTGTTTGTTTGTGTGCATTGTCTGACTTGGTCCCTCCGTCTCGCAGGCTGGCTGCATCCCCAACAATGGATGCGGTGGCGGTAGCGGCCACGGCGGCCACGGCGGCAGCCGCACCATCACCCTCCAGCTGCCGGTGCCCGTGCCCCTGCCCGTCCCCATCGCCATCGGCGGCGGCTGCGGCGGCTGCGGCTCTTCCTCCTGCGGCGGCTGCGCCCCCGCCCCCGCCCCCTCCTGCGGCAGCTGCGGCTCCTCCAACTGCGGCGGCTGCGGCTCCGGCTCCGGCCACTTCGGCGGCTACAGCCAGGTGTCCGCCCCCTCCTGCGGCGGCTGCGGCTCCTCCAACTGCGGCGGCTGCGGCTCCTCCGGCCCCATCTTCTTCCAGGCCCCCGCCCCCGTGTTCCTGCCCGCCCCCGCGCCCTCATGCGGCTGCGGCTCCTCCAACTGCCTGCGCTGCTCCGCCCCCGCCCCCGCCCCCGCCTGCTTCAGCTGCGGATCCAACTCTAACAACTGCGGCTGCGGCTCCTCCAACGGCGGTGCCTACTACCAGGTCTCCGCCCCCGCTTCCTCCTGCGGCGGCTGCGGCTCCTCCAACTGCGGCGGCTGCGGCTCCGGCTCCGGCCACTTCGGCGGCTACACCCAGGTGTCCGCCCCCTCCTGCGGCGGCTGCGGCTCCTCTAGCTGCGGCGGCTCCTCCAGCTACGGCGGCTCCGGATCCTCCAACCAGGCCTCCAGCTGCGGCGGCCAGATCGTCGAGGTGACCAACACCAGGACCTTCGTGCCCCTGCCCCCCAAGCCCACCTGCAACGTCTGCTCCCTGCCCGCGCCCCAGTGCTGCTGCTGAGTTCTCGATGCTGAAATACACGCCCCGTGAAAATCCCAATGCCAATGTGTTCTTACTTTCCAATTTCAAATGAGATAAAGGCAAGAACAGAAAACGATAATAACAAAGCGAGAAATGAAAAAGAAAATTATTTAAGAAAAACAAAACTAGCACGACTACAGCAGCTACACAAAAATGGCTGACGTTTTCTGGAGCACTAACTATGAGCTATGACATATTCACATCAGCTGTGTCGGCTGAGAGGTTTGAGGCACAAGGTCCCATCCACAGGGTCTGGCGATCGACTCCCAACAATGCGAATATTTTTTCGGCTGGCTATCCCACGGGGGTGCAGTATGGAGGCCAACAGTACTGAGGTGTCTGCGCCAGACTCTTCAGTCCGGGGTTCAAATCCCAACATTTATTTACACTTAATGTCACTGCTTCACGCAGTGCGCCTCAAATTTTGACCAAGCCGCTCATTGCGGTTCACCGCTGCAGCCATCATGCGGACATTGGTGGCTTGGAGGAGTGAGATCCTGGCAGTGGGGACCTGGGATCGCTTCCCGACATTTCGTTACATTTTTCGGGTAGTTTCCTCCCACTAACTTGGCCCATGATTGACTGCATGTTCGGTACGAGACCGCCGGACAGGGGAAGGGGGGAGGGGGCAACTGGGGTACAAACCATCCCGCAACCAAAAGTTCTCAACTCTCACCCATCGACAGGCCCATATCAGGAGGACACGTGGGGTCACCGCCTGTAAAGCAACACGGCTCCCGCGACCCACCGACGTTGCAGGCGGTCCTCCCTACGGTGTGGAGAGGTCGACCAGGTGGGGGAGGGCGACGGGGCAGTCACCGCCTGTTAGATTCTATATAAACGCCTGATAGTAGGCAACCCACATCACTCGCCTCCTGTAAGTAGGCCAAATATACACAATGGCCCTCCCTGTCGGGACCCCCTTGCGGCTGGCGGGCACTGGCAGAGTCGGTCTGGACCGTGGTCGGAGACTGACTGACTGAGCACCCCTTTTAATTTATAGAAAGCTTCTCCGGAGGGGAGTGAAAGGAGAAGGGGGGGAACCGCCCAGGAAAAGTGGGGAAAGGGAAAGAAGTCCCCTTTCCCCCGACTCAAGGAGCAGCGGTGCAGGGGCAGTCATGAATTTCCCCAAATTGAACAGCTGTAGCCGCTGCCACCATGACGATTGAATAACAGAGTTTAAAGGACGCATCCCTTGTTTACCCATATGTGTTTTATCACGGGCCTCAGCGCCGGCTGAGGCACAGGTCCACCAAAGGCACACGGTCAAAACGGAACCCGGTTTTCCCAGGAGCTCCCTGGAAATCCCCTATGTCTCTACCATAGGCTTCCTGGGAAAACCAGGTACCGTTTTTACCGTGCAGTGCCCGGAGATTTTGATGCCTGCCGTTGCTATGCACAGGGCTGTCCAAAAGGCAGCCCCGCGCGCGGCCAGCCGTCACCGCCCACGCCGTCCGAGCCCCCCGCCAGCCGGGCGTGCCCGGGCGTGCCTGCAGCGGGTGGTGATCGGAACCAACAACAAACAACCCCCCTTTTGTGTGAGAGCGGCCGGCGCCGCGCCGACGCCCCGCCACTATAAGTTGAGGGTCCCACGTCCGGAACTTCACTTTGCTCTCATCCGTCCAAGAGCCACCACAGCCATGAAGACCGCCGCCGTGCTCAAGGCCTGCGTGCTCGCCGCCCTGGCGCTCAGCTTCGCTGAGGTAAGTTTGTCGTACGTCGCCTCTCCTGTCTGTGTGTATGTGTGTCTGAGAGAGAGGCCCCAATGTGGCCACAGAGTCCCAGCTAAAGTGCTCCCCGCAATGCGCCCGTGATTCTAGTGAGCCTTTTTCTCATAATGTCTATGGGCAAGACTCACGTTTAGAGCTCCTCGAATATCATTTTGGGACCTGTAAATTTCTCATACCGAAAAACGCAAGCTCTTTTGCGCGCGCAATGCTGTACTGCTAGACAATTTATGAGTTGTTCTGTTGTTTCCGTAAAGTATCTAAGCGTATCTAAGCGTAGCGTTTAAGAAATTTCCGTGATGCAAGACTTGAAGATGTTTTCTCAGACACCCCTAACCTCTGATGTTTTTGTCTTTCCAGGCCAACTGCATCCGCAAGTGTGCTACCCGCGTGGCTGTGCCCCAGACCGTCACCTACTACGCCGCCGCCGCCGCCCCCGCCTCCGCCTGCAACTCCTGCGGCTCCAACAACTGCGGTGGCTGCTACCAGCCCGCCCCTGCTCCTTCCTGCAACTCCTGCGGCTCCAACTGCGGTGGCTCCTGCTACCAGCCCGCCCCCGCCCCCCAGCCCGACTGCGGTGGTGAGATCATCGAGGTGACCAAGACCAAGACCGTCGCCGCCGCTCCCTCTTGCAACTCCTGCGGCAGCTCCAACTGCGGTGGCTGCTACCAGCCCGCCCCCGCCCCCAGCTGCAACTCCTGCGGCAGCTCTAACTGCGGTGGCTGCTACCAGCCCGCCCCTGCTCCTTCCTGCAACTCCTGCGGCTCCAACAACTGCGGTGGCTCCTGCTACCAGCCCGCCCCCGCTCCCCAGCCCGACTGCGGTGGTGAGATCATCGAGGTGACCAAGACCAAGACCATCGCCGCCCCCGCTCCCTCTTGCAACTCCTGCGGCAGCTCCAACTGCGGCGGCTGCTACCAGCCCGCCCCCGCCCCCACCTGCAACTCCTGCGGCAGCTCCAACTGCGGTGGCTGCTACCAGCCCGCCCCCGTCTGCAACTCCTGCGGCACCGACTGCGGTAACTCCTGCTACCAGCCCGCCCCCGCCCCCGTCTGCAACTCCTGCGGCACCAACTGCGGCAACTCTTGCTACCAGCCCGCCCCCGCCCCCGCCTGCAACTCTTGCGGCAGCTCCAGCTGCGGCAACTCCAACGGCGGCGAGCAGGTGACCATCACCAAGACCAGGAAGTACGTCGCCAAGAGGCCCGCCCAGCAGCAGGTCCAGGTCGTGTGCAACACCTGCTCCAAGCCCGCTTGCGGCTGCACTTGTTAGGCCCTACCGCCCCATCAGCAAATGAAATGAGAGCAAAAGAATAAAAAAACAAGACTGATCTTTGAATTGTGTCTGCCTGCATTTCCCGCACATTCCTGAATACCACCTCAAAACAATGAAGAAATCTAAAAAAAGGAGGAAGCCCTTCCGAAACCACTCTGACATAAAAACTTCAAACCTTCAAAGCATTATTTTTGAAAATTCTGAAAAACACAGTGAAAGTTGGGAAAGGTTGACGACAAAACACGTGCTCCAGGCTCAGCGTTTTAGAAAATAAACACAGCTTGCCCGTAAATACACAGTAACACTAAAAAATTCAATAAACCAATCTCCCAGCGGAGCGAAATAATCTCAGACAAAATGGTTCTGTATTGTGAGCGCAGAGCCCAGAGCAACCACGTTACTCTCTACGATAAAAGTAGGGAAATCTATTTTCGACCAGTGGCTGCAACACGAGGTATAGCTTATTCGCAGGGTGAGGCCTTTTCCGGCTGCAGTGTCGGCGTGTGCGGCCAGTGGCTGCAACACGAGGTAAAGCTTATTCGCAGGGTGGGGCCTTTTCCGGCTGCAGTGTGGGCGCGCGCGGCTGCCGAGGTCCTTTTCGCTCCTTGCCTTCATCCTGACGAGGTGCGGCCCGCAGCGCGCCGAGCATCGCAGTGGAGCACGTTGCCTATCCCGCGGTTCGCAGGCGCTCCATCCTGAGCGAAGCGGCAAGTGGTTCTTCCAGGCCTGGTCTCTCAAACGGGGCTCATGACGACCTGTAGGTTGAAAACCAGAAAGGCATGGTGCACAGAAAATGGCGTCACGGTGGACAGAAAAAAGTGGGAGAACTCATGGCGGTATCCACAGAACACGTCCCAGCACAGCGGTGCGCCCTCACGCACTGTCGGCGAATGAAAGACCTTGTTCCCCAAACTCAAGCGCGTTGCGTCGCATGTTCCCGCGACTGCACGTATTTCTGGAGCGTGAGTCATGATGGTGGTGTACAGTGGGCCAGAAGACCGGGGGCGGTCAAAATTCTAGACGCCTTTTGAGCCCCAGAGTCGCTGAATGGGACTCAAACCGAACGTGTGACCCCACCAATGGATTGCTCTCCGAAAGAGAAATCTATTGGTGGGGTCTACACGTTTGGTTCGAGTCCTGCCTACCGACTCTGGACCTCAAAACGCGTCTGGAGTTTCGGCCGCCCTGTGCAGTGGTGACGTCACCTCGCGTAGCTTGCCGTTGAACCTCCTGTGGAGGACTGACCTGGCTTGGCCTCCAGATTGGTGACGGCAGTACGATCTTCGTCGCTGTCTCTCTCGCTCTCACGGGGCGTGCCGTTCTGGTGCGAGAGGGACAATGCCGGAGTCAGGCCGTCGCTCTGCGTGGGCGTGGTGGACAAGGGCGGCACCAGCCCCAGCGAGCCAGGCAGCCGGCCCGGCGCCACGGTATCTCCACAGTTTACCAACACGGCTTCGCGCTTCGCGGATGCCTTGATGTTTGTCCGCCGAATCTCCTCCCGTGGAGGCAAGCCGATGCAAGCGGACTGGAAGAGTATAAGAAGCGCCCCGCAACCGCGGCAGGCCACACTCCAGTCCCCCCATCGCCAGCGGAAGGAACCCACCCACTCAACATGAAGACCGGATCCATCCTTAAGGCGCTTGCCGTCTCCGCCCTGGTGCTGGCCTTCGTCTCGGTGAGTGTCCAGAGCTGCTGCCCGTTGCGACTCTGACAGCGGCGTGGTAGTAGTGACAGCGCTGCGACATGCGTGGGCAAAAATTCTCACGATGCGCCTGTGTCGAAAGACTAACCTCAATCTGCCTTCTTCGCAATATCTTGGCTTCGTTGTTGAAAATTTGCCTAGAAGACAGGCTGAGGTTGGCAACCCGTTCGCTCCTGGTGCACAGTGCTAATTTTTGGCCTGAGTTACTCAATGTATCATCATTGCACGGGGTGGAGACCGAGACCGATCCGGCGATACTCCACTGCCTAGTGACTGTGGCGCGCGGTGTACAGGAAGGGTGGCTTCCTTCCCGCTGTACAGTAACCAAACGTGTGACCTTACCGATGGATTCCTCGTTCGGAGAGGAATCCATTGGTGGGGTCACACGTTCGGCTCGAGTCCTGTTAAGCGACTCTGAAGCTCAAAACGCGTCTCGAGTTTTGGCCGCCTGCGCTGGTTTTCTGCCCCACTGTGTGCTCGTTCGAAATGTGCAGTGTCCCGCCCTCACGACGCGCTTTCCTCTTCCAGGCCGCGCTGGCTTCCTGCGGCTGCAGCAACGGCGGCAAGGACGTGTGCGGCCTCGGCACCGGCTGCAGCAAGGCCGTGGTGCGCCCCGCCCGCATCATCCCCGTGCCCAGGCCCACCACCGTGGTGCGCAAGTACGTCACCGTGGTGGAGGAGGAGAGCCAGCCCACCTACGTGCACCGCCCCGCCCCCAGGCCCGCGCCCCAGCCCTGCTACGAGGCCGCCCCCGCCCCCGAGCCCGCCCCCGAGCCCTGCTACTCCTGCGGCCGCGGCCACTCCGGCTACTCGTCCTGCGGCCAGGAGGAGCGCACCGTGGTCTACAAGCCCGCCCCCCTGCCCGTCCAGAGGATCGTGGTCCGGCCCGCCCCCCAGCCCGTGTGCCGCTCGTGCCTGCTGCCCGCCCCCAGCTGCGGCTGCCAGTAGAGTGGGTGGGCGCCCTGCCCGCGACCGACTGCTGAAGAATAAAATGAAACCAACCTGAATTTTGGACCTCCATTGTACTGAATTTCACCTTCCCCTCTATACCCACTCTGTGAGACAAAGCGTGGCTTTGGAAAACACATTCTGAATACACACGGTAAAAACGGTAAAACGGTTCCAGGTTTTCCCAGGGAACCTATTGTAGAAACATAGGCGATTTGCAGGGAGTTCCTGAGAAAACCAGGAACCGTTTTTACTGTGCAGTAGCAGTTACAGTGAATTGAAATGAGCCAGAGTCGAGCTTCAGTTGAGGGCTCCAAGATATTCAGAGATTCAATCACTTTTTGACCAGCTTTGCGGGGCTACTGCTCCCAATCTAGCTGAGTTCAAAGCCTTTCCGGGGCGGTACATGAAAAAGTTGGGTCTTAAGAATACTATGGCGTTGAGGGAGGCCCTTGACTGCAGCTAGATTGGTCGCAGTGGCCGCCCAAAGTCAGCAAAAACGGCTACTTTCTGCGATTCAATCAGTTTTTGACTAACTTTGCGAGGCTACTGCTCCCAATCTAGCTGCGGTCAAAGCCTTCCCAAGGCGGGGAATGAATGAGTAGGGTCTAAAGAATACTAGGACGTTGGTGGAGGCCTTTGACCGCACCTAGATTGACCGCAGAGGCCACCCAAAGTCAGCATTATTGGATTTTCCACATTTTGACGGCTTTGCGAGGCCGGCCCTTGGCCCTCCAATGGTCTCTAGTAATCAACATATTACACCATAATCAGTGATGTTCATAAAAAAATAACCAAAATCAGTAGTAATGATCATAAATTATTCAGTAACGTGGAAATCTCGAGTTGGATACCCCTCCGTTTGAGTCATCTTTACTCTTTAGGACACACTCTGCCCCAATTTTCTTGTGATTGTTTTCTGCGTTTTTCTCACGTGTTATTTCCTCTACATTGTGGAGAAATATCGAGTTTGTCCTGGAGGTTACTCGTAAAGGGGTGAAATGTAAACAAAGCAAAATACGTGAAAGTTCCTTTTATTAATTTCCGTCTTCGCTCACACAATTCTCCCTCACAGACATCCGCACGAGTCCACGGGCTTGTGGCAGGAGTCGCACTCCGCGGGTGGCGCGTTGTAGTAGAAGCCCTTGGCGGGCTTGCCGGCGGGCTGAGGGGCCTGCGCGTACACGATCGGGACCTCCTGGTCGTCGTCCTCGTGGCTGTCGTCCTGGCAGGGCTCGACAGGGCGGGGGTTGAAACAGCCCTGCACGGCGGGGGCGGCAGATGGGTGAGCAGAATAGGACTGCTGCGCCTGCTGCACCTGACGCTGGGGCTGGCGGACGTAGGACTGCTGCTCCTGGCGCTGGGGCTGGTTGACGTAGGACTGCTGCTGTTGACGGTTGCGGGACTGCTGCTCCTGACGCTGGGGCTGGTGGGCGTAGGACTGCTGCTTCTGCTGTTGACCGGCGCAGGACTGCTGCTCCTGGCGCTGGGGCTGGTTGAAGTAGGACTGCTGCTCCTGGCGCTGGTTGACGTAGGACTGCTGCTCCTGGCGCTGGTTGACGTAGGACTGCTGCTCCTGGCGCTGGGGCTGGCGGTACTGCTGCACCTGACCGTAGCCGCGGGGCTGTTCCCTCTCAGGTGCTGAGGAGGGTTGGGCAGACGGGGAAGACCGGAGGAGAGGCAGGCACCTGAGGGACTCACTGGGGTTGAAGGAGCCTTCAGACTCGGAGGGCTGGAAGTTCGTGAAGGTCTGCTGCTGCTGCTGCTGCTGGGGCGCGCGCTGTTGCTGCTGCTGCTGCTGCTGCTGCTGCTGGCTGAAGGACGCCGCGCTGAACGCAGGGATGGGGAAGTCGTTGGCTTGGTCAATCGGCTGCTCCTGCGTGCGTGGCTGCTGTTGCTGCTGCTGGCGCTGCTGCTGTTGCTGCTGCTGGTACTGCTGCTGCTGCTGTTGCTGGTGCTGCTGCTGGTGGTACTGCTGCTGCTGGTGCTGTTGCTGGTGGTGGTACCGCTGCTGCTGGTGCTGCTGCTGCTGCTCGTGGCGAGAGGTGGTGTGCACGACGGTGCGCTGCTCATGCTGCTTCTGCACCTGCTGCTGCTGCTGTTGGTGCTGAGCGGCGTAGACGAACTGGGGCCTGCGGTCGGGCTGTTGGTGGCCGCTTGGCACCCCCACGACGACCTGGGACTGGGTCGAGGCCTTGGCCACCGCGAATGCCGACGCCTCCTGCTGGGCCACTGCCGCGGCCACGGCCTCCGCGTACACGGCGGGCATGGACGCCAGCTGGGGCTGGTGGTCGGGGCGGCCACAGTGTGCCTGCGCAGGAAACAAGCAAAGGGATCCGTTAAGAAACACAGTCCAGAAAGACCTAGCAAAACACGTGAAAAACATTTCGCTGACACACTACAACGGCCAAGTCTAGCGGAAACTCGAGACGAAACCCAAAGTGAAACACTCACCGAGACGACGCCGATGGCCGCGAGGGCCGCGAACACGATGAAAGCCCTCATGTCGAAGGGGAAGTGCGTGGAGTCGCCGGACGCTTCGGCTTTTATACCTCGCCGAGGGCTGATATCCACAAACGTGTTGATTGCGCGTCTGCCGGTTTTGGCGCCATTTCGTCTGCTTTACCCCAGGTAGTGTTTTGGGCACGTATCAACCGTCGCGGCCGGGCGGGGCGAGGCGCGGCAGCGGGGCGGGGCGGGGCGCGGCGGCGCGGGGCGGTGATCGGCGGCTGGCGCCATCCCGCCGCGGGACCACGTGACTCATCTTGAATCAATGAAAGCGCCGAGCGGGCTTTGGCCGCGTGCACGTCGGCCGTACACCCTGGGGGTGGCCAACGAACGCCCTTGCCTTGACGGTGACGTCGCCGACCTGATACCTCGGTGTCAAGTACCTGCGCGACCTCCACCGCCCCGCCAGTTTACAAATACCGTGCTGCGCGCCCCGCGCGACTTTTGAACACCTCGCCGTTGTGGAACGCGGCCACTCACGTCGCCCCGCCCCACCCCACCCCGCCGCGCGCCGCCGCCCCCGTGGCGTCCACGACGAATGTATAAGATGGCGCTCTTCCGATTGACGCCCTCACACTCCGCACCACCATGAAGTCGTCCACACTCCTCAAGGCGCTGGTGCTGTCCGCCGTCCTGGTGGGCCTCATCGAGGTAAGACCCGTTCGTTGTGTTTAGCTGAGCCTGTTTGGGTGTTCAAAATTTGAAATTCGTAGTTGGTTTGCGAAGAAGTTCGATCCAGTCCCGTGCAATGAGAGACGTGTTGCATTTTATTTTTCATTTTCTCGAAACGAGAGTGGCCGATTCTTTTTTGTTTGCATACGTAAAGAGAGAACTGAAACTAATACAGTGTGGGAAAGTGTTCAGTGTCCGTGTCGTTGTCCTTGCCCCTGTGCTGACTGGCCTGCCCTCTGTCTACAGGCTGCCCCTTTCCACGGGGGTTGCGGCTGCGCTAGCCCCTGCGGCTGCGGCGGAGGCGCCAAGTTCTCCGTGGCCACCGTGCCCATCCAGCTGTCCCTGCCCGCCCCCGCCCCCGCCCCCAGCTGCGGCTGCGGCTCCATCTGCGGCGGCTCTTGCGGCATCCCCGCCCCCGCCCCCAAGTGCGGCTGCGGCTCCCTCTGCGGCGGCTCCTGCGGCATCCCCGCCCCCTGCGGCCACCACGGCAAGTGCGGCTGCGGACCCCGCTTCATCGAGGTCACCAAGTGCAAGAAGTTCCTGGTGCCCGCCCCCAGGCCCCGCTGCCACAAGTGCCTGGTGCCCGCGTGCATCTGCGACGCCCCCGCCCCCGTGTGCGGCTGCCCCCAGCCCTGCGGCTGCTGAGAAGCGCTGAGACGTTCTGCAACCCCAACCAGGCCGTGAGGCCGGCCGAGCTCGACCCCACAGGACCGCATCACAGCGACGAGGGTATGACGCACGTTTAGGCCCGTTTTGGCAACTTTGTTTTGAATGCTATAAACTAAAAAAACAAACTAAATTTGTGAGAAATTTTAAGTTTGGTCTATATTTTGTTTTGCTTTTTGGTGCGGATGTGTCATGACGGTTTAACCCCAGCAATCCTATTTTGACTATCTTTTCGAACGTATTTCTCTTCTGGTTACCTTTCTCATTTTGATTATTTGGACTCAAAAACCTGTTGCGGCTTATTGGCTGATGCGAAATTAATGTTTGGAAAGAAAAAAAAAGACGAACAGAAACGGAGTGTCAAATTTTATCCTAAATTAAAATGTAAAAAAAAGTGAAAAATCTCACATTTAAATTGTAACCGTGCGTACTGGTGTTTATTCCTGTCAAAACCTAATCAGTGAAATTTATTATTGAAAATTTGTCAGCCCTCGTACCCATTTCTCTTTCGACACGAGCTACATTGCAGCATTGAAAAAAAAACAATAAAAGAACCGATACTTCTGGAATTTGTGCCTCTATTGTCATCGACGCCTCTCTCCCCCTTTGCCCCACCCACCGCTATAAACTGCTGACCAAAGCGAGTAAAAGTGCTGCTGAGACAATCAAAACGACACCCAGCGCGCCCGCAGCCAAGCCAGCGTCTCGAAACAGCGTCCCGACGCGTGCAGCTTCCTGAAAGACGGGCAATTGTTTCATTTCACAAAGAGAAAAGAAGAACAACAACAAAAACTGAAGTTGACTTTCAATTCGCGCCAGACATGGATGCCTAGTTGATAACACCGCCAGTGTGGCTGCAATGCGCCGATAAAGACTTTATCTATCCGAAATCAGTTTCTACCTTCCACTTGCATGCGCTCGAAACGTAGTAATTTGGTTGACTAGAGTGAGTGAACAATGTCACGCACGTTGTGCCGGGCCGTTTCTTCGTTCGACCTTATCAGTGAGAAAGTGAGACGAGTGCCTCACCTCCAGTCATCGGCGTCGGCGGCGTCCCGGAGAAGCAGTGTCACGTGTCCGCGGCCATCGCGACCCTCGCCGTCGTCGGCCGTCGCGGTGGTGCCTGGCGGCCTTATCGACCGCGGTCTCCAATTACGCGCGCGGCGGCACGGCCAGGCTGATTGGGCCTGCATCGGCCCGCATATACACCTCGCGGGTGTGCAGCCTGAGACACTCGGTGGTGTTCGAGGCCGCACGTCGGTCGCCCCGTCGTCCCGTCGCCGTCTCCGAGTTGTATCCGCCGCGCCGACAACAGTACACAATGTTCCGCCGTTCGGATGTTTCCGAACTGGACGTGTATTTGCTGGTCGCCGCGCTGCTGCTGACGCACCAGGTAACAGCCACCATCTAGGTCGGGCCGGTGGAACGGCGGTGGAGAGCTGCGGTCCTCGGATCGAATACCGGAAGCGACGAGGCCTTTTTAGCGACATGACAACTTCTACGAGTTCGATTCCCAGCCAAAGCACTAATTTTTTAGGGGGAGGGGGGCTTCTGAAGAACTTGTAGGAAAAGAATTGGTTCCGATCTTTGGAAAACTCTAAAAACCTCAAATGTTCCTAGTTTGTTTGAGTTTCATTTTTTCTTCCATTTTGTATGAGTTTCCATGTTCTCCGTTTGATTTCAGGTGTCCGCGGCCATGCGACTTTCTGTCCCCGCGGCGCACGACGGCGTCCTGGGCGTCCCCGACGGCGTCCTCGGCGTCCGCGGCGTCCGCGGCCACTCGCGGCACGCGCGCGACCTGATGGACGACGACCTGCTCTCGCCCGTGCTCAGCATGTTCTCCGGCGGGCCGCGCAGCCGGTGCTGCAAGCAGCTGACGCTGTGTGACCTGGCCGCCACGCTGCTGCAGGCCGTGGAGGCCAACAAGGCCCAGGACGTGGAGACGCTGCGCAAGCGCAAGAGCCAGCCCGCCTGGCACCCGTTTCGGGTACGTTTTGAAAATCTCAGTGACATGTCCAGAGCGAGAGCGGCTCACAGTGCGCCAGAAGACCGGTAGAGGCGGCCAAAACTCTAGACGCGTTTTGAGCTCCTGAGTCGCTAAACAGGACTCGAACCAAACGTGTAGCCCCACCAATGGGGTCCACCAAACCGATTCCTCGTTCGAAGAGCAATCCATTGGTGGGGTCACACGTTCGGTTCGAGCCCTGTTCAGCGACTCTGGAGCTCAAAACGCGTCTAGAGTTTTGGCCGCCTCCACCGGTCTTCTGGCCCACTGTGCGGCTGGTTTCGTCTAAACTGCATTCTTCCTGTTGACCCAGTCCTTCTCCGGAAGATTCCGCCGCGCGGAGCAGGAGCACCAGGACACCGACCCGGAGGACAGCCCGCCCAACCCCGTGCTGGTCAACATCGCCAGGACGTACTTGAGGAGGCTGCAGCAGGACGAGGAAGACCGGCGGGCCGAGGCGCTGAGGCACGCTCAAGCCACGCTGGAGCGCGAGCGCGCCGCCACGCACCACCACGACGACGAGGAGGAAGAAGACGAGCCGGAGGAGCCCGAAGCAGCCCCTGGAGGCGACGGCCGCGACGACCCGTCCCCGGCCATACAGAAAATCTCGCTACGGCCATGAAGTCCCCGCCCTCGAACCACAGTCCGGGTCAGACGGGTGATGCAAATTATTTATTTTCCTAGCAATAAATCAAAGTGCGTGCAATCTGCTGTTTTTCTTCGCGTCCGCCACCACACTGTAAACACCCGCGGGTACTGGTGGCCCTCGCCCTGGGGGCCGCCCAGCGGGCTGTCTCCGAGCAGTGGTGTCGTCGCTCTGTCTCTCTCGCACACACGACGCGTCCCGTAAGGGTGCGAGAGAGACAGCGACGAGACACTTTCCGGAAGCAGCCCCGCAGGTTCAAGGCGAATCGAATGCCTTTGTCAGAAGCCGGTCGGTGTCGGCCTGCCGGCCTGTCGGCCGCGCCGAGGGTCGCACGCTGCCGCACTGCGCCCCAGTTGCGGCGGCCCTCCGAGGCAACGCGGTCCTCTCTCTCGCACTCGAGGGCGCTGTGGGAGATCAGCAACAGCACGCGGCGATTCTGCACGGCACTTTTGTCACTCCGTCTCTCTCGCGCGCGACGCCCTGCGAGTGCGAGAGAGACAGCGCCGCGAAATGGCACTGTTCGGAATGGCTGTGCTGGCCGTGCTGGCCCTCTTCCCGGCCATCTTCGACCTTTCCGATAACGCGCTGCAGACTGATTCCGAGTCGCTTTCGTCGCTCTGCCTCTCTCGCACTCACGGAGCGTCCCGTATAGGTGCGAGAGAGACAGAGCGACGAAAAGCGACTCTCGGCATCAGTCTGCTGGCTGATAACCCCGTGGCCGGCCTGTCTAGCCGCAGTGCCGCGGACGCAGCCTGCCGACGCGGACGCCGCCCTCCTCTGCAAATAATACCGAGAATACACAGCAAAAAACACGAGCGAGGTCTAAGGCCAGCCGCGCAGCACCGCGCAGCTCGACAGAAGTAGCGGGAATTTCGAGTCCCGCGAGCAAAGTCCAGTGTAGTGACGCGGCCCCGGCGAGGTAGGCTTCCCCGTCAGCGCGGCGCGGCGCCGACTGGACAGGCAGCCCAACCTACCTTCTCGCCGGCCTCACCACAACGTGGATTCAGGATGGAGGGGGTGGGGGATATCCACCCCGCCCTGGCCCCTAGCCAGCCACCTGAATGGTAGACCAAAAGCAACACTTTACCCCAGTAAGTGCCACCCCCCCCCCTTTCCAGACCGGCTCTGTATCCGCCCCTGCGTGGCCGTCCTCCGTGGGCGTGCCGCTGGCGGCGTCGAGCCAGGATGGACGCCAGCCGCGCTTGGACGACGGCGACGGCGATGACGCACAGTGGGCCAGAAGACCGGTGGAGGCGGCCAAAACTCTAGACGCGTTTTGAGCTCCAGAGTCGCTGAACAGGACTCAAACCGAGCGTGTGACCCCACTAATAGATTCCTCGTTCGGAGAGCAATTCATTGGTCGGGTCACACGTTCGGGTCCCATTCAGCGAATCTGGAGCTCAAAACGCGTCTAGAGCTTTGGCCGCCTCCACCGGTCCTCTGGCCCACTGTGTGACGGCAGCTGCATAAAAGCGCGCGTGCAGCTGCACGTGTTGGTGGCCCTGCGCCAAAGAGAGAAAAAAGACGGCTTTGTCTTGACCGTGCGAGAGAGACGCGGCGCGCGGAGGCTGCGCCTGGTCTACGCGTCGGACAGGGACGGAGACAGTGCTGGGGTTGGGCCCGATGGTCCGCTGGGCGGTGGCCGTTATCACCGCGGAGGGGGGTCACCGTGCAAAAGAGGTTCCCGCGGCTTTTGTCTCGCCGTGGGGGCGTCGTGCTTTTGGAGGCTCGCAGGTGCTGCGCTCGGCAGTGCCGCCAACAGTCTGGGTTTCCGCTTCCCTGGGCGGGGGCGTTCCCGCGGTCTTCTTATAAGAGGTTCCGCGGCCCGAGCCATTCGCGCGTGTTTTCTCACGTGCATGCATCCCAGTGCCGCCAAAAATGGCCTCCGTTTTCCTGGTGTGCGCCCTCGCGGTCTTCTTCTTCCCCCATAGGGCGCCGGGAAAACCGGTCGCCGGTTTACCGTGGGGAAATAGGGGATTCAACAACCGCGGTTCAAACTTGCCTTTCTGACTTCGTTTTATTATCTTTTTTGTGGTGATCTGTGGGAAACAAATTACCCACGACAAGGAATCGAGTGTGGTTTCATTAACGTGGTTTTCATTTTGGTGCGTGCAGTTCGTCCTGTCCAGGCCCGATGCCACCGAGGAGGGCTCCCTGAAGAGCGTCGAGGCTAAGGTGTCCGTGGCTGTGGACGACCTCAGGAAGGCCGTCGGCGACATGTTCAAGGTAAGCCCTGGATTTGTTTAGTGTTCCGACTAATGGTGTGCGGAGTGATATTTTCAAATCGAATCGAATCTCGAAAATTTCCAATAACCGAATTTCCAATATTTATACCCACATCAGGTGACATTGACACTTTTTTCTGTTGTTTCGGACCTATGAACTTAAATTTTATTTATAAGTTTCACATTCTTGGCCTGTTTTTTTTTTCAATTTGAAAAACGCATTTAGGTTACCCCAGATCGATTTAATACGATTTTAAATACGATTCAATTTCGAAAAAGATTCGGCACGCCCAAAACCTCGAGTTCAGACGAGTTTCGGATGGTTTTTCCGCATCTTTCGACCGTTTGCCTCTTTGCCGCGCAGAACCTGACCGACGTCATCCAGTCCGAGATCGCCAAGAACCCCGAGGCCTCCGCCCTCTTCAAGAACGTCACCGAGAGCCTCTCCTCCGCCGCCCAGCAGGTCAAGGACGCCGTCAGCTCCGTCACCCCCAAGCCTTGAGGAGCCCTGGCTGCCGGCCGACCGGTCGACTGAAGTCACGATGCCTCACTCATTTCGCCCCCATTTTTTGTCACCAACTATCGTCAAAAATTAAAACCGAATCCAAATTTAGTGAGGCCTGCTGAGAGCGTTGTACTTTTCCCTCACCCCAAGAAAGTACCCCCGATGAAACATTGAAGTAAAACAGAGCATGTGAACAAGTTGCAGTACAACTGACGCGTTTTTCACCGGGCTTACCCGTCAGGAATCCTCAGGAATGCTCCCAGAATCAGAACGGTTTTTGCGGTGTAGAAACCTACGTACATGTGAATGACAAATTTTGCTCGAGCACAACTCATAACTCCGTAAAAAAATAACTAAATCAGACAGGATTCTGCAACAGCTTGCCTTCTTGGTGTACCTGTGCAGACAGTTCTTGAATGAAATGTGTTACAAAGTGTTGAAGCGCACTGTGTTTTACTGCTCGACGTAAAACACGTCCACACCTAGTCACGAGTATGAGCAAGAAATAAATAAATGATTAAAAAGTTAAAATTAGACACGGAATGGAGAGAGGAAACCTGCCCTTGGCGGCTTTCCTCATTTAAACTTTCCAAGTGTCTGATTTTCCAATTTCGCCTCGGCCTGCAGGGCTGCAGGGCAGCGCCCCCGCCCTCGGACTCGTTGGGCAACAGGGCAGAGCAGTAAACAATCTCGGAGATAAGAAGAGTCTCGCCTTTCGGGGAAGAAAGCCGGATCGCCGAGGTGGTTCACTAGGGGACAAAAAACCGCAAGACACCGCGCAAAAAAAGAAATCAAGTTTTCTCAACGGCGTGGGGCTGTAAGAGAACTACCTCACGCGTGAGAGTTTTTCCTTTCGGTCAGCGTTGGGTGTCTGTGACCAACCCCGCCACTCTAAAATAGCACCCCGTCAACTGTTTCCTGCGCCTGCCGTGTACGCGGCGGGATCGACTGCACACCGACGCCACACCTTTTGGGTGTTTTTCCCCCCGCTTTCGGCCCTATCACCTTTGGGCCCTACACCTACGTTCACGCGGAGAGAGGTGGACGCCATTTCATTGACGGCGGCCGTGCGGCCAGCATCCCAACGGATGACGAAACCTGGTGGCAATCAGTGTCACCTTCGTCCCCTGGACGTCTCGGCCGCCGGAAAGGAAGAGCGAGAAGGAGGCGGAGACGTTCACGACGTCCACGACGTTCACGACGTTCAGGACGCCTTCGCGACGTTCACGACGTTCAGGACGCCCACCACGTCCGCGTCGAGGGCGCGGTCACGTGTACGGGCCACGTCGTACTGCCCCTCGCCTTGGTAGGGGTGACTCAGAGCGGGCGAAGGAGGCGGGCTGGGTGTGGCGGGTCGGAGCGGGCGGGGCGGGGCGGGGCGGGGCGTGGCGGGACGGGGTGCGGCGTTGCGGTCTGGTGGGGAGGGGCAAGGGTCACGGCGGGCCCCAGTGGGCCCACGGCTCCCAGCCTCCCAGCTCCGCCAGTCCGTGGTCAGGATCTACCGTCGCCGCACCGTGCCTTGCCCCGCTCTGCTTCGCCCCCCGTCCTAGACATGCAGTTCAAGATCGTGTTCGTCGTTGCGGCGCTCTGCCTTGCGCAGGTAAGGCTGCTGCACCTGGCCGTGCCGTCCTTGCCGGGTCGCTTCGACCGACGTTCAGCTTGGGGGCTTTGACGGGCTGCTTCGCGGTGCCACCTGGTGATGGTCACCGTCCAGGTCCCCTGGGTGGCACTCTCCCTCGACGGGCACCTCCCTCGACGGGCACCTCCCTCGACGGGCACCTCCCTCGACGGGAACCTCCCGCGACGGGCACCCCCCGCATCGCTTTGGTGTGGGGCGGTTCTGAAGTACACAGGCTGGCGCGCGCCGAGTCCGAAGCTTCGTCGAGCAATAAGGGCAGGAACGGAGTAGAATTTGCAAAATCTGCGAAATCTGAACTCCATGGGCTCGGCCTCCTACGGCCTCGGCTCTCAGGACCCCATCCTGACCGCGGCATCAAGGATTCCAGCTTCGCTCCATCGTCTAGGATTCAGCCTCTAAGCTACAGTCTCTGGGACCCTGACCTCTAGGGATTCGACCTCTAGGGCATAGACCTCTCGGACACTGACCTCTAGGGCCCCGGCCTCGACCTCTAGGGCCCCTCGCTTGATAAGCACCCCGGCCGTCCCCCACAGCCCTGTGGACCGCGGAGAGCCAGAAATTCAGAACTGTTGAGTGCGCGTTGAAGATTCGGTCTGGCGTTCTCTGGTATCACTTTCAGTTCTCGTCGAATTCCTTCGGGACTGAATCCAGGGACGCCGGATCCATTAACATGTCCATTGAACTACTTTGAGTGACTTTGACCCCAGCGGTCTGCGTGGTGACGTCATCGCGATAGACTTTCTTTATCTCGAGCTTCCTGTTTTCCATGGCGACAGCGCGACAGCGAGTCGGGGCTTTTCCCTCTCACTGGCTTTTCGCGATAACCCCTGGTGCCCCCGCCCCGCCCCGCCCCGCCCCGCCCCGCCCCGCCCCGCCCCGCCCCGGCGTGCCCGCCCCGCCCCGCCCGGTCGTGTTATGTGGAGCCTTATGTCACGTCGGTCGCCTCGATACGCGCCTGTCGCCATGCACGGCGGCACGGCGGCACGCCACAGCCCCGGCAAATTGCCCTCGGCCCGTGCTGACCCAGGCAACACGGCGACCGAGTCAGCGCGACGCGCGGGCGGGCGGATTAAAAAAAGAGTGCAATGCGGTGCAATGTGCAATGCCCCCAAAAAGTGCTTCATTTTCATTTTCGACGCCGTGTCTAACGCTGTGGTTTTCCCTCCATGAAGGCGTACGCCGAGAAGGCCGCCGAGCCCATCAAGTTCGATGAGGTCGTGGCCAAGGCCCAGACCGCCATCAACAACATGGCCGTCGAGGTGCAGAAGGCCCTCGGCGTCAAGGAGCTCCCCGAGCCCCAGAAGGTGGCCGACAGCATCATCCAGGGAGGCAAGGACCTGGCCAAGCAGATCAGCGACATCGTCACCGAGGTATTTTCAAGTCTCTTGATACGTGAAATACCAAACTGCCATTCTGTTTTAAGTTACTAATAATTTTTCATTTTGTTTTCAGATTTCCTCCAAGCCCGACCTGAACTCCGCCGTGTCCGCCATGGCCAAGAGGATCAACACCACCGTCGAGGACCTCCAGAAGCAGGTGCCCAACGTCCAGGCCAAGGCCGCCGAGCTGCAGAAGTCCCTCCAGACCAGCATGCAGGCCGTCGTGAGCGAGACCCAGAAGCTGGCCCAGAACCTCACCCCCGTGCAGACCGACATCAAGAAGAGCCTCGAGTCCGTCATGGACCAGGTCTCCAAGGTCGCCATCGAGGTCCAGAACAAGGTCAAGGCTGCCATCGAGAACCCCTCAGCAGCAGTTTGAGAGCGCACTGCCGCCTTGGCTTGACAGCCGAAGCAATCTCGTTCCTATCATATTTTTTTTTTACAAAAATAGTTACTTACATCGACCATGCGCCACGTCCATATCATCACTGTTTTGGTCGCACTGTGGGCCATCTTTCCAGCTGACTAAGTGTTCATGGAGAGTATAAAAGACATTCTAAAACCGGAGAGGAAAGATGACCCACATTTGAAGAAATTATTACGTTTTCAATAAATTATCTCTCACCCATGTACTCGTTTCAATTCATCCCCCTGTACTGATAAATTTCATTGAGACTTCGTGGCTGTGAAGTGTACTCCAAGGAGTGTCAACAACGTACAAGGTAGTGCAAATTACTTTTTATTAAAAACATTTTATTAAATTTGAAAACCAAAAGAACAAAAGGAAGTGCAAGTTGAAGAGGAAAAAAAGGACTTTGATTCCGGAGGCCTGGCCCAATGGCCTCACAAACGAAATCACAAACTGAAACTGAAATCTCCTCGCGAATTTCTCACGACCGTCTCAATCTCGAAAATCATAAACTCCGATAAAACGAAGGTGGACTTTGGGACCGCCACCATACGCACGCAGTCTCGTCCGTGGAGACGGGTGCCATGGAGTCGGCCTGTCGACTGGATTCCGAGAGTCGTTCTCGTCGCTCTGTCTCTCTCGCACCTATACGGGACGCCGCATGAGTGCGAGAGAGACAGAGTGACGAAAGCGACTTTCGGAAAGAGTCTGCTGTCGGCCCGACGGGGCACAGTGGGCCAGAAGACCGGTGGAGGCGGCCAAAACTGTAGACGCGTTTTGAGCTCCGGAGTCGCTAAATGGGACTCGAACCGAACGTGTAACCCCACCAATGGACTGCTCTTCGAACGAGGAATCGATTGGTGGGGTCACACGTTCGGTTCGGGTCCTATTTAGCGACTCTGGAGCTCAAAACGCGTCTAGAGTTTTGGCCGCCTCCACCGGTCTTCTGGCCCACTGTGCGGGGGCGTGGCCCTCTGGGCCCGGCGTGCGCCCCGCGTGCCTGGGCATACTGATTGACGCCGACGTGCAGGCGTGCCGCGGGGCCGCGTATCTCGGACGGCCGGCGCACGCACCGCGCACGCAGTGTCGTGCCACGCACCGCGCGATGCCGCGATGCAGCGGCTGGAGGCGTGATTGTACTATCGCTGGAGTCGCGCTAGCGACGGCAGCCGCAGCCGCACGCCACCACGGGCACCACGGGCACCACCGGGACGCCGCAGCCGCCACCGCAGCCGCCACCGCAGCCACCGCCACAGCCACCTCCGCAGCCTCCGCCGCAGCCGCCGCCGCAGCCGCCGCCGCAGCCACAGGGCTTCTTCAGCGGGCACGGCTTCATCAGCGCCTTCTTGTTGATGTGGTCCGCCAGGTGCTCCACCACCTTGAAGCCGCCGCGCATCACCTTGAACAGGGTGTGGATGCCCTCCTCGGCGAGGTCCTTCATCTCGGACTGGTTGTTCCGGCCGCAGGTCTTCTTCTTGCCGCAGGTGCAGGTGCCGTCCTCCTTGCTGCCGCCGCAGGCGCAGGTCTTCTTGCCGCAGGTGCAGGTGCCGTCGGCCTTGCTGCCGCCGCAGGGGCAGGAGGGCGCGCTCTTGCCGCAGGTGCAGGTGCCGTCGGCCTTGGAGCCCCCGCAGCTGCAGGGGGCGGAGGAGGCCGCGGTGGCGTACGAGTGCTGGGGGTAGGACACGGCCTGCACGTGCGAGCCGCCGCACGGGCTGGAGTGCATCACCGCCGGGCCCAGCACCCTCTGCGATGTGTGCTCCACCACCATGTAGTCCATGGCGTCCTGCAGGCGACACGCAAACAATGAGCACGGTTGGCGGAAACATAGCTCTATAGAGCTCCCCGGCGTCGCACAGTGGGCCAGGTGGAGGCGGCCGAAATCCTAGACGCGTTTTGAGCTCCAGAGTCGGTAAACAGGACTCGAACCGAACGTGTGACCCCAACAATGGATTCCTCGTTCGGAGAGCAATCCATTGGTGGGGTCACTCTTTCGGTTCGAGTCCCATTTAGCGACTCTGGACTGGAGCTCAAAACGCGTCTAGAATTTTGTGCCGCCTCTACCCACTGTGGGTTGCCTGCCTTCTCGGCGGGGGAAAAGTCCCATGTCACTCACCGAGGGGTGCGCGGCGAAGAGCACGGCGACGGCGGCGGCCACCGCCACGCCCAGGCACGCCGTGTGCCTCATGACGCAGATGCTTACGGGGGTTCCGGTCCAAGTCGGACGTCCGAGCGGCGGGTGGAGCAGGTGTGGAGTGGAAGGGTCCGCGGCGGCGCGCTGCCTTTTCAGGCATTGCCCGGCTTTGCCAGTGTGGTGCCCGGCGTGATTAGCGAGTCCGTGTTTGCGGTAAAGATCACGGGGAATCGCACTTATCGCCTTTCATTGAGTACCGGCGGCACGCGGCACGCCGAGGTGCGCGCCGATTGCGTGCGGGTTCCTCGCCAATCGCTCGGGGAAGTATGGCGATATTGGCGATCCAGCGATCGCCGTGCCATTCACGCGGCGCTTCCCCACTAGCCGTGTGTAGTTTCCGGCATTTCCGCAGACTGATCCCGAGAGTCGTGCTCGTCGCTCTGTCTCTCTCACACCTGTACGGAACGCCCCATGAGTGCGAGAGAGACAGAGCGACGGAAACTAACTGGGTTTCGATCGGCAAATTAGCGCGGCAGACGCATTGCATTGCGTTGCCGGCAGCCGCACCCCGAGACCTCTGTCTGCGACTGTTTGTCGTCGGCGTGCTCGGCTCGGGGCGATCACCGTGTGAACCCGATGCGACGCCCCAGCTTCTCTCGCGCAGTCGCCGCTGGACCTGATAGCGATAGTGGATGGATAGTGCGGTTGTGTGCCTTGTGCATGCCATTCGCAGCGCGCAAAAACAATGACTATTGTTGAGTCGGCGGTTCGAATACCAGCTTCCTCTTTCCCTCTTTTCCTTTTTCTTTCCGGAGCGTGGGTTTGAGTTTTTTCTGTGAGTTGGGATGGCTACGCACAGTGGGCCGGAAGACCGGTGGAGTGGCCAAAACTCGAGACGCGTTTTGAGCTCCAGAGTCGCTAAGCAGGACTCGAACCGAACGTCGGACCCCTCCAATGGATTCCTCGTCCGGAGAGCAGTCTATTGGTGGGGTCACACGTTCGGTTCGAGTCCCTTTTTAGCGACTCTGCAGCTCAAAACGCGTCTAGAGTATTGGCCGCCTCCACCGGTCTTCTGGCCCACTGTGCTACGCCACTGCACCGCCACTGCACCGCCGCTGCGTACTCGAGGTTTTGGGCATTCCCCTGTCGTCGAACGGCCGCGCCCCGCCAGCGCCCCGCCAAATACGTCTCGCGTGCGAAGGCCAGCCGAGCGAGTCAGAAGAACGCTCCGTCGCTCTGTCTCTCTCTCGCACCCTCATGGGGAACCCCATGAGTGCGACGGAGGCAGAGCGACGAAACGGCTCGTCTGAATCGCACGGCGGCGCGCGTGGCGTGGGGGTGTGCACGGTGTGCATGGACGGGCCGAACGCGAGACCGTCGCGGGGCGTGCTTTGGCGCTGCTCGTGCGCGACAACCCGCCGACGCCCTCCTGTCTCTCTCGCTCCCACACTTGGCGGCGGGGGATTTTGAACGCGGCCGCCTTCAAGCTCATTCCGCAAAGGTGCGTCGTCGCTCTGTTTCTCTCGCACCCATGCGGCGTCCGGTAGGAGTGCGAGAGAGACAGAGCGACGAAGCGCCGTTCCGGAATCAGACTGCTGTCTCTCTCTCTCACACACACACGCGGCCGGGTCCGCACCTGGCCGCCGACGGGGTGCTCCGGACGCCGCCACCGCCCTCGTCAGCCTCGTCAGTGGTTTCGGCGGCGAGGGCCGCTGGCTGCGCCGTGCTGCGCTAGCCGACCCTGCGCTATTTCGCCCGCAGAATGCACAGGCAGCAATGGCGGCTTGCACAAACCCCCCGCCGCCTCGCCCCCCTCTCTCCGCTCCCTCGCACACTGGTGCTGCCCCGTGCCCCCGGCCTGCCCTGCCCCACGGCCCTCGGGATGGCGGCCACGTGACGCCAGAGTGCTGCATCCATGCCGTTATCGCCAACCTGGGGCGGCCGGCCGATGGCGGGGACTCGGCGGACAAGGCGGGGACGCGCCGCCGGCCCCGAGAGCGCCTGCACTGGGTTGTACAGTGGGCGTCTCGACAAGGAAACTGGACACCGCAATATGGCGAGGAGGCTCCTCCATGTCGCTCCTGTCACTCCCCCGCCCCCTTGTCACTCTTATTCCAGGTCCCTTTCGGTCACTGAGAACGCTTGTGCCAGCCGATGTCCTCTCCGACGTTCAAACAGGGGTTGATCACCCCTTCCGTCACACCCTAAGTCCGGCGTCCCGCCGTGCGCGGTTTCGACTCCCTTCCCCGCCATCGCGCGCTCGCTCTCCTGTCCGCGCCATCCTGGGCGCCGCTCAGTACGGGCCTTGCGGCCATTTGCGGCCCGGCCCGGTGCCCGCCGACGTTAACTCCAACGTAAGCATATTCATGACGGGGAACGGGGCGTCGCCGCGCGCCCGCCAGTGCCCCTGCTGCCCCGGCCGTGTGCGTGCGTGCGCGTGTGTGCGTGCGCCTCTTTCGTGACCAGCGAGCGCGTCTTCCTCAAGGAGTGCCGGACGCGGCCAAGCTACCCCCGCGGCGGAGACGGCACCAGCTCGTCGGCCGCCATGTTGGTCGCCCAGGTACGCGACGACGACGTCACCCCCGTGCGTCTGTGTGTGTGTGTGCGTGCGTGTGTGCGTGCGTGCGTCTGTGTGTGTTTGCGTATTGGTATGCTTGGTCGTGTGTGTGGGTGCGCGCGCACAGGGGTTGCCGTGCTCCATGTGGCGTGACATCCGATTCGGCAGTTCGTTTCCGGTTTTCAACACACCAGATAGACCCGACCGGCGGCGACCTCGCCCCCTTGCCTGATTCCGCCTGACTCAGACCGCGTGGTTGTTGTGATTGGTTTGTGTGTCGAGTAAACAGGCTCACGCCGCGCCACCATGTAGGTGCGCGGATCAAATGCGTTTCGACGCCGTAAAAAAAAGTCGATGCACAATGAATTTTCAGTCGCCCGTTGTGAAAAGTCTTCAATTTTTGAAACCGCCACATTATAGTTTCTGGATTTCCTTCACCTTCTCAAATGTAATACAGTGTAAAACAGACTCGTGATAATTACGAGACCTTGTTATTCTGTTTTGTGCTGCTTCCCCGCGTTCCCGCCACAGATATCGTCGCGCGGATAGGTCAGTGTTAGCCTCGCGGGTCGCCAACCTTGCTCTGCTTCTAGGAAGTACCTGGGCTTCGCCCCCAAGAAGTTGCCCAATAGGCAAGCGTGGGTCGGCAGCCCTTTCAAAACCGGCCGCTGCGTATTTGCGTGACAGTTGGCAGCGGTATGAAGGGTCGTGTGGGAGCCCGCGTGCTCCAGTGGAGGCGGCCAAAACTCTAGACGCGTTTTGAGCTCCAGAGTCCCTATAAGCGACTCCGGAGCTCAAAGCGCGTCCAGAGTTTTGGCCGCCTCCACCGGTCTTCTGGCCCACTGTGGCCCGGCCCCTCTTTTGACGTCCTTCTTGCCATCCAGAGCGCCTGCGGTGTAGGCACCACAACGGCCATCTCCGCGCGGAGGCCGGCGCGTGGCCTACCCAGCACGGCGCCGTGCCTGACTTGCTATTGATGGCTCTGCTGCCGCCAGGTCCTGGCCGCGTGCCTGCTGCTGGCGGGGTGCCACGCGAGGTACACCACGCCCACGCCGTCGTCCACGTCCTCGCCGGACTCCGAGGAGATGGTGATCGGCGACATCGCCAAGCAGTGGTCCGCCATGGTGGACGCGTACCAGCGAAAGCAGCGCTCGGAGCAGGACCGGCTGCTGTTCCCCGCCGACCTCATGATGGTCATGAGGAAGCACGCGGAGGACGACATCCTCAACGAGATCATTCACGACGACCACAGGTTCGGGCCGTGAGAAACAACACTGCGTTTTAGTAATCGACTTTTTCAAAAAGTGTTCGTGTTTTTGTTTGCAGCGTGGACAAGCCACCCCCCGAGGAGAAGCACCCCGACGGCAAGGTGGTACTGGTGTTCCTCGAGAAGGAGCTGGAGCTCATGGACCCGGATGGATCCCACTCTCAGGTACGGCTTGAGTGACAGGAACTGAACTCGGTAACAAACGAAGGCCTTAGAAATAAAATGCTGCCGGTTTTACGCCCCTGTATTAAAATGTTCTTGCTTCTTTTGCTCAACAGACTAAGCTCTCGTCAGACGAGCCGGAGGGAGTCGTGGTGTTCGAGAGGGAGTCCGAGGACCCCGCGCCGACCTGCCCCGCCCCCGAGGCCACGACGGAGAACGTGGTGGGGGCCTTCCTGGAGGGGCTGGACAAGTTCATGGAGTCAGTGCAGCCGCCCCTGCCGCCGCCACCAGTACTGCATCCGCGTGACCCGCAGCCCAGCGGCAACGACATCGTCGCCTTCCTGGAGAACCTGGTCATGATGCAGGCCGCGGAGCAGGCGAAGGAGGGCAAGACGACCAGCATCTCGCCCGACGCCTGGGTGCAGCTGCTGGGCCCGCACATGCGGCGGCGCCGTGACGTCGAGGGCGTCCAGGGCGTCCAGGTGCAGGTCCCCGCCAACGACCAGCTGCACCCCTTCCTGGACGACACCGAGCAGTCCCTCCCCGCGCCGACGGACGTGCTCAGCGGGGACGTGAACCTGAGCGGCTTCAAGGACACCGAGGCCAGCGACGTCATCGACTCCATCGCGCTGGGCCGCCTGCAAGTGGACACGCCGCCGCCAACGGTCAAGAGGGAGGACCCCGTCGTCGACGGCACCACCACCACAGCGTCGCCAGGGTGGGTCATTCAAAGCCCGCCGCACCAGCCCGCCGAGGTGGTCAAGATGGTCCCCGTCCAGCAGAGCACCGTTACCAGCAACAGCCAGCCACTGCACACCGTCAAGATGGACTCCATCCTGCAGAGCGCCGCCGACGAAACCAACGCAATGCAGAAGCCCGCCGAGGTGGTCAAGATGGTCCCCGTCCAGCAGAACGCCGCCTTCAACTTCAGCCAGCTGCCCCACTCCAAAAAGGCGCTCCAGATGGACTCTATCCAGCAAAACGCCGCCGACGAAACCCCCCCAATGCAGCAGCCCGCCGAGGTGGTCCAGATGGTCCCCGCTCAGCGAGGCGCCACTACCAGCAACAGCCAGATTCCGCGCACCTACAACGCGTTCCAGATTGACTCTCTCCAGCAGAACGCCGCCGACGAAATCCACCCAATGCAGCAACCCGCCGAGGTGGTCAAGATGGTCCCCGTCCAGCAGGGCGACGCCCCTAGCTACAGCCAGCCGCCGCAAACCATCAAGGAGTCCACGATGGACTCCATTCATCAGAAAATGACCGACAAAACCAGCTTGCAACACCAGCCCACTGAGGTGGCCAAGAAAGCTGTCCTCAAGAAAGCTGCAACAAGCACCAGCGCGAAGCACGTCGCCGTGCTGCCGCAGCCCCCCGTCCACATGATCGAGCTGCTGCCCGCCAAGCACGACGCCGAGCCCGCCGCCTCGCAGCAGAACACGGTCGCGGCACACGCAGCCCCTGTCATTTCGCCGCTGCACCAGAAGACCGCCACGAAGGACGACCGTAAACCCAACGTCGAGGTGGTGCAGATGGTGCCGGTGAAGCACGAGACTCACCTGGAGAACAAGACCGGCAACCTCGAGGCCACCACCGCGCGCGCCGAGCAGCTCAAGACGGACCCCGTCGACAACGCCGCACTGCCAGTGAACGTGGAGGACTTCGCCGCCAAGATCGGGCAGCTCGGCGTCGGCGAGGCGCTCGAGACCATCGACAAGGAGGACGCCACCTTCCCGGGCATGACCAGGATCTTCCTGCCGGAAGGAATCAGGTTCGCGGACCCCAAGCAGGACGCGGCATCGTCGGGGACGGCGGCGCACGCCCAGAGCCAGGTGGACGTCAAGGACAAGGACCCCGTGAACCACCCCGCCCCGCAGCACGCCGAAGAAAAGCCTGTCAAGCCCGTTGAGTTGACGACGGCGGCCTCTGTGCCGGAGTCCAGCACTCACTCCCACAGCCACGTGGCCAAGAAGGAGCTCCTGGTGCACGACGACCGCGAGGACCGGCGAATGGTGGAGTCCAACAACCAGCCCGAGCCGGTCCTCACGCCCCGGCACGACCAGGAGGAGGAGCTGAAGGCCGTGGAGGAGGCCCCCATCACCATGAAGTTCCCCGTCCCGGTGGGTGACAACGACGCCGTGCGAGGACTCCTAGACATCGACTTGCTGTTCGAGGACGACCCGACCACGGCGAAGACCCTGCCTTTGCACCTGGCCGCCACAACAGCGGTAAACAACGCAGTGCCATCGAGTCCTGCAGCAACGGCACAATCAGTTCTTCATGGTGCAGAAAAGTCAAAGCCGAAGGTGGAGACCACGCCAGATTCAAATGGCAAACTAAAACTGCAGCATGCCACTAAATTGTTCCCAGTCAAGGACTCTCAATCGGATCATTGGGGTCCACCCGCAGTCAGCTTCATCCATGACAAGCAAGTCCCCGTCGCAGTGGACCCTAACTTCGCGGACACCACTCTGCTGTCACCTATCGAGGACACTCAATTGAAGCACTGGGGTTCGTCGTCGGAAGCCGTCAACCAGAACCTTCCCGTCAACCAGAACGTCGCCGTCAACCAGAATCACCCCGCCAACCAGAACGTCCATGTTCACCAGAACGTACCCGTCAACCAGAACGTCCCCGTCAACCAGAACGTCCCCGTCAACCAGAACGTCCCCGTCAACCAGAACGTCCCCGTCGTAGTACATCCTGCCGCCGCGGCCACCTCCCCGCTGCATCAAAAGTCACCGGCCAAGGAAACTAAATCGAAGCACTGGGGTCCGTCGCCCGACACCGTCAAACAGGCCGTCACGGCCTCCATCCAGAAGGCGCCTGCCGAAGGCGCCAAGTCGAAGTACTGGGCACCATCCTCCGCCGCCGTCAACGAGGCCAAGGCAGTGGTGGTCGCCACCAAGGTGCCTCATTCCACTGAAAGCCCTCGTCTACCTCATCAAGAACCCACCCCCACCACCGAGGCCGTCGTCGGGGCCAAGCACACCCCGGCCGTCGTGGACCTCACGGCCGCCACCACTACGCCGGCGTCCAGCAGGCGGGACGTCCTCCAGGAGCCTGGCAGGCTGCTGATGCCCAGCGAGGACAACCAGGAGGAGCAAGTGCACCGGCAGAGCTTCGTCCGGTCGGCCCACGGCGACAACCAGCCCCAAGACGCCCCCGCCGAAGCCGCCCCTCCCCAAGTGGAAGACGCGACCGAGTGCGCCGAGAAGGTGACCGAGGCCCAGTTTCAGTACGAGGCCGACCTGCCGCCGCCGCAACATGTGCACGTCCCGTCGACCGCGGAGCCCACCGCGAAACCGGAGACGTTCGACCTGGCCGACGAGGACTTGCACTTCCTCATCCAGGAGCCCAGCACCACGCCGCAGCCCGCCAAGAAGAAGAAAAAGAAGAAGAAGAAGGGCCTGAGGCTGCCCTTCATGGTGCCCACCACCACCAAGGCGCCGTGGCCGCGGTCCTTGGCCTCGCTGGCGCCCTTCCTGCCCTTCCCGGACATCACCAGGCCCGAGGACACGCAGGTGCGGCCGCCCGCGCACCGACGCACCGCCAGCAGGCGCTTCAAGACGTTCGCCCGGCCCGCGCCCTGGGAGCACCACGACGCCGTCCTGGACGTGGAGGTGGCCACGCTGCCGCCGCTGCCAGCTTTGCAGCCTCTGCAGCCACACTACGGCCACTACCACCAACACCACCGTCAGGGGCACGCCGCGAGCCCGGTCCCCGTCGTCAGCCACCCGCACGCCCTCGGTGACGTGTACCAGCAGGCAATGTACCAACAGCCCGAGTACCAGTTCCCAGTGTACCCACCACAGGCAGAACAGCGGCAAGCCGGGTACCAGCTGCAGCAGGAGTACCAGGCGTACCAACCTCAGCAAGCGATGTTCCAGCCGCAGCCCGAGTACAAGCCGCAGCCCGAGTACCAACAATCAGTGTACCAACCTCAGGCCGAGTACCAACAATCCATGTATCAGCCGCAGCCAGAGTACCAACAATCCGGCTACCAACCTCAGGCGAAGTACCAACAGTACCAACCCCAGTCCACGTACCAACAATCCGTGTACCAGCCGCAGCCAGAATATCAGCCGTATCCAGTCTTCACCGACTACCAGCAAAACTACCAAGTCGGGGGCTACCAGCAGTCGGGGTACAAGAACGCCCAGTCGCAGGATTCGGCAACAGGCCAGCAGCAGGCGTACCAACCCTCCGTGAGCTGGACCGCATCCCGGCGGCGGCGCTCCGCTGCGGACGCGGGGCCGGGTCCAGAGGCGTCGGTTGACGCGGTGCCCGAGTTGGTCCAGGCGGCGCAAGCGGAAACCGAGAGGAAGGGAGTTCAACCCGAAGAGTCCCCTTCGAACTCACCACCGCCTTCACTCAAGACCGAGGCCTCCCATGACGTCAAGCAGTCCGACAAGATCGAAGTCATCCCCGACGTCAAGCAGGCCGACGACCAGATCGAAGTCATCCCCGACGTCAAGCAGGCCGACGACCAGTTCCCAGTCATCCCCGACGTCAAGCAGGCCGACAACCAGATCGAAGTCATCCCCGACGTCAAGCATCCCGACGACCAGATAGAAGTCATCCCCGACGTCAAGCAGGACGACGACCAGACCGAAGTCATCCCCGACGTCAAGCATCCCGACGACCTGATAGAAGTCATCCCCGACGTCAAGCAGGCCGACGACCAGATCGAAGTCATCCCCGACGTCAAGCATCCCGACGCGGTGGCCGACGCCATTCCACTGGAGCAGACTGTACCGGAGGCCGTTCCGGAAGCCGACGCGGTAAACGCCAACGTGATGCCAGAGCAGCCCGTCCCAGAGTCCGTCGTCAGCGACCCCACCCTGGAGGCCCTTCCCGAGGCTGTTCCAGAAGTGGCCCCGGAGACCGCCCCCTTGGACTTCCAGGACGTCGTGCCCGAGGACAACGACTTCCTCCTGGACGCCCCCGCCCCACCGTTCCCGCCGCGCCTGCACCAGTTCCGCCACCCGCACCGCCTGTCGCCGCTGCACGCCGCGCTGCCCGGCGACACCCCGGACTTGGCCAGGAGGGCGCGGCAGCACGACGCCGGCGCCGCGGCCCAGGGCACCGCCACCAACGCGCAGCACGCCGACGACGCCGCGGACGCCGTCAGCGCCGTGAACGCGGCCGCCGCCTACCCGCCGTACGCCCTGCGGCACCGCGGCCCGCCGCCCATGCCGCCCGCCTTCGAGGACCTCATCCCCAAGAGCGGCGAGACGGAGGAGGAGAAGGCCGAGCGCGAGCAGAAGGCCGTGCAGAGGATGATCCAGGTCGTCAACGTGCTGGGCAGCCTGCAGAGCTTCCTGTCCGAGCGCGCCAGGACCGTGGTGCGGAGGCTCAGCAAGATTGGGGGGGGGGTTTGGAAAGGAGGCTGGAGGGGGGCAGGAAGCTGTCATAGATTTCCCAAATAGAGACAATGGGAGTGTTTTTCCTTGCTTTTTAAATGTTCTTTTAAATAATGTAACTTTTCACATCTTATAGAAAAACCCAAATGAAGTAGTTTGTTGGCTGGTACCTGTAAATTTTCGAAGGGCAATATGAATTAGAAACAAACGATTTTGGAAACAGATCATTTAATTATTTTGTAATGATAATACTATTAATACGATAATTCTTAACACTGTCGACATACAACTAGATTCGAGAAAGTGTGCTTGAATAAAATGACAGTGATTCGTGTCGACTTGTGACCAGCACATTATCAACATGGCAATTTCAGGAGACATTAAAATCACAGATTAACAACATAAAAAGGAGGTCTCACGCAGTGAAGGTCTCCCTGTTCATGACATTATTGAGAAAATAACTTCTAAACTCGAATAGAAAGCTATCGTCATAATAATACGCTTTTTACGTCATGGTAAACTCAGTCATGAGACGCTACGCTGCATTTTCTTTTTGTACATTAACATACTCTCTCACCAGCAGTTTTGAGATCAACTACGGGCCCCACAGTCACCGACTATATCCTTTTCATGTGTGCAAAACTGATTGTCTCGTAAAAAATAAAAATAGCAATAACGCGGTCACGGGAAAAGATGAAAGTGAATTGAGCATGGGTTCGTTGTGTCGCCAACGAGGCTGGTTGGCTTGTTGCTTCAGTCGATGGCCAGCGAGCGGAACGAGCCCTCCATGGTGGTGAAGTTGCCGTTCTTGCACTTGGCTGGTCGCTTTTTCTCCTCCACTCGGAGAAGCTGCTCCTGCTTGAGCCACAGGCTGTACTTGTCGGTCATCAGCTTCACGTGGGCGTCTGCGGACGAGACAGATTGTTTCATTCAGGCCTGCTGCGAATACACTCAAGTTACTTAATCATTTTGAAAGGAAAGAGAAAACGCATTTACCGTGGAGTTCCCCTTGAGGAGGCAAAGGCTTTGGGGGGGCCTACCGTAGTTCGCAGGGGCAGCCGCCGCCTTTGAGGGGCACGCTCTGGAACACGGTTTTCTTTCCCGGTCGTCGCCGTGCATCGAGATCTGCCAAAAAACAACAAACAAAGCGTTAAAAAGGAACGGGTCGAAAACACGGCTGGTATGCAAGGCCGGCGGGAGTGATCTTTTTTTACCATTTGCAGGAGCTCGCTCTTGACGAAGGGCTTGATCAGGGCGAGGACCTTGTCGAACCACTTGACCGTGTTGATGACGTGGATGGCCTTGAGCCTGCACGGGTGGCACTCCTGGAAAGCAGGCGGCGTTCAGTTCGCGGCGCGACAGGTGCCAAGAGGCGCAGTGGGCCAGGCCAGAAGACCGGTGGAGGCGCCCAAAAGTCTAGACGCGTTTTGAGCTCCAGAGTCGCTAAATGGGACTCAAACCGAACGTGTGACCCCACGAATGGATGGCTCTCCGAACGAGGAATCCATTGGTGGGGTCACACGATCGGTTCGAGTCCTGTTTAGCGACTCCGCAGCTCAAACCGCGTCTAGAGTTTTGGCCGCCTCCACACCGGTCTTCTGGACCACTGTGGGGCGTCCGCCTGGGAGGCAGGCAGCCCAACGCACTCCGGCGCGCGCTAGGCGGCCTCTCCATGACCATTACCACTAAAGGCTAGACCACACATGATCGTATGCCACCGGCGCGCGTTTTGACGGACTCTGTGCGCGCTTGCTGTGCCTGTGGCTCACCTGGATGTAGTGCATGAACTTGCGGATGCCTGACAGCGTGACGACGCCCAGGTGCGACAACGTGATGCCCCGCATGTCGAAGACGACCACGTAGCCGGGGATGACGCCGTCCTCGCTGAGGCGGACGTCGTTGAACGCGAAGAAGGCCTTGATGCCCTGCAGGAAGTCGACGTGCGAGGGCTCGAAGTCCGTCAGGCGGTACAGCAGCACGCCGTAGCCCTCCTTGGTGCGCTCGGGGCACGCCACCAGCTCACTGCAGAGGCGGAGCGGGGAAAAATTCCAAGTGAAAAACAGAATTAGCGAGCACTGCTGGAAGTGCGCGGGTAAATATGTGGTGTGACTCACGCGATGCCGAAGACGTATTTGAGGTCGCCGCTGGCAGGGTCCTTGTCGCTGAACAGGTAGGTCTCGTTGGTGCGCGTCGTGAAGTAGCTGTCGATGGTCTTCTGGGCGCGGTCCAGGGCGAAGTTGCAGCTGTGCAGGAACAGCAGGAGGTGCTCGTCTGGAACGACAAGAGCGACCGGTTAGAGGCTAAAGAGGTGTTGCCCAAACATTGGCCGTCCGCTAGAGCCCCGTGGGGTCCTTTCTTATGGCTTCGATGACGTCACTGCGCACCGAGACGGCCGCCGACGGGCACCCCCGGGTCGGACGGATGTACCACTTGCGCGCCGCAGTGCCGCAGTGATATAAGTGCAATAAAAATCGCAACCAGTGTAATGATGGAGATGGCGGCCTTGCGCCATCGAGCACGGCCGAGCGCGGCGCGGAGCGCAGCGGCGTGGCGCCGACGACGGCGACGTGCAAGAACGCACCCGCGGCCCGCCGACGCACAGTGGGCCAGAAGACCGGTGGAGGCGGGCAAAGCTCTAGATGCGTTTTGAGCTCCAGAGTCGCTAAGCAGGACTCCAACCACACGTGTGACCCCACCAATGGATTGCTCTCCGCGCGAAGAATCCATTGGTGGGGTCACACGTTTGGTTCGAGTCCCATTAAGCGACTCTGGAGCTCAAAACGCGTGTAGAGTTTTGGCCGCCTCCACCGGTCTTCTGGCCCACTGTGCGACGGCCGGCCGACGGCCTGGCCGCCGACAGCGCTTCGACGTACCTGAGAGGCGCGGCAGGTGCGGCATCGTGTTGAGCCAGGCCCGCATGGTGGCCACCTCCCGGTCGCGGTCCTTGGGCATGACCAGCGACTTGGGGTCGAGGAAGGGCTGCGGGAGCAGCTCGCCCACCGGAGCCATCCTGGAGATGGAAAAGAGAAGAGTTAGCGGACAGCCACGCAGTGTCAAGGTTTGCGAAATAATCAGGCGAGAAAAATACCCAGGATGTGCCAATGTCGAAAGGGTTGCCTACAAGGTGGTTAGTATCTGGGCTCGCAGGCTGAGACTGGCATCCCTTTCGACACTGCACTGGTAAAACTAAAGCGTAACTCTATGCTTGAGTCAAGCATAAAGCTACGCTTGAAGAAGTTACGCTTGAAATCAAGCATAGACTAGAAATTCCCCCATGCATAGGGGGAATCTTGGCGGATGAGCCTGTTACGCTTGATTTCAAGCGTAACCTGATTACGGTTGAAAACAATGGGTAATACTACGCTTCAGTTTTACCAGTGTGGTGCATCGTAGGCAGGCGCTTGTTGGCTTCATCGGGCCAACCGCGATCGCCACATGAAGTAGTTGTCAGAGAACAAGCTTTCGGCGCGTCTACCCTCCCGAGGGAGTAATCGAACCCGCGACGCTCGGCGGCAGGGTCGCCGAACTGTCCACCCCGCGAGGCGGCGCGGTGCGGTGGCGGTCACGCGCCTCCCGTGCGGTCTTGCCCAGTCCTGCCATCTCGCGATGGCACAACCTGCAGCCGAGCCGTGGGGCCTGGCCAGTCCGGCCAGCCCGGCCAGCCCAGTGTGCTTGCCCAAGCAAGGCAAAGGTTAGCGCGGAGTCTGTCGGCAGTGTCGTGTCCGACGTGCCTGGCCGCGCCTGGCCGTGCCGGGGAGTCAAGGCGCCGCACTGCCGCCGCCCTTTCTGAACCATGCGCAGCCCATAGAGCCCCTGCTTGGTATTCGCGGAGCGCGCAGCCAATGAGACGCGACTCCCGCCGGCGGCGTGGCGCGGTGGAAAGGGCGCGGCACCCCGTTCGAACAGGCACGTCATCGCGCGGGTGCCGGCGTGGGCGTCGGCTAGGGACACTGTCTACTGGAGCCGACCCGTTGACCTGGAATGCCCGGCTGTTGGCGGCCGTTGGCCTCCCCGGCCTGGCCTGGCCTCCCCGCCGCCTCGGCCAGCCCGCCAGCCGCCGGCCGAACAGTGCAGTAACTGCACGGTCCAGTTGCGTGCATTGCCCAACTGGTCCATCTTTGGCCGGCTCGCGTTCGCTCGCGTTGCACTGCAGCGGCGACGCGGCCTGGGTATCGCACACTACCCTGCGAATAGCCGACGACGCACGGGCCGATCGTGCGGATAAGGATTTGTTTTGTTTGCAGGGGGGCGCGAAACGCGAATAGGCGCGAGGCTGGGCGGCGCGCGTGGCGACGCGTGGCCTTGCGCAAGCAGGCGGGCAGAAGGCTGACCTGGATAACGAAAAGGCACGCCCTGCCCTACCTCAACGCCCCGCTCCCCCCTCCCCCTTCCTTTCCGCCCGCACGGCATCTATGAAGCGAATCCGGCGCCGAAAATCACGCACGCACACTCGGCAGTGTGGCGCCTCGCCGGCCCAGTCACAACACTGCCGCCGCCACCCGACTTTGCGGAATGACTTGCCGTCCGAACGGACGAATGGCTGGAATTCCGACTCTCCCCGTGGCGGCGTGACCTTGGCGCACCTTGACTGAGACCCGTTTCCTCTGCCGGCGTGGCCGTGCCTGCGTGGCCGTGCCTGCGCCCCGCGGCCCCGCGGCCCCACGGCCCCAACGCGGAGCAGGCCGTCGCCATCCTCGTCCAGCTGGCTGTGATGTAACCCTGGCCGGCCGGCCGTGCCGTGCCCTGCCCTGCCCGGCCCTGCCCTGCCCTGCCCAGCCCTGCAGGCTTGTAAGGAATCTCACCCGCTCGCTTACGCGCGTGATTCAGATCTCACGTTTGCACAGAGCGTGTCCATTCAAGCGAACCGCGGCCGGCGTGCACTTCTGCTTCTCCTCCTTCTCCCTCTCCTTCTTCTTCTCCTTCTCCTTACGTGCGGTGCCTCTTCGACACCCTCGCGTTTCATTTTCCTCGCCGTTTACCCACACGCGGTTAATTGGCGCTGCCTCACGCCACCCGCGGGCTGGTTCCGGACGGTGGTTCTGTCTCTCTCGCACTCGCGGCCCGTTCCGGAGGAGGGCGAGAGAGACGGAACCACTGTCTGGAATCAGCCTGGAGCCTCGCATTACGCGTCCCCTCGTTGTTGCTTTAACTCGATTCGTCCACACATTCCTTTTTTTCGCGTGCGCGTCGGAGGTAATGCGGTGGAGGTTAGGCGGTGGTTGTTTGGCGGTGGAGGTAAGGCGGTGGAGGTAAGGCGGTAGAGGTAAGGCGGTGGAGGTAAGGCGGTGGAGGTAAGACGATGGAGGTAAGGCGGTAGAGGTGAGACGGTAGGCGATGGAGGCAAGGTGGTGGAGGTAAGACGGTAGAGGTAAGGCGTTGGAGGTAAGGCGATGGAGGTAAGGCGGTAGAGGTTAGGCGGTGGAGGTGAGACGGTAGGCGATGGAGGTAAGGCGGTGGTGGTGGAGATAAGGTAGCGGCGGTAAGGCGGCTGCTGCTACGCATTGACGTAATCGACGGGAAGGGGCAGGCGGGCCGATGCGTCCTGCTGGCCATCAATGAGTCTCTCGGCTTGGCCGGCCTGGGGCCGAGGCGTCTGTCTCTGTCGCACCCGAACGGGCCGCACCATGAGTGCGAGAGGGACAGACTGCTGACAGTGGTGTGCGCGGATTCGGCTGGCCCGGGGTGGCCGTCCAACCGCAGAGCAATCTCCTCCCGGTTGCCGGAATAAGGCGGGACGTTGCGTGCCGGGACGGTGCCGGGATTGCGACGGCCTGCATGACCCGCCGGCCGCACGGCTTGTCCGCCTCGCCGGGCCCTAGCAGCAGCCAGCGTGGCCAGCAGCGCCAGCAGCCAGGCCAAGGGCCTTGTCCGCCTCGTCCAGCAGACTCACGCCGCGCCCCTCCACTGCGGCACACACACTCACACACACTGCACGCACACCCCTGAGCGACCGCGTCGGCCGCGCCAGCCACTCGACCTTGTGCCCCGCCGTCCCCGCCGCCGTCCCCACCGCCGTCCCGCCGCACACACGCGCCCCACATCGACCACGGCGCGGTGGCGGTTGGCGGTGTAAGGATAATCGCCGTAAATGCAGCGCCGCTGCAGGCTCACGGGTCGTTTCGCCGCTCTGTCTCTCTCGCACACCATGGGAACGCCCCGCGAGTGCGAGAGAGACAGAGCGGCGAGTTCGGAATGGGCCGGCCGGCGCACAGTGGGCCAGAAGACCGGTGGAGCGGCCAGAATCTTGGCGCGTTTTGAGCTCCAGAGTCGCTAAATGGGACTCGAACCGAACGTGTGACCCCACCAATGGATAGCTCTCCGAACGAGGAATCCATTGGTGGGGTCACACGATCGGTTCGAGTCCCATTTAGCGACTCTGGAGCTCAAAACGCGTCTAGAATTTTGGCCACTCCACCGGTCTTCTGGCCGTGCGGCGGTGTGCGCGGCGCTCACACGGCGGCGGTCGGCGGCGGTGGTGGCGGCGGTGGCGGCGGCGGAGGTAATTGCCCCCGAGAACGCCGACGTCGGCGAGGTGCTGCCCGCTGCCGGGGGACGACGGCGGGACGCTCCAGGTCGCCGTCGCCGAATATCCCCCGCGGACGCAACGGAGCAGTGCACGGCGCGGCGCGCGGCGGCTCCTTCTTAATTGCCTCCATTGCGACTAGGCGGCGTGGCGGTGTGGTAACCGCGCGGGCCGCGCGCTGGAGACAACCAGACAACCTCCGGGCCTCCGGGCCTCCGGGCTGCCGCGCTCCTCGCGGCTCGCGTCCCAGGCGGCGCGCGCCGCAGACGAAAGAAAAGAAAAGAGACTCACTGGCTGAATGGCAGAGTCATTGACACCCGCCGCACCGGCCGGGTAGAGAGACTGTCGAAGACGCGGACTCGGCCCCAGAAGCGACAATAACACGGAACCGCCCTGCCCGGCCCTGCCCCACTGCCTCCGCGGCGCCGCTCCAGGTCGCTCCCGGACCAAGACGTGTTTTTGGGCCGCGGCCGAAACCGATCCGCACTCTCAGCCGCCAAGCACCCAAATCAGCAGCCACCAAACGCCGCCGCAGAGGTCACGCCGACGGCGCGCGTCAGCAGAACCAGCGTAGAACAATACTCACAATACTCCATCACCGTCACGGGGTGCATGGCCCGGCATGGCCCGGCACGGCTCGGCATGCTCTTTGTTCCGATCTGAATAATGAACGTAAGCGTCCTTCGGCCGGGCCAACAATCAGGACCGCAAAAAGGCCAATCGCTTTTGCTTTTCGAGGCAAAAAGACTAATTGCGGAATCAAGGCTCGCTTCGCAAGCTAGCTGGTTGGTGTGCAGGGGTATACGCGCGCGAAGGTTGGTCCATGCATACAAGCGCGCACCTTTACACACTCACACTCACTCACTCACTCACTCACTCACTCACTCACTCACTCACTCACTCACTCACTCACTCACTCACTCACACCACACACACACCACACACTACACACACACACACACACACACACACACACACCTACACACAGACAGACACACACACACCTACACACAGACAGACAGACACACACACACTCACCTACAGACAGACAGACAGACACACACACACACACACACACACACACCCACAGACAGACAACACACACACCACACACACATCACACACACACACACCATGACACACATGACAGGACAGACAGACAGACAGACACACACACACACCTACACACAGACACACACACGGCAGGACCGGCTGACCCCTCTTCGGTGAGTGGCCGCCGGAGTGGTGGAGTGTTGGCAGCGCTGTCCGGCGGGGAATGCCGTCCCCGCGGCGCGCGGCGCGCAGTGCTGCCAACCACCAAAGCGACCGAACCGAAACCGCAGCGCACTTTGTTACCCGGCACAGCCGGAGGTGCGTTAGTCCCAATCCCCGGACCGGACCTGGCCGACCGAAATGACGCGCGTTTCGGTTTTGGCGAGGGCTGTAGTACCGCCGGCAGTACCCGGGCTCTACTTATGGCGCTGCGCTGCTTTCTCCCCGCCGCGTCGCGGCTAGGACCCCCTCTGCATCCCGCCGAAAAAAAGAAACGAAAAAGAGGGGTTATGTCAGTGGGCGAGTACTTGCGGGCGCAGCCGCGCTGCCTGCCACGCGGCTCCCTAAATGCCGGGCTAGGTACCGAAGGAGCCAGTTACAACACCGGCGGGACCCGGCGCGGCGGCACCGCATAAGCATAAAAGTGACTCCGAGTGACTCGGGCAGCGAGGCGGCCCTGCGGCGCACTGGCCCCGTGTGCTCGCGCTAAGTGTTTGCCGCCGTCAGGGCCGCCCGAGAGCACCGCCGCGAAAAACCGCACTATTTGGACTACTCTGACGCACGGTTCCGGTGGAAAAAACAAAAACAAACAAACAAATCCGCACCGAAAGTACAGCCGACGGAGCCGGCAGAAGATGGCTCTGCGAGGCGAGGCGAAGCGAGGCGCTTCTGGAGTCGTGATCGGAGAATCCCCGTCTTCTAATCATCGGCCTGGCGTACGCAACGGCCGCCTCGGCGCCCAGCCCCGCAATCCCCGAGGGGTGCCTCCGAACGCCGCCGTTGTCTGTCCGTCTCTCTCGCACGCACGGGGCGTCCCGCGAGGGTGCGACAGAGACAGAGCGACTCTGTTCAGCGCGCCGCCGTGGATTTCAGGCCATTCCGCGCCGCCCGCCGGTAATTTCTTCCAATTTCGGAGTATTTCTGGCGCGCGCGTGTCGCAGCACTGTACAGTGGCGTGTTCTCACGCCGCCGTCGCGGCACTCGCGGGGCACTCGTCATAAGGCACGCGCGTGGCGCGAACAATGCGAACGCGCCGCCGCGGGACCTTGCCGGCCAGGAGACACTTTTCCGATCATCCGTCCACCTGGGAGATTTTCCCACGCCCTGAGAGCCCCACTTTGGTGCCAGACGCTTAGGCTATTCTAAAAATGAACAAAAAAAAATGAAAAAAAAAAAAAACTTTCTAAGCACTGTAACTAGTTTTTTTTGTTGACATTTTTTTTGCCTGAAACTTGCGTCAAGGACAAACAAATAAAAAACGTATGTAAAGGAAAAACAGTGATCAAAATATTAAAAACAAACGAAAAGCTAAATATATTTTTTTATTTTTGTTGGGTATTTGGGACTAATAACCTTGCCTGAGCATTAGTGCTGTTACAGGAAGAATCATTACCGGAACTACGAAAAAAGCCCGCGAATGCAAATTGCTTTTTGTCAAGCAGAAGCTCGCTATGAAGCCTGACACGGCGGTAAGAGGCCTGCGTGCAGTTATGCAAATGAGTAATGAATTCTGTGAGAAGCCTGATGCGCGACCACAACGACGTCTCGCTGCGCCGCACGCTGGCTGCATCGTACTTGTGCAACATTTTTCTCATCTTCCCGCAGAGTAGCTTCCGGGTTTTTACCCCAATCCAGAAGCGGCGGCCGATCGCGGCTGAGGTGTGAACGGAGATGCCGGGACGCACACAGTGCAGTGGGCCAGAAACCGGCGGAGGCGGCCAAAATGCTAGACGCGTTTTGAACTCCAGAGTTGCTAAATGGGACTCGAACCGAACGTGTGACCCCACCAATGGATTCCTCGTTCGGAGGAGCAATCCATTGGTGGGGTCACACGTTCGATTCAAGTCTCATTTAGTGACTCTAGAGTCCAAAACGCGTCTAGAATTTGGCCGCTTGCGCCGGTTGCTGGCCCACTGTGCGCACCGCGTTTCTTTTGTGAGTTCAATTTCAATCAAATAAGGGACGGTCCTGGCCCCGTTATGCTGGGCAACGCTTGAGTTCCATGCGATCCAGGGGCCGAATCGACGATTCAAAACCGACAACAGCTACAAAAAAGGCGCAAGGCGCTGAGGTGCACTCCGCCGGGACCTGTTTTCCCTTTCATCGTTTTCGAAAAACGACACCGAGGACGGATGGCGAGACGTTCAAGGAGACGGCTGCAGGCTGCAGGCCGGCCTCGTACAGTGGCGTAGCGACGCACAATGCGGAGAAATCGAACAAAGTCACACACAGTCACACGCACACACACACGCACCCGTTGAGTGCGTTTGGTCGGTTCTTGGAATTTTTCTTCCTCTTTTTTTTACAAAGAAAGGTGTTCCAGTATTGATGCTCCGAGCGAGGCTTCCACCATGGAGACGATCGTACTTTTTGTATCGTTCTTTGTCGCTAGTCATGAGAGAAATCATTCTTTAATTGCGCTTTCTTGGACCGTAAGGGAGCTTTGCCCGTTTCTTTTTAACGACTAAAATAGTTTGTTAGGTTTGGAGAGTGCAAAATCGAGCTTTTCGCCAGCAGGACACACTGGACACACGTTCCTACCGTCCGACGGGAGAATGGCAACACTCGACATTGACTCTGGCCGTTGGTCTCCACTAGGCTGCAAGCAATTTTTTCGCACGCAGCTGGTTTAGGATTAGCGAGACTGCCACCGGGCCGCCTTGGCTGACAAGCTGGACGGGGCGACTTGGGCCGATGTCACGCAGATAAACAACTCGCAAGGTGCGCTATGCGGCGCGGAGCCAAGTGGACGGGCACAGAAGCCGCACCGCTCTGCCAGCACTGGTGAACGACTTCTTAGTGGTTTTCGCGGCCAGTAACTCGAAAAAATATGAATAAAAATTTGAAATCATGCATCAACATTGCGAGCATATGTTTACTCGTGGCCCCACAATGGCCGCTGGCGGACCCGGCTTCAAGGCATCAGCAGGCATCAGGCGACACTGTTCTCTCGGAGAATATATTGATTTCGGCAAAAATCGTGACAACATGGTGGATTTGTAGCAAATTTATGGGTAGTGTCTTAAACAGATGTTACAAAGCCCTGATCCGACGGCTGACGCCTGAAGCCTGAAGCCCGTTTTCCACGGCCAATGTGGGGCCACCTTCATGCACTGAAACCAACGGTCACACTGCAGGGTCCGCGAACGGGTTCCTAAATAGTTTCCACCGCGTGACACTCACTTTCCTCTTCAGTAGCCGGGGCGGGCCACGAGCAAGTCCAGGGGCCTCGGGCGCAGGGCGGTGGCGGCGCCGGTTTAAGTCCCACAGCACAGCAGACGACGCGCGCTCCAACAACACTCGACGGAGGCACTCCTCGATTCGGTAAATGCTCCGGCGGCACTGATCCGGTCCGACCGCCCGGCAAGGCAGCGCCAGGCAGCCTCTGCCCCGGTGCCCCACCTGGCCACCCCACCCGCCCCGCCCCGCCCCGCCCCGCCGCACCTGGCCTGGCCGGGCCCCGCGGGCGGCGCGGAGGGGGCCCTGACCCCCTGCCCCCTCCCGCGGCTCTCACGACCAAGCGCACTCACACAACAACACACTCGGCCGCGCACTTCGCGCACTTCGCGCAGCCTCAAGCACCACTCGAATGGATGGCGCCGTACGGGCCGAACAGCTGATGCCACTGATACCACTCGCGTCGAGGTGCTCGCGGACCCGGGAGGAATGCATGTCAATGAACACCCATCGGGACGAAAAAAAGAGGAAAACAGAAATAGACTACGGCAGCGAGCGCCTGCCAAGTGCTGGGTAGGCAGTCCCGTCGAGCAGTGGTGTATTGCGGGACCGTCGTGGCACAGTGGGCCAGAAGACCGCAGGAGGCGGCCAAAACCGGCCAAAACTCAGGACGCGTTTTGAGCTCCAGAGTCGCTAAATGGGACTCGAACCGAACGTGTGACCCCAACAATAGATTGCTCTTCGTCCGAGGAACCCATTGGTGGGGTCACACGTCACACGTTCGGTTCGAGCCCTGTTTAGCGACTCTGGAGCTCAAAACGCGTCTAGAGTTTTGGCCGCCTCCACCGCTCTTCTGGCCCACTGTGCGTGGGGTGAGCGCCTGCCAAGTGCAGGGTAGGCAGTCCCGTAGAGCAGTGGTGTGTTGCGGGACTGCCTATCCCGTACTTCACAGGCGCTATAATGCAGGTGCGGCTCCGCATACAAACAAGAGCCCCGAGTAAAAAAAGGAGCCCTTGGTAAGAAAAACAATATTAAAAACATGGGGAAAACACCATATTTTTCCACCTTACCAAACTTACAGTGGACAATCGTGACTCAAACGAAACGGGGCCCCGGCCCCTGCATGCCGGCAGCTCGGTTCAGAACGACGCGGCCCAGCTCTCATCGGGTTGAATTTCGGATGGAGCAACGCGCGGTACCCGTTGGTACCGTGATTACGTTTTGGCATCACCGTACCACTGGGAACTGTACCGTACCCGTCGGTGCCTCGCACGCATCGGCGTGACGGAGGCAAGGGATGAGCTTCCGATGCGAGCCCTGCCTTTCCCTGCCGTGCCGTGCCGTGCCATGCCGTGCCGTGCCATGCCGTGCCATGCCGCACCGCGCCGTGCGTGTGGCGTAACAGCCCCTTAATAAGCCCGACCTCGCGGGGCGTTCATGCGTGCCTCCGACTTGGAAAATGGGACCGTCTTGGAGGGGTGCCTAATACCACGCTCGCGGGGACGACGGCATGCTTAGGCCGGCTCGGCCGTGCATGCGCCTCAGTGAGTGTGTGTGCGTGTGTGTGTGTGTGTGTGTGTGTGTGTGTGGTGTAGGTGTGTGTGTGTGTGTGTGTGTGTGTGTGTGTGTGCGCGCGCGCGCGTGTCTGCATGCGCGTGTGAGAGAGCATGTGTGTGAGAAAGCAAGGCCGCGGCGGCACACAGCTGACAGGTCAGCTGATCGCGCCGCGTCGCTGCCTCGTCGCATCTTTTGCCGCGGCCCGGCCCACTACTGGGCTACCGTGTTGTAAGTGCAGCCTCATCAGCCGCCACACTGCTGCCCTGTGCACTGTGCAACAGGTCCGCGTCCCTCTAATGGGAGCGACAGTGCTGCCACATAACGAAGCGAAAATTCCCACTTCACACCCGTGTCGAAAGGGTTGCCAACGTTCGCCCGCGCTACTGGGCAACTTCCCGATAACGAAGCAAAGAGATACCTTCGAAGGCAGGCCGAGGTTGGCAACCCTTTCGACGCTGGCGCGAAGTGGGATATTTCACCTGCCTCTGTGGCAGCATTGGGCGGCGACGGCACGGCGACTCAGGGTCCGGCCGCTAGGTGGCGCTGGTAGCGCGCTGCTCAGTGCGAGTTTGGCTGCCTGCCTGCCGGCGGTGCGCGCCGGCCTCGCTGAGCTTCCTCGCGCCCGCGAGGTTGGCAACCCATCCGGCGGCGGCGCGGTGCGGCGCGGGCCGCCACGGCGCGGACAGTGCGTTGGGCTGCCCACCCTGCAGGCGCCGGTCTACGCCGGGCCGCTCGGCGAGGCCACTGGGTTGCCTGCTTGCCAGGCGTGAGCCGTCGCGCGAAGACCCCCGCCATCTTGATAGGGACGTCACAGCGGTCGCCGCAAAAACCGAGTCCGCTTTATCGAGAAGAGGAAGCAGCCGACGGCGGCCCGGTCCGCGACGGCCCACAGTGGGCCAGAGGACCGGTGGAGGCGGCCAAAACTCGTCACGCGTTTTGAGCTCCAGATTCGCTAAATGGGACTCGAACTGTACGTGTGACCCCACCAATGGATTCCTCGTTCGGAGAGCAATCCATTGGTGGGATCACACGTTCGGTTTGAGTCCCATTTAGCGACTCTGGAGCTCAAAACGCGTCTAGAGTTTTGGCCGCCTCCACCAGTCTTCTGGCCCACTGTGCGGCCCGGAAGTGCTCCACGACTGTCTGCGCGTTGGCACTTTGACACCGGGGCCAACGAACTATTTCGAACGGCGCGTTATCGCCATGGTAACGCTGGCGACATGCCGAGTGCGTGGCTTCGCGCCTCGGGCCTCTCGATGGCGATTCTATCGCGTTGCTTTGCCGCAGTGCCAGCCAACACATTTGTAGGCAGAGGTTTCCTGTTCGCATGAGCATTGAAAGGGTTGCCAACCTAAGCCTACTTTGTCTACTTCTCGATAAAGCCAAGATGCGGCCTAGCAGGCAGCCTGAGGTAGGCAACGCTTTCGCTACTGTGCGAAGCGCGAATTTTCTCCCACTGCTTTAACACGTGTTCCGCGCGGGCCAGACGGGGCGCGCACGTGTCATGTTGCTCGCACGGCCGGCGCGGCACGCGGCGCGTCCTGATCTAGACTGATTCCGAGAGTCATTTTCATCGCTCTGTCTCTCTCGCACTCGAGGAGCGTGCCACATGTCTGCGAGAGAGACAGAGCGACGAAAGCGAAACCCGGAGTATAACACTAACACCGCCGAGCAGCACAGCCCCACTGCCCTTGATACGAAATTCAAATGCCGCAGGGCCGTCGCGAGGAAGTTCACAGGTTAGGGGAAGGGGAGGGGAGGGGGGGGGGAGGGGGGGGGGGGTGCATGTTTGCATCGGTCGCGGCGAGTGCGCCGATGCCTCCCTTCCCTAAAAGGCTCACTGACGTCCACACGCGCGTCACCCTCCACGTCGCCGCCGGTCAGACCACCTCGCTTGTCACCGCGGTGGGTCATCGCGCCGCGTCTCCGCGTAGCAGTGCGTGCGCGCGGCCCCGTCACTCCGGTGCGGCCTGATTCCGAGAGTCGCTTTCGTCGCTCTGTCTCTCTGGCACTCACGGGGCGTACAGGTGGCGGTGGAGAGACAGAGCGACGTGAACGACTCTCGGAATCAGTCCGCTGACCGTGGAAGAAACGTTGCACTCGGCGTTCGCAAACAAGGGGCCGTGGCGCAGCGTGCGTGCAGCGCAGCGCCGCTCTGCGCAGTGCAGTGGCGGTGGCCCCGCGTGCGAAAAACAATCCACCGCGCACTCCACGATGACGATCGTCTTTGCGGCGGCGCGGGCGAGGCCGAGCACGCCGCCACCTCAGGTGCGTTGCAGCCCCACCGCAAACACGGCTCGCATCGCCTTGGCGGCGCGCGGCGCTGCGTCATCGGGAGGCTGCGGAGGGGTCCGCCCTCCCCCGCCTGGCCTCGTTGACGACCTGCTCCAGGTCGGCGCGGAGCTCAATGAACCGCGTGGACAGAGTGGACTAGCAGTGGAGGGGTCGCGGCGGTCGCGGCGCCAGACCAAGGCGCCGCCTCGCTTCGCGCCTCGTCTGGCCGATCCAGCCAGAGAAAGCGGCGGGGCGGGGCGGGGCGGGGTGGGGCGGGGCGGGGTGGGCGCGTAGCCGCGGCGGGGAGGGCCAGGAAGGCGCGGACTGGCGCGGACCCGCACCCCGGCCGTACACCACCAGCGCGCGCCGCCCGAGCAGGTCGTGTCTAGGACGTGCGGAACCCCCGATCTAGGACGAGTAAGTTCGCGAGTGCGTGCGTGCGTGCACCGATTCCGTACGTGTTCGTGAACGGATTGAACCGCGCCATTGGCATGGAACCCAGTGCGTTTTTTGTAGTGCATCGTTCGTTCGCAGCCACGATGCGTTCAGCACTCCGTGGCACAGTTAGCTCACCAGTGGATTTTGAAGACTGTCGAGATTTAGTTCTGGCAGATATGCGCCTTTGTAGTCATGACGGAGCAGTGAATTTTGGCATTGATTGTGGGTCTGGCATGCTGGGCCAACTCCAGAACCCTACGAGAAGAAACAAGTTTCGATGCCAGGAAGTAGAAGTGGTTTCTGCGGAGCCCTGGGACAACGTGGTTCGGAACGTGTGACAGTGTATAGTGCTCTGTGTGTGTGTGTGCTGTGTGTGTCTGTGTGCGCGCGTGTGTGTGCGTATGCGTGAGCGCGTGTGTGTCTTGCGTGTGCGACAGTGTATACGGTTGTGTGTGTGTGTGTGCGCTCGCGTGTTTGTGTGTTAGTGTGTGTTAGTGTGAGTGTGTTGGTGTGAGTGTAAGTGTGTGTGGTTTTTGTGGTGAGTGGCGTGGAAATTTACTGCCAGTGTAGGATTTAGTGCGGACGAGAAGAGATTTGATTTTTTTTTTGCTTCTGGCGAGAATGCTGGCCGTCCAAATGGGATCCAATCTGAATTTATTTTTTATTTCAAATTAGACCTTTCCTGTTTGACGTCATAATGGCTCTTCTGCGGCGAATCAGAAGTGACCCGGCGACAGTGTAGGTCCCTCTTGCCCACCAACGAGTGTCGGCCAGCCAAGCCGATCAACGAGGCATCGTGACACTCGAGTTTCTCACGGCAAAACAGTATGCAAACGAACAGTGGTGCCATCTTACGGTAAACAGCCCAACTACTAGTGGACTTCCCTTCGCCGCAGCGGCAAGGCGCCCTGGCGTGGCGGAAAAGCGAACTACGTTTGCGAGGGGCCTTAGCCCGGGCAGCAGTGGTGCCACCTGAACGAGGGGTTACCCACTCCGGGAATCGTGTGTACACTCAGTCCGGGAATCGTTCGTAATTTGCTCAAAATTTTATCGAAAATCTTAAAAGTTTCAATGGAGAGGGATATGTAATAGACACAAAACACTCAAAAGATAAGAAAAATCTTCAAAAACCTCTCCTTTCATGCAAGATTTGTTCAGGAATCGCGGGAATCCGGAATCGTGTGTACGCCCAAGTACCGAGTGGGTAACCCCTCGCACCTGAAGGTGAAAAGGATAACTCCGAGGATAACTCGCTATTGGGCTGGCACGCTGCCCGAAAGCACTGACTACTGACCATTGGAAACGCCAAAAAAAATTAATATTTTCAAATGTTAAACCGACTTGATGGGGTGAAGCGATAAAGAATATTTGCATTGATTGCATCGTAGAGAGATTTTTTTTGTTGAGAGGTGCGCAGGTGTAACGTTTTCTGTCATGACCAAGCGGGAAATGTCTTGAACAGTCGGTAAATTCCTTTACTCGGAGACAGAGTCATCTTTGCTGGTGCTGTCGGTATCCAAATGTCGCGCTGCGATTGGCTGAACGCCGGGCGGGCCTGGCGGGCCTGGCGGCAGGTGTGCGGTCATTCGTCACGTTTCGATGACGTCACAGCGCCAAACCGATGATAGCAACTTCACCGCTTCGGAGCGAAAACATTACATTGTCAAATATCAGGTCGCTGCCAGAGAAACCTGCCAACAGAAGAAGCTTTGCATACACACTAAATTGCAATGTGTATGTTTTGTGTTTTAAATCTAATTGAATCTGTGTAGAGCTAAGCTCGAGAATGTGTGATTCTGTTAAGAATACTGTGCGTTTCACCCGTGTGATAATCCATTATGAGGAAAGCCATGCACGAAAAATCACACAAAAACTGTCTGTGTACTGAAGTAGGTTACCCCGAAAAACATAATTTCCACGCTGGGGCCAGACGATGCGGGGCGTGTGAGTGGGAATGCACCTCGCGGCCCGTCAGTGCGGCCGAACTCCGACACGGCGTGGCAGAAATCGAAAACGTAAATGAACACAAAAACGTTCCGTCATCAGCCCGGCCTGCGAGGCTCGCTGCATGAACGATGCGCGCGACCTTTCGCGTCCCCGATCGCAGGCATTGTGCAACCGGCGGGCCGGCAGGACAGGCTCACCGGGACACAGTGGGTCAGAAGGCCGGTGGAGGCGGACAAAACTCTAGACACGTTTTGAGCTCCAGAGGCACTAAAAAGTCCTCGAACCGAACGTATGACCCCACCAATGGATTGCTCTCCGAACGAGGAATTCATTGGTGGGGTCACACGCTCGGTTTGAGGCCTGTTTAGCGACTCTGGAGCTCAAAACGCGCCTAGAGTTTTATCCGCCTCCACCGGTCTTCTGGCCCACTGTGCGGGGCATGCCGGGTCGGAGCATGCCGGGAAGGAACACTCTCGAAGGAGCCAAAAATGCGAGGGGCGTCCCCCTGCTTTACCAAACACATTCATTATGATGATGTGATGGTTTTTGAGGCTGGTTGTTCCAAAATTTTTGAAAGTGATTTGCAGGCGTGGGACTCTTTTTTCAGCGTAATAGGGCCGGAACAGGGAGTACGCAGTCGGGACACGGCCCCATCCCCTTCCCCCGGTGCATCCGCACGCTACCGGCTACACTGTGCAGTCGGTGCACCGTGCCTGGTACTTGGGGGCCTAAGTGATCTTATCCGCCACGCTAAGGCCATCCCCGTGGGCTTTCTCCCCGGGTGCTGCAACGGCCAGCCTCAGGCTGCCTGGGGCCACGCGTTAAACGCGGCTCGCTTCTATGCAGTTTGCCGCGCTGCGCGCGCGCGTGTGTGTGTGTGTGTGTGTGTGTGCTGCACTAGGCGGGATCTGGGTTGACGCTGCAGCCATCGACCTGCATGCCGCGTGTTATGCAACGCGACACGCGGAAAGGGAAAATATAGGCGGACGCTGCGAAAAATCGAGTGGCCCATTTTTTTTTTTTTTCAATCCGTTTTTCTTTCTTTCTCGTTGCAGTGTCGAGCCAGTATCGGATCCCGAAGATGCGGGTGACGGCGGCGGAGATGGCCGAGCGGATTGAGGACTTCAACCCGGAAACGATCCACGCCCTCCGGAAGTGGCTCGACGACCAGCCGCACTACCCGCCCACTTCCGGTGGGTTTTCTGCGGAAAATTTAAATAATGACGAATTTATCTACTGATTAACATCATTGAACTCATGTTAGTTTCGGATTTTCACAGAGGAGCAGCTGATCCTGTTCGCGCACAGCTGCTACTACGACGTGGAGAAGAGCAAGAGCTGCATCGACAACTGCTACAATATCGCCTCGTCCACGCCGGAGTTCTTCCAGAAGCGCGACCTGGACCTGCCCGACGTGAAGCACATCCTCACCGTCACGTACGTGCCCGCACTGTAAAAAATTCCGTACTTTTGTGCGGAAATGACACAGAAAAATATAGTACGGAGGTACGGAGAAAAGTACGGAACGCTCCGTACTTGCTCCATATGAATCCATGTAAATGGGTACGGAAAAAAAGTACGGAAGGTTTCGTAGTTGGCAAGTACCGACGGTCCAGGCAAATTATTGACCAGACATGTTTCGTACTTTTTCCGTACTTTTTTCTCACAGTATGCCAATACCCGCCATCAGCGGCTCGCCGTCGTCGGTTAGGACCGTTTTGGCGCGGAGAGGCCGCCGCTCGGTGCGTCCACCCGGCACTTTGCTAACCGACGCACAGTGGGCCAGAAGACCGGTGGAGGCGGCCAAAACTCTAGACGCGTTTTGGGCTCCAGAGTCGCTAAACAGGCCTCGAACCGAACGTGTGACCCCACCAATGGATTCCTCGTTCGGAGAGCTCATTGGTGGGGTCACACGTTCGGTTCGAGTCCCATTTAGCGACTCTGGAGCTCTAAACGCGTCTAGAGTTTTGGCCGCCTCCACCGGTCTTCTGGCCCACTGTGCGACGCCGGCGCCGTGCGGCCGTCAAGGAGAAGGATGGCCTGCCCGCGCTCACCGCCTCAATCTCAGGTTGTGTCACTCCTTGTTGTCATGATTCTTCTCGTCCGCAGGGACAACGCCGTGTTTCCCAACCAGACGCCCTTAACTACCACCCTTTCTTGCACGGGTTGCGTACGAGCCCCAGGAAGCCACCTCGTTCGCGGACGGCGTCCAGGTGGTCAAAAACCTTCTCCCCAAATCCTGGACGAAAAAGGGGGTCCCTACAAGCCTGTTAATGAAGGCGTTGGGCTGGGCCCCCCACCCGTGAACGGGGTTGCTCAGAAGTTTTTGCCTAAGAGCCCCAGGTTCGTCGCGGCCCCAGCCAAGCCGGGGCTTTACTTTTTCTTCTTTAAAGCACCCTTTTTCCCTACAAAGGCTTGAGCTGGAAAGAAGCCCGTCCGCCTTGAGGGATGCCTGCTCCACTTCGGCCATCCTGGGCAAAACTGTTCCAACCTTGAAGCCGGAGCTGCGGAGCATTGTGAGTGGTGAAAAACTTGCTGCCTAAGAGGCCCGAGGTTTGATTGCGGCCCATAAACCCTGCTTCCTCTCTTCGTTTCAGCTTTCTTCTACTCGGCTTCCGAGCTGGAGAAGCTGTACGACGCCATTCCGAGGGACTGCCTGCCTCCGGACTTCGGCGGCACCCTGGGCAAGACTGTTGCCGAACTTCACGGTGCGTAGAGTAATCTTCCATCAATAACTGCCTCGCGTGTCCGGCTTTTTTATTTTCGCTTTGCGTGAGCTTCGGCCTGGCCAAGGTCGCGTTGGTCAGGGCCATCGGCCAAATAATTGGCTTGTCGCGCTCGTGGCTACTCCGGGCGCGAGAGACCCATAAAGCTGGGGTATCCACTGGAATTTTCTTAGCTCGCACTTTTATGACCGGATTTCTCTCAAAATTTTAACTGACTATATTTTTTCTAACTATATCCTCCTGGTTTGCAGCGGCCAACACCGAGGCGCTGCGCGAGATGCGCCAGTACTGGGCGGACCAGGCCACCCTCGTCATCGACGAGACCAAGAGGCCCTCCAAGAAGGGCAAGAAGGACAAGGCCGTCGTGCAGGACGCGACGCCCGACATCCGGAGGCTCGAGCTGGACTGAGCGTGTGCGAGTGTGTGTGAGTGTGTGTGTCTGTGAGCGCGTGTGTGCTGGAGTGTGTCGATGTGTGTGTACGTGTGCGCGTTTTGTGTGTGATTGAGTGATGAGCGTTTGCGCGGTGCGACTTAAACCTTGTTTCGTGAAATCTACTTCTTGTACCTGTAAATGATTTTATTAGATCAATTTCGCCCGTTGACTGATGTGTTTTTTTTTTTTAAATAAAATTGTTTTTTTTTTACAACTTGACTTTTTTTTATTTTATTCCGTGAGAAATATTTGGAAATTTTTTTTTTGTTTTTACATTTCACCTACATTTCTTTTAAGAAATATTGTTTTCTGTTTTTCCCACCCTATGGTCGCATTCCATTTCTCCGTATTGATGTGTTAATGTCTACATGCGCCGTCAGCCTGTTTAGAAAGTAAACTTGAGTACACTATACCACCTGTCTAGCGACTGTAGAAGGCACTTCTCGATGAATATAAAAAGGTACCCATTCCGCGAAACCCTACAGAAGGTGGAGGGCCTTGCTGAAGTTTAAGCAGTACTCCTCACTTGAGCACCACGGTAAGTCGTGTCTCGGACAATCGCTGACCTGCAGGCTCTATTCCACTATGCAGTGCACTCTCCTAGTGCTCTGGATTACATGCACAACAAATTGCTCTGAATTTGTCGGACTGACATTCATTATATATTGGACAGTGCAAATCTAAGAGTGAGAAAGTCTCACACTATTTAGTGCGAGCCACGATGTATCACGCTTTCGAGTGTGAGCCACGCTTGCCCCACGCTTGCAAGTGCGAGACCAAGTTTGTCTCACACTTGCGAGCGTGGGTCCTGTGGCACCAAACCACAAACAACCATAGGCAGTAAGTGTGGGAGAAACCGTGTCTCACACTTGCAAGCGTGGTACATACGTGGCTCACACTTCTTGTAAGCGTCAGACATTGTGGTTCACACAAAATAGTGTGAGACTGTCTCACACTTGGATGGGCAGTGCACTGCTTAATCTAAAATTGGGCTGGTTTCGTGAAAAAGTTTCAATTACGTACAGGCGTTACGCTGAGGAGCAGTCACAGTACCTGTACTTTCAATGCTTTTGTAAGTAGCCTTGCCTGTGCATGTGAAAGTTTACGTACAAATTTTCCCACCGAATCGCACGAATTAGTGCAAAATTTTGGTCGACTTTGTACGAAAGGCACGCATGTGTGAAACTGTGTGAGACCACATACATGAATGTACACAGTGAGCCTCACTTATCATTTTAACGCTTGTGTGCATAATTACTTACACACTGACAGGTGTGTAGACACCTGATTTAACGCCTTTACTGATTTCCGAGTATGCAACGTTAAGATCATACAGACACAGCAAATATTGAGGTGTTGTGACGCGACGACTGAACGTAGCATAGTCAATAATAAAGGCATCGTGTTTGCAGTTCAAGTCGATCATGAAGGTGCTCGTGGTACTGGCGTGCTGCATCGCGGCGGCCGCCGCTTCAGGCCAGAGCGCCTACGTCGAGTACGGCGTCGTCCCGGACGTCATCGACGTGGCGCCTCACGCCGTCCTCAAGGCAAGTCCTCTCCGACATCGGGAACACACAGTGGGTCAGAAGACCGGTGGAGGCGGCCAAAACTCTAGACGCGTTTTGAGCTCCAGAGTCGCTAAATGGGACTCGGACTGAAGGTGTGACCCCCCACCAATGGATTCCTCGTTCGGAGAGCAATCGATTGGTGGGGTCACACGTTCAGTCCGAGTCCTATTGAGCGACTCTGGAGCTCGAAACGCGTCTAGAGTTTTGGCCGCCTCCACCGGTCTTCTGGCGCACTGTTGAACACCAGGGACTGGGAAGTGAACGACAATTCAAACAGTCCCGTTCCATCCGCCTTGCAGGTCTCGTACCAGAACCCCGAGCGTGTGAGCGCGTTGGTGGGGAACGAGCTGACGCCGACCCAGGTTCAGAGGCAGCCCACCTTCTCCTGGCCCACCTGCCGGCCAACCCCCTGGCACAAGAAGAGCTCCCTCTACACCCTCATCTTCGTCGGTCAGTTAGACTGCCGTGGGTTGGCAGGACTGGGCGGACATTGCAGCCAACTGAGCTATTCACAGAAGTTTTAAACGACGAGCATTGAAACGGGGTGACTGACAGTGTTTTGATTGTGCACAGACACGGATGCGTACACCAAGGACAACAACACCTTCACTCGGGAGTTCGTACACATGCTGATCGGCAACATCCCCGGCAACGACGTCTCCAAAGGCACAGTCCTGTTCAACTACGCCGGCAGTGGACCCCCGCAAGGCTCAGGTAAATTAGAAACTACGAAATCCGACCAAGTCTTAATCTGTGGAACAATCAAATAACGCCTCGGTTCTCAACAATTTCTCTGTGACATGTAGGATTCCACCGTTACGTGTACCTTCTGTACAAGCAACCGGGCTACATCAACTTCAACCAAACAACCGTTGACAGTTTGTACGTATGTCCTCTAAAGGAGCAAGAGTGCACCCTCGTGCCTTTTAGCACACCTTGACGCACCAAGCGCATGTGTTCTTTTATCGCGAGTAATTAGTTTTGTCGTTTCTTTTGCCTTTGCAGCCACTTTGTTCCCCGCCTCTGGTTCTCAGCTCGCAGATTTGCCGCCAAATGGAACCTGGGCGCCCCCATCGCCGCCAACTTCTACAGGGCGCAGTACGACCCGTACTGCGACGAGCTGGCCAAGACGATCGTGGACATCGCGGACCTGCCGATTCCCGGACAGTAGCACAATTCATTTTGAAAGGCATTAAAAATGTACGAGCTTTAACCCTCCTGGGGGTTTTCCTTTCTTTCTCCTTTCCCACAAAGCAATTACGCATGGGCTCCCAAATTCATGTCCGGCCTGTCGACGCAACACACTCTTTCCTAAAACACTGGTTATTTTCCTATTTTGAACCAATAAGGAGGATTGATGACTGTGTTTTGCGGGTGCCTGCACGGCTAGTCTTGAAAGTGTCCCACCCAATCGCTTGCTCTCGCTGGAGACGGGGGCGGCGGCCGAGGCACGGCACCTCCGGGCCGGGTGCACAGTGGGCCAGAGGACCAGTGGAGGCGGCCACAACTCTAGACGCGTTTTGAGCTCCAGAGTCGCTAAATGGAACTCGAACTGAACGTGTGACCCCACCAATGGATTCCTCGTTCGGAGAGCAATCCATTGGTGGGGTCACACGTTCGGTCCGAGTCCCATTTAGCGACTCTGGAGCTCAAAACGCGTCTAGAGTTTTGGCTGCCTCCACCGGCCTTCTGGCCCACTGTGGGGCGCCCCTCGCCGGTGGAGCCGGACCGGTTCGGAGAGGCACGAACGGCCGGCGCAGGGCCAGGCCGCAGTGCCAGCAGTGCTCCGTGCGCAGCCAACGAGGTGAGTCCGGGACCGCAGTCCAGACTGCTCACCGAGCGCAAGCGGCCGGTACACTGGGCACAGCGTTTCAGACAAGCAGCCTGGGGTAACGCACCGGGATACATCCCAAACAAATAACCGTCTGTGCAGTTCTAGTTCGTCATGAAGGTCTTGGTGCTGGTGGCGTGCTGCCTGGCGGCGGCGCTGGCGGAGGACGCCTTCGTGGAGCACGGCGTCGTCCCGGACGTGATCGACGCCACGCCGGCGGCCACCCTCGAGGCAAGTCACGCCGGGGGACGGTCAGAAGTTACGACTCGAAAGTGAGGCGTTTTTGAACATTCCGGTTTTGTGGTTCGCCCTGCAGGCCGAGTACCACCAGCCGCAACATGCTAAGGTGCGGCTCGGCAACGAACTGACCCCGACGCTGTCCCAGAACCGGCCCGCCATCTCCTGGCCCACCGAGGAGGGCGCCCTGTACACCCTCATCATGACCGGTCAGTGTCTTGGCGAAGCAAGGCCACTTCGGTGGTGGGACCCCTGGTTTGAACTTGAACTTGTAACAAACCACAGAAGATGACTGTTATGATTCACTAGATATTTTCTGTGTACAGACACAGTTTCTGTGGTACATATTTCTCGTGTACACTTACTAAAACCTTCTCCCCGCCCATAGAAATGTTCAAATTTCAATACCGTGGAAAATTTTCCATCCATGGAAACTTTCCGTGTGCGGATCTGTGCCTACTGTACACGGAAGGCACTGTACACATCATTTTTTTTGGAACGAATTTTTTTCCGTGGTCCTATATTTTAAACTCTCAGAAAGTGGTAAAGGTTATAAGTGCACCACGGAGAATATTGACCGCGGAACCCCTCTGTGTACGGAAAACGTGCAGTCAATTAAGTTATCACCCGAATCCTCAGGAGTCAAGTCTCACCGCGAACTGAGCCTTTTACTTTCCGAGTAGTTTCTCACGGCGTGAGTCACATTCGAGCGGGCACGGCGTAATACCTGGTGTTTGTGTGTGCAGACCCCGACGCGCCCAGCAGGGCCAACCCCATCCGGCGGGAGTTCCTGCACATGCTCATCGTCAACGTCCCCGGCAACGACATCGCCAAGGGCGACGCCCTGTTCGACTACATCGGGGCCGGGCCCCCGAAGGGCTCAGGTAAACAAATCTGGCCATGGCCTCATTTCGATGCTTTCGTTTTTATTGCTTTCGTTTTCAATCGACACTGTTTGTCTTGTGTTTCCTGACCAGGACTGCACCGTTACGTCCTGCTCGCCTACAAGCAGCCGGGCCACATCGACGTCGACCAAAAAACCGTTCCCAGCACGTACGTATCCCCGCAACAGAAAGAGCCGAAACAGCTTATCACACACGAGGCGTTTTAACGAAACGGCACGAACTCATTGCTTTGTCTTTGGCAAGCACTTACCTACCACTCGCGGTAAAACACCCAGAGTGCTTCCTTTCGCAGTTTGTTTGACTTAGCCGTTTGTGTGGCCACTTCCAGCACCTTCGCGGGCCGCCCCAACTTCTCCGCCCGCAAGTTCGCCGCCAGCAAGAACCTGGGCGCCCCCGTGGCCGGCAACTTCTTCCAGGCGCAGTGGGACGAGCACGTGGAGGAGCTCATGAAGAGCCTCAAGCAGTAGAGACCCGGCGGCCAGCCATTGCTGCACTGCAGCGACTTTAGACAGCGAAATAAACAAACCATGAGAAACCGCATAGTGATTTTCCTCTTCTTTTACGACCGTTTCCTCTTGTGCCCCTCGGAGTAGGCAACTTGTTCGGCGCCTCCTCGGAGTAGGCCAGGCGCACGACGGCGACGTGCGGTGTGGGTGGACCACTCCGCCGCGCCCCGCCACCGCGGCTCCGCGGTTTCCGCCAAGGCCGCGGTTACGGCCGTTACAGCACAGCGCCTCGAGGAGCCGCCAGGACGCCGCCAGGACTCTGGACCGGCTGGATTGTCCCTATTTAGGCGTGACTCGGAGCCGCCTGCAGTGGAGGCGTCCGACCGAAGCCACCGCGGCGGACGCCGGTTCCGACAGGCTGAGTGTCTCCCGACTGGCGGCACACGGCAAGACAGGACCACCGCGACTGACAGCAGCGGGTTGACTCCGAGTCACCGCTCTGTCTCTCTCTCACACACTCATGGGGCGTCACGTAGAGGTGCGACAGAGACACAGTAGCGCTCGGAATCGGGCAGCAGCAACTCTCCGCGGACGTTTCGCACCACGTTGCTAAAATCGCAGTGTTTATCCTGGCATCTCTCTCGAACACACCCGCATGCACGGCGCCGCACGGTGCGCTCACGCGAGCCGCGGACCCGCGTGGAGGCTACCGCCGCTTGAAGGATCGTTTCGTCGCTCTGTCTCGCTCGCACCCTAGCAGCACGCCCCATGAGTCCGAGAGAGACAGAGTGAGGCGGCGGGGCGCCGCTCCGTTGTTATCGCTTGCACCAGCTTGCGCCACACGGCGTGCGGCACGCGCCGGCTATCGGCCCATCGTTCGGCAGGGACTCAGGTTCTCGCCGGGCAGCGCTTCTCTTTTCCATTTCGCGAAACTCTAGCGGCGTCCGGGAGCAGTAAACTGCAGCCATGGAGTGCCTGGTCCCCAGAATGCTTGACGCCGTCCCGAAGGGCACGATCAAGGTACGTGAGGTGTTGAGGTTGCCCGCGGCTGCGCACAGTGGGCCAGAAGACCGGTGGAGGCGGCCGAAACTCTAGACGCGTTTTGAGCTCCAGAGTCGCCAAGTAGGACTCGAACTAAACGTGTGACCCAACCAACGGATTGCTCTCCGAACGAGGAATCCATTGGTGGGGTCACACGTCCAGTTCGAGTCCCATTTATCGACTCTGGAGCTAACGCCTCCACCGGTCTTCTGGCCCACTGTGCGGCGGCGGGGTGGAGTACAGTCCAGTAGCCGCGTTGCAGGTCGAGTACGCCGGCGGCCTGGTGGTGGACGACGGCAACGAGCTCACGCCCACGCAGGTGCAGCACCATCCCACGCTGGTCACGTGGGCCGCCGAGGAGGGGGCGCACTACTGCCTCATCTGCACAGGTACGCCGCCGGCTAGCAGCAGCTCGTCATCGAGTGGCAACAAAAATTTTGACAGTGCAGTATTGTCGGGCTATGCTCCGCTTTGCAGACTTCGACCCGCCTGGCCTGGAGCTGGAGGACCCCAGGAAGAACGAGGTGATCCACTACATGGTCGGCAACGTCCCCGGCAACGCGTTGCACGACGGCGAGGTGCTGTTCGAGTACATTGGCGCCGGCGCGCGGCAGGGCACTGGTGGGCGCGCAACTCTCGCGAGAATCCATTGACCCGTTCAAAACACCAAAATAATAATAACGTTGTGTGAAAATTGGTGCAGGTCTTCACAAGTACGTCTTCCTTCTTTACAAACAGCCCGGGAAAATTAACTTCAATCAAGAAAGAGTATCGAAAATGTGAGACAAGTCCGTAAAGAATTTGAGTTCCAGCAACTGTGTCCCATCGAAATAACAAACGCTCTCCCTCCCGTTTCTTTCTCCAGAGAGCGCAAGGGGCGGCTTCCTTTTTCCAGCAGGATATTCGCCTGCCAGTTCAAACTCGGCCGCCCCGTGGCGGGCAACTTCTTCACGGCCCAGTACGATGACTACGTCCCGAAGCTGCACGCCTCCTTCATCGACTGAATCGTGAAACCCCCGTAATAGAAAAGCAGTAAACAAACATTACCTCAACCACCTAGTTTCATCATTTGTCCAAGCTCACCAACAAAACATACCAAACGTTACACTGTTCCCACCTCTCAGTCAGACCACGTGGTCTGTTTCTCCCAAGTGCCCCTGCTGATTAGGCCACTTATCGTGCAGCCTTCCTGCGTCCAGCGGCTGCGTTATTGGCACTCCGCCCTGCCGATAGTGGCGTCCTCGCGCCACGCTGCGAATAGCGGCGGCTCGTGTTGTCCATTACGCAACAGCGGGGCGTAGCACGGTGTAATCGTGTGTGGCTCGCACTTTGGTGAGCAGCAAGACATCCTCGTCCACGTCCACGTTCATCAACATGGAGGCACACGGCGTGGTCCCCGACATCATCGACGTGGCGCCCGCCGGCACGGTCAAGGTAAAAGAGTAACCGTTTTGAGGTTAGGTGCGCACAGTGGCCCAGACGACCGGTGGCGGCGGCAAAAATTCTAGACGCGTTTTGAGCTCCAGAGTCGCTAAATGGGTCCCGAGCCGAACTTTTGACCCCACCAATGGATTGCTCTTCGAACGAGGAATCCATTGGTGGGGTCACACATTTGGTTCGAGTCCTGTTAAGCGACTTTGGAGCTCAAAACGCGTCTAGAGTTTTGGCCGCCTGCCCTGGTCTTCTGGCCCACTGCGTGCCGGGCCCGAGGCCGGGCCGCGACAACCGCTTCACACGTCCGGGCGTATCGCGTATCCCCGCAGGTGGCGTACCCGAGCGGCGTGGCCGTCGACAACGGCAAGGAGCTGACCCCGCGGCAGGTCAAGGACCAGCCCAGCGTGACCTGGGACGCCGAGGACGGCGCGTTCTACCTGGTGGTGATGACAGGTGTGTCGGTGAAAGCTGAATAGTAATTATTGAAACGCGAACCGGTAAGAGACCACGCTGATGATTATGTATTCATTTTTATTTTTTTTCAGACCCCGATGCCCCTAGCCGGGAGAACCCTACCAAGCGGGAAGTCCTGCACTACATGGTGGGCAACGTTCCCGGCAACGACATCAGCAAGGGCGACGTCCTGTTCGAGTACTTGGGATCGGGCGCGCCCGAAGGCACAGGTAAACAGGGACAAAATCCATTCAGTTAAATTTGCGCGACTGCTCTGAAAAACCTCGTTCTGTCGCAGGACTGCACCGCTACGTGTGGCTCGTCTACAAGCAGCCGGCCAGGATCGAGTTTAATCAGGAAAGAGTTTCGTGCCGGTAATGCCTGCCGTCTGTTTTCACTGATCCCCTCGAGACCGTCCACCACGCTTGTCTAATCTTCCGCCTCCGTCGCGCAGGTCCAGGAAGGGCCGCCTCAACTTCTCGATCCGCAAGTTCGCGGCGGAGAAGCAGCTGGGCCAGCCGGTGGCGGGCAACCTCTTCCAGGCCCAGTGGGACGACTACGTGCCGATCCTGCAGGCGAACATGCTCGTCGAGTAGAAGTTGAGAATAAAGGTGTGAAAACAAGAGCCTCGCCACTCCTAATTTTCCTCCAAACAAGACTATCGTCAGACCTCCCATCACACGTAGATGCCGGTTAGGCTGCCTCCTTCCAGGCGCACGCTGCACCGCGCGTCCGTTGGGCTGCCTACCCTCCAGGAAGCGCAGTGCCCCGTCCTGCGCCGATGTTGTGTGGTGGGTGGCATATCCTCCAGGTGCGCGGCTTTCCAGGGCGTGCCTCGTGTAGGTTGGGATGCCCAGCTTGCGGGCGGCACAGAGCCCGTTGCGTCGTGTGGGCTGCCTACACCGCAGGTGCTTCGTCTCCAACTTCCTCGTGGGCGCTGTTGTTTAGTTTTTGCCAGTGCAGGGGTGACCCGAACCGGCCTACACAGCAATGCTGCGTACTCTCCCTGGCCCTAAGTACGGTACGGCCATCTACGGGGCACTGGGAACTTACTCTCTCGACATCCGCTTTCCGCCATTCGCTTAATTTCCACCTTCCGCCATGCGCTTTCCGCCATCCGCTTTCCGCCATCCGCTTTCCGCCATCCGCTTTCGCGGATCCAACTTTTTGCTTCCTGCCGTCCGAGCCACCTTGCCGCCGCCGGCCAGTTCTCCAACCTGTTCCCGGGCCATCCCCGGCGAGCCCGCCGCGGCCTGTGACGTCGGCGTCGTCCGTCCGTCCGCCCTGCCCGCGGCCCTTGCCCTCTCCGCCGTCCACGTCGGCGAAGAAAAAAATGGCAAGGCGCCCGCCGCTCGCCTCGGACATCAAAGTTTACTAGGATCAGCTCGTTTCGAACTCTCACCGATGCCAGCGGCCGGCAGGCCTCGCATCGGGGACGCGGGTGACGACAACGGTAGCCTCAAAAATGTCGCAAGTTTGCGCGCCGTCGGGGCAAAATAGCGCGCACATGTGTGTGACCGCGTGTGTGTCTGTGTGTATATGTGTGCGTATGTGTGTGTGTGTGTGTGTGAGAGTGTGTATGTGTGTGAGTGTGAATGTATGAGTGCCGCGACACTTTCCCTTCCCAGCGCCCTGCTAGAAAGTGGCGGGCATTGTCAAGGACTCGCGGAACCCGGCAGTCGGTGCGGTCATCTCATTGGCACGGGCGCGCAGCGCGAAGGCTGAGGTCGTCCTGGTCAGCCCAGCTACAATACTCAGAAAATTTTAAAGTTATAATTCTGGGTCCCCTCTGGCAGCAGTGTAGAACAACCAGGCGACGTTCGCGATGACGACGACGCACAATGGTCGAGCGGCTGACTCTAGCGGAGTCTGGGGAATTTCGCTGCCGGCGCGCGGCCTCGGCAAAGAACAAGGCGTTCGGGGGCGTGGCTCGGCGCCGCCGTGGCTCGCGGTGGCGTGGCGGGCCGCGCGACCGCCAGCTTGAGGGTCACGTGGTGTAAACAAACACCGCGTGGCATCGCGGCGTCGCGGCGCGGACCGCGCACCGCCGCCGAAAAGGGCAGAAAGGGCGCCGGACGCGGAACTTGGACCCAGTCGTGACAGCTGGCCGCCGGGCTCAGACCCTCAACCTCAAGGACGGGGACGACTGGTCGACGGACAGTGACGAAGCGGGAGTGTCACCGAGTCAGTCCGAGGCACCTGCTCGGCCACCAAACGCCCCCCTCACACACACACACACACACACACACACACACACTCGCGCGCGCGCGCGGGAATCATGCCCCCTTCTTCTTTGGCAACTACAGTAGACAGTTGCTCTGAAGGTCGGCAAAACGCACGGCTTGGAGATCACCACGTCCTTTACAAAATTTCTGTGCACGCTACTCTCTCTCTCTCTCTCTCTCTCTCTCTCTCTCTCTCTCTCTCTCTCTCTCTCTCTCTCTCTCTCTCTCACACACACACACACACACACACACACACACACGCAGGTATAAGCACTGTCCGGAATGTGTGTTTGTTTAATGACACCTTTTGACCGGAGCCGCGCCATCGGGTCGAGTCAGAGGACACTGATAAGACTCGCCAATTTTTAACCTCCGCCGGTCGTCGGGACTCGCAGGACCAGGGAGCAGGCACGAAAGACGAGAGACAGCCCGGGCCCTGGCCGGGACGTCGGGTCCGGTGACTGGGGCTGGACTGGACGCTGACTCCAGTCAGACTGCTAACCCCATTAACATTCGCGTCGCCCGCTCATCCTTGTTTTCAGTCCGGCAGGGGCAGGGCAGGGCTGGGCAGGGCAGGGAACTCGCAAAGTCACATTGAAGCGTCGGCAGGGCGGAGAGAGGGTTCCAGCTCCGGAGGGCCCGCGGGTCAATCAACGCCTTCCTACTGAGGGCGCACTGGCGGCCTCACTGCCACTCGGGTCTCGTCAGCGCCAAAGCCTCTGTTCAATATTTTTGCCGCGGTGCCGGTTTCGGTCACGTTTAGTCCCCGGCTGCCCAGCCGCTGCCACGGGCGTGGCTGGCAAGGCTTGCGAGGCTAGGTGACATGATCTGCGCTTTGTCTCTGAGCGAGCCACCGCGGGAACGGAACGGGGAATCCCCACCGCACTCGCCTGCGGTACCCCAGTACCCGTCCCGCAGTACCCGTCCCAGTACCCGGTCCAGTCCCTTGACCGCCAAGCAAGACGAAACCTTTCGCCTCTCTGGAAGCAGGTCGGGAACTCGAAAGGTGTGCCCCACGATTCGGATTTCTAATCTCTACGCACCCCCGCCCTTTCTTTCTGGAGCGGATAACCAGCCTAGCCTGACCAAGCCTAACCTCAGCCAACCTGTCCCGACCTAACTTCTCCCTTATCGAAGTCCGGGATTCGAGAAATTCGTTCGAACAGGCCGCCAAACCGTTTTCCCGTGCCAAACTGAAGCTGACCCCTGAACTACTGCAACACTGCCTGCTGAGGTGTCCCCGCGTTGCCGAGACACGTGTGACCCCTCGTGTCTCTTGGCTGACCACAACACTGTGCCGCGCCTCCAGCCTGCGTCAGTCTGCGTCACAGCAAGCGACCGAAACCTTGGCCAGCCAGGCCGGCACGCCAAGAGGATTCCCTTCTTTCTCTGCACTTCCTTATGTCCAAGCTGTTGTTTTCGCTTTCGTTGGCGCGGCCAAAACAAAAAGAGAATTTGCATAGGTCCTTACGCCTGTTTCTGTAAGGCAGGATAATCCATTCAGAGGAGGTGAATTTTTCGTCCTTGCTCATTCATCTAAACGCTTCCAGCTTAATGACAGATTCGACACCCGCGCCGCTGCCACGAAGGTCCAAATCATTTCTGTCTTTCTTTGGCAAAGAACAGTCGAGCCGTATTTCCGTCCCTCGTTGCAAATTAACCCCAGCGGTGGTCATCGCGTCCAAACTCTCACGCCACCGAGCGGCTTGTATACCCAAAGTCGTTTTCGTCGCTCCGTCTCTCTCGCAGCTCGAAGGGGACGCCCCGCGAGTGCGAGAGGGACAGGTTGATGAAACGACCCATCGAGATCAGTCTGCAGGCACTCACTCATCAGAGGTGCGATTTACAGCGGCGCAGCGTGCAGATCGGTACGATGGCGAGATGAGCCGAACGCGTAAGCACTTTTTATTTTTATTGTTGTTGTTGTTGTCGTTTGTTGTTGTTGTTTGTTGTTGTTGTTTGCGATCTCAGTGTCAACATCCTAGCAAAACACGCGCCTATGCATAAACAGGAGAAATGCGTCATACGTGTGGTATTTTTAGACATCGCTGTCACATTTTGTTATGTTTGAAATTTTGTTGTGTTTGGAGAGCTGGTGGTGAATTTTGGAAAATTTTTGCAGTGTCTCTTCCCGCGATCCGTTCGGTACACACAGGGTGTAGGCCCGGGCGGCGGCACGTCGTACGTGCCCGGAGTGAAAGGTCGTTCCCCCCATCGCACCCAACGTTTTGACAGCGCGTTCGCGCAAAGCTGGAAGCTGGCGATGATTATTGTTTTTGATTTTTGCTGCTCCGCGTCCGGATCACACGCTTTCTTGTTGAGGCAGCGCGGAGACGCGGGACGAGCCGACGAGTCCTCTCCGCTGTAATGACGCCAAATTGGCCGAGGTGCAGCCTGCAGTTTTCGTCGCTCCGTCTCTCTCGCACCCATACGGTACGCCCCGTGAGTGCGAGAGAGACAGAGCGACGAGAACGGCTCTCGGAATCGGTGTGCTGCAGCCACCCCGCCGTGAGGGGGGAGATTATTTGCCCGGGGGGCGTCCGGCAATGCGTCACGCGGCGCTTTCGGGAGCTGGCTGGAGCTGAGCTGCCTAACCTTCCCGTCCGCGGGCAGATGGCCCAGTCCTGTCTGATGGTTTTATTGCAGCGTGGCGTCCCCGCGTCCGAGCCCGTCACTGCCCCCATATCGCACGGCGCGGCGCCGCCCCGACGTCACCGGGACGTGTTTTGGATTCGCGCCCCGCCAGGTCCACCAGGTCCGCCAGGTCTCGCTCGCTGGAGGTGCTCCCGGTGCCACGCCCCCCGCCCCACCCCGCCCCACCCCGCCCCGCCGCACCCGCCGCGCCACGCCGGCCGGCGTATGTCCTGCATCGTTCGGATATATAAACCTGGGGAGGTTCGGAGAAGCAGCAATCTGTCCTTGGGAGCGTCTCGTCAAGCACCTCCCCGTGTTCTCCACGTCGTCCTCCCCGACGTCATCCACACCCCGAGGCCATAACCTCCCCGACACAACCATGAAGACCGTCCTGGTGAGTATCTATTCTTGAAAGCTTGAGGTCCTTTCGTTCGTGTTGTTGTCGCCAGCTGTAGCAACCCCTGTTCCTGCTCCAGGTGTTCCTCGCTGTCCTCGTGGCCGTCGCCACCGCCGCCCCGCAGTTCTTCGGCGTCCCCGGCCTCGGAGGCGTGTCCTTCGGCTACGGCTACCCCGACTACCACCATCACCACCACCACGGCGGCCACTACGGCGGCGGCCACTACCACCACGGTGGCCACTACGGCGGCGACTACGGCCACCACCACCACCACCACGGTGGCCACTACGGTGGCGGAGGCCACTACGGCGGCGGCGGCCACTACGGCGGTCACCACCATCACCACCATGGAGGCCACCACTTCTGAGCTCGACACCAGCCCAAACGCCTTCGCCATCGCCACTGCCGGGTGACGTGGTTCAAAGCAAGGAGAAAGGACAATCAGTGCCACTGACAGTGGAAGTGAAGTGACTCGTGCTCGCCGCATTTTCCAGCACTTCGTCAGGAAGGCTTGCTCTGCTTGCCTTGCCGGGCATGAGCGAACACTCCTTTGCCGACTCCGCAGCCGTGTCAACAGACGCCCCATGTCAGGGCACTTTTCTTTTTGCGTTTAACCATGTCACCATTTCCAACGCCATTGTAATTTATTGACCTAATTTATTATTCCTGTGAAAAAGAGAAAAATAAATAGACTGACTGAAAACGAACTGAGCATTGCTTCCGAATCTTTGGCCGTGTGAAAGGGCATTCCCTGCGAATACGTTATCGAGGTCACCGACCAGAGGACAAGCCCTACTTGAAGGGAGAGGCCCTCGGTGCTGACGTCGGCGGCGGCACCGATCGGGGCGCCGTGCGTCACGCACGTGAAGTCGCGCAAAGTCGTTATCGCCTGGACCGCGGCCTGGCCGGCCGGCCCGGACCGCTTTCCGGTTTTCCGGCGCGGCGACGGGGACAGCATGTAAACTTCAGGAGGGGGGGGGGGCGTGCACTCGAGCCCTGTAATGACGAACGCTAATCCAAGCGCGGCAGACTGATTCCGAGAGAGGCGACTTCATCGCTCCGTCTCTGTCGCGTTTGCAGGGCGCCATGGGTGCGTGCGAGAGGGACAGAGCGATGGAAACGACTTTCGGATCCGTCCTCAATCACCGCGTCAGTGTCGCTGCCGCGGGGATGACAGCGGCGCTGTCGTGCCGCCGCGACGTCGGCGGCTTGTTGGACCCGCTGAGGTCGCGCTCGCCGAGCTTGCCCACAACAACGCGGACTGGCATGGAGAGGTTACGGCACTTGTCGAGGGGGCCTAGGAAGGGCCATCCACTAATTAAGCCGGGCATGTCGCGGGGCGTGGCGTGGGAGGGCGGGCGGTGTTCGCACTGTTGTCGTCCTGGCGGCAGGGCGCGCCAGGCTCCCACGACGACACCGACGACGACGGCCACCCCCGCGGCGCCGGGGGTCGACGAGCATAAAAGACCCCGCGCCCGGGACGCCGCGGTCCAGTCCACGACGGCGACGTCGCAGTGCCATGTCCTGTCGGTGACGACGCCGCCGCGCTCGCGCCACTCCACGCCATGACCGCTACCGCCGCGGTGAGTCGGCCGTCGTCCAGAGTACCGGCCGCGGCGGCGCGCTCGGCTGCTGGCGGCCGCGGCGTCGCGTGGGCGCGCCACCTCCGCGAAAGTGCGATTCGCGAATTCGTGTGTGTATGTGTGTGTGCGCGAGTGTGAGTGTGAGATTTACGTGTGTGTGCTTGCAGGTGGTGTCCTTGCTGCTGGCCGTGCTGGCCGCGGCGACCAGCGCCCAGCCCCAGATGTTCGGCATGCCGATGCCCATGGCGCCCATGATGGCGCCCGCCATGATGTACGGGTACCCGGCCGCGGGCTACCCGCCGCCCTACGCCAGCGCCTACCCGTACTACCACCCGCAGCCGCCGCACCCCGTCGGCTCGCCCTACGGCTGGCACGGCTTCCACGGCGGGTACGGCCACCACGGCCCCTACGGCCACCACGGCTACCACCACCACGGCTACCACGGCTACCACGGACACCCCATGCACCACCCGTTCCACTAGTGCGTCGACCCGTGTGTGTCTGAAGAATCCCCAGACTGGCTTTGTGCGTGTGTGTGTGTGTGTGTGTGTGTGTGTGTGTGTGTGTGTGTGTGTGTGTGGTGTGTGTGTGTCTGTCTGTGTGTGTACTCGACGATGTGTACTCGGCTACATGCAAAACCCCCGAATGCTTATTTATTTTTTCGTCAATAAAAGGAATTTGTGCATAAAGGTGCGGTTTGTTTTGCTCTGCGTTTTGAACGAGAGGGTGCTGGATGTGGGTAAAGGCTGGTCATTGCCCCGTCGGCCTGCCAGGCCCGGTCGCCACAATGAAAGCGAGTGGGCCGCGCTGCCCGAGCGACGCCCCGGCTGTCTCTCTCGCACACCTTCGGAGCGCCCCATGAGTGCGAGAGAGACGAAACCTCGGTTCGGATGCAGCCCGCAGCGTCGCGGTGTCAGGGTCTGTATCGCGAATCCACGCAAGGCCGCCGCCTAATAATTGGACTGTGTGTCTCCCGGCGGGCCGGGTCCGAGGGGAAGGCCCCCTTCGCTCTCTCTCGCTCACTCACGTGGTGCCCGATGTGGGCGCGAGAGAGACAGTTTGACGGCGAGGCAGGGGAAGAGGGGGTGCCACAGTGGGCCAGAAGACCGGTGGAGATGGCCAAAACTCTAGACGCGTTTTGAGCTCCAGAGTCGCTAAAAAGGCCTCGAAACGAACGTGTGACCGCACCAATGGATTCCTCGTTCGGAGAGCAATCCATTGGTGGGGTCACACGTTCGGTTCGAGTCCCACTTACCGACTCTAGAGCTCAAAAAGCGTCGAGAGTTTTGGCTGTCTCCACCTGCTTCTGGCCCACTGTGGGTGCCCTGTTACGCCGTCGTGTGGAGTCGCCACAGTGACATGCCCGCGAGGTCGCAACAACGGTCATCATCGTGGAAAGTAAAACCACGGCGGCGTTTTTCCCTAAGTCGTCCGCTAGCGCTTCACCTGCTCCGCTAGGTCCGCCGGCTCCACCGGCTCCTCGGACAATGCGGCGACGGCTGACATAATCCGGAGCGCGGCGCGTCCTTTCTCTGGGGCCGCGTCCGCGTCGCCGCGTCGCCAGACGGCCGCGTTCGAGGCGCGCGGCGGCAGTGCGGCGCGGCGTGGTCCGCCCACGACCACGCGACGACCGGCTCGGCGCGGCCAGCCTTGTGGTGGTCATGACAACCTTCCCGTTTTGCCAATAACGTTGCCCGGGCCGCTGCTGAATCGGGCCTTACGGGAGGTCACCGCGCCGCCGCACAGTGGGCCAGAAGATCGGTGGAGGCGGCCAAAACGCTAGACGCGTTTTGAGCTCCACAGTCGCTAAATAGGACTCGAACCCGGACTTGCTTGTGGACCCCACCAATGGATTCCTCGTTCGAAGAGCAATCCATTGGTGGGGTCACACGTCCGGTTCGAGTCCCATTTAGCGACTCTGGAGCTCAAAACGCGTCTGGAGTTTTGGCCGCCTCCACCGGTCTTCTGGCCCACTGTGCGCCGCGCGCATCCCCGGGGACGTCGTCCAGGCCGTCCAGGCGGTGACGTGTCGTGACGGCCGCCCAAAACGGGAGAAGCTTCCTGGTGGCGAGAGAGGTGTCAACAAGATCGTTGTGATAGAGCCATCAGAAATGGGTCCGGATCGATCTGGCCTTGTTCCGATCCGCTCGTCTGGGATGTTCTGAGACCACCAAGCGCCCGAGCCGCTCGCATGCACTTTTTAGAGCGCCGCAAGGTGAAACGCCATAGTCCTGCCTAACTGAAACACCTCTGTCGCTGCCTGCCCGCGCTCTATAAAGTGGATTCAAGCGACACAGGTGCCTGCTTTCACGATCACTACTCCTGCATAAGGGTGTAGTAAAAATACACGTCGAAGAAAAAAACACTAGCAACAGAAATAAATTCTGCAGTAAATTACAATAACGCAGAGTCGGAAATGCCGAAATTTGACGCTGGAAGGGCTATCATCAGCGAGCGGTGTAATTGCCCGCCGCTGTGTGAATTGCAGTCCGACCCACGCACGGCCGCCACTGACGCAGCATCTCCCTCGCAGGGACTAGAATCTGTTACATTGCTGTTCTCTCGTATCATGGGCGTACCGTAATCTTGAGCGAGATTCGATCGATTTTTCGGAACGTTTGAGTCTTGTTTCCTGCATTTCACGATCTGAACCAATGTATTCTGAAAATTTCACGCGTAATCCCGTAAATTTCCCGATGCCGACATCTGTGAGCCTGAAATGGCCTGTGGCCCCTCGTCCTGCAGACGAGAGCGATTATCGTCGCTCTGTCTATGCGCACCTGGGCGTCCCGCTCGCGCACAGGCGCTCCGGAATGCCGAACGCGACTGCTCTCATTTCCGGCTGCTGGTATTCCCGAACTCCGGCCGATCTTTCCCGCGCACCACATGGAGCCAGAAGCCGGCCTCGGCCGGCGGCAGAATATTTTTATATGCCCGTTTGGGCTCCGCTCCGTCCGCCTCGCTGGATGCCGAACCCGACATGCTCCTTCCGGGGTGGTTTCGGCTCGGCGGGACACAGTGGGCCAGAAGACCGGCGGAGGCGGCCAAAACTCTAGACGCGTTTGGAGCTCCAGCGTCGCTAAATGGGACTCGTATCGAACGTGTGACCCCACCAATGGATTGCTCTCCGAACGAGGAATCCATTGGTGGGGTCACACGCTCGGTTCGAGCCCTGTTTAGCAACTTTGCTGCTCAAAACGCGTCGAGAGTTTTGGCCGCCTCCACGCGGGACCGAAAAGCAGAGCTGAGTCGCCCGAAATGGACCTCGAAAAATGCACTGCTCCAGAATACACTGCTCGAAAATACACGCTCTCGGGAGTACACACTGCTCGCTCGCTCCTCCGGCCCTTGCCTTGTCAAGTTGACAGTGTGCCCAGTGCTTCCTGGCCGCCCTCAGGGCCAAGCCCTCCGGGACTCGCTGCTCGTCGGACAGCGTCGCGTGATCCAGTTTCGGCGGTCCCCCACTTCCCAGCTGCACCGCGGCGTGCGTGCGAGAGAGAGAGAGAGAGAGAGAGAGAGAGAGAGAGAGAGAGAGAGAGAGAGAGAGAGAGAGAGAGAGAGAGAGAGAGAGAGAGAGAGAGAGACCACTGCCGCTCATGACCATTGCAAATGAGCCGCGGCGCTTCACAGCCGCACCTGAGACAATACGCGGCGCGCGCTGAAGGCACGTAACTCGGCCGCACGGCGCCGCAGTTGTGGCGGTGTCGTCGGGAGGCTGCGGGTGACTCCGGAAGGAGGCGCTGCACGCCGACGAGACGGCAGGCCGGCCGGACCTCAGGATCGGCCACCGAGTGGCCGTGAGGGTCACGCCGCACAGTGGGCCAGAAGACCGGTGAGGCGGCCAAAACTCCAGACGCGTTTTGAGCTCCCGAGTCGCTAAATGGGACTCAAACCGAACGTGTGACCCCACCAATGGATTCCTCGTTCGGAGAGCAATCCATTGGTGGGGTCACACGTCCGGTTCGAGTCCCATTTAGCGACTCTGGAGCTCAAAACGCGTCTCGAGTTTTGGCCGCCTCCACCGGTCTTCTGGCCCACTGTGCGCCTATTCGGCCGGCCCCCGAGTCCCTGAGTGGCCGTCGCCGCCAAGCCGCACTGCGCCAGCGTGCGCCAGGAGGGCGGCCTGCCTCTCTCGGCCTGCTGCTCTGCCCACGCGCACCGCATATAAGCACCCGGAGGTCACTGTCTGCGTGCAGTGTTGTGCGAACCCCGAACGCAAGCGCACGCGTCGCAGAGATGAAGTCCGCAATCGTGAGTGTCTCACTTGGTTTTTTAATTTTTTTTGGAAACAAAAGCCGCGCGTGTGTGAAAGTGCGTTTGAGAGCAAAAGTGCGTGCGTGAGCCAGTGTGGTTATGTGCTGACCGACCCCTTTGGTTCCAGCTTCTCGTTCTGCTGGCCGTGGTGGTGGCCGCCCTGGCCAAGCCCGGTGGCTACGGACTCGCCGGCGCCCCCGACCGAGGCTACGACGGTCCTGGCGGCTACAGGGACGGCCGGCAGTACTACGGCGGCTACCCGGGAGGCTACGACGGCGGCTACGGCCAGGGTGGATACGGCGGCGGCTACGGTGGCGGCTACGGCGGCTACAGGCCCGGCTACAACGGCTACAGTGGATACGCCGGCCGCCCAGGATACAGTGGCTTTGGTGGTTACGGCGGCAACGGCGGTTACGGTGGATACAACGGCTACAGTGGATACAACGGCTACAACGGCTACAATGGATACAGCGGCTACAGTGGGTACCCCGGTGGCCGCCCCGGTGGATACTACGGCGGAAGGCCCGGCTACGGTGGCTACTCCGGCGCCAACGGGTACGGTGGTGGATACGGTGGGTACGGCGGGTACTCTGGGTACGGCGGAAACGGCGGCTACGGCGGATACTCCGGCATCTACGACAACTACTACAAGAAGTGAGCCCTGCCAGCGTATTTTGCATTACGAACTACACATTGTGATAGCGCTTCGCAGCGCCTTGGTTTTGCCTGGAGAGATTTGTCGGTTGTTCAAATCGTACTAGTCATCCTATTTATTTAATAAATATGTTTGAAATAAAGACCAATGTCTCTACCGATTTTAGGTGTGTTATCATTTATGCAATCCTGATGTTCATGGACGTGTTTGTTTCCTAACAAATTTTTTCGATTCATTTTTCTGGGCTTGTAGCCAAGGATGAGGGGTGTTAAAATTGGAAGAGACAATGTAAAACTTAAATCGTATATTCTTAATCAATAAATACAATGAATGATTGTTTTGGTAACGAATGGGCGAATCGAATGGGGATGAAAATACGGCGTCATCGTTCAGGTACTGGTCGAGTTTCCAAAACTCGTATGGCACTGGTGGACGACCGGGCGGTGAGGCCCCAGTCTAGCCATGGTGGTGGTAGCCGCCGTGGTGGCCTCCGTGGTGGTAGCCTCCGTGGTGGCCGCCGTGGTGGTAGCCTCCGTGGTGGCCGCCGTGGTGGCCGCCGTGATGGTAGCCTCCGTGGTGGCCGCCGTGGTGGTAGCCTCCATGTCCACCGTGGTGGTACTGGGCCATAGCCGCAGCCACGCACACAGCCACAAGGAGAAGAGCCTAAAACACAACACAAAACTAAGTTTAAAATTTGACACAAAGACCACGGAGCCACACTGTTTAAAAATATCATGGAAATTCCCGAACTTGTTGGAGGAAAATATCGACCTTGATTGCAATCCCCCAATGTTTCAATTTTTAAAAATAAATTTTTTTGGTAGACAAAGCCTTTGGATTACTTTGAACGGTGCCTAGTGCATAATTAAATTAACATTTTTCGAAGTATTTTTAAGTTTTTCCGGAGGAGGTGGGGGAGGGGAGGGTAAGAGTTCCACGATAGACTGTCAAATAATCACTTTGTGGAAAGGGGGGGGGGGTGGACTCCTTTGAAGGGGTGGTGAGAATCTTCGAATCTCCTTACCAAGATGAGCTTCATGTCGGTGCTGAGGGGAGCTGATTGAGCTGCTGAAGTGATGCTGAGGGGAGTGCTGCAGGTGCTGCGGGTGCCGGTGGAGTGATGCCGTCCTGGGCCGCCGTGGGCTTTTTATCGGACCGCTGCTTTGCCTCACTTTGCCACCTCCACTGCACTTGCCGGCCTGATGACGCACTGGAGTTAACCAACGCACCTGTATCGCTGCCGCTCCAGCTTGGTTCCAGCCGCCCGGTCCAGCGGCGCGACGTCACGGCTCGGCCGGGAGGCGGGAAAACCTAGCGCGGGGCGGGGCGGGTCGCGGCGCTCTCAAAATACACACAACTTTACGCCGGCGAGATCACGCAGTGAAAGGTACACACAGCGCGGCCGCGGCGCTGTGACTCACCTTTGTTGTGATGCGACCAGCTGCCACGCACGACGCCGACGCCACGCCAATCAAGCCAGCAAACGCCACGCCACGCCACGCCACGCCACGCCGCGGTTTTGTACACAGTGCGTCTCATCGTGGGAGCGGCCAGGGGATATCCCGCGTCCCGTGTCCGAATTTCCTGCTCGAACACTGTGCACGCCGCATCGCATCCCTTGGTCACATCTGCAAAAACGCCCGCGGGTTGGCAACCCGCGACACTTGCACCTGTAGGTGGGTAAGGGGCCGTACCCATACTACGTGACCATCGGGGGGGGAGGAGGAGGAGGAGGAGTCGAGCCAAATACTACGCCCAATCTCAATTACATGGGAAGGTTAGGTTATCCTGGTCACTATGAGGGGAGAGGGGGTCAAAATGTGGCCTAAAATCGGTCACCTAGTATGGGAAAGACCCCTAAGTCCCACTCTTCCCCTGACCACGACCTTTACAACACCCCCTAGTTTGACACATTTGACGGTGCGTCGAATCTAATGGTCGCGTCCTGCCAGGAAGGGCAGGGAAGGCAGCGACCCAAAGGTCATTGCCCCGCCGATCGAGCAGCATCGACCGGATGGCGCCCAATGGCCGCTCAAATTCTGTCGGTTTGCGGCCGCAGCCACGATCACTGCTCGTGACGTCAGGAAAAAATAATTGGTTCTCAGTGGGCTTTAATTATGTTGGGACTGCATGTTTTGGCGCAGAGCGGGTGGCGGCAGGCCGGTACGGTAGCGTCCGCCGGGGCGGCGGGTGGCGCGGGCGGCGTCGGAGTCGCAGGGGTCACCGGGGGCTCCCGAGGGGTCCTGGAGGCCCGGGGGCCCGGGCCCCGGGGGCCTGGCGTCCGGGGGGCCGCGGGGCGCCGGGACAATATAAATAAGGCGCCTGGAGTCGGAGCATCGCCAGTACATCCACGGAGAACAATCGTCAGCAGCTCAGCAGCACGACATGAAGCTCATCCTGGTGAGTACCACGACGCCGTGGCGCCATCTCCACCCCAAAAACGCCTTTTTAGTGAACTTTTCTGTCAATTTTGAGCTGATTGTGAATCGTGTGCCTGATAAAGCGCCAATTAAAAGCCAAAGCCAATAGACTAGTGTAAGAATCTGCGAAGATCTTTGGCAGAATTTCTATCACGATTGGCGTATTTCTTTCAACTTCATTGTGAAAATTTGAGTCGTCACTTGATGACAATTTCAAGGCTAATTTTCCTTACAACACTGTCATCTAAACAATTGATGACATTTTTGTCACGCCTATGCACTAAGTATAGGATCTTTGATGAAAATGTCATCAATTTGTGATGAGATTGTCATCATTTGAAAGTGATGAAAATATCATCCCCGTTTTTGTCATAAAGTTACAACAAATTTTTACACTGTTTATGTCGAAGATTTTTAACCCCTGCTCTGCGTTTGTGCAGGTATTCCTGATAGTTGCGGTGGCGGTCGCGCTGGCCGTGCCCTACGGATACGGCTACGGCGGCTACGGCGGCTACGGCCACCACCACCATGGCGGCTATGGTCACCACCACCACCGCGGGGGCTGGGGCGGCTACGGCGGCTGGGGCGGCTACGGCGGCCACCACCACCATCACCACCACGGCCACCACTGGGGTTGACATCTTTGCCATCGCGAGCCTTCCTTTGGTTCACTCGCCACAAAGCCCACGGTTCACCTAGACTCAATAATTTCTGTGTAGTATTTATCTTCTTATTTATGTTACGGGTTGAAGCGGAAGAGAGAGAGAAAGATTATGTCCGTCTTGTTGAACTGGACCTACAAAAACCGGGCTCGCCCGCTGTGTCGTCCCCGGAATTTTTAGTAAAATAATAAAATAGTTACCATTTTTCCAAAAACTATCTTGCATTTCACGATGAATTCCTTGACTCCCAACACGTCTATGAGGAAAATCAAAAATTTTCTCAACAACTTTGGATTTGAAAAAGAATTCTCCTGGGTATTGAACTCATGTCTGCTCCACGATTGGGCACTTCTAAAACCACCCATCCGCAGTAATACAACATCTCTGACTCGATCCGGATAATATGGCTTAAATACATCCTGCACGCAGCCTCATGATACCATACAGAAGGTTTTACAGCCGAGAAAGACTCAGTTAGATAGGAATCCAGCAGCAACTGAGTCTTTCTCGAACGGGCCGCCACAACTGAGTCTTTTCTCAGCGCCTCGCCACAACTGAGTCTTTCTTACTAGTAGGTATCGAAAATGATGCATGTGTTCATTGTGATGAGCGACTCTCGTGGCCATCCTCGCGCGGGCACTGATTGTCCTGCAGCGAACACGCAGTATGAAAATCCAGGATTCGAAAGACACTCGTGCGTCATCGCCTTTGCGATCACCGCCTTCCTGTTTGTCAACAAAACGTTCCTCCGTCCGGACGAGCGCCTGCGGCCCAGGCCGCCCCGCAATGCTCCCGTGCGTTGGGTTGCCTACCCCGAAGTTCGCAGGCGCTACGGGCCGCCCGGGCCGCCAGCGCTCCGCGACCGGCGCTCGGATTCAGGCTCGTGTCGTCGCTTCAGGAGTTTATTTTGCTTTTGTAATTAATTTTGTAACTTGAGAGGGAGTATGGATCCGCCTGGCGGGCCGACGAACCCGACTTGAAGGAGAATAAGTGACCGCTGCGGCCTTTACGACAGCCCGCCAAATTAGTGGCCGTGACTTTGGGCTGCAAGACCCTCAATTTGGGGACATCGGATTTAACCATCTCGAAAGCTGTGATTATGACCGTCTTTTTTTCATCTTAGCATTCAGTTTTGCTGTTGTCTTTTATTTTGTACAGACTCGTTTGTCCTTATTTGTTCGATCCTTGTTGTATGTTTTGTAGGAGCTTCGTTTTCTTTTTTTCTGTCTCTTCTTTCTTTTCTGACTCAAGTGACGCAGGGTGAGCGGCAGGCACATGACCAAACAACACAAAAATAGGGTTAAATTTTTTTTATTACTAATTATTTAAAATTAACAAATGACTAATGTTGGGTGGATGACTGATGGGCGATTTAAGCAGGTACTTCGAGACGACGTGGTGCGATGAGGTGCTTGATGAGGTCGACGGGGACGGTGTCCTAGCCGTGGTAGCCGTGGTGGTGGCCGTAGCCGCCGTGACCGTAGCCTCCATGGCCGTAGCCGTGGTGGTGGCCGTAGCCTCCGTGGCCGTAGCCGTGGCCATAGCCGCCGTGGCCGTAGCCGCCGTGGCCATAGCCGCCGTGGTGTCCGTAGCCGCCGCCGTAGCCGTAGCCGGGCAGGGCGAGGGCCATGGTGAAGGCGAGGAGGAGGAAGACCTGCGGAGCACAAGGACAATGATGTTAGTTCGACCGTGCAGGTACAGGGGAGGGGCACTGCGCGGACCGCCATCTAGTCCGTCAGCAAGAAGCTCCTCCTCGCTGACCCACTGTCATCCCGGGCCAAGAGGGGGGAAGGGGTGCCGTCTTCCGCGCCCGCGACCAGCATTGCCAACTGACACTGACACACCCTAAGGGTTCCGCCCACCGGGCACCCCGACAGCGCTGCGTTCTAACACTGAGACACAAAGGTATGCCGCCTTGCGGGGCACCCTGCTGGCACTGCCCTCTAACACTGAGACACAAAGGTATGCCGCCTTGCGGGGCACCCTGCTGGCACTGCCCTCTAACACTGAGACACAAAGGTGTTCCGCCTTGCGGGGCATCCTGCTAGCACTGCCCTCTAACACTGAGACACAAAGGTATGCCGCCTTGCGGGGCACCCTGCTAGCACTGCCTTCTAACACTGACGCGACGGTTGCGGCGAAGACACCGTGGCACTCGGACACTCACCAAGACGGCGGAGTACATCATGGTGATGCTGTGCTTGCTGCTGTGCGAGTCCGTCGAGGGCAAGACGCTGCTGGGTTGTGATGCCTCCTCCGGGGCGGCGCTGCTTTTATGTGGCCGTGCTGGACGCAAGGCTGGACGCGGCGCGGCCCAGTGACGTCCGTCGGCTGCTTTTCGGCTAGGCCGGCCTGGGCTGGGCCGGGCCTGGGCCTCCCCCAGACGCGTCGGGGCGGGGAGCCGCGGCGCCGCCGGGGCTGCCCTGCTGGCTGAGGTCCAGGCCGCACAGTGGGCCAGAGGACCGGTGGAGGCGGCCAAAACTCTAGACGCGTTTTGAGCTCCAGAGTCGCTAAATGGGACTCGAACCGAACGTGTGACCCCACCAATGGATTGCTCTCCGAACGAGGAATCCATTGGTGGGGTCACACGTTCGGTTCTAGTCCCATTTAGCGACTCTGGAGCTCAAAACGCGTCGAGAGTTTTGGCCGCCTCCACCGGTCTTCTGGCCCACTGTGGGCCGGCGCGGCCACTACCCTTCTCTCTCTCGCACTCGCGGCCCGTCTCGTTTGGATGCAAGAGAGATAGGGCGGCTGCGCGGGATCACTCTCTGCAGCGGGCGGACGGCGTGGACGGGGGGCGGGGAAGGCGGGGCTGTCAACCGAATGTCCACCCGGCGCCACGCCACCGCGTCCCACGTCACCGGGCTTGTTATGGTGTCATGCCTGCACTACCGGGAACACCGAGGGGGCAAGCGACGGGTAATCATCTGTAAGACACACGAAAGAAACGAAATACAACATAAAAAAATTATGAGATGTCTTTTTATGCAGCGCTTTTAAATTTCTCGTAAAACAGAATTTTCTGAATAAATTTGGTTTTATTTTTGGGACTACAATAACTAAATCCGGGGGACATTCCTAAGGGTGGCCGTCGTTTGTTATTTGGTATCCCATCCCCCATAAGTGTCATGAGATGTGGTAAGGCACACCCTCTCCTTATGGGCACAAGGAATAATAAGGGTCTCCCAGCTTTCAATTTTATATTTGTTTTTGAAAAGAAAAACCATAGCCTACACCAGCGGTATTGAAATAAATTTACTTTACTTAAGATTTATCAGCGCGTGTTTTTAAATATTTTCTTCTTGTTTGTAACTTTGCAGTTTCAAAGTTACGAGCGATTTTTTGAAAATATAAGTGGTAGTAGGGCCAACTGTTTTCGGAAATGGAGTTTAGGGGGGGCAGCGGCGGGTGTCTTGTTTGAGAACCGCGGTCGTGACACGCCGTCGCAGTGTTTGAGTCTGCCTCGTCGCTGCTACGCGCGATGGACAATCAGGTTTCCCGGTAACGACTTTGCGTGCCCGCCGTGGCCGCCGTAATGAAAAGGACCTCAGACTGCCCCAGACACACGTGCCCACCGACTGCCAAGTTCCCCCTGCCGGGCCGCGCCGGGCTCGGGTCGCCGTGTTCTCTGCAGACCGATTCCGAGAGTCGTTTTCGTCGCTCTGTCTCTCTCGTACCCATGGGGGTGCCCCGCGAGTGCGAGAGAGACAGAGCGACGAAAACGACTCTCGGAATCAGTCTGCCGGCGGGCCGATAGCGTGACCTTCCTTCCGCCTCCTTGCTCTTCAGTCCCGCTGATTTACAGAAACGGGCGATAGCGCTCCTCGGCCTTATCAGAAACCGAGCGAGCCGCGCGAAACAGAAGCCGAGAATTCCTCCCAAAAACGTGACGCAGTTTATGATACAGTGGATTTTTGTGCTTTTTTCTTAAAATCTAATATGTTTTTGTGTGGTCGTACTGCCCTCATCATTCAATTCAAATTCACCGCTAATATCTGTACAATAACACGCTTCTGACTTCGAGTAGCCAAAGATTGACCTCTGGCGAGCACCAGGCTGGGATGTTTTGCTTTTGAGTGGGAGAAACGGCTGGCAGTTTTATCGTTTATCAGCAAGCGTGATATTTGGTCAATCCTTTTTTATTAAAAATAAGTGTTTTCGGGTGAAAGTGGCTTTCTGACACGTGTGTATTGTTAGGCGGTGGCGGTGCTCGTGCCATTCTTATTTCTCTTCGCGTTGATCAAAGTTTTGTGTGTCATTTACTTCTGTCATTGTAAATTTTTCCATTTAGGTTTTCATAAATATAAAACAGAAGCAGTGTTTCTATTCATTCAAAAAATATATATTCTTAAATCGTACAGTCATAATAATTGATATCCAACAATGAACACCATGGTAACTAAAATGGCGATTAAAACTAATGACTATTCCTATGAATTAAATCGAATTGACAGGTACGCGTTTGGTAACCGGGACTCCGTGACTTGCTGGCAGGCTTCGGCGTCGTCGCCATGTCCGCGGTGGCCTCCTAAATGCTGACGCCGCCGTGGTCATGACCACGGTCCCCGAGGAGACTCCTTAACCGTGGTAGCCGTGGCCGCCGTGGTGGCCGCCGTGGTGGCCTCCGTGGCTGCCCCCGTGGTGGTTGTTGTGTCCACCGTGGTGGTTGTTGTAGCCGCCATGGTGGCCACCATGATGGTTGTTGTGGCCGCCGTGGTGGTTGTTGTAGCCTCCGTGGTGCTGGGCGACCGCGACGGCGACCATCATCGCCACCAAGAACAGGGCCTGCAACACGAGGACAGAGAGCACTTGGTGACGCGTTTCCTCCGGCAGGCCTGGGACACTGCTTTTCGTCGGCGACGCGACGCCGGTGGCTGGACCAGGACACTCACCAGGAGGAGCTTCATGTTGAGGTAGGCTGCTGGCTGGTGCTGCGTGCTGTGCGAGGAGAGTGCTGTTATCGTGTGATACCGTGCTGGTCCGCGGATCGGCTTATATCGGCCCGCGCCGCGCCGCGTCGCCGCAAACAGGTACCGCCACCACTGCCCCGCCATTGGACCCGCCGCGGACTTCGCGGGACCCGCGCTTGCACAGTGACGCACTCAGCCCCTCCCCATTTTTCCCTCCTCGCGCTCGTAAACTGTTTCAAATAGTTCTTCGATTCGCGCTCCTCCGCGCAGCGCGCGTCGGCGTCGCGGGGGATTCCAAAACAAACAATTAAAGCGGCACGCACGACGCAACGCGCGTCGCGGCCACGCATCAGGGCTGCTGCACGACGGGCACGTCACCACCCACGCCGAGCACAGTGGGCCAGAAGACCGGTGGATGCGACCTAAACTCTAGATGCGTTTTGAGCTCCACAGTCGCTAAATGGAACCCAAACAAACCGTGTGACCCCACCAATGGATTGCTCTCCAAACGAGGTCCGTTGGTGGGGTCACACGTCCTGTTCAAGTCCTGTTTAGCCACTCTGGAGCTCAAAACGCATCCAGAGTTTTGACCGCCTCCGCCGGTCTTCTGGCCCACTGTGCGATAGCACGTACACCGTTGGACCCCTCCCACCTCTAAATCCGCTCTGGACAATCACCCTAGCGGCTTAACGACTTGCTTGCTGTCGGTTATCGCTGGGGTGGCCGGGGCCGCTCGTAAGGCGGCCGCCGCGTATATATTGGTCTAGGATTCTTCAGGTTAGCACTGCATCACCTGCTTCTTCACCATGAAGACCTACGTGACGGTGAGGCTCTTTCCCATTGCTGCTTGCGTCTTTCCCGAGCGGCGTGTTGATTGCTGAGTGCTGGTCCACCCCCTGCAGGTTCTCGTCGTCCTTGTGGTGCTCGCCGTCGCGGCGGCCGACCCCCAGAGACGCTACGGCGGTGGAGGTTACGGTGGCGGTGGCTACGGCGGCGGTGGCTACGGCGGTGGACATGGCGGACCGGGCGGCTTCGGAGGACACGGTGGAGGCTACAACGGTGGCGGCTTCGGTGGACACGGCGGACAAGGCGGCTACAACGGCGGCGGTTTCGGCGGGCACGGTGGACACCACGGTGGTCACCATGGAGGCGGCGGCTGGGGCTACTGAGGAGCATCGACGCCAACAAGGTGCCGTGCAGCCAATGCCGCTGAACCTGTGTTAATGGCGGTAAAAAAGGAAAATATTTAATATCGGCACTGAGGGCCTTAGGGCCTCAAGGCCATATTTCGGACCACACGCTGTGCGGTGTCTGATCAAAAATAAAATCGGAAACAGTTTAATTTGTTTACAATTTCTTAATGGCACTAGTGCTTGTACAGTCGCTACACTCGGAGCACGATAGCCAACAATTTAGAGTTCGTTTTCTTTCCTCTTTTTCTGTAGCAATTATCGGACATATCGATCACTGCTGACGTCATCACACGTGTCTCCGCGGTCTGCTCAGTTTGCTGGAACACGTGACACGGCACGAACACCGCACAGTGGGCCAGAAGACCGGTTGAGGTGGCCAAAACTCTCGACACATTTTGAGCCTAATGGGACTCAAACCTAACGTGTGACCCCACCAACGTATTGAACTGTAAATGTCTTACGGTGGAAGGCTGCACCAACATATTATGGTGGGGATTTTCTCCGTAATACCAACAAAATTCGTCGAAATATCTATAAGATACAGTGAATTCTCAATGGTATGTTACGAGGTCAGCTGCACCACCATAATATGGAACATTTTCACCATAATATGGAGAATCTTCACTGTAGAACATTTAGAGTGTGCTCTCCGAACGATGACGAGGAATGTATGGGGTCACACTTATGGTTTGAGTCCCATTCAGCGACTCTAGAGCTCATAACGCGTCTAGGATTTTGGCCACCTCCACCGGTCTTCTGGCCCACTGTGCAGCGCGAGCCTTCGACAGCGCTTGTAGTGTCGTAACGCAGCTGCGGTTTCAACCTCATGACTCATCAACGCGGGGATTCTCGCGCACGCACGAAGCAGTCGCCAGGTTAACAACGAGGCGATCCAATTTCGTTTTCCCCGCGCGGCGGCGTCGACGGCGTGGCTGGGGAATTTGCCGTACTTGTGGAGGGGGCGGGTGAACGGCACGGGGCGACGGGGCGGCGTACCCGGCTTGCCGGCGGCTTGCCGGCCGGCCCCCGCGTCATGATCCGGTCCTAGTCCGGCAACTCGGGACGCCCCGCCCCACCGCGCCCCGCCCCGCCGCTCCGCGACGCATCCCCGTGCACGGCGTCGAGCTCTGTCGCACTCAAGGCCGCGCAAAGGGGGCAGCCCGGCCCCGGCCCGGCCCCGCACGCGTCCCTGGACTGGCTCAATAAAAGCAGACTCCTCCAGCCTTGGAGCATCACAATCCAGCGAGCGCTCCCAGCGGACATACGCCAGCAGCAGCCCCCAGCGGACCGACCGTCCCAGCCTTGAACGCGGCACCGCAGCGGCGTCGCCCTCCAGCCATGAAGCTTGTCCTGGTGAGTTCGACGCCGGTGTGCCCCGGAGTTCTTTCGATAGTTTGACAGCCGCAGCCGATTTGATGTGTGATATGTTGTGGGCATCCACGCTTTGGACCCATAAAATGCCAATGCGTTTACACTATACTTCGAATGTTTAAAATTTGTATGGCGGCCTGCAGAATAATTTGAAACTTAAATATCAGTGGCAATATTCTCGACATCCTATCGTGGTCTTTCTACAAAAATGAAAGAGTTCGTGCGAAGTTTCTCGCGGTGTATTATTCGAATTCACTGGCCGCGGCGCTGTTCTTCGCCCTTACCAACGGGACGCGGCTGGGTCGGGATGCGGCGACGGTGTGCAGCCGGTTTTGCAACGGTGCTAATCTTTTCCTTCTTGGTTTGCAGGTCTTTGCACTTGCGATGGTCGGCGTGGCCATGGCCGTCCCCTTCGGCGGCTACGGCAGCTACGGCCATGACCATGATGAGCACGAGCGGATCGACCACCATGAGGACCACCACGATGACCACCACGACGACCACCACGAAAAGAGCGACCATGAGGACGACTACCACCACCACCACGGCGACTACAACAAGAAGCCCCACCACCACGAGGAGCACGAATACAAGCCGCCCCACCACGAGGAGCATGAGTACAAGCCTCATCACCACGAAGAGCACGAGTACAAGCCGCCCCACCACGAGGAGCATGAGTACAAGCCACCCCACTACGAGGAGGAGCACGAGTACCCCAAGCCTCCCCACCATGAGTACCCCAAGCCTCCTCATCATGAGTACCCCAAGCCTCCCAGCCACGAGTACCCCAAGCCCCCCAGCCACGAGTACCCCAAGCCCCCCAGCCATGAGTACCCCAAGCCCCCCAGCCACGAGTACCCCAAGCCCCCCAGCCATGAGTACCCCAAGCCTCCCCATCACGAGTACCCCAAGCCCCCCAGCCACGAGTACCCCAAGCCACCCCAGTATGGAGGCTACCACCACGGAGGCGGCAGCTACCACGGCTGAAGATGACCTGTCCGGCTGCTACCTGTCACTGCCACTCACCTCAACGCTAGGAACCATCGACTATAGAATTAGGTAATTTATTTCAGACAATAAAGTGATTTAATTCTAGATACTGTCTCATGTCCTCATTGTTTCCCTTATAAAAAAGGATTCTTACGATGACAAAGGTCACTAAAGACCACTAGTAAAATTTAAAAGCATGAAGCAGTAAAGGGGAAAAGGGGGAAGGGGGCGTCACTACAGATAGCTGTGACTTTGGAGAGTCTTTACTACTACACGATACTCCCCTTTTAAAGAATTTTCATTCTGTTTCTGAAAGGCCAAACATAAAAAAAAACTCTCGCAAGAGTCAAACAGCAAAATTGAAACATTCAAAAAGTGCAGTGGCTCCTTTCTGTGTGCCGTCAGCAAGTCCAACGCGGAAAGGTTTGCACCTATGATTATCACCCGCAGTGCAGAAGGCATGATGTTTGTCTGGGCCGCGTTTGTCGTGCCCTTCGAAAAAACCGCGATGACTCAAAAACCCAACACGCCCAGTTAATGCAAAACAAAGCAGTGGACAAAAAAGGGAAACAGACGCAGTTCCGTATCTGAGGTGTACACAACCTAGAATCGTAATTCAAACGGCCCGCCGGCGTTTCAGAGACCATCTAAAAACATAAAGGTCACAACAGGGCGCTCGGTGGCCGGCGGCTTTTTGGTCACCGGAGCCGACTCATCCAGTATATAAGGTCGGCCTCTTTCCGCAGTCCAGCCACAACACTCCGGGCCTCCATCCAACGCGCCCCACGAGCACCCACTCACCATGATCAAGTACACCCTCGTGAGTACCGACCGCGGAGTACAGTCTGCTTCAAAACTGGCCGGTTTATTTCAGCGCCGTGTGCACTGGTCCTGCTGTTGTACAGTCTTCATCAAAAATGTCTCTCTCCGCACAGGTATTGCTTTTGGTGGCAATGGCTGCAGTCTCCGCGCTGCCCACTGCTGGCCACCACGGACACCATGGCCATGGTGGGTTCGGCGGCCACGGCGGCTACGGCGGCCACGGTGGCTACGACGGCGGCTACGGCGGCTACGGCCACCATGGCCATCATCATCACCACCACTACCCTGAGCATGGTTACGGCAGCTACGGTGGCTACGGTGGCGGCTATGGCAACTACGGCGGTGGCTACGGCAACTATGGCGGCTACGGCGGCTACGGTGGCTATGGCGACTACGACAGCTTTTTCTGAGACAAACTTACCACCTAATAGTTGTATTTACTTATGACTCCTCTAGAACACAACGAGGTTGTTTGACGTGCGTTTACTGATCGTTTTGTAAAATATATTTATTTATTTATTCATTCATTTGGTTTTGGTTATCCTGCAGCCTACTGTCCGTACATTCCTTGAGTATTTTTCTTCGATTAGATTGTGCGGGCAAATGTCGCTCGAAAACTGCGTGCAAACGAAACAGTCAAAAGTAATGGCCTTGCTCCACTTTCACACACAAAAACTCCTTCTTTCACTTTTTGTACTTTTATTTCTTATTACTGAAAGTTTTTTTAAACAGAATTCATACATTCTAATTAATAAATAATCGTTCCTAAGCTACAGTAAAAGTTACATGTGATGAATCAGATTTACAGATGAGTACGAAATTCACGAAGCAGTCTTGTTGTTGCCGCTGAGCGCTCGACTTCCCATTGTGCCGCGCGAAAAACAAAGCCAGTTTGCTCAGCTTCTGTGACGCGGGAAAGTCCGGTGCGGGGCCGCGGGCCGCGGCGGCAGAGCCGCGCTGGGGGCGCCGTGCCGGCCGGCGTGGTGGGGGGTCACGCGGTGGCCGTGGCCGGCGTGCCCCACCTGGGGGTCTGGCAGGGGGCGGGGGAGGGCCGCGGAGAGGGCCACCATCACCACCAGGAAGATCTGCAACGGAAGAGGAGACAATTGAGTACCGATTTTGAATTTCGCGCGCAACTGGTGCCGCCACTCCGCCTCGCTGATAACGCGGCCACGTGTCCCTGAGCACGGCGATGGCCGCGCCGCGACCTTGGCATTATCACTGACCCCACGACGCGGCGGAATCAATCACAATTTGTTTTTCGCTCCGCGGGGGCAAATTCACAGTTCACACTTCGGTTTCGTCCTGCGCGAGGCCGGCGTCGTTCACCTGGCGTCCTTACTTACCGCCAGGAGGGTCTTGGTGACGACGGACATGGTGCTGCAGGGAGCCGTGAGCAGCAGCCGGTCGAGTCTGGAGTGCGTCTGGCGCGATGCCTGCCCACCGGGTCTGTTATAGCGACGCCGGCGTGCGTCACGGGGAACAGGACGGGGCCGGGCCGGCCGCGGGCCCGCGGTCTCGTGCCGCACCGCACGTGTGGGATCAGGCCAGGCCCAGCGGCCAGGAACCCCCGCGCCGTGCCGCGCCGCGACGCGCCGCGACGCCGCTGTCTAAAAATACGGTGTGGCACCGCAGAAGCCGCGCTGGAGCCGCGGCTGGAGCGGAGCGGAGCGACAGGTGCTGAATTGGCACCGGTCCGGCCCACTTGCATCGCCGAGCCGCGCTGACGGCACCGCCCGGCGGAGTCAACGACACGCACCGCCCAAATGAAATATAGAGTACAAAAGAGCTGCTGGTCTGATTTTGTTCTCGTTTTAAAATTAAATTAAATTGAACCTCAACAACTGAAATCAGTCGCAGGCAGTGGTACACACTTCGATGATATGTACAATTTTGTACGAGACATCACAGCTTTTTGTGCGCACGAACTTTTCATACAATTTTTGTACGAAAAAACTTGCACAAAGCTCCCCATTTGGTGCAAAGTCTCGTACAAATTTCTACGAAAAGTTCGTGTGCACAAAAAACTGTGATGTCTCGTACAAAATTTGTACAAAAACATTTAGTGTGTACCCTGTGAGCCAAGCCTCTATTTTTGTGAGCAATTTTAACTTCAAACTTTCATGACTGCAATAACCTGGTAAATTCCCGATCGATGTCACAGTAAGAAATTTCTCAGAACCACCCGCACCGTCAACACAGAAAAACCACGCGTCTTTTTCGCGAAAAAGCGTCCCTTGCTGGGCTCTCAAAAAACAGTTCCAATGAAATAAACATTCGGACTATCCCAGTGTCGCGGCAGATACGAGAGTTGTTTTTTCTTTTTTTCGAATGCAGACTCCGCTATCTTTTATTATGATTCGGAACGAGTCGTCCATTCGCGACTGAATATAAGCGAGCCGGCCGAAAGGCACAGCATCAGTCATCTGCAGATCGTCTACGAAGAGAGTCCACGCAAGAAAGCCGAGCACAATGAAGGTCCTCGTGGTGAGTAACGTGGTTGTTTTGGAGGTCTTTTTGTGGAAACTGAACCAGTTGGAGTGCTAAGTGTCTTAAGAGAGATGAATAGGGTTGAATGCGCCAAAAATTCTAGAAAAACAACGAGTGATCGCTGAATTTAGAGAATTCGACGTGACTGATGTTAAAGTGTCGTGGTGAATGAACCCTTTCGATTCGCCTAAATTCGCCATACCATGTTGGCTGTGCGTCTGATACTTTCTCCCCGAGGGGGTAAGGTTTTTGTTGTAATCAGGAGGTAATTCGGGGGTAATCCGGGGTAATCTGGGGTAATCCATAATCCGGCTGACACGAAATTTACCAGTCGTTACCCCCTCGTTTCTCCCAGACTTTCAACGGATTGGTGTTTGTTTCAGTGTTTGATGGTGGCAGTGGCCGTGGCCAGCGCCTACCCTGGCGGCCAGGGCTCCTACGGCGGTGGCTCCCAGCACGGCGGCCTCGGCGTTGGGCAGCACAACGTGGAGCACGGCCACTCCGGATTCGGCCACGGCGGCGAGCACGCCGGACACAGCAGCCACGGCGAGCACAGCGGATTCGGCGGACAGGGCAGCTACGGCCACGTCGGCGAGCACGGTGGCCAGCACTCCGGGAACCTCGGCCACGTCGGCGAACACGGCCACGGCCAGGGCAGCTACGGACACGTCGGCGAGCACGGCAGCCACGGTACCCACGGTAACCTCGGCCACGAGCACGAGCACGGGCACGGCGGCCAGGGTAGTTACGGACACGTCGGCGAGCACGGCGGCCACGGCAGCCACGGCGGCCAGGGCAGCTACGGACACGTCGGCGAGCACGGTGGTCACGGCAGCCACGGCGGCCAGGGTAGCTACGGACACGGCGGCGGCCACGGACACGGCTCCGGCGCCTACGGTCAGCACGGTGGCCAGGGTCACCACGGCGGCGCCGGTGGCTACGGCCACGAAGGTCATCACGGTCACCACTAAGTCAAGCAGCTAGTAAGCAGGCGAGAAAGAAGACTGCCCCTCATTTTCAAACTCATCCTCCTCCCTCTCTCTGTCAGTTGTCGTTCATCGATCAGAATGATTCATCAATAAATTATTTCGCTCACTAATTGGCGTTGTGTTAGCTTGTTTCTGACGGATTCCCATTCCTAATGAAGAACGTGGGGGATTCCGTCGGCCGCAATGCACGATTCGTCACACGAAGAAAGCCATGCACTGCCTAGGCAGGATGAATTTCCGCCAGTTTTCGGGCGGGCGAACTCAAAGGAGGGTGAACCTCAGTCCGACACAGGGCAGTCGCCAAGTCGCGCGGGATGGAATAACACATTTGTTTATCGCGCTCTGTGCAAACTGCGGCCTCGTTCTGTTTACCCACTGACTCGCGCGTCGCCGCATCGCGCAGCCCGGGGCCGGCGGGGCCGCCAAGCCGCGCCAAGGCGGGCCGATTCAAAGATTCAAATCGCACCGCTTCCTCCTTTCCTCGCGAAAATGGTCGAGTGGTGGGGGGCGCGGCGGAGAGGCCGGGGATCGGGATCGGCACCGGCCGCGGAGGCTGCGCGCGCGGGGGGGGCGGCGGGCGCGGCGGCGGGGCGGGGGGCGGGGCGGGGCGGGGCGGGGGGGGCGGGGCGGGCGCGGCGGGGCGTGCGGCGGGGCGCCGTCCTCCTGCGTCACGACGCCGTGGAGGGGGCCAGGGAGGCGACCGCTGCAACGGCACCGACGTCACTGGCGTGTTTTGGCACTGGACGCCTTTCCTCGCGGTGACGCAGTGACGTCACCGCGCACCCTTGCAGCTCTGCAGTCTTCCAGTCTTGCACATGCAGCCCGGCGTCCTTAGAACACTTTTGGCCCCGGACTCGCGGGGGCTGCAGTGCATATAAGCCGCTGTATCCAGCCGACGGTACACACACCGCAGCAGCCTGCCCGCACAGCACCACCGCTACTTTGAACGAGCCCAAGCAGTCTCCTATCATGTTGGTGAGTGCCAAATTTCGTGTTTAATACGTCCGCGGTTTGGTTGCTTGAAAGGTGACCATCACGTAGGAGTTGGGCTTCTTTGCTGAACACGTATGTCACTGCTTCCGCAGGTGGCACCGCTCCTCCTCGTGCTCACGGTGGCCGTGTTCCTGGACCCCACCGTCGCGGCCACGGTGGCGTGGGGCCACAGCGGGCCGCAGGGCGGCGCGGGCGGCTACACGGCGAACCGGCAGGGCCCCGAGGCGGGCGTGGCGGGGCCCCTCATCCTGGGCCTGGGCCCCCACGGCGGTCCCATTCGCGGCCCCAACGACGCCGGCGGACACCACCGCGTCTACCGGGAGGCCCAGCACTTCTACACGTCCCGGCCACGGCCCTGCCAGGGCCACTTCCACAGCCAGCAGCAGCTCGACAACTGCCTGCAGCACCGCCCCCACCCCCACGACAACAGTCGCCCCCACCACTAGTGTCTCTCTTCTAGCTATAGGTGTTTTTAGTGATAATAAATTGTTCCTGTTTTCCTACTTTGGGCTGTTACTGATTTGCCTCATCCCCGGGCGTTACCGTTCGTGGTTCAGCCCACAGTGGGCCGGAGGTGGTCAATATTCTAGACGCTTTATGAGCTTTATGAGCTTTAGGGTCAGGGCGGGGAAGAACTGGACAGGGGAAGAACTGGACACCCCACAGTTTACCTCAAATACCGTATGCACAGGCTTAACAACTTTCATGTAATGAACCACTGATGCCACGGAACAACTTTTGATAGTTGTTATGACTGTGCATACAGTATTTGAAGTTGAATATGGGGTGTCCAGTTCTTCCCCTGTCCAGTTCTTCCCCGCCCTGACCCTATGGCCCTCCAATGGATCCCTCGTTCGGAGAGCAATCCATTGGTGGGGGTCACACGTTCAGTTCAGGTCCCATGGAGCGACTCTGGAGTTAAAAACTCGTATAGAATTTTGGCCGCCTCCACCGGTCTTCTGGCCCACTGTGCAGCAAGTTCACGTTCCCAGAGTTTCCTTCCCGCGCGTCGTGCGCCGGGAGGGTCGGCAGCCCAGCCGGCACCGGAACCGTGCATTACGGGCGGCGGCGAGCCACTGGAAAGGGGCGTCGACCTTTCGTGCTGCTAATGGCCGCGTTGAGTCACACCCACACTGCCGCACGTCGCACACAGACACAGAGGCAGAAGCACGCCGGAAATCGCGGTGCGCACCGCCATTGCCGAGACAAACCCATGACACACTGCGTCCAACCGAGTCTTGTCTACTTTACGCGGTGTTTGCTGTCCGTCCCGGGGGCCGTTCCACGCAGTTCCACGCAGTTCCACCACAGGCGTCAACACGGCGGCCGTCTCGGCCCGGCCCAGCATGACGTCACGGCCACTGACCTGCCGCTCTGCCAAGCACCACCGCACAGTGGGCCAGAAGACCGGTGGAGGTGGCCAAAATTCGAAACGCGTTTTGAGCTCCAGAGTCGTTTAATGGGACTCGAACCGAACGTGTGACCCCACCAATGGATTCCTCGTTCGAAGAGCAATCCATTGGTGGGGTCACACGTTCGGTTCGAGTCCTATTTAGCGACTCTGGAGCTCAAAACGCGTCTAGAATTTTGGCCGCTCCGCCGGTCTCCTGGCCCACTGTGCACCGCCAGGCTGGCGAATCGGGCAAGACCAGAGTACGCAGCGCGGCAGCAGAGGCAGGTACGCCGAGGCTCGTGATTGATGAATCAAAATTGATGTTGATGCAGAGCGGTCGCCGCCCCTGACAAACTGCTGCCAGAGCGAATCTCACATGCTCGCTCTGTCTCTCTCGCACCCCGCCGGCATTTCCCACGAGTGCGAGAGAGAGCGAAGTCAGAGCGCGGCGAGCGGACAACGCCACCCACGCCCGCGTTCAAGTCGAATCATTTTCTTTGCCGTTCCGCGCCAAACCGAGCCCGCCAGCCCGCAGGGCGCCAGGCGCCTTGCCTGCCGCTTTCCACGACGGCCTGGCCGACCTGGTTGCATCCGATCAGCAGGCTTATTCCGAGAGGACGCTCTCTCTCTCTCTCTCTCTCTCTCTCTCTCTCTCTCTCTGAGCAACGCGTATGTGTGTGAGAGAGACAGACGGGCGGGGCATTCCGCTCGGAACCACCATGCTGCGCGATGCTGCGCGATGCAGCGCCGAGCGCGAGTGCATTTCGCCCGTCCGCCGTGGAGGACCAGGTCGACCGGGAGGCCGGGGGGGCCGGGGGTGTGGGCAGCACAGCACGGCGCAGGTCAGCAGGTTTCGCATGGGACGCGTCGCCACTCTTTTATGGCGCCTCTTTCTTGTTTCGGCCTCGTTAGACCCCGCGTCGTCGTCTCCTACTAGTCGGCGGCTTTCTTTCACCGTTCTTCGCGCCGATCGCGAATTCGCGACCAAACGTCGGTCAGCGTCGCCAAAACTGGCTGCAGGCTCCGGACATGTTTTCATCGTTCTGTCTCTCTCGCACCCTGACGGACGTTCCGTGAGTGCTAGAGAGAGAGAGAGGGAGGGGGGGGGAGAGGGGGGCGGTCTACCTCGGTAGCAGTCTTCAGGGCCTCGCGGAAGGAAAGAGCACGTCGTCGTCGTGACAACCACCCGCGTCCGAGCGGGGCGCGCAGCGTCGTGCAGTACACGAAGGCGATGAGGAACAGAGTGGGCGTCGCGGCCTGTCTTGTTAGCGGCGATCGGATTTAGGGTTAGTGCCGTCGCCTGCGGGGGAGGAGAGGGGAAGGGAGAGAGGGGAGGGGGAGGGGAGGGGAAAGGGTAGGAGAGGGGAGGGGAGGGGAAAGGGTAGGAGAGGGGAGGGGAGGGGAAAGGGTAGGAGAGGGGAGGGGAGGGGAAGAGGGGCACAAGGAAGCGAACCCGCGAGGCACGCCGCCGCTGCGCCGCGGAAAGAGGCAAGAGAGGAGAAAGGAGAGGGAAAGGGGGCGAAAACGGCGAGGCAAGGCAGAAGCCGAGCGGGAGGCAGACTCCAAACAGCGTGTCGCCGCCCTGTCTCTCTCGCACCTTCCCCGCACCCCCGCATGAGTGTGAGAGAGACAGGGCGCCGAGAGGGTGTTCGGAGTGGCCGTGCAGAGGCAGCCCGCGGCGCCCGGCGCCCCTTATAAGCCGCCGTCCTGGAAGTCGCCGGCCAGACTCCGTCCGGACCTGCAGCACGCCGTCCTGTCGCCGCCGCCGTGGTCATACACACCCCGATCAACATGAAGTACCTCCTGGTGAGTGCCCCTGCGCGCGGCGAGCGCGGTGACGTCATGGGGTGTGGCTTGGAAGCTAAGGCTGGATGCATTTTGCAGGTTTGCCTCGCGTTCCTGGCGGTCATCGCCGTGGTCCTGGCACGGCCGGGTCCAGCCCCCGGTGGCTACGGAGGCTACGGAGGCGGCCAGCACGGCGGCAGCCACCACGGCAGCAGCCACGGTAGCCACGGCGGCAGTCACCACGGAGGCAGCCACCACGGAGGAAGCCACCACAGCTACGGACACCAAAGCCACCACGGAAGCCATCACGGCGGCCACCAGAACTACGGACACCACAAGCACCACGGCTAAGAGGACTTCCTCCTGCGGAATGGACTGGATGGACTCCATGACGGGCACCTCGAGGACCGGGATGTCAGCCTCCTCGGTGTAGCTCCTCCACGTGAACCAGAGTACCTGCAGTGCAACGTGAGTGCCTGAGTGTACCTCCCCACAGCGCACCGCGAAGTCGGCGACGAATCGAACAAACTATCTTGTTGCTCAATCAAGTACGCTGCTTTGTTTTCAAACGACGTGCCAATTAAAAGACTGAATTGTTTTCTTGTTTTTACGATGTGTGTTGTGGTTGTTTTTTTTTTCGCTGTGTCCCTTGCGATAGTGAAACCCTTCTTTTTATGAATTGCTCAGAAAACGAGCTGAGAGCTGATGTACTTGTACTGGATGCATCTGCCTAGCGATGTGGAGTGAGGAGCAAGGAACAAAAACCAGTTTTGGACAGGAAAGGAAGAAAATTTATTTCACGTCTTGTGACAGTCAAATCAAAGTTAATCATCTCTCGATCTCGGAGCCACGTCGACTCAAGCGTCACAAAACGCAGAACGTTGTCCTGGGCGCGGTGAGCATACTCGGGTTCAAAGTAGGGGATGGTAGTTGAGTCTGTGACTGGTCCTAGTACCAGCCGCCCCAGCCTCCCCAACCACGGCGGTAACCGCCCCAGCCGCCGCCGTAGCCATAGCCGCCCCAGCCGCCGTAGCCGCCCCAGCCGCCACCGTAGCCGCGTCCTCCCCAGCCGTAGCCGCGGCCGTAGCCGCCCCAGCCGCCGTAGCCGCCGCCGTAGCCGCCCCAACCGCCGTAGCCACGTCCCCAGCCGCCGCCGTAGCCGTGGTGGCGGTAGCGGCTCTCAGACCCGCCCAGCAGCTCGCCCTCGCCCTCGGAGGCCACGGCGGAGAGGCCAGCGCCGGGAGCCTCCTCCGCGGTGACGACGGTGTCCTGGACGGAGGGCTCGGCGTCCGACGAGGCCACGACGTCGGCGACCTGCTGCTGCTGATCGCCGGAGACCTGTCCGTTGGGGGTGGCCTGGGTGGTGATGGGGATGTCGAAGGAGACGGGGGGCCCGGGGAAGGCGGGGCCCGCGGTCGCCGCGGACACCATGGCGGCGAGCGCTATCAGCGCCATCATCATCTGCGTGGACAGAAGCGGAAGCGTCATGTGTCGGGCCCGAAACGGCACACGATCTTGTGTGGTCTAGCCTCTAATGGCAATGGTAGTCAGGCGGGCGACGCGACACTCGGGTGCAGGTTGGGCTGCCTACCCTCCAGGCGCGCGCCAAAGTTGTTCACTCATGCATGCAGCAGTTGATTCAGCCAAAGTTGGTGGATCGGCGAGCATTTACTGTGTGGATCCATGTAGAGTGAAACAGTCCCGAAGATGCCTCAGAAACCGCATCTTACAAAGGGTTCGAACCTTTTTCATGACGAACAGGGGGCGGTTATCACTCACATCACGGTCCTCGTTCACCATCTCTGACTGAACCAACTAGCACTTGTCAAGTTTACCAATTCGTCGGCCTTTTCGGCATTCAAAGAAGAAGAATCACACGAAAAAAATTGCAATCACGAAAATTGCACTTAAAATAGTTCACACCGGCTTTCTTCTATTTTAAGTACGAAAGCTAGCCGTCCAAAAAACCGACAAAGCGTTGAGAAAGGCCTGCCTGTTGCCCCTTACCTCCGAGCTCACCGTGAACTTGGCCATGGCGAGTGCGCTGTTCCCGAGTCGGTGGTGCTGGATCCTCTGCCGTCCAGAAAGCTCCCCCTGGCCTTTATACGTGGCCGGGCTTGGGGCCCGCAGCGTCCTGGAGCGACGCCCTCAGCCCCTGCCTCCCCGCCGCCACGCCCCGCCCCGCCCCGGCTTCAGTTGAGCGTCGGTTTTGTTTATTTTCGCATTCTTGGGCCTCTCTTTCCGCCACCGTCTGGAAGCCCGCGCCGCTGCAGGCAGTAAATGGAAGGAAGAACAAAGAGGAATATGGATTGGAGACCGATGAGGATGAGGTGCTGGCCGAGGTGCTCGCCGAGGGGCCTGCAGAGCCCAACCCACGCAGGGAGAGTGGTCCCCCGGTCGGGTGGGTTCGCAGGGTGGGTTCAAGGCCCGGCGGCCTCGGTGACAATCAAGACCGCATCCCTCCGACACCTCCTCGGAAAACGGCTATCACCCCCGAGCGCAGAGACAAGTGGGTACCTTAATGCGCACCACAGACAAACGGCTACCTTTTTGATACTTGCAGAACGGCTGTCATGACATGACTCTCGGGAGAGGTTAGGGTTGGCCAGGTTTGTAGACTTTTCTCGATTACACCCATAGCAGGCGATATGTACCAACCTGCTATGACATTCTTTTGACATGTTTTGGATCGACTCAAACCTGACGAGGCTCAGGCTCAGGCTCAACTAGTTTAAAGTAAAAGCAAAACCAGAGTCGTGAGGGAGCGCACTGTGAAATTGGCGTTCTCGGACGAATGACGTGCGTTGTGACTTTGAACTCGTCAGCGTCAGATCCGGTGCGTTGCCTTCCATCCTCGCTTCCCTCTTTCTGGACTAACTTGCCCAGATCATTGAATAATGCATTACAAGGAAAGGGGACCGTCCTTAATGGCTGTTGGGCCTAACCGAAGTCCAAGGCTAATGAGACTCGGCTGCACACGCACACACATACACACACGCAGAAGCGGGCAGGGCACACGCATGCACTCACACACTCTCAAGAGGCGAGCCCCCATGTCCCACTGGGCAGGACAGGGCAGGCCAGGCAGGCCAGAGTCAACTGTTCGTCCAAAAAGCCGGCGAAGGACCGCCAGGAAGCAGGAAACGTCCTCCCGGGCGATGCAGAAGATCGGTTTATCGCTCTGTCTCTCTCGCACCCTTACGGAGGGCCCCGTGAGTGCGACAGAGACAGAGCGACGAAACGACTCTTCTGCATCGCTCGGCTGGCCGCTTATTAGTGAGACCTTAGCCTGCCAATCCTTGGAGCGCGACCGTCTGACAGCGGCGCCGATGACGTGGAGGCTGCCCCCACAGGGTTTTCCCTGCATTGATGAGATTTTCACACACACACACACACACACACACACACACACACACACACACACACACACTACAGTGCGGCCGCTCCCGGCGAGCAGAATGTCTTCCACAAATAAAAGCACTGAAAGTGCGCGCCTGCGGAGTACTACGTAGTTTCGATTTCGTTTTATGGCGTCGTTGTGGTACTCCCCGCGTGTGATGGACCCTGCCAAGGTGAAGGAACTGCACAGCACAAGGGTCCATCCCTAAACGTCGTCATTTTCGCCAATTATTTTTCACAATATGAAGGTCCGGGAGTGCCGCTACCGCGAACCGCAGTCTTTGGTGAAATGTTGAGACGTCGGATCGTCTTTCAGGAAACAAATCCCATTCCTCGGGACTGGTGATCATTTTCTGAGCTGGTTGGTCCTTCTCGCGGAACTCGAGAGCTGCAGGCCTCTTTTTTGCGTGGCTGTACGCTGCTGGTCAGTTCGGCTGCCTACCTCGAGGGCGTAATGCGTACGTTAGGTCAGTGCCGCCGCCCGGAGCATCGCTCGCTGGCTCGCTGCTTGCGGATCCGGCCCGGAGCCCCCTGGGGGGCAAAGGCCTCATCAGGACTCGTAAAAAGCGTGGCTGCAAGGTGACCGATTAGCCAAGCTAATGCACATTTCTGCTCGATTAAGTACTGTCAGGCAACCAGTCGTTGGTGTGGATTTGCTAGAATTTTTATGCATCGTGACCACTTGTGTCTCTGCACTGTACTGACTTTTGTTGCGCAGCTTCATTTCGGAACTCGGCCCGCCGTTTTGGCGGGTTCTGTGTGTTGTGGACGACGCCACGGACTCCTTGTGCGTCATCGGCGTCGTCTTGAGGCCACCGCGTGTATGATGGGCTGCCTGTCCTCCCGGCGCCGCGCCGTCTTGAGGCCACCGGGTGTACGATGGGATGCCTGTCCTCCGGGCGCCGCGCCGCCGCGCCGCCCGATGGGTGGCCGGGCTTCCAGGCGCGGCCCGAGTGCGCAGCGATACCCCGCGTCGCGGTGGCAATACGCGTCGCTGGCAGGGGCACTCCTCGCGGCGCTACCAGGTGTGTGTCGCTACCCCGTGTCGCTCGCAGGCGCTGCCTCGCGCTACCAGGTGTGTGTCGATACCCCGCGTCGCTGGCCGGGGCGGTACTTACCTCTCGCTGCCCGGTGTGTGTCGATACACCGCGTCGCTAGCAGGGGTGGTACTTACCTGCCGCTGATGCGTGTGTCGATACCCCGCGCTGAGAGACGACGGGTAGTACTCCGCGCACGGCGACTCGGCGCAGAGACGCCCAGCCATTGCCGAGCGGTTTCCCGGCCAGCAACTCGCGCCCCCCTGTGTGCGCTGCTGACCACAACGGCTGCCCCGACACGACAAAATGGCGCGGCTCACAGTGTAGGTAATCCCCGCTTCCGTCTGTTGACGACCCACCATGTTTGCCCACACGTGCGGCGGCTACACATGTGCAGCCCGTGATTGGACAGCCCACCTGTGCCTCGTCCCATCACTCGGTTAATTAGCATCGGACGTCTCCCCGGGGAAAATTACCTGGATAGAACACGTCAACAAAACGGAAAGTCAGGTGGCGTCAGTCGTCTCGGTTGTGTATCGCGGAGAGTAATTAGACCCATTGCTGCCACTTTGGAAAGACTTCCAGCAGTGTCCAAAGGGCTGCCCGCCAACCTCCTACTGAGCCAATTCGATAGCGAAGCCAAGTTGTGGCATAGCTGAGAGGCCAATGTTGGCACCCCTTTTGACACTGGTGGAGTTTTTGGATACTTTTAAGGCATCAGGTTGAGCCTGGCGAGATACCCGGCGAGGTCTTCACTGAAAAACCAAACGTGGTCTAGACCGCACCACTGGTGTGGTCAAATGGGTGCCATTCTGACCGCATCAGTTGGTGTGGTCTAGACCACGTTTGGCCACGTTTGAAGTGGTCAAAATGGCACCCATTTGACCACACCAGTTGGTGTGGTCTAGGCCACTTTTGGTTTCTCAGTGTTTCCAAATGCAAAGAAGCCCATAAGCAGTGGGGTGACAAATCCCGCGACAAGTGCTGCGACAGTCGTAACGACAAGCGTAACGACGAGCAGGGCGGACGAGTTCTACATGAAAATGCCCTCTGATTGGGATGAGGGGCGTGACAGCGCATCGGTAGCTCACAGAGGCGGCCAGGCGGCGGCACGGCGGGGCGCGTCTCAGCCCCACGTTAGAGAAACAAAACACAACTGCGTTACATCGAAGCGTTTCAGACTGATTCCAGGAGTCGTTGTCGTCGCTCTGGTGGCGTCTTCCACCGGTCCTAGGGAGACAGAGCGAGGAGAACGACTCGGGGCGCTGGTGGTCGCCGACTTGCCCGTTAACGGGGGTCGTCGCGGTAACAGGCCGCGAAGGGCCCCACAGTTACCCGCTTCTGCCCACGGCGCGGCGCGCTGCCATGGCGTCGCCCAGCCAACCGACCGTGGAGGACGGCCGGCCCAAAAATACCGCGGGGGCTGAGAACACCGCGAAGACGGTGCGGCCACGCGGACGCGCTGCTTCAGGGAGGCGCGCGTCGGGCGCGGCGCTGCACAGTGGGCCAGAAGCCGGTGGAGGCGGCCATAACTCTGGACGCGTTTTGAGCTCCAGAGTCACAAAGCAGGACTCGAACCGAAACGTGTGACCCCACCAATGGATTGCTCTCCGGACGAGGAATCCATTGGTGGGGTCACACGTTCGTTTCGAAGCCTGTTTAGCGACTCTGGAGCTCAAAACGCGTCTAGAGTTTTGGCCGCCTCCACCGGCTTCTGGCCCACTGTGCGCTGGAGAAAGCCGAGCAGGCCGTGCAGGCCCCCGGGAAGGAACGCCTCCTCCCTTTCCATGCAAATGGACCGCCATCCTGGCTCATTTTGAGAATCGCTTTCGTCGCTCTGTCTCTCTCGCACCCACACGCGACGGCCCACGAGGGCGAGGGAGACAGAGCAACGACTTTCGGAAGTGGTCCGCGCGCCGCCGATGAGGAGTGTGATGGAGGTGTGAGAACGGAGCCGGCCGTGCCGGGCGCGTGGCGAGCGAGGCACGCCCGTTCCCAGGGCAACCCGCACGATGAAAGTCAAAATGGCGCCCGAAATATTCCGTCCGAGACACTGCACGAAAAACCGCGGCAAAATCGCGACTCAAAATTTACTCTAACAGCGGAAGACGAAGGCGTGGGAGACGCTCCACTCTGGTCCGCTTTTTCATCAAGGATGTGCTGCCTGATGGCGTTCGATGAGGTGTAATTTTATTCTCCAAAAGACCCCCCCCCTCTTTTTTTGCACATGCATCTTGTTGATGTGATGATACGTTTGTTGCTGTGTGTGTGTGTGTGTGTGTGTGTGTGTGTGTATGTATATGTGTGTGTGTGTGTGTGTGTGTGTGTTTGAGAATGCAAATCGAACACACAAGAAAGGGGCGAGCAGCAAAACGGCGCACACTGCGTGGCTCTGCCGCCGCCGCCACAGCAGGTGTGTCACCGCCTTGCTGCGCCTTGCTTCGCTTCCGACTGCTGTTTAACATGACTGAGGGGTCCTTGTTGTTGCTGCCGCACGGACAGCACGTGTCACCACGGCGCGGTGGCGCACAGTGTGGCGGCACACACGCCACCGCCTTCCAACAAGCGGCGCAGCGCGACGCAAGCTGCAGGGCATTTGGACAAGGCCGGGGACGACAATGCGACGCGACCGCAGCGAGGCGCGGCATCACAACGACTATTGTGCCGCCACCTGGCGGCGGGGGATGAAAGTGAAATTAG